GTGAAATATTTGGTGAAACTGGGAGCGGTGTTACACCATTACACCATCACTACTAGACAGAACACAAACACAAGGCAGCATAGATCCATGGATTCCATATTGTTACATAAGTGTCTCAGTTAAAAAAAGACTAAAGTTTATTACGTTCAACCTTGAAACCCATTATTTTATGGTGTTGATCCAAAAGAAAACAAAAAAAACCCAATTGAAGCCATTTCCAATTATGCCACAAAAAGGGAATAAAAATCCTTTACTCTATAATGGCAATCAAAATTCTCCTTGGATCAACAACAAGCATACATATCAATCACTACCTCCTATAGACTATAAGCTCGTTTGAGCAGGGTCCTCTTCAACCTACCATTCCTGTAAGTTTTCTTGTAATTGTCCTAATTATAGTTAAATCCCCCCTCTGATAATATTATAAAGCGCTACGGAATCTGTTGGCGCTATATAAATGGCAATAATAAAAATAATTATATCTGTTTATGAAAAAAAGCAACCCGGCCTTTTTTAAAATCTCATGTAGTATACTATACCAAATTCTGATTCCACCATCTACGTGTTGCAATGGAAATGAAGATTTATCAGACCAGGCAACTTTAAAAAAAAAATGTCTACTGTCCAATACTGCTGCTCCTGTGCCCACTATAGCCTTAGTTTCTTGTTCTTATCTCACGGAGAAGTGGAAGCCAGTGTTATCTTCTGCTCTCATTTCCCATTCACTTTAAGGTTTAATGTGATGTGCATTCAGAGATACTCTTCTGCACATCACTGTTACTATATATGCTTAATTCAGCTACTACCATCCTTCTGTCACCTTGAACTATTCTGACATCTGACCCTCTCTCATTAATAAGACATTTCTACCAACAGAACTGCTGCTTACTGGATGATTATAATAATAATAATTTTTTTTTTTACAAATTAATGTATTTCTTAATTGCACCATTCTCTGTAAAAGCCAGAGGATGTTGTGAATGAAAATGCCAGAAGATCAGCAATACTTGGCATACTCAACCCACCATAACCTTTGCCAACAACCATTCCATGAACAACTTTTAGAACACATTTCTTCCCCATTCTGACCTCTTGGCCATGTCTGCATGCTTTTATGCATTGACTTGCTGCCACATGAATGGTCAGATATTTGTATCAATGAGAAATCACACAAGTATACAGGTATAAAGTGGAGTCACTTACAGGTATAAGTTTATTTCTGGGCATATAATCTATCATTTTATATGAAAAATAATATAAGCTCTCTGCAGGTATATCGATATATATATATATATATATATATTTAATTTTTAATTAATTTATAGCAAGTAAGAATAATATATTCAGTGCAGGGCTATGCATCCACCAGCAGATGTCACCATTCAGTTTATATCTCTCATATAAAATTTGTTTTGCATGAACATGGCCACTAAAATGACAATTTTTTGGGTGGATGTTTACTTCAAAGTTTTGAAGTGGTCATGGTGCCTGGAGTCTGTATGTGCATCTTTTTGCTATGAAACTCTGCACACATAGAGTTTAACCCCATTGACACTGACAATGTCTAACTCCACCTTGGACAGTATCACTGGGGTGTGTCATCAGCTAGCCGGGAAGAGGAGATGCACCATACCCACAGCCATTGCAAGTGACTGCTGTGAGAATTGACAAAACTTGACAGCTAAAGCTTTACTCCACCTTCGGTCAGATTTTTGTACATGAGTTGATCATCAGACAAAGAAGTCTTTACTTTGTCTAGTGATATCTATTATCTGTTTTGTAGCTCAGTGTTATTGTGATAGGAATAACCCATGGCTGGAAACACGGGGTTACAGATTTACCATTTTATTGTGTGTGTGTGTCTGGGCAAGCCCCTGAGACATATGTGAGTAGGTTTGGGATTTTGGCAGATTCATGGGGAACTCCCTTTCTAAACTGCACAGTCCCCTTTGATGTCTGAGTCACCCTGTGCTTATTACGGGCACAGGGTGACCGGAAAACCCAGGCTGGCCTGCCCAGACCAGACTTCCACAGACTAAGTGGTTGGGAGGACTCCAGGCACCCAACCGGAACACTCCTGGAAACTCTATGGAACTGCCAAGCAGATAGGAACTTTGAGACACCTGCTGAAACTTTAATTGGAGGTATCTCGGCAGGGCCGGACTGGGAAAAAAATTCGGCCCGGGCATTTTTTTATCACAGCGGCCCATTAAGAAGGGGGCGGGGCAGAGAGGGTGTGTTTTGTCATCACTCATGACAAACACGCCCCCTCTCAAAGTGAGCATGTTGGTTCAATGCTCTTCCAGGGCAGACCATGCACAGAGCTCTGCTGAAGAGCTCTAGCATGAGAAAAAAGCCCTGTATTTGTTCTGCACAGTGCAAGCAAATTTAATAACATGCTTGCACTGTGTTTCCTTGCAACTTGTCTCTGGTGTCTCTATAAATGGATACCAGGAGACAAAAGGGCCAGGAAAGAGTATTGTGCATGTGTTTGGAGCCTGCTTGGGGTATTGCGTGTGTGCAGAGTGAGCTGGTCGTGGTGTGGTATTGTGTAATAAGGTCGGTTTTAGTCGTGTTGTGTTTGTGGTGTAATGTAATGCATATGTGGCTAGGGGCTGTAGAGAATGTGTCTATAGGGGATGTAGCAAGTGTGTGTATACAGGCTATAGTGTGTGTGTGTGTGTGTGTATAGGTGATGTAGTGTTTGTAGAGAGTGTGTGTTCAGGGAATGTATGTGTTTGCTTACAAGGAATCTAGTGTGCGTATAGGGGATCCAGAGTGTGTGTGTGTGTGTGAAGGACCCAGACTATGTATAGGAGATCTAGTGAGCGAGCGTATATAACGGATTCAGAGTGTATATAGGGATCTAGTGTGTGTATGTGTGTAGATGATCCAGAGTTGGGTAGAGGATCTAGTGTGTGTCTGGAATGAAATGTGTTTAGGGGTGCTGTGTGTGTGTGTGTGAGGGGTGCTGTGTGTATATATATATATATATATATATATATATATTATATAAATATGTTTGGAAGTATTGTGTATGTGTGTGATGCAGTGTATCGGGGGTTGTGTGTGTATGTGAGGGGTGCAGTATGTGTGTGTGTGATGGATGCTGTGTGTGAGGTGTGGTGTGGGTGCTGTGTATGATGTGTGTGAGTGCTGAGTGTGATAGTGCTGTGTATGATGTGTGATAGTGCTGTGTATGATGTGTGTGAGTGCTGAGTGTGATAGTGCTGTGTATGATGTGTGTGAGTGCTGAGTGTGATGTGTGTGAGTGCTGTGTATAAATGTTGTGTGTTGGGGGGTAAATAAACAAATAAAAACCTAAGTGGGAATAAATATACAAATAAAAAAAAATAAGGGGGGGTAAATAAACAAAAAAACTAATCATGCATTATATCCCCCCCCCCTTACCTTTAGCCTGAGAGGAGGAGGGGTCCGGCACGCTGGTGAGTGGGGGGCACACGCACACGATCCCTGGTGGTCCAGTGGTGACTCTCGCGAGATCGGGGCATTGCCATGGCAACGCTCCCGATCTCGCGAGAGGAGCCCGGCGGAGCTGCAATTTAGAGCTCCGCTGGGTCCTCTCCCTCCCTCCCCAGCCGCAGGTCTATTTAAATGGGATGGTGAGGGAGATCTTTGATCTCCCCACTGGCCCTCCATGGAAGACAGCGGGGCCGGCGCTCGGATAGCGCCGGCCCTGCATAGACCGGCAGGGGATGTCCTGGGACCTCCCCTGTCGGCCTCGGCCCATGGCCACCGCGGCCCACCAGGCATTTGCCCGGTGTGCCCGATGGCCAGTCCGGGCCTGTATCTCGGTCACTCTCTGATGGATCATAACACTATTTTGACAGGGCACTCGTGGAGGAACACACATGGGGTTTTGTGATGTTTATATGGGCATATTCTGTTAGGGCGCCTTGTTGTCTGGAGGTTGATTGGGTCGGCAGTGCCTGATCTGATCATCTCCCAGACACAGAGGCGCCTGGGTGGGATCTCTATTGTTTCAGTTAACAACCCCCTGACACATATAAAGTGTCTTTATTTTCACCCTTCATCAAGTAAAGGTTGATGTTTGAGTGAGCTACTATAATCACCGGTGTCGTGCTGGAAAAGTATGGATATTAACCAGTGGCATACACACAATCCATGGGCCCCCCCTCCCCCTCTTCCCCCCCAGACAGACACACATAGACACATACAGACAGGCAGATACATACAGACATACAAACAGGCACACTTATATACATACAGACACACACACAGACAGAAACGTACATACAGACAGACAGACACACACACACACAGACAGGCACACATACATACAAAGACATACATACAAGCAGACAGGCACACACACAGACAGACACACAGACACATATATACAGACACACACACATACATATATACATACACACACATACAAATACAAACATACAGGCAGACACACACTTACAGAGACAGACACACACACATACATACATACATACAGGCATACATACAGATAGACAGGCACGCACAAACAGACATACACACAGACATACACACATACATACAAACACACACACACACACATAATGTTTAAGTCACCCTCCTGTTTCCTACCTTTTAGGTGCAGGAGGGTGACTTTTTCCCTGGGGTCCAGTGGTGGCTCAGGTTGATGGGAGTCAGAGTTTTAAATATTATTAAAAAGATGCAAAGTAATTTTTACACTTCAAATCTAAATATAATATGTATTTACCACCTACTTTATGTAAGCTATAAGTTCATATGCCTCACAGCTTAATTACTGGCATTACTCCCATTCTGCAAAGGTTATGTAGTGCAAATAGTAATAATAATAATAAGGTTGGTGTTACTAATGAATTGTCAATTTAAGGTTGCTAATAAAGTTGAGTAGAAAAAAAAATGCTAGCAGTTGTCACGCCTGTGCTGCCTGGGACAGATGGGCGGAGCGGGGAGCAGGGGGTGTGAGGTCTGGAGTGGAGGGAGGGAGGGGGAGTGAGTGAGTCAGTCAGTGCTGTGTGGAGCTGAGTTCAGGTCTAGGTAGGAGCGAGCAGTCATGGACACTTCTGATCAAGGTGAGTGCTCCCTGTCTGATCTAAGCTGGGCTTCAACAGGGCTGGAGGGGCTGTGGGTGAATAGCATGTGCCACCATATTGCTACTCTCTGACTTCCCCCACGTGGAGTCCTTACCTGCATGTCTCCCCTGTAATCCCTGCACCTGTCTGAGTGCCACTGATTGCTTATAGCATATGGAAGGATACCTTGCCCTCACATGGCTCTTATAATAAAACACTGCTTAATACTATATATATATATATATATATATATATATATATATATATATATATATATATATGACCTAAGGCTTGCCAGTCAGATATTGAAATCTGGGGCTCTACCTAAAGCATTGTCCTTGATGAGTTGTAGTCTAAATTTAGGCTGCTGTTGGTTTGTCATTTAATTAAAGTTCATTTTACAGCTATACAGACACCTGGTCTCTTCTTTGCAGGCAGGGGAATGTAAATCATTAAAACATGAGCCCATGGCAGGTGTGATCTGATTAGTTTTATTTTTTTTTTTACTGTAAATAAACATCTGTGGGATGCCTGTAGCAGTAATGAAGTTGTTATGGTATCTCAGTCTCTCATTGCCTGTTTTGCAGATTTTAGTGACACAGACAATTTTTTTTGTGTCATTATGCACAAGGCTGTTTCCATGCCATGCCCTCCCCCTGTGATGTGTCCTTCCTGCCCAGCTCACATGATGCTTGGCCTGACAGCTGTGAATAAACATGTGTCTGACATTCTGCAATGGAGGGTCTGGCAGTGCCTGGCAACCAGCACTTAGATCTGTGTTTATTTGAGCACTGCCATGCTGCTTACTTTACCATCTGAGTTCTATAATAAACTGGGACTGGAAATGATTTGATTGCAAATGCCCAGTAGGCTGGTTTTATTACCACTAATACTGATTTAATCCTCATTCTGGATAAAGATTAGATGTTATTGAGTTTTTATTTGATAATTTTTATTTTTTATTTTTTTTTACCATATGAAAGCACTGATGTACCATAACTTATTAAAGTCACATTAATTAAGTTGCCTTAAATCAGTTAACGCTTTTTTTTTTTTTTTGGTAGATGTGGGTTTTCTTTTTCATTAATTTGGATTTTGCGGGCAAGCTACACAGGGTCATTCACTGATCCATCAATGTTCACATGAGACTGGACCCAGGAATGTTTAAATAGTATAGTGCAATGGATGTGCTTTACAACTGTTGCATTACAACACCCAAACTGGGAGTCATAGGCTGATAGAGAATATTTGGTTTTGTAGCCTAAGTATATTAGAGGGTTATATTTGGGGGTCACAAATCTGCGCTCTTTGCTTACCCACTCCTTCTCTCTTACCTGTTACATAAAATGTTGCCATATGTTCACTTAATTTATGAACAGTGTATTCTTTTATTATATTGTGCTTGGATTAGGGACACCTGTTAATTACACAATCCATAACAGTGCATTTATTAATAAAACCCTGAGGTATATATTTTTGAAAGGCGTTCCTATATAAATTAATGATGTAGCAAGCCTGTGGATTCATCTTCCATTGCCCCATCCCTGCACATACTACATACATTTACTGTCAGCAACCACATGTGTTACATAATTTGTCTGATCTATAGATTTCTCTTCCTTTTTTTTTAATTTTTTATTTTTTTTATTTCCCCATTTAATGTATTTGCTTAAATCTACACGATTTATGTTCTCGGTTCTTCATTTCTTGTTGTTTTTAGTTTTTTGTTAATAAACAATTGTCCTTATTCATTGAAATAGCTGCTTATGTGTGATATATCTATACTGTGTCGTGTTGTAGTTCATCGCGTGTTCACTGAATTGCTGTTTGCAAAGGTTATTAAACAAACATTACAGCTATGCCTGATGTGGCATAGCGCTATATTATTTTATTTATTTTATTTTTGGACACTTGCAATGACTGTGAACTGTATGCTGACATAGACATTATTTATTTTCCCAAAGGAGCAGTCAACTCCCTCACTGTTAAAAGATACATTCATTAAACAAGATTCCCGATTTGTAGAAAGTAATTAGCACGGGGTCTGTATGGAGTGTGTGTGAATGCACACTTTATAGACTGGGGTTCAACCTTTCGTGACACTTGCGCTTTATTGATTGCTAATCTTGGCACTACTGCTGTTGTGGACCAGGTTTCCCATAATGTCCAACCAACCATAAAGAGTGCTGAGTATTGGCCATCACTGCCTTAAACTATCTTGCAGGATACCATGTAATTGGTAAACAATTAAAATTATTTATATAGCTCTAACACATTCCGCAGCGCTGTACAATAGATAAACCAAGACAATTTAATTCTGACAAAATACATGAGGGCCCTGCCCAAATAAGCTTACACTCTAAAAAGCTGGGAAGCCTAATGGGCTCACCCTAGATCCCATCCTGCAAGATGTACATACAAAGAGTGTTACTCTTCTTTATAAGCAAGATGGGACAAATTTACATAGAATTGTTAAGAAATACACAATCAGAAGTCGGCAAGGGAAAGGATGCTGTAAACAGATTGCTGTAGAAATCCTACATAAAAATATGTACCATTAGTATAACTTTAGGATCCATGGCTACGTGGCATTTATCCAGTTCTGCTCCCAAGCCCTTTTGACTGGATTGGCATCTTATGGTTCTTTTACTGGCATGATACCAGTAGGTATTAGGGTCAAATGTTTGTATTACAATCTCTAAATTATTCACTTTAGAAATATGGCAAATCCTGAACACACATGTTTACGGTAGCTTTAAAAGCCCACACAGTATGTGTTTTGCACTGAGTGATCAGTTGGGTATCCTTTTCCCATTTACATTGTCTGGATGAGAAACTATAGTTGTTTCTTGCAGACTTTCACATGGTTATTAACTAAAATTAAAAAAAAATCTAAGTGAATTTCAAATTTTAAGGCATAAATGGCCAACCTGAAAGCAAAGCTGATTTAGACAATTTTTCCAGTTCCACTATTTTGGCCTTAAATTTGAAATTCCCTATTTTTTATATGTATGTGTGTTTTTTTTATAGTTAAAGTGGAGGGGGGCGGGCTGAATCTAGATAGGGACTAGGGCATTATAGGTTTAGGAATACATGTTTATATCTAACACTATAATGTTACTTTAAACTTTGAATTCCCAGCAGTTTCACTATAGTGAGTGAACTTATCTTTAAATAGCTCATGTTTTGATCACATTGTAGGTATATTTGTGATTGAGTTAGTTAAATCTAAGGTTTACCATATCTGCATTAGAGATGAATTAAAGGGACTCTCTAGTGCCAGGAATACAAATCTGTTTCCCTGGCACTGCAGAATCCTGCAGTGCCCACCTCCCATCCCATGTTGCTGAAGGGGTTAAAACCCCTTCAGTAACTTCCCTGAATCCAGCTCCAATGTCCCTTGGCACTGGGTCAGGCTCCGCCCACACCTCCTCCGCCGACGTTAGCCGGCAGGGGAGACCTAATGCGCATGCGTGGCAATGGGCGCTCGCACACACAAGACCTCCCCATAGGAAAGCATTATTTAATGCTTTCCTATGGGGATTCCGGCGACGCCGGAGGTTCTCATGCAGTGCGTAAGGACGTCCAGCGTCATTTAAAACACTTTTCCTGTTTTTAAGAAGCCTGAAGTCACTCTAGAGGAGGACTTAACCATGCAAGGTAATTATTACACTTGCAGGGTTAAGGGTGATGGGAGATTGCACCCAGACCACTCCAATGGGCAGAAGTGGTCTAGGTGCCTGCAGTGTCCCTTTAACGTTTGACTAACATGTTAGCTGAAAATGATCTGCATTTGCAGGGTGCCTTTAACCCTTTCACATATTCTTATCTTAGGCACAATTATCTCCTTTAAGTTCATAGTGGTTATGCCTTTGCATTGTTAATCATGTTAATAATGTAGAATTGTGGCGACAGCAGCACTACATGTTTGTAGACTTCCAAATTGTCAGTGGCATATGGTCGGGATGGATGAATCCCAGGAGCCCGGGAGCCATAGCTTTTAATATTTTACAACTGGCGCCAAACTTTGTGACATTTTCCAACAATCTTTGTCTGGAACACTTGTGCTTTATGTTGTCATCCTATCGTATGATTACTTTTTGATAAGTAAGATAACACCCCCTCTTTTCTCCCCCCCTCCCTCCGCTCCCCAAAAAAACAAAAACAAATGCAAGAAAAAGGCCACTTACATTTTGTGCACCGTGTGTTTTTTTTTGTTTTTGTTTTTTTTTTGTATTTTACATTTTATAAAGTTTGCTTGCAAAATTAGCAGCCATTCAGATATTTAGACATATATTTCCTACCATTCTTCTGCCTGGCCTGATGTGTTTGCAATCTCTCCTGGGGATCAGCACTGCTTACATGTGGCTAGTACATATATACATAAAATAATATTTAGTGTTCATATATCTGACATTCTGTACATTTGCCAGCTCTCTGGCAGACACAGTGTATAGACACACCAATTAAGGCCGTAGTTTTAGAAACGAAGATAAAATGCATCAACGAAAGTTCTGACCACTTTTTAATAATAATAAAAATCTCTGCTAGTGGCATTACTCAATACGAGAATAGTTAGCACAGACTATGTGAGCATGCCACATCAGCGATTGGGCACCATTTATTACTGTCTGTGCCAATACGCCTGGGTGCACTTTGGCAGCATTACTGAATTCAAAATTCGCTTTTTTGGGGATGTTTATTATGAGGGAGATTTTTAAGTGATTAAGTAAAGCAACGGAAGACAATAACATTGTACACATTCAATGACCTATTTACAGTCTTACAATATTTTATGGGAATTAAAGGTAATTTGCTCTTTAAATTGTGTACATAAATTTTAGGTTTTACATTTAAGTTATGAACATCAATTTCAAGCATTTTACACTCTGATCAGTGTCCCAAGTAGAAACTTTCTAGGAGCTGGTACCCCCTCAGCTTCTCTGGACGAATCTGGTCAAAGATGACCTCATACCTGTGTGTATGGCAGCGCCTTACATACACTACCCACAATGACTTTGTAGTGCTCTGAACCCAAACGGCACCTTGTCTGTGCCTACAGCATGGAAACCTGTTAGACCAGCTCTACTGCAAATTCCGAAAGGCGAGAAGACCAAAACCGTATTTTTATTTATCTATTTTTTAATGTAACATTTAGGGAATGATGGTCATGGCGTTTTCCACCATAAATGCCAATTTGTGGCTCTGCCTAACATGACTCTACAGCTGCAGTGACTTCTTATCAGCGTTTTGCTTTTGAGAATATTAAAAGCAGATACAGTATTCTTTCAGCTGCTGGGGAACTGCAGCTCCTATTAGCCAGTATTTTGTTGGAGGTGTTAGGACTTGTTTTCCAACCCTTATAGTTTAATTCTGCAGAATGGTTACTTCCAAATAAATCTTTTATTACAGGCATTGTGCTGCAATATAAAAACCCTATTTTGTTATGGCATACCAGTGATTGTATTGGACCCATGGATTTATGATGTCGATTGACTTGTGAGGCAGGAATCTAAATGAGACGTAGTCTAACTGATGTAAAACAGAATGCTATCTATGCAGGTAAATTGGAATTTCTCACTGGCTGCCACAAGTATTGGCTGACCGCTATGCAGAAGACGTCCAGCGTCACCCAAAACCTCACAGGAAAGCATTGGGGTGGGTTTGGGGGGTGGGGGGGGAGGGCTTGACTGAAGGGGAAGCTATAGTGCCAGGTAAACGAGTTTGATTTTCTGGCACTATATTTTTTCTTTAAAAAAAAACCAAACAACTCCAAGCATCATCACCATCACTGTGCACTGTGGTGGTTATAGTGCCCCCACAGCAGTGCAAGGCCAGCTCAAATGCTGAAAGTGACAAGTAAGAATTTAAATCATTCTAAAACTGTTTTACTACTTAAAGTAGAGGGGTTGAAGGGTACTACTGGCACCATAAGACCATAACCTTTACAGTGCGTTGGAATGGAATGTAACTTGAAACAGAAAAACCACACCCTGGTTTCCTTAAGTAGTAATTAAGGGAACCTTTTTTTTTCCTTTTAAATTAAAAGCCTCTTTGATTACAACGATTTATGGGGACTTCTCTTACATAATCAGGATCCTGTTTATATCACATATTCTATGAACAATAGATAGGGTAGAGAGGAGTAATGGGTCTGTTTGTTTTTGTCTTGTTTTTGCACTGTATAAGTTATTCATACTATCATTTCAGTAGACTAGTTGTGGAAAAACAATGTAATTATTGTTTGAGGATGGGAGAAGAAAATGCAATCTAGTGAAAAGTAATGCCTGCAATGTACTGTAAGTGTGAACATAGTCCCTCCAGCTGTTATGGATTAGACTTAAACAATTATACTTTAGTTAGCCCTTGTGAGAAGTTGTCCATAGCAGTTTGAGTTCCGCAGGTTGACCTTCAATGTGTTAGTGTCCAGGCGGTGGCTGCTTGTTTTGGTGGCTGTCAGTGCAAGGATGGTCAGGGTTTTGCTAGCAGCTATGCATGAATTTTAATTGGTAAATGTATTTCCAGAATCTAAGGGAAGATGCCAGTTATGGCTAATCTAAATAGCTCCTATCAGACCTACACCCAAGGGAAAGTAGATAAGATTAAGGGCTTGGTTATTGTGTCAGACCTACTCCCTGGGTGAATTATCTTAAAAAAAAATAAATAAAAAAAAAAAAAATGTATTATACAAATTTAATGGATTAAAAATGTTGTGTGTGTATATAGTGGGGTGACAGGGGCTGTAGCGGAGGAGAATAGTCTGTAGTGGGAGGATAGGGACCATTGTATAGTGGGCATAGTGAGGTGATGGGTTGTGGTTGGGTGTCAGGGGGCTATATTGAGGAGTCATTGGCTGTATAAAAGTTTCTTCCCCCTCCCCAGGTTCCCTGGCAGTCCGTTGGGAGATACAGCTGGGGATGCAGATTGATATTTCCATCCGGTTCCAGGAAATGTATCATAGCATTGTCGCGGCAACATTCTGATAAAGTGTAGGCAATGGAGACCTATTATGGTCTCTTTATTTAGCGCCGGCCCTGCAGGCTACACAGAAGGAGAAATGGCTAGCTTGTGAGGGAGATCCTTGATTTCCCCTCGGCCATGCTGCCACTCTACTGCATGCTGAGCATTGGCCTTGTGGCAAATGTGGCCCTTTACTGATGTCTTCTGTATAAAAATGCTTCAAGCGGCATAATCCACTGGTGTGATAGTTCTGGTGTCTATAAGCTAAGAGGCCCATTGGGTGACCTTCACACTTAGGGCGACCTGAGGGACTGCCATTGCAAAGGTAATAATCTGTTAAGGAGCCTGCAGAGGGTCCTCTATTGTGGTGTCATTCTGTTTGGGAGGAGACCACATTGTGGATCTCACACAGCATGGGCCCTTTAAAACATAGTACAGTCTCCTCCCAGCGCTCAAAGTAAGCCATGCGGGAAGGAGGAACAGCCCAGTAAAGCCTCTTGAGCGGAGCCGGTCCCAGGGAAACTGTACTCCTGATAAGTTAGTTATTCAAATTTAGGTAGTTTTAGCCACCCTACTCTTTGCCTAAGTTTGTGTGAGCTTCTGTCAGCGTTTGTGTATGTGTCTGCCAGTTGGTGTGTGTTACGAACGCTGGTATTTCAGATACCCGTTCGTTTTCATTTCCTCCCAAACTGCTAAAGGCTGACTGATTATAACTTGCAGTTCTGGTGTTGATTTGAACGATCTCCAGAAGAAAATACAGCATCCATGTAGATTTCCCTAGCAATCAGACATATACTGAAACATCAGCCTGAATTAGATGAAGGGTACAACAGGAATGAATTTATTCAGACCAACTGGCCGGTTTATATGCAAGTCCCCATGCAAGGGGTTTACTGTGACCTATTCCAGGGGCATTCCCCACTGGACCTGAAAGGGGACTGTAACTACATTGCCGCTCAGGTCCAGGATACTCCCACACAAAACAAGATAATCCCTCCCTGTGCCTGTGAGATAATTGAGTCCGGAACTGTACTAAACTCCATTATCTCCAGGCACAAAAACCATACATTTTACTAACACTTCGAAAATACTCCCAAAACACATCGAAACCCCACAACAGTCGCATCCCTTGATGGCCCTGATTTTAGGGGACCAACATATCCAAAAATCACCCAGATCAGACCAGGGGTTCGGGATTTCCTTGGAAGTCATATTTTGACCGACCGCACACTAAGTCTTATGCCCAAAACAGTTCCACAGTTTCAGAGGTAGCAGTTGGTCAATTTCGGGGAGTTTTAAAACCGAACAAATCCACGAACTGTTCCCCTGGCTCATAGGTAGCTTTTGTTCCCCTAGTTCGTGGGAACCAACCTACTGAATAGCGCTCTCCTGGTTGGTTGGTGAAAAGAAGCAGGCGTTCGCGAAGTTGACCGGCATTCGGAAAGTCGAGTGTCTGATTTTTAGTTACAGACACTCGACAAACAAGTCCCGCTGCCTTTTTTCGTGGGACTAGATGGCCGCCGTTTTCTTCAGCACGTGGCCACACAGGAAGAATCTGCAGTTTGCTTTGTAGTTAATGAGCCAGGGGGGTGGCCAGTGTTCGGTAGTTTTATCTACCGAACACGGAAAATAAAAAAGTTAACGAAACAAAAGGTGTAGTTTCTTCACAGTGTGTATGTAAGTTGACCTGTGCATGACTATCACCACGCATTGTGTTTTTGCATGCCTAGTAATGTGTATTAGTTTCTGTGTGTGTGTGTGTCTGTCTGGTAGTTTTTCTGGGTGTGTGTTTCCGTGAGTGTATCTGGAACATATGTATGTGTATAAGTGCTTACATCCCAGCATTCAAAAGCATTCCTGCACTCAAATGCAAACATTACATACAAATATATCACTACACACAAGTACACTACTGCTTTCAAATGGCAACAGTACAACCTAACAACTGCAGTGAAATGAAAACACTATAAACATACTCTATACAAAAACATGCATGCAATTAATACTCACAGATACAACCCTGAAAACATGGGCACATGTTAGAATCTCAGCTGGCAATGCAACTTGGGAGATGTACTACAGATGGGGCCCTCTTTACGCTATTTCTGCCATGGTCATTACCAAGCTTTAGTGGTTAACATGCCAGGTGTGCACCTCCTCATTGTAAGTAGTCATACAATTTTAGAATAGTTTGGCTTCTTACCTGGATCCAGTAGAGGATCCGGGGAGGGGGCAACAGGGAAATTGCTCCCCCCGAGCTGATGCTCTCTCCTGCAGGGCCAGTGCTGTCCAAGCGCCGGCCTTGCTAAGTGCCTTCACGGACTGGAGGGAAAATCAGAGATCTTCCTCCCCGGTCTGCAGGCATATTACTGGGCAGCCAGGACGGATAGAGGAAACCCGGGAGGAGCTCTAGCCTGCAGCTCCGCCAGGTCTCCTCTCACGAGCACAGAGCGTTGCCATGGTTACCGTGGCAACGCTCCATTCTCGCGAGAGTGAACTCTAGCCTCAGGACGTGTAGGCTAGAGTTCACTCCCACTAGAATCGCCTGAGATTACAAGCAATATCCCCCCCCACCCCCTCCCCGGGCAAAGGCAAGAAGGGGGTGGTGGGGATTCTAAAAAAAATTTAATTTAAAAAATAAAATAAAAATTTGTTTTACACTGCCCCCACAGCCCCCCTCCCAAACACACACTGCCTCCACAGCCCCCCCCCACACACACACTTCTCCCCCATACACACAGTGCTCCCCATACAAACACTGCACCCACACACACACTACACCCCTATTCACACAGTGCTCCCCACACAAACACTGCACCCCCACACACACTTCTCCCCATACAAACATTACACCCCACATATACACACTGCACTCCCATGCACACATTACACCACTCACACACACACACTGCCCCTCCTACACACCGTGCTCCCACTGCCTCCCGTATATATATATATACACACACACACACACACACACACACACTGCACCCCTCACACACTTCCTCCCATACCCACCCTGCATCCTTCACACACTCAGTGCCTCCCCCCGACACACACACACACACACACACACACACACACTACTAGAGGCCCTATCCTTGCAGACCCCAGGTAAATAGTCAAACTGTTCTTAAACTTTTACTCTGGGAGGGCACCAAGGAGAGCTGTAGTGGTTATTGTGCCTGGATTGTTTCTTTAAATAATCTATGAGTGCCCCTCCCGAGATAAGATTCTGGATCTGACAGAAACTGCTCTCTGTCTCTACTACAGCCAACAGAGAGCAAGAGGCTCCATGAAATCTTCTAAGCTAAGTTCGCTTAACCCCTTAAGGACACATAACATGTGTGACGTCATGATTCCCTTTTATTCCAGTATTTTGGTCCTATAAGGGGTTAAAGGACCACTATAGTGCCAGGAGGATGCCCCGCCGGGCTCTAGGAGGTGGAAGGGGTTAAACTTACCTCTTTCTCCAGCACCGGGCGGGGAACTCTCCTCCTCCTTGGCTGAATGCGCATACGCTGGCGTCTTCTCACTGTGAAAATCACAGTGAGAAGCGCGGAAGTGCCTCTAGCGGCTGTCAATGAGACAGCCACTAGAGGCTGGATTAACCCATAGGTAAACATAGCAGTTTCTCTGAAACTGCTATGTTTATAGAAAAAAGGGTTAATCCTAGCTGGACCTGGCACCCAGACCACTTCATGAAGCTGAAGTGGTCTGGGTGCCTATAGTGGTCCTTTAAGGTGCAAATGGAGGCGCTTGTGCTTTACATGTGGTCATTTGTAAATGCATACCTCCCAACATGTCAAATGGACAGAGAGGGACACTCTAGGTTTAGGGGTGGGAGTGTGGTCAGGGTGGAGCTGTTCTGAGATATTTTAGGAAATGTACTAATATTTGTAACAAATATGTAATTTAAAACAAGCACAATATATCTTATTTACACAGACTGATTTCTGAACACATTTATTGTAATTTAAAGACACATTACTAGGAATATTATAGTTGTGGAGCTCTGTTGTACACTCTGACACCCCAATAATATAGAGCTCCCAGAAAAGGGCATTATGATAGAAAAGATGGAGAGGGGGATTTTTGGGCACACATTAGGGAATGTCTCTCTGATAAAGGGACACTTGGGAGGTGTGTGGATGTGCTGCATAAGTGTGAGTTTCCCACAAAAATGTATTTTTTTATTTTTTTTCAATTTGACAATTTTTATTTTCCAATAAAATGAGTATATGGGATACAGAAGAGAGATGGGGGGTGGGGGGGTATGGCAGTACATCACATGTTTCCATCATATAGTGTACATCATAACCGTTGTTACATGGTATAGTACATTCCAATAACATTTTATCCATAGTGTTAGACCTGGGCTTGCTCTCTATCGATGGGTTCAAGACCCGTCTTGCACTTAGCCCCTGTATGCGTACCATTATGATCTTTGATCAAATGTCACTAACTATTTGTATCGAGTATGGAATCTACTTCCCAACCTGGGTTCTCTCCGGGTTTTCAAACTTCTAATCTCTTGTACCTCTCCTCTAGTATCCCGGTGGGGAAAGGGTTGTACAAACTGGTGGGATGGGAGGGTGGGGGGGGGGGAGTTTGGCGAGATCCACGTGTCCCTTCTCCTACCGGTTCTGTTTCCTTATAGAGTCGGTATGATCTGCTCAGGACTCTTGGTCTATTAGATGTTCTCTGTCTGTCTTCTCTGCCCTCTCTGGTCCATATCCCATGGGCTCTCTCTCGTACTCCCGGGGGTGTATCCCTTTGTCTCACAGGGTCCCCTTCGGGGGGACGACTCCCTGGTTTTGGGACTATTCGCTATCCTCCTGTTCTTTGGGGGCATATGTGGCTTCCCATCTAACTTGTGCTTCCTCAAATTTTGGGCTGTTGCTGTAGGTTTTCCTCGCTACCTTTTCGTAGTGTAAGTTATTGGAGATTTGCTTTAACAGGGCACTTTTTGTCGGTACCGTTGTGGTTTTCCATTCTCTAGCTATGAGCGTCAGGGCTGCTATCAGTATGTGGAAGACCAGTATTGCCCCAGTTCCCTGAAACTGGTCTAAGTTCATAAATAGGGGGCCCAATTCCAGGGTCAGTGTAATGTTGGTGTCTACCGTCTCTTTAGTTATGCCCTCTACCATCTCCCAATAGGGACGGATCGTCCCGCACATCCACCATATGTGGTACATCGTGCCCTCCGTCGCCCCACATCTCCAGCACTGCGCTGATGTTCCCTGGTATATTTTTGCCAGTCTGGTTGGCACCATATACCATCTATAATACACTTTCCTCATTAATTCTAGGTGTGATGTGCACAATGTCTTCCCCTTGTGTGCCGTTACAGCTTTCTCCCATTGGGTTTTATCAAATTGTTTCCCCAGATCCAGCTGCCACGCCTCGCTGAATCTGTCTAGATGTACTGGGGTACCCACATTCAGAAGCGAGTAACACATAGAGATAGTCCCTTTCCTCTGCTTTTGGTTAATGCACGTACTCTCTAACCCCGTGATCGTGCCTACCCCTTGTTCTATGGGTCTTTGGGCCCCTAGCATTGATTTAAGTTGGAGATATGGGAATATCAGTTTAGAGGGTAGTTTAAATTTTTCTTGGAGGGCGGGGAATGGTTTTGGGTTGTTCCCTTCTAGGAGATCTTACATGTGTGCATCCTCTAAAAATGTATTTTAAAGTAATGTTGGGCATGCTCAGTGATGAGTTTTACAGCATTACTAGCATGCAAAGCAGTCTTGGAATACTTGTAATACTAAACTGATGTACAACTTGCATGCTTGTAAAAACTCTGTGCATTGTTAAATTACATTCCTTGTCTTCATTTGAATTTTGGTAATGCTGTAAAGAAATCAAACAGTAGAACGTCATCCTAAATCTGTTTTGGGACTGGAATTTGGCCAGATGTAGTAGGAGCCCATAAGTTTGGCAGAAACATCATGTGGGCTATCTGTTAAAGAGCAACCGTGGAGCAATCACTATGAAATAGTTCTGCAGATTGCTCCACTATTACAACTTGTCTTCACATCGGCCCTATATAAATACCCTATTGCATTCAATCCTGAGTTTAGAATCCAAGAGTAATCCAGAATGTCATGATATACCTTCTTAAACACTGCTCAATTAAACAGAACCTCGGACATTTTTGCATGGGGAGGTGGAGATCTTTAAATCCTGGCCTGTTAATGTTTGACTTTCTCTATAAATGTTCTTTTGTTCATTTTTCAATATTTCCACCCCTATCACAATGGGATTACAGCTAGTAAATTGTTTCAAGAACAGTAGGTATTGATTTTAGAGAAAATTTAATATTAATAAAAATATTAAACTAATCAATGTGAATTTTTGCTTTTTCTGTTTGTAGTGCAATGGATTCCTTGTCACCAGTGAAAGAGCATAAGGTCAATACACAGGAGAACACAGCACCTTTTTATAAATAGAATGATATAAGGGTTTAGCTCACTGTACCTGTCAAATCCTGCACAAATTAGGATTAAATAAAAAGCTTTACATTTCTTCTTTGCAGTGTGCTTGCAGAAATGCTAGCAGATTGGTAGACAAGGGATCATATTTTTAAAGAGCAATACATTAAAATCTATATGTCTACTTGCCGATCAATCATTGGCTTTACACCGGTGTAGTAGTGGCAGTTCTTCTCCTCCCTGTCACTATGTTACTGATACCGCCAGTATGTTTCCTTGCCCTTTGGACTGCTACAGGATGTTCATAAACGTTCTTGGTATCCTGATGGCTCAAGAGTGTACTGTTGCGTTTTAAATGGATGGCATCTTGGTCCAAGAGCCTCTTATGACTTGGTGGTCTGGCATTCTTGCCTGCTATTGTACCTCTTGGTCAATCAATGGTAGTTTATCAGTAGATTGCTGTTGCCTCATATGCAGTTTTAGTTGTTGGGGTTGCTTCTGAATTCCCTGGAAATTAAACTGTTCTTTGTGGCTGGAGAATATTTGCATCTTGCTCTTGACAGCCTCAAGTGGTGGAATTCCCATATGTTGTTGACCCAGAAGTGTACCTGGTGAGGGATGCCAGCTTGACTGGTTAGGAGGCTGAGACTTACAAAGAAGTCCGACTTGGTCTCCTCAGGAAGCAAGGCTTTCAGTCAATTTTCCCAAGCTCAGTGTGATTTACGTAGCTCTCCTGGCTGGAACTTCATCTGGAAGTTTGTCAGACAACATCATGGAGGTTGTCTATGTCAGAGGCCTCAAATATCATGGACAATCATGGTAACGGCCATAAGCCAGTAATGTGATACAGTCAGTGATACCCATTTTCGGTGTACAAAACTACCACAGTCAACAGGTCGTTCACACTGGATGTTTCCATCCACATAGCTTCTTATTTTTTTGTTCAGTGCACAGTGGTTTAAAGGGACACTATAGTCACCTGAACAACTTTAGCTTAATGGAGCAGTTTTGGTGTAAAGAACATGCCCCTGCAGCCTCACTGCTCAATCCTCTGCCATTTAGGAGTTAAATCCCTTTGTTTATGAACTCTAGTCACACCTCCCTGCATGTGACTTGCACAGCCTTCCATAAACACTTCCTGTAAAGAGAGCCCTATTTAGGCTTTCTGTATTGCAAGTTCTGTTTAATTAAGATTTTCTTATCCCCTGCTATGTTAATAGCTTGCTAGACCCTGCAAGAGCCTCCTGCATGTGATTAAAGTTCAATTTAGAGATTGAGATACAATTATTTAAGGTAAATTACATCTGTTTGAAAGTGAAACCAGTTTTTTTTTCATGCAGGCTCTGTCAATCATAGCCAGGGGAGGTGTGGCTAGGGCTGCATAAACAGAAACAAAGTGATTTAACTCCTAAATGACAGTGAATTGAGCAGTGAAATTGCAGGGGAATGATCTATACACTAAAACTGCTTTATTTAGCTAAAGTAATTTAGGTGACTATAGTGTTCCTTTAACCAAGATAGACCTAATGGGCTCTTTAATGCTCAACTCCTATTCTATTGCACCAGAAGCTGAGACCTGAGGGCTATCCTGCTAGATGCAGTGATGGTTCCTTGCAATGCCTTTGTTACTTTACTCCCTTGCAGAGACTGCTCATTGAGCTGCACTGGGAAGTCTGTTATTGGACAACCACAGAAAGCCTGGGAGGGGTTAGGAGGGCAATGCAAGTGAACTGCAGGTATTGCAAGCTGATTTAGATATACCACCTGTGAAATTAAATGAATGTATGTTTTATTAAGATTATATCTTCCAAAAAAGATTTATTTTTTTTGGACCGTGAAGTATCTTTTTTAAAGGACCACTATAGTGCCAGGAAAACAAACTCGTTTTCCTGGCACTATAGTACCCTGAGGGTGCCCCCACTCTCAGGGTCCCACTCCCGTGGCGCTGAAGGGGGAAGAAGGGGTTAATCCCTTACCTTTTTTCCAGCGCCGGGCTCCATCGGCGCTGGGACTCTCCTCCCTCTTCTTCAGTCATCGGCTGAATGCGCATGCGCGGATTCTCAATGCTTTCCTATGGACACTGGCGTCTTCTTACTGTGAAAATCACAGAAGCGCGGAAGCGCCTCTAGCGGCTGTCAATGAGACAGCCACTAGAGGCTGGATTAACCCATAGGTGAACATAGCAGTTTCTCTGAAACTGCTATGTTTACCTCGAAAAAGGGTTAAAGTTAGCTGGACCTGGCACCCAGACCACTTCATTAAGCTGAAGTGGTCTGGGTGCCTATAGTGGTCCTTTAACCCCTTAAGGACCAAACTTCTGGAATAAAAGGGAATCATGACATGTCACGCATGTCATGTGTCCTTAAGGGGTTAAAAGGACACTAGTCACAAGAACAACTACAGCTTAATGTAGTTCTGGTGAGTATAGTATGTCCCTGCAGGAATTTTGCTGTAAACACTGTCTTTTCAGAGAAAAGGAGCGTTTGCATTTACATTGCTGCCTAGGGTGCTGATGTTTAGACTCTCCACGCTCTGCATGGAGACCCTGAACTTGCCCTGTAGAGATGCATTTATTTAATGCATCTCTGAGAAGATGCTGATTGGGCAGCCGAATATTTGACTCAGCCACCCACCACCTTGGCTGAGATAATCCGAATTTCTTATGGAAAAGCATTGGACTGGCTGAGATGTTCAATTCTGATGTCAGCCAAGGAGTAAGTTTTAACACTATTTAAGGGAGGTAAGGGGAGACTGGGTGCCTGAATAGTGTTTTTAACACTATAGAGTCAGGAATCCACATTTGTGTTCCTGACTCTATAGTTCAAACTCAAGGAAAAAATAACACATTTTGGAAATTTCCATCTAGTCGCATCTTGGGTATTTTCAATTCACGGTTTAGTGAATACATCTGCTTGTACTATATGCATTTAGCCACAATGAGTTTTAATTACAAAATCATGAATTAATTGAAATTGGCTTGTGAATTGTAAACTTTAGGCTGAAATACATGAGCGGGAAAAGTAGCTGATTTGGAGTTTCGTTCCAGTGTCATGTGAGAGCTGTGGGTTTCACAGATGTGTCCGCATAGGAGCTGATAAGAATGGTTGTTTTTTTTTTATTTTATTTTTTTATTAGGATGGCTTTCAAATACTCATTGCTGCTTTTAGTGATGGCTCAGCCCAAAACAGTCAGTTTCAATTTGTCTGCATTTGGTTAAATCCGAAGTAAACATTTAATTTAGTTTTAAGCTCAGCATAACTAGTTATTAGTTTTAATAATTCACATACAGGTTATTTTAAGGTTGTTTTTTTTTATTTTTAAATGTATTTTTACTTTTCTCTCTCTGCGGTTTGCTTGTGTTTTTTTTAGATCTCAATAAGTTTTGTTAAAGAGACACCCAGGAAGGAGTTGATCTCCTGTCTTTGTACTGCATTAAAAGATGCAAACATTTAAAGGGTTACTCCAAAAACCATGACCACTTCAGTGATGTGTTTTAAATCTGTTTTATTGGTTCATTCAATAAGCGGTCATCCCACGCAGGGGAGGTAAGCAAATCATAGTTAACATATGTCAAAGGCATTAACCATCAAGCATAGTATGGATCAAATTCAAAACAGTCGGTGCCTGGTAGGGCGGAAAAGTTTAAGTATATAAACATATGTTACGTATATTTAACGATATTGATTCTATGAATTATCTGCTAACATGAGGCATTATCTAAATATTCAAATAAAGTATACAGCAGTATGTTGAGCTTGAATTACTCTTGCCCTCTGGCCTAATAGTTTGGCACATGTTGTGAGAGTTGCGATGTTGGATAAGCGGTCATCCCACGCAGGGGAGGTAAGCAAATCTTATCTAACAGATGTCAGAGGCATTTACCATCAAGCATAGTATGAATCAAATTCAAACAGTCGGTGCCTGGTAGGGTGGAAAAGTTTAGGTATATAAGCATATGTTACGTATATTTAACGGTATTGATTCTATGGATTATCTGCTAATATGAAACCTTATCTAAATATTCAGGTAAAGTATACAGCAGTATGGTGAACTTGAATTACTTTTACCCTCTGGCCTAACAGTTTGGCTCATGTTGTGAGAGTTGTAATGTTGGATCAGCAGTCATCCCACGCAGGGGAGGTAAGCACATCATATTTAACGTATATCAGAGGCATTTACCATCAAGCATAATATGGAACAAATTCGCACAGTCTGTGCCTGGTAGGGCGAAAAAATTTAAGTATATAAGCATATGTTACGTGTATTTAATGGTATTGATTCTAAACTGCAAGTACTGAGCCAATGCTACACACCAGGCTGACTTCACTTGAATGTTAAGCTTCGTGGTCATTTACCTTATAACAGCGGTTTATGCGTCTTATGCACCTATTCGGCTCCCGCGGTGGCTGAGCATGATCCCACGCTGCTGCATGAGGCCGACACAGCTAGCGTGACATGACGGTCAGACCGCGTAAGTCGATTTAATAAAACTGAGGTGGGTGCAGTTTGACCGCGTCTAGCCAGGCCTGAGCCTGTTGGTCTGCTGCAATCTATGTATGTTACCACTTATTTAAATTATGCCTATCTGGGCAGAAAATAAAGTGTGCTCCTGGATTAATCGTATATGTAGAGAAGATATGCCGCTGTCCATTGGTAAGCTAGTATGGTTACCAAGGTATACCGCAGCACCTTGGGTGTATCAGTTTGGTACTTAATTCAACTGCGTCTAGGTAGGCCTAAACCTGTGTAACTAGCAAGCTAACAAAAGGTATATAGTAGTGCTGTCTAACGCATTGTCATAGCTGCGTATTGTTGTTTTAAGCTCTCACAGCAGATATGATATTTTGGTCAGGCAGTGTGCGGTCGCAGCTATTGGCGTTGTATCAGCGCCTAGTAAATTATAAACTATGTATGCAATAAAGATGGGTGCATAAAATATAAAAATGATGACATTAAGAGACTAATACTGGTCTTGGAAGAAGTCTGATGAGGGCCTCACTCGGCAGAGCTGCAGTACGTCTCTTAGGTCGCCAAGCCTCCAGCCGCCCTCCCCAGACCGGCTCCCGCCCACTGTCAGAGCCCCCCGTGGCGCTGTGGGCACTCAGGAGTAGAAGCTGTCCACTTGACCCCCACACCTTGAGTCCGCGGGCAGTCCACTCCCTGCACCTCCCCATCACCACCCAGAACTCAGTGAAACGAGTGCCCCCATGTCTCTCCCGGTGCCGGCCACATACTTGGGACCGGCTCACACTCCTCCCGGCCACCGGTCCGCCGGGCGGACTGCGAAGACCTGCCCCACAGGGCTCTCAGCATCAGGGACAATGCTTTCCGGGGACCCCCGACCCAGTAGCAAGGGCACCCACCTCTCCAGCGGGCGGGCAGTCAGTGCGGGGGACCCAGCTGGCGGTCAGTAGTGCCAAAGTCCTCACGAGCCGTCCTGATCCGCTCCTCTTGGTGAGTATTTATCATTCTTACTCCATCTTTGGTCATTCAAAGGTGCATTTTAGCTAGTCCTGGAAAAGGAGGCGAGGGCAGGACCCCTCTGTTGAGATCTGCTGCCTCCTTGATCCTGCTTGCTGGTGTCAGCATCTGCGAGGAAGTAGGCCCGTGGTATATGCTGGGCCAGAGGTGTAAGCGGTGGATGTCCCCCTGTTCACTACCAATCTTCTCCGCCTCTGGTTCTATCTCCATCTGCGCAGGTCTCCTGGCGGGCTGTTCTCCTGACAGCCTGTGCCAGTGTGGGCGAACGGTTGAGATCCAGCACGGGGCTCCCGTCGTCTGGAGGGCCGTCGCCATGCGGCCGGGATATCCCCCGCCGGCCAAAAAGGGGGGGGAGCGGGGCCGCACCGCCGATAAGCACTGTAAGTGCACTCTCAGTCTCACGCTGCGGGCATCCACAATAGGGTACCCCCGCTTCATCGGTCCCACTCTCATGCTACCTGCATCTAGGCTCCCAGCAGCGTGGAGGCCGGGGATGTCGGTATTTCCCCTTCCCGGATTGCCGTTGGTGACCCGCGGGTATCCCACAGTAGCTGGGGTTATGCTCTCCACCATGCTTGTGAGTATGTCGGCGTTGGGGCACTCTGAACCTGCATTTTTGGCCACTTTCATGTGCTCGGGTCTGGAGCTGAATCTCGTGGCTGCCTGTCGGCCCGGCGGCCCGGCCCCGCCCCCACTTCAGTGATGTGAATTAGACATAATGTTTGGCGTTGGTTTGTGCAGCAAACCAACTGTGACACACTGTGAAAAAGGTAACATAATATTAAAAGTGAGAGGTGGTTAAAAAAACCTGGGTTAATTGTTTCAGTGCCAGGTTATGACCTGACATTTTTTTTTTTTTAGGATACCAAAGGTATCGTTTATTATACCAAGAGGTGAGTAAAATAGAACTTTTAGTTTGAAATTCTTTACAAACATAGTTAGACATTTGCTGCGAAATGTGTTACTCTAGGTAGGCTAATGACGCTGCAAGAGGTAAAGTTAAATCTGTGCATATTTGGCGTCTGTTGTCCGCATGCATAGCATACTCCGTGCTGACCAAATCCTCCCCTCAGCCTGTCCTCCAGGTTGTCCCTCTGCCTCCTGTAAAGGGGATGATGTCACGGGAGGATTAGGCTGCCAGGAGAACGTGGTCTTGATGCTGGATCGAAGAGAAAAATGTATGCTTTTATTCTTTTTGTATTCCCTTTAGGAGAGGGAAAAACCATGCCAGTAAGTGTTAAACTGACCAAGTGTTTTTTGTTTCTCATTATGTGGGTTTTCCCAGGAAACTGTAATGCTTTTTCTGAGGTCCATGTAAGTAGGTTTATTCACTGAATAGTACTAAAAAGTAGCTGTCACTAGTAAGATTTCTGCACAAATAGTCAAAAAATTATTTTTATGGTTTTCATGATGAGGCAATGTCTGAAGAATGTGTAAAATTTTTATTTTTATTTTTTATCTGCTCAATTGTTGTCAAACTTGAATGACAATGAAATCTGAGATGCACTAGTGGAATTTACAGTTTAAATTATAAATTGTGACTCTTAAACTGTTCTGATTTCACCAACATGCCCAAAAAATTATTTAAAAAAATCTGTTATCAAATATATAACCTAATAGTTGACAAAACCAGACTGCTGCTTAACTGAACAAAGTTTATGCAGACATGCTAAACACTGACTTTGAAAATATTGGACTTGCTAAGATTGGCCAACAAATATCAGCTACTTCCTAGTTTGAGCAGAGCATATTTCATTTCTTTCTACAAGCCGTTTTAATACACAGTTCTAATTAGTACGGTTTGTGTCTGAAACCCTTCAATTTGTATACAGAGAATCTGACAGTAGCAATATTTTCACATTGATGTACAATATGAATCTATTGCTCTGGGGCGTATTCAGGCACATTGAGCAGGTTTAGTAGACCCCATCCCCAATAAAAGCAGTGTGGATCACATCTGACCTGCATGACACACTGTGAAAAAGGTAATAGAATATCATAATATAAGTGAGTGGTGTTGTGGTTAAAAACCCAGGTTAACTTTTTCAGTGCCAGATTGTGACCTGACCTTTTTATATGCGATGGAATGGGACTAGTGTGTGATTAAAGATAAAAAATGCCAAAGATATAGTTTATTATTCCACGAGGTGAGAAACAAAGAACGTTTAACTTTGTTTATCATAGTGATTGTGTGAGTGTGACGCATACAAAGATATAAGATCACCCAGAGTGTTTTTAAGTCCAGTACGAACACATTTTCTTTTATTGTAAAATGTTGTAATAAGGAAATAAATGCTGTAAGTCATAGGATATGTCATCATTTTCAAAGAACATGAAGGGCAAAATGATGTGTAATGCCAGAACACAATATATTCAAGTAAGCTCTGTTTTTGTAGTTCAGTATACAGTAGTCCGGTTGCCTTTAATGTGAGTGTTAAGATTTACAGCTGGATTTTAAACCTCACATGCACACTTTAGAGGTCATTCTTTCCTACCCACCCCGGTAATCATTATATATAATACCTAATAAGTATTCTGTCCACAGAAACATGATGCATTTGGCAAATATGGCACAGTCTGAGTAAACTTGTTGCGCTGTTGTACATTTGTAAAATATGTGTGCCAATCAAATGCTAACATGTTTGGTACAATTGATTTAAAAAAAAAAAAAAAGTTGCCTTAAATTTTTTTTTTTTGTGTGTAATCCCTGTCAATGCTTACATAGACTCCTGTCTGCTGATGGAATTTTGAGAGCTATGCATATGGTCTGTTACAAATACAATTAAACACCATAACCACTACAGTCCATTTTACTGGTTATGATGTCAGAAGTGCCCATTGGAAGTAGCCAAATTGTTTGAAAACATACTTGTGCAGGACACCGGCCGCCTCCTTCCTGTGTCCTCAGCCAAAACTCTCAGCCATCAGGGATACTATAGTCACCCAGACCCCTTCAGCTCAGTGGTCTGGGTGCAATGTCCCTCAGGTTTTAACTCCTTTAGGACCGGGCTGTTTTTGCGATGTTGTACATTTGCGACCAGGCATATTTTTACACTCTTGTGTTTTTTTTGTGTTTAGCTGTAATTTTCCGCTCTGTTACTGTTCCCATACAAATTATATATTGTTTTTTTCAGGACAAAAGGGGATTTCTTTACATACCATTATTTATATAATCTCATGTAATTTAATTTAAAAACAATAAAAAAATATGAAACATTGAAAAAAATGTGTTTTGACTTTTACTTGAAAAATCTTTTACTCCTCTACAAAAGCGAATGAAAAAAAACTGCTAAATAGATTCAAAATGTTGTCCTGAGTTTAAAAATACCCAATGTTTACGTGCTTTTTTTTTGTTGCAAGTTATAGGGCTATAGGTACAAGTAGGATATTGCGGTTTCAAAACATACATTTTTAAAATATATCAATAGTGACATTGTAACACTATTATCTGTCATAAATCTCTGAATAACACTCCACATATATTTTTTAAAGTAGACAACCCAGGGTATTCAATATGGGCTATGTCCAGTCTTTTTTAGTAGCCACTTAGTCGAAAACACTGGCCAAAGTTAGCATTCATATTTGTTTGTGTGTGAAAAAAGTAAAAAACTAAATTGAATGCTAATTTTGGCCAGTGTTTGTGACTAAGTGGTTACTAAAAAAGACTGGACATACCCCATTTGCAATACCTTGGGTTGTCTTCTTTTGCAAATGGTATGCCATCATGGGGGTAATTCTCATTCCTGGGCTACCATACGCTCTCTAAGGCAACATAACCAACCTGGCCATTTCCAATGTAAAAATATTTGACCATGTAACTTTCAAAAATGCTATAAAACCTGTACATGGGGGGTACTGTTATACTTAGGAGACTTTGCTGAACACACATATTAGTGTTTCAAAACTGGAAAACGTATCACAACAAATATATCATCAGTAAAAGTGCTGTTTGTGTGTGAAAAATGCAAAAAAAGTCACTTTCACTGACAATATCATCGCTGTGATATGTTTTACTGTTTTGAATAACTAATATTTGTGTTCAGCGAAGTCTCCCGAGTAAAACAGTACCCCCCATGTACAGGCTTTAGGGTGTCGTAGAACGTTACAGGGTAAAATACAGTGCTAGCAAATTAAATTCTCTGGACTTTCGGCCTGGGTTGGCAGGCAGATCCCTCAAATTGCAATCAATAAAATTACTTAATTATGTAAAAATATTACATAAATATGCACGTAGAATTTAAATATATATGCATATTTATATATTTGAGGTCTACGTGTATATTTATATAATTATTTATGTAATTTTGTATATGGACATATGTATATTTCGGATTATTTATATTTATATATACATAGATAGATATATATAGATATATACAATTTCATTCTAAGTGTATTTTGATATAAATATATATAATCAAAATACAGTTAGAATAAAATTTCATAGATATATAATTTGTTTAAATTTTTTATTTTTTATTTAAATTACTTATTTATATTTTATAATATGTATACAATATATAGTTATTATATATTATATATACGTGTGTAATTTAATAATTTAATTTTTATATTAATATATGTACATATTAATATAAAAATACACTTAGTATGAATATATATGATTATAACACCCCCATTTATGCATGTTTAGGTGAGTGCAGCAACCCCCCCCCCTTGTGAGATATATATATATATATATATATATATATATATATATATATATATATATATATATATATATATATATATATATATATATATATATATATATAATAAATTTGGGAGTCTAGCCAACTCCTTGGTTATGCACCCCTCCCTGTCACAGGTGCCTCATCCCAGGGCCCTATTTAGCCTTGTACTGCAGAGAGCCCCAGATTGAATTTTTTTTCTCAAGTAAGTGGTTTAATCTCATAAGAGCAGACATTAGGCTGTTAGTGTAGGACCTGCCAAAGATGGGGTACATTGACGTTGTGGCAGGCTTATGCAATGTATGATCATATAATGTAACTAAACCCCCATTATTTTTGCCTTTTTAAAAAAAACTAATAAAATCTTTCAACATTGAAGTTGCTGTTTAGTGGATAGGTGAGTGCGCTGGATCTATATATATATATAATTTTTTTTTAAATTAACATTAACTTTTAATTTTTTTATGATTTTACAGTTGCAGGGAGACTGCCTGCCAGCGCAGGCAGAGACATGGACACCTATTGTGACCATGTGATTGCTGTGTTGAGCGATCACATGGCCACAGGGGTCCTAATCCAGTGTGGGGAGACTGTCTGGGCTGCGGGCAGTCTCCCCACACCGGGAGCAACACTGATCGCCGCCGTCGTTCAGGTAAGTAACTAAAACCGTTAGGACGGTTCAGGACCGTCAGCGGTCGGCAAGGCAAAAATGCAGATGACGGTCCTGAACCGTCCGCGGTCCTTAAGGGGTTAACCCTTCAGATGCAAACATAGCAGTTTCAGAGAAACTGCTATGTTTACATTTGGGGTTTAGCCAGCCACTAGAGGCGCTTCTGTGATTGCTGGAGGCATATTATGCCTCCATCGCGCAGAGCGTCCATAGGAAAGCATTTAAAAATGCATGCGCATTCGGCTCCGCTGATGTCGGCAGAGGGAGCTGACGTCGGTGGGGGAGGAGAGGTCACCAGCGCCGAGGGAGCCTGGCGCTGGAATAAGGTAAGCTGCTGAAGGGGTTTTAAACCCTTCAGCGCCACGGGTTGGGCACCCTCAGGGCACTATAGTGTCAGGAAAACCGCTTTGCTTTCCTGACACTATAGTGATCCTTTAACCTGGCCTTGCACTGTGGGGCTTAGCTCAGGGGAGCTAATGGAAACTTCCTAAAGGGTCTTCCAGGCTTGAGAAGAGGTGACCAGCTTCAGGTAAATGGTTTGATTACTTACCTTGGAAGGGTGCTAGGGCCATACAAGTAGTGTAACCACTAGTGCAGGTTGTAGAGGTTATGGTGATTGTAGTGCTCGTTTTAAGATTCATTTGTAAAGCACCAACAGACTGCAACGTACAAGACCACATATTTGTCATGACCAAGAGCTTGCCTACACTAAAGGCATAAAGTACTGAATTCAGGTTCCATGGAGATTGTCACTTTAGTATTTGTGGAATGCAATGCGCGTTACTTAAGTTATAGCTCAATGTCCTATTCTTGAATTACTGTATGTACAAACAGAATATTCCATTTAACAGTATTAAAAATTGACTCAAAATTATAGTTTGGTTTACGCGTTCTTTTTAAAATGTCTGATTACTGCATGTACCTTTAAACCATGCAATGTTGTGAAGTGTTAAAAGCCCGAAGGATACCAGTGGTTAAATAAACACAGGGCTGTGAAATATCCCCGTACCACTGCCAGGCTCTTAGTTCACTTCTTCACTGAGAGAATGCTTTCAGCACCGTGTATTAGACGTTCTAAATAGAAATAGAATTTCGTTATTTATTCCTGCTTTATTAACTACTCTTCATTTGCTTGTTGTTTTTTAAATTACATTTCTAGCGTTGTTTGTGGGATTTATTTGTGCTTTTGTGGCCTATTCCTACCCCTTCATTTCAGCAGAGAATAAAAGACTCGGATAATATATTCGATGTCTCGTACGGTTTTCTTGTGCCTTGTCTTACATTTAGAGAAGTGATTCACAAGGCGCCAATGCCAGTGTCTTATTTAAAATATTTTTCTTTATTGCAATTTAAATGCTCTAAAAAATATGCGTTATTCGCAGTGGTATACAGAAAGTAGCTGCTAGACAGTGTGCAGACTACCTGAAGATAAGCCTGACAGTGCCTCCCTCTTTAAAACGCAAATTGTAGGTTTAACCCCTTAAGGACCGGTAAGAGTCTATTCTATCAGAAAATCTGTTTTTCAAGGATACTATACCTAGAACAGAAAGTCCATTAAAGTAATAACTTCTCCCATACAGTTAATGCTGCTCATAAAGGGGCACTCAAAGCATCTCAACGCTAAGCAGGCTGTAGTAGTTATGGTGTTAGGAGGTTTATAGGTACTAGGTTGTGACGATGGCAAAGTGTAACCTTTGGCCTTTAAGGGATTCATGTTGTAGGTAGAGTTGGCAAATGGGTTAGGAAAATTCAGTAAAACAGTCCTGGCAAGTCGTCAATCATGAAGGGTTTAGATTATACATCTGTTATCTAGACTGTAATACAAATCTGAAATGTTATGTAACTTTTTTTTTTATATATTGATGAAAGTACAATTAATATTTGAATCTACTGACTTTATATGGAGCCTTCAGTGAACTGCGACCCATCAAGGATTTGTATTTCTGGACTTGGAGAAGTCTGGGATTTAATGAATGAGTCCTGAGATTTTAATCTGCCCCGCAAACTGAAAATGACAAAGCTGATCTGAGTGTGATACATTCCACTTATGTTACAATTGGCATGCTCATTGCACTATTGTACCGTTATAAAAAGCTGCACAGGTCGATACTGCACACTAAAAGATGACACTTGTGGATGGGTGAGGACCAGGTAGGATCCAAGATATCTCATTCCGCAGGGTTTACTAAAGGCTGAGATATAGCAAGGTGTTACAAAAAGCTGCTTTTATGGAACCCAGTCCACAGACAAGACACATTCTTTCAAGTTGCAGGAAGGAATACAATGCATATTATAAGATGCAATGTGCTTTTACAGAACTTTGGAAGAGATGTATTTTTCCCTGTGAGCATCGATTCCTCTTTGGCTTTTAGAAAAAACAAAAACCATGAGAAAATGTATAGTGTTTTGCATGATGTGTTTTGCAAATTAGCTGGAAAACGTTTTATTGTTGGGCAATCACAGTTGTCTAAATACATAGATCAGAAAAGGTTCACACGTGGGCTGGTTATTATTTTCAGTATTGTAAAATAGAACATTAAAAAAAGGAAGTGGCTGCGGTATGTCAGAAATTCTAAGATTGTTTAAAAGACTTTGCTTTTATCAACTTGTTTTATTCTTCTATCTTACCAGTTTATTAAATACCAGTTATTGTTTGATTCAGACCAGGTATGGCAGTTGTGAGTGTAGAACATGAATTGGGGTGCCTATTAAAGGCACATATAAAATTACAAATAAATGTGTTTGGGGAGTCTCACAGACCCACTTTAATTCAGCAAAAACTGCAAATTAAAGAGTAAAAATCCCCCAGTCAATAGAATGCTTCTCACAGAGATCACTGCATGGCAATTGCAACGCTGCATCTTCTATGCTTCTTATCGAGAACTAGTGAATCTGATGCTTCTGTATGAGAAGCATATCCTTCTGCTTTATGCTGGGGCACAAAGTTATCAAGAAGAGCACTTTTCCGACTGTCTGACATCAGTCAGCTTGCACACAGACACTTTATTAAAATCTGCACTGTTAAGCCCTCAATCACTTCAGCAAACTGTAGTGTTTTAGATGTTTGTGTTATTTTTAAAAGCATCATAGAATTTTCTTGTGGGGAACATTTAACTATATGAGTCAGCCGATAAGCAGTTTGGTGTTTCAATACCGTTCACTATTCTCTGTTGGGTAGAATGTCTCTTAATGTATACAGAAATTAGGATGGATTTTTATTTTTGAGGGGGGAAGTCTTTGTGGTGTAGATGCAAAGCTGATGATGTAAGAGTGAAGGCAGCATCAGTGAGTTTCGCAGTTGTCCCAAGTATTTTGCCAGTAAGGGTGTATTGGGGCAGTCCCACCAAACGTTTTCTCTCCAGCCAGTGTGCAGGACAGAATGATAGAATGTATGTCTGCATTCTCTGCCATCTGAATATGCAGACCGATATTGGCTTGCACTTCTGCTTTTTCTCTCTCATCTGTCAAATGAGTAATTTGGGGGCAAATCTTTTGTATTGCTAAAGTACTGAAACTGTTATATTAAACTATTGAACCAATAAACCATTCTGAAAATTTTTCTCAAAATGCACTTGAGAATGGAATTGAAACATGCAGAAAAAAGCAAGGACCTGTTATAAATAGCTTAACCCCTTAAGGACACATTACGTGTGACTAGTGATGTCCCTAACGGTTCACCACGGACTCATCATTGAGTAAACTTTGACCCTGTACCTCACAGTCAGCAGACACATTCCAGCCAATCAGCAGCAGACCCTCCCACCTCCTGGACAGCATCCATTTTGAAGCTGCATTCTTAGTGAGCTATCTGGAAGGGAGGGTCTGCTGCTGATTGGCTAGAATGTGTCTGCTGACTGTGAGGTACAGGGTCAAAGTTTACTCAATGATTGTCAGGGAGCCGCGGGCGGCGAGGAGGGGAGGCTGCACGCCACTTGCAGCACTCACACTCAGTCCATCGCCGCCCGCGGTCTCCTCTCTGCTTACCTGTCGGCGAGCGGCGTCTCCTCTGTGCCGCTCGCCGCCAGCGTCCTCCACGCCCCCCAGCGGCAGCATGTATAACGCTGCACGCTGGGAGGTCCAGGAGTTAAGTAAACGCCGGGGTCACATGAGTCCGGTACGGCACCTTTTCTGTGTGTGTGTGTGTGTGTGTCAGCGTGTTAGGTTCCCCGAATCGTGACATTACAACAGGGCCACCATGGAACCTGCTGACATTCCACAGCTGTTAGTTAATCAGGAGGCTAGAATGGACGGTTTAGACCACCGTATGGATCAGTTTGCCCAGGCTTTACAAACCATACTGGCTCGTACTGCCCACTTGCAACCTGCCGTCCAAGAAGCTGTTGCTGCTGTGCCAGAACCCATTCCTGATCCAGTACCCGCTCCTGCTCACGTGGTTCACATGACTCCACCTCAGCGCTATAGCGGTGCTCCAGCATTGTGCCGTGGTTTCCTCAACCAAATTGATATTCATTTGGTGATGAATCCTCGTTCCTACCCCACTGACAGAACCAAAATTGCTTTTTTGATTAACCATTTGTCCGGGAAAGCACTAGCATGGGCTAATCTCATGTGGGAGAATACGTCCCCAATGTCATTTTCAGACTTCTTAACAGCTTTTAAACGTACGTTTGACCAACCCGGCCGGGTTGCTTCTGCTGGCAAAGCTCTGCTTAGGGTTCGACAGGGTAATAGATCAGTAGCGGATTATACCATTGAATTCCGTACTTTGGCAGCTGAAGTGGTCTGGAATAACGACGCTCTCGTAACAGCTTTTCAGGAGGGTTTGGCTGCTTACATATTAGATGAGATAGATCATCCAGAAGAACAGGCATTTCCCTGGATGCTAATAGATTATGTCATTCTAATTGACAACCGTATCAGAGAGAGGCGTAGTCAAAGGAGGATGAATACACAGGGGTTGCCTGCTTTACCCAGTATTGCATTGCTAGCATTACCTCCCCCTAATCAACCAACTCCCGAACCCATGCAATTAGGTGCTGTAGGCTTATCTGAAGCTGAAAGAACGTACCGCAGAAGGGAGGGTTTGTGCCTTTATTGTGGTAAGAGGGGGCATCTCCGAAGAAACTGTCCTAGTTTGCAGGGAAACTCCAGCACCTAAGGCCTAGAGAGGGGTCGGCCTCGGGTGTTATGGTTTTTTCCCCTCATATGTCCATCTCTAGACCATTTATAACGGTTTCTCTTTTGGTCAATAAAACCACGATAACAACTAAAGCCTTGATCGATTCAGGTGCTGCAGACAGTTTTATGGATGAGAACTTTGCTAAAACCGCAGCCATGAATCTGATCCAAAAGGCCACACCCTTGGCCATTGAGGCCATAGATGGTAGACCACTTAAGAAACCTCTGGTGACCCATGAAACCCAAGAAATGGTTATGGTCGTGGGTGCCTTACACAAAGAAAGCATAGCCTTCCAAATATTTGACTCCCTTACAGCTTCCATCATTCTGGGTTTTCCCTGGTTAGTGAAGCATAACCCAGTACTCGATTGGGATTCTCTAGATATACTATCCTGGGGGGTATCTTGTCAACAGGATTGTATGGCCCGTTTACATCCCGTTTGTTTAATTAATGTGCCTACAGCTAAACCACTTTCTGTTTCTGTCCCTCCTGTGTATGCAGACCTCGCATTGGTCTTTGAAAAGAGGGAAGCTGATAAACTACCCCCACACCGGGATTATGATTGTGCCATAAATTTGTTACCTGGAACGATGCCTCCTAGGGGTAAGGTCTACCCGCTTTCTGAGAAAGAAAACCAGGTCATGGAGGAGTACATACAGGAATCCTTACGTAAAGGTTTTATCAGAAGGTCCTCCTCTCCTGCTGGTGCTGGTTTCTTTTTTGTTGCCAAGAAGGAGGGCGATTTGAGACCATGTATAGATTATAGGGGTCTGAATAATATAACAATTAAAAATGCTTATCCTATCCCTCTCATTACTGAGTTGTTTGACAGTGTTAAAGGTTCTAGATATTTTACTAAACTAGACCTCAGGGGGGCTTACAACTTGGTTCGGATAAAAGAAAACGATGAATGGAAGACAGCGTTCAATACACGCAGTGGGCATTACGAGTATCTAGTCATGCCTTTTGGACTGTGTAATGCTCCTGCTGTCTTTCAGGACTTCATAAATGATGTCCTTAGAGATCTACTGCATGTCTGTGCTGTGGTTTATCTCGATGATATACTCATATTCTCTCCTGATTTGGAGTCACATCATAACCATGTGAGGAAGGTACTTAAGAGATTGCTACAGAACGGTCTTTATTGTAAATTGGAGAAATGTTTATTTGACCAGAAATCAGTACAATTCCTAGGGTACGTCATTTCTGAACAGGGGTTCAGTATGGATCCTTCTAAATTAGAAGCCATATTGTCTTGGCCTCTTCCTCAAGGTCTTAAGGCAATACAGCGATTTATAGGCTTTGCCAATTATTATCGCAGGTTTATTAAAAACATTTCATCGGTCATTTCTCCTATCACGAAACTTACTAAAAAGGGTTTGCACCCCAGGGTTTGGACTCCTGAAGCCGTCAAGGCCTTCGAAACCCTCAAAAAGGCATTTGCCACTGCTCCTGTGCTACACCATCCTGATCCTTCCCTTCCCTTTGTAATGGAAGTAGACGCTTCAGAATCAGGTATAGGAGCTGTATTATCACAAAGATTATCCTATAACGAACCCCTCCATCCCTGTTGTTACTTTTCTAGGAAACTGTCTGATGCGGAAAAGAATTACGACATTGGGAATAGGGAGCTATTGTGATGGCATTTAAAGAGTGGAGATACTTATTAGAAGGAGCTAGACACAAAATCCTGGTTATAACTGATCATAAGAATCTCTCCTATATAGCTGATGCTAAAAGGTTATCCTCTCGTCAAGCCAGATGGTCCTTATTTCTTTCACGTTTTCAGTTCATTATCACATATAGGCCTGGGTACCGTAATGTCAAGGCTGATGCTATCTCCCGACAATACGAATCTTTGGAGTCTATCGCCCCCACTCCTGAACCCATTGTACCCACGTCTAAGATAATAGCTGCTACCCGTTTAGTTATTTCATCTCTTTTCCTTGATGGTATCAAGGAATACCAAACCCAAGCACCCTCTGAGACACCTGTTGGTAGATTATACGTGAAAGAGAAAGATAGAAAGAAACTGTTAGCTTTATTTCACACCGCCAAAACGGCTGGCCACCCAGGGGTTACCAAAACATACAAGGGTCTCCTTCAACAGTTTTGGTGGCCTTCACTTAAGCAAGACGTGGTGGATTATGTACAGGCTTGTCGTGTTTGTGCACAGTGTAAGTCTCCTAATGTCAAACCCCCGGGACTCCTAATGCCTTTATCCATACCCAAGAAACCATGGACCCACTTATCCATGGACTTTATTGTGGATCTTCCTTCATCCGATGGAATGACAGTAATTTTGACTGTGACTGATCCTCTAAAATGGCACACTTTATTCCACTTAAGAAACTACCTTCTGCGGTTCAGTTGGCTCAGGTATTTGCCAAAGAGGTTTTCCGCTTGCATGGTATACCACAGGATATCGTATCTGACAGGGGTCCTCAATTTGTCTCTCAGTTTTGGAGGGGCTTTTGTGCTGAGATGGGGATTTCCTTGTCGTTTACTTCCTCCTATCATCCACAATCTAATGGAGCGGCCGAACGGGCGAATCAATCTGTGGAGTTATATTTACGTTGCTTCACGAATGCACACCAGGACAACTGGTCTCACCTCCTTCCTTGGGCTGAATTTGCCAGGAACACTGTGACTCATTCATCCACTGGCTTAAGTCCTTTTATGGTTGCTTATGGGTTCCAACCCTCTGTCCTTCCCGGCGTATTCTCCGACAAGGGAATACCCGCTTTGGACGAGCACCTCACCTCCTTACGGAAGATGTGGGATCAGGTCCATGCTACTCTTTCTCGTGCGACTGCTACTCAGAAGAAATTTGCTGATCGTCGTAGGGGTGCTGCTCCCTCTTATGTCCCGGGTGATAGGGTTTGGTTGTCCTCTAAGAATCTCCGCCTCAGGGTCCCCTCTATGAAATTCGCGCCCAGGTTCCTTGGCCCCTATAAGGTATTGCGTAGGGTCAATCCTGTGTCCTACTCTCTAGCCTTGCCTCCTTCCATGCGTATACCTAACACTTTCCACACCTCCCTTTTTGAAGCCCCTGCTCTGTAATCGATTCTCTGGTCCTCTTAGGCGTCCAGATTCCCTTCGCGCTATCTCTAATGACGTGTACGAAGTAGCTGCTTTGCTTGATTCTCGTTTTTCTTGAGGTCGGTTGCAGTATCTGGTTGATTGGAAGGGTTACGGTCCTGAGGAGCGTTCCTGGGTTTCTGCCTCTGACTTGAATGCGCCATCCTTGATCCGCTCCTTTCATGCGCGGTTCCCTTCGAAGCCTTTATGTCAGGGAGCCGCGGGCGGCGAGGAGGGGAGGCTGCACGCCACTTGCAGCACTCACCCTCAGTCCATCGCTGCCCGCGGTCTCCTCTCTGCTTACCTGTCGGCGAGCGGCGTCTCCTCTGTGCCGCTAGCCGCCAGCGTCCTCCACGCCCCCCAGCGGCAGCATGTATAACGCTGCACGCTGGGAGGTCCAGGAGTTAAGTAAACGCCGGGGTCACGTGAGTGACCCGGCGTTAAAGAAACAGTACCACAATCACAGTGGGGGGTATAGATATCCCCCACGTGTGATTGTTAATTCTGATTGGAAGTTATCCAATCAGAATTAAACCTAGGGTATTTATACTTACCTTTCCTGTCCCTCAGTGCCCTGTTGTGGTCTTGTGATACCTGTAGCGTAGTGTTCTCGTCTTGCTCTCTGGTTACTGATTATTTGGCTCGTTATTCCGATTATCCTGTCTTCTCCACTCCTTTGACCTCGGCTTGTTTCTCGTTCTCCCGTTTTCTGGCTCCCTTTACCTGGCTTGTCTCCTGACTATTCTTAGCGTGCTTAGCCCGGCCACTCTAAGGTCCGGTACGGCACCTTTTCTGTGTGTGTGTGTGTGTGTGTGTGTGTGTGTGTCAGCGTGTTAGGTTCCCCGAATCGTGACAATGATGAGTCCGCGGCGAACCGTTCAGGACATCACTACGTGTGACATGTCATGATTCCATTTTAATCCAGAAGTTTGGTCCTTAAGGGGTTAAAAGGACACTATAGTCACCAGAACCACTACTCCTTAATGTAGTGGTTATGGTGTCTTTAGCCTGTCCCTGCATGCTTTTTAATGCAAATGCTGCCTTTTAACAGAAAAGGCATTGTTTACATTGCTGCCTAGTAACACATCTAGTGGCAGTCACTCAGACAGCCGCTAGAGGTGCTTCCTGGGTCAGTGCGGCACAGTGAGCAGCATTGGCATTCAGCGTCTTCACGCTTGAATTCAATGCATCTCTATTAGGAGATACTGGTTGGTGCAGAGCGGAGTTCTTTCATGCATGCACACTAGCCTCCCAATGCTTTCCTCCGGGAAAGCATTGGATTGGATGAGATTTTCAAGATTGATTGATCTCAGCCATGGAGGCAAAGCAAGGCAGGGCCTGCCGCAGTAAGACTGACGCAGCGTAGGCGAAAAGATGAGTAAAAAAAACACCTTTTCAGTGTGATAAGAGTGGGACCGGTAACCTAAACAGCCATACCAACACTATAGTGTCAGGAATGGGTTCCTTTAGACTTGGTCGTAACCCCTCCCCCATAAAGCCACTTGAGGCTTAGTGTATGTCTGTTCATAGCCACAGTATTGGGTGTCTTATTGAAGGCTATGAAACATTCTAATTTAAAAAAAATCAACTTAAAGGACCACTATAGTGCTAGGAAAACATACTCGTTTTCCTGGCACTATAGTGCCCTGAGGGTGCCCCCACCATCAGTGTCCTCCTCCCGCCCGGCTCTGGGGAGAGGAAAGGGGTTAAACTTACCTTTTTCCAGCGCTGGGCGGGGAGCTATCCTCCTCCGTTCCTCCCATTTGGCTGAATGCGCACGCGCAGCAAGAGCTCACGCGCATTCAGCCGGTCTCATAGGAAAGCATTTACAATGCTTTCCTATGGACGCTGGCGTCTTCTCACTGTGATTTTCGCAGTGAGAAGCACGCAAGCGGCTCTAGCGGCTGTCAATGAGACAGCCACTAGAGGAATTGGAGGAAGGATTAACCCATTTACAAACATAGCAGTTTTTTTGAAACTGCTATGTTTATAAAAAAAAAAATGGGTTAACCCTAGCTGGACCTGGCACCCAGACCACTTCATTAAGCTGAAGTGGTCTAGGTGCCTAGAGTGGTCCTTTAAACCTTACATTGCTTTCGTTTCCTGTCTTCTACTTTCAAGTAAAAGTCTGGCCCCTGTGCAGAACTGGTCCACAGTTATAATAAAGGAATTTATTAAGCCTGTTTACACTACCAGCATTGAGAATTTGGAAGCTGGATGAGGGAGGGGTGCAGTTTCCACACATCTAAAAAACCTCCTGGGACCGTGTCTCGTGTCCTGAATTTGGTACTGTTCAGCTGAATTCTCAAACTGCACCAGTAATTAATGGAACACTCCAAGCATGATAACGGCTACAATTAGCTGTAGTGGTTATGGTGACGACAGTGCCCTATTGCACTGCCAGTAGAAGTAGTAAAACTATTTGAATAGTCTGACCTATTTAGCCTGGTCTGCCAGGCACCTGGTTCTCTATAACTTTGAAGCTTCCTGCAGTGAGTTAGCACGCCGGTGCAGGGAGACACTCATTGGCTGAGAGCACTCAACTGACTCAACCAGTGAGACGGTTGTCTATATGGTAGGGCCTGGCTCAGGGAATCTAACAGAAACTCCTTGCGGGCTCCAGAGGATGAGGTGACCACCTGGAGGATCCCAGGACAGTTGTCAGATGTACTTAAACAGTTTGACTACTTACACGGGAAGGGCATCAGGGCCCTACAAGCACCATAACCACTACATCATGCTGTAGTGGTAGGCCTGCTAGCCATTTTGATTTAACCCCTTAAGGACCAAACTTCTGGAAAAAAGGGAATCATGACATGACACACGTCATGTGTCCTTAAGGGGTTAAGCAGGAAAGTCACGATTTTCAAGTCACGTCATATTCTCATATGCATAGTTTCAGATCAGTAACCATGATTTAAAGCTCTGATTTGTTATAAATTATTGGCTTCCCCTCCAGATGTTAAACCTTTCATTCTTTTCTCACAAACATTTTAAAATCTGGGATATTTTTAATGTTTACCCTATTTATTTAGGCTTAAATTAGATTGTCAGTGAGCAAAAATATTACCCTTTCTGTAATTACCTGTCAGTCCTGATCCTTGGCATCCAATCCATAATGGACTTTCTGTAGATGTCCAGTCAGAGTAACCAATGCAGCTCAATGAGAAGTATTTGCAAGGAAGGTGCTCTGAGCATTGCCTGCCTCTCAACTTGAGCTCCAGTGAGCTAAGCAACCAGGAAATAACAGCACCAGTTGATCAACAGGCTGAGGCTTATCACATTAATTTACAAAAGTGCCAATTTGATGGGACACACTCTTCATATAGTGCTTTAGGGGTTTGGAGTATCCCTTTAAACACTATTTGTTAACTGAAGTGGTCAAACAAAAGATCTTTAATAAAATCAACTGGAATAGTTTGCCCTTGTAGTCCGGTCCCAGCCGGGTACCAAGCCCCTGATCCTGGGTGGTGTGCATATGGAATACTACAGAGGTGCAGAAAGTGCTGGTCTTTCATTGGTTGGTCGTCCTCTGAGCTCTCCCAGCCAATAAATGACCCTCTGTAAAAAGAATATGCACAGAATTGACGTACTAATGCATGCTGGAGGAGAACAATATAAAATATTTTGGTATCTGTGGCATTTCATAATGAAAAGCTGCACATTCAAACTCCAAGCACCATGTCTAATTTAAATAGCTCTCCCCTTTGGTCATGGTGCTTATTGCTTGTACATAAATCTGCTAAATAACTATGGGATTAAGGGCTTTTTCTGATGTGTGCATGTTTATTTTATACCATTTTTGCTATCTGTGCAGACACAGGTTCAATGTAATTAATAGAACTAATTTACCTAAATGTTAGATATTGCATGAATATGCAGCCTCATTTTACATAACTAACCCCTTTCTAAAGGGACACTATAGGCACTCAGACCACTTTGACTCTTTGAAGTGGTCTGGGTGCACTGACCCATGTCCATTAACCCTGCAGTGGTAATTATTGCAGTTTTTAATAAACTGCAGTAATTACCTGCCAGGGTTAACTCCACCTCTAGCGGCCGTCTACCACAACCACTATACGCAGAGTTCCTTCACTAGAACCTTTTAGATTTGGTTTTCTTTTTTTCTCTTTCTATTCCAGCATAGGCAGCATATTGCTCCTTACTTTTTGTTTTCCTTTGTCGTCAAAACAAACTTCCTTTTGGGAGCGGACTATTAGACTGTATTTATACAAAGTTAGGCAAACCTCTTGTGTACAATATAAAAAACATGTCACATTTACTATCGTTTCTCAATGCTGTTTTGCAAACAGTAGTGGGCGTTAAGTGTTTTTTGGGAATTCGTTTTAATGAAGAATTTTCTTTCCACATGAGAATTTAATTCCTAACCGCTCAACAGAAAGCCCGACTTCCCCTTACAACACTGACAACATTGTATATGGATGCACAATTCATTTGGTCCCTAGAGGTAATGTTATTAGATTTCATGGGCTTGGATATTAAATTGCCACGCGCAGTAAAGATGAACAGCTCCATGATGGCCTTAAAAATCTCTCATATAGTGCTCTTGCTGGTAATCACATGAAAGAAGAGATTCGAAAATATTTCTTTGTGCATTACTTTAAATTGAGATATATATCTATATTTTCTCACTATAATGTTAGTGTAAAAAAAAAAAGTAGCAACCTTAAACTGCTCCCCTCTGTAAGCACGTCAGCAGGGTCCTCCTCAACCTATTGTTCCTGTAATATTTGTCACATTTATTGTAAAATTTACCCTTTTTATAATATTGTAAAGTGCTCCGTAATAAGTCATAAACTGTCATAAATGACAAAAATAATAATTGAAGATTAACCAGGCCGTACATTCATGCCTAACAGAGCAGGATACATCGGCTCCTGCTTAATGCTGTGGAAATTTGCCCCCAAACAATTTATCTGCAGGAACTTGTGAATATACCTTCTGTCAAGTTCCCGATGAATTTGAAGAACTGAACATTTGCAGCCAACGTGTCTTAATCATTGCCCCTTTCTGCTATGTTATCGTAAGTGGAGCGGTTTCAAAGCCCGTCTCTACTTGTGTAAATTCCTAGTAAATTTTTACAAAGTTCTATTACATCAAAATTGTAATGCATAAGAAAACCGCATTCATCTTTTAAATTTATTTCTTTTACCGTGAAATATGCCTTATATCCCATCATCCAAATAAATTGTCATTTTATCTATTCTATCTGTTTATAACGCAGAAAGAACATTTATACGTTGCACCAGCTAACATTTTAGGATATGTATATACATTTTCTGTAACATTTTGGTTTATATCTACAATCCTTCAGCATACTGAAATATCTATTGATTTGCCAGTGGCTGCACCTTATTCCCTCCCTCCTCCATCCCCCCGTTCCCAGAATATGTTGGTGGCGGTGCTATGTAAATCAGAATTATAAGAACTTTATCAAATCAGCTGGTGAGTTGGCTCAATGACTTGTAAATGCTAAATATGCCATTCCCAATTAAATTTACATTTATTTTATTTTGTAGATGTTTCCAATTTAAGATCTGCATTTTGTCTTCAGTACACCATCTACTTTGTAGTTATATATTGTCAATAGGCTTCAGCATTTCTATGCCTTTTGTCGTCGTCCTGCGTTAGAGTGGAGGACTTTGCCATACTCCTGATGAGCCAAGATCATTACATTTCCCTACGTTCCTCTTTATATTTTCTTCAGCTAAGCACACTTCTTATACAAGTTCCTTGCGTGCTGCTTCTGCCTGACTTGTTAAGGTGCACCCAGTCACATGATGTAGCGTCCGGCTTGTGTGCTCTACCAGTCGTGTCTTAACATTCTTCTAATTTTAGGTTCTTGTACCGTCATGAGAATTCCTTCAGACTGTGCATGTTAGAGGCTGTATGGTACATTGCCTTGGGAAAAATAAAACCGGTTCTGTTTAACACACAATAACTGGCATACACCAAAGCAATAATTAAGATTAACGTGCTTTTAAAATTCAAATTTTATTTTAAAATCCTTGTATCCTTTTTTTTTTTTTTAAAGCTGCTGGCATTAACGGTTGATGTTGGCATTTTTTAAAATTTATATTCCCGTAATATCGTTTCTTGGTACTGTGTGAAATGCATTGTTTCCTCTATATGGACGGAGTGTGCTGTGCCGGCTTAATCCTCATAAACCTATTTTGTCAAATGCTCTGTCTTGCCGCTCAATGCTCTATTAAATTGCATTAATTAGACCTTTATTATGTAGTTACTCCTAAACTTTGGATACACAAGCGTCATGCTTCGAATTACTTTAATGAGAAAATTCTTGCTTTAAGGTAGAGAATCTTCTCCCCATAATGTTACCCGGCAAGTTTATCTCCCCCATCAATTAGATATAGAATATAGAATCATCTTTATCCTTTATTGCAGTCTAGAGAACATTAATGATAGAAGTGTATTACAACCTTTTGGATATGTGTGCAGATATTTTATAAGCACTTCCAAAAGGATCCTGATTTTTACCATGCGCCTATCCTAGAACTTATTCTATATTCCATCGCGTGACTTGGACCTGTGATCAGGCCTATTCATAATCTAAAATCAATGTGTCGCATCTGCCTATTTGGAATACACCCAAGGGTTTTCATATCCATCAAGGCACACATTTAAAAACCGAAAAAAAAAATCAAAAAAAAAATCTATTTGTATTGACTATATACCTTTCAAACAGAGTTGAAGACTGCAGAGAACTTCCAGTAGTCTATTAGGAGAATATAGAGTGACTAATGGGAGAATATACAAAAAAGGGACCTGCTTAGTGTGACACCGGTAAATACATACCCAATTAATATTTTTCATTTTTTTTTCCATTAAATATTAAAGTTCAACTGATAGGTCTTGTATGCATATTACTATAGATGTGTATATGGACAAAGAAGACCGTACAACAGTGAGAACCATAGTGATAACATCCCAGAATTTAATTGGGCATAGAATAACCATCAATCCATGTTCTGCTTGTTCCTGACCCAGCGCAGGTTAATGTGTACAGACAGATCTGTAACTCCTCTCATTCTAGACAGCCAGAGTGACAGCTGTGAGGGGCCACATCGCTGTAGTTTTAAGTCCATCTCAGAACTCTTAAGCACCATGTGCTCAGCAGTTATACCAAGGTGGGGTAGTGTTTAGAGTTACTCTCTTAAATCACAGTCATTCTAGTTCTTAAACAGCTGGTGTTAAAAGTACTCATAACTCGTTACATATCCCCACATACATACATATCCCTACATACAGCCTTCTTTCTTAAATGGACACTGCAGACGCCTAAAGCACTTTAGCTTACTGAGAAGGTTTGTGTGAAGTGTGTCCTCCTTTTTGTAACAAGAGAAAAAAAAAGTGTGCAGATTTCAATAGAAATTTAAATTTTATAAGTTATACTGGTTACACCCCATTGGCTTTCAAGCAGATAACTGGTCCTGTTACTTCCTTCCTGGTTTGGTTAGCTCAGTGAAGCTAAACTCAAGAGGCAGCAATTGCCCAGAGCATCTGCCTTACAAAGACTTCTCATCGAGCTGCATTGGGAAGTCTGTGATTGGTCAGCCTCAGAAAGTCTGGGCGGGGTTGGAAGGGGAGGGCTTGCAAAGGCAGCAGACAAGAGTGCTGCAGGTTTTGCAAGAGGGTTTTAGATATACCCCCAAGGAAGTAATGCCAAAGAAATACTTGCATGCTGTAACTTGGGGTTTATCTACTAAACAGTGATTTTTAATTACCTTGATTTGGGGCAGTGGCGTTTCCCTTTAGGCTTTCATTTTTTAATGGGATTAACCACCAAAGTAAATTTTCCCTCACAGCCTAGTGTGTTGCAAAAAATATTAATCGCATATGTGTAAACGTTATGGCGTGTGGCTGTGCTTATTTGTTTTGGTTTTTAATATCTCGCTGAGGAGCAAAGCATTTGCTAAAATAATTGAAATCATAAATTGCTGTGTGTGCGCCATGTTACTTGCTGCTAAGTAAGGCAGTAAAGAAAGAACCACAAGCGCTGTGGTCAGCTGTTTTAATGGATGCAGTAGAGTGTCTCCAGGAAGGAAATTAGTGCAATTGAATTTAGCAACAAAAATTGGGTCAAACGTATTTTTTAAATTATTTATTTTTTAGATCTGCTGTTTCATTAAAGGAGCCTCTGTGCATATTTCCAAAATCCAGTTTTTTTTTTTTGTTTTTTTTTTTCTCTCTCTCCTCTCTCAAATGATCTGTGGCTGTCCAGCTGTAGTACTGGACTACAGCTCCCATCAGACATATGAAGCTGTTCTACTGCCAGTGGCTGCTAAAACCACTTGGAGTAATGGATACCAGAAAGGCCATAAAACAAGCATTTCAGGCCCAAAGGAATGAGCAGTCATGTTATTACAATGGCGTATAACCTCCTTAAATAAATCTGAGTAATTTGTTTGGACTTTGTAGGCCAGACTTCTTTCTTCAAAGGTTAGACGGGCAGTGCTATCATTTTATTTCCTGTGTAATTAATCATTAACCTGTGCAGCTACTCGATACGCTAAAAGTATGTAATAAAACAGGATGGCACTATTTACATTGCAGCTCTCTAAATTGTGTTTTAAAGTGGGAGACTCGCATACCGAGTACTGGAATCACCCCTCCTCCTGCGAGTTTTCTCTAAAGGAATCTAATGTTACGAATAATTAATGAATAATTAATGGACTATTTTCTAACAAGTACCCAAATCTTGACACAAAATAAGCCAACAGAAGGGGTTAAAATTGCTGCTCCTCTGAGTTACTGACCTACTAATGCCTCCGGGGAGGAAATAGCGTCATGTGATACGCATGGTTTATTCATGAGACTTGCCGTCTAATAAAATCCTCCTCTTATGCACCCTTTTCCCTTAATGCATTGTATCCTTAGCTGCCTCTCTTCAATTTTTAATACGTTGTAATTTTTTTTTTTTCTCTCACTTAAGCAGACAATTCATTTGGGTTCATGTTCAGGAGTTATTGTGTTATGTTTTGCTTGTTGTAGTGGGCATGTTCTAACGCTAAAGCAGTTTGTTTAAACCGCCTTGTAGCCGTTAATGCACCTAGAACAGAATTCTAGTAGAATTGGTTGTAAACCAAAGGTTTGATTCCATGCTATGGGTAGAAACAGGCATTTAATGTTAAATAATTAATTACATACTATATATCTCTTCCTCTTTAATATTGTGAAAATCTTAATGTCTTTGCATGCATTATTTTTATTTCTCTTAGTATAATACTTTTATTTGGGTGTTGAGTTAATTGTTTATTATAAAAGATTTGTAAATATTTTATTAATTTTAAGAAAACTTCTAAGATAAGTGATTTTTGGCAGATATAGAGGTTTGTGTAATGCCGAGATGACTTGGTTGACTCCTTCACAGGCGCCCAGTGACAGTCACCCATAAGCACGTGACCATCACACAACACCCACCTCTTCCAAATAATTGCAGCCAGGGAGCTGAATGGAGAAGAAATGTCATTGGGATAGCTACACACATAAGAACCCAATCACTTACTCCCATTTTACTCATTACAAAAATTGACTAATGACCCCTGCTCTACCACTAACCACAGACTCGACTCTATGTATCTCCGATGTCCACAGTGAAATGTGTCTTGCTACACAGGCCTGACTTTGCATCCACCACTGTATCTGGAGACTGAGGGGGTCTCTAAAGGACTGTCTCCTTCACAGGGCTCTCTGTAGGACTGTCTCCTTCACAGGGCTCTCTGTAGGACTGTCTCCTTCACAGGGCTCTCTGTAGGACTGTCTCCTTCACAGGGCTCTCTGTAGGACTGTCTTCTTCACAGGGCTCTCTGTAGGACTGTCTTCTTCACAGGGCTCTCTGTAGGACTGTCTCCTTCACAGGCCTCTCTGTAGGACTGTCTCCTTCGCAGGGCTCTCTGTAGGACTGGCTCCTTCACAGGGCTCTCTGTAGGACTGGCTCCTTCACAGGGCTCTCTGTAGGACTGGCTCCTTCACAGGGCTCTCTGTAGGACTGGCTCCTTCACAGGGCTCTCTGTAGGACTGGCTCCTTCACAGGGCTCTCTGTAGGACTGGCTCCTTCACCAGACTTTGGATCTTTATTTCCATAACTCCTAGGTGTGTTGAAACCCATATAACAGAGGGGAAGATTACATAGTGTACTGTGTACTAGTGTTCACTTTGCAGGAGATGATGAAAACTGCAATGTCTATGATGAACAAGTGATGACAGGATATGCCATGTATTGGAATGCGTAGGGCTCCTGCTGTAAGAATATTTAATCTTCAGTTCATTTTCTTCGTCTACAAACCTACTGTGATGTGGGATTTGTTTAGTAGGATTAAAATGTCTGGTATGTTGTGATAAAAAAACAGTAAGGCTGCGCAACAAGTGTAGAAACTTGATTCCTGCGGCCTTAACTTGTGGTTGAACAGGTTTATTTCCCTCAGCTGTGTTTCGGGCCATAAGCTTGTCACATCATGTTTTACCTGCACTAGGAAAAGTGGCTGTCATTTCTTAAATAAGTAAATACACAGCTGGAATACAGACTTATGCTCATAATAAGCTCTGACTGGCTCGACCCTTTCTATATCCACTAGAGACTCGTGGTGAATGTAAGCTTGGCTGCCTCATCCCTCAGGTCTAGCTTCCTATGATCAATTTAACCATGTCCAGACAGATAAAATATGGTGCTAGTAATGTAGGTAGGTAGGTATGGTTAGATCTGCATTTATTATATATATATATATATATATATATATATAATTAATGACCTGTAATAGCTGCAGGTGACCGATTTCCTAATCTGTACATTTGCAGTCGTGCCTGACGCAGGCCTAATAGCAAAAAGTACAGAGTAGAAAAGTTAAATATAGGGAGATATGTTCCGGACCTTAAAATGGCTGAGCAAAGGGAAACTTGTTTTCAAAGGTTTTATGAGGTGGACAAACCCCAGAGGGAATTCAGAAGTATGCAGCTATATAAGACTGGGTCAAAGAAGCCAAAACAGACTACTTGGCCGAAGCCAGGTCAAACACCAAATAAACTAAACTCAGGAACAGGCTGGAGGGCAAATACTGAGCAGTAAACGGGCTGATATAGCCAGCTGTAACGTGTCTGTCATTTAAACTTTGCATTCTTGGACTCAGCTGGTGGCTTTCAGCACCATCTTGGCTAAATCCATGTAAGAGGAGATGTTGAGGGAGGGGACAGCATTACAAATGGTGCCAGAGGTAAGTCTCTTACCTTTTTGTATTGTAACACTGAAGTGCCTGTATGTCATGTATATCCTGAGGGCACAAAGTGATTTATTTGTTCAACTGACAATTCTGGAGAAATGATGCGGCATTAACAAATTGCAGGCCATACGAATTAAACTCTGTTAATTTGATCCAAAACTAACACTTCTATTGTCAGTTCTACACCATCCCAATTTAGAACTTTAATACAGAGGTAAAGATACTGGTCTCTATTCTGCACAACACACATTGGTTGTTTATCTGAGCAGAGGTGTGTGTGTGTGTGTGTGTGTGTATGTATGTGTATATATATATATATATATATCTATATATCTATATATATATATATATATATATATATATCCAAGAGGGCTGCACTCACCTAAACATGCATACATTATAGGGTGCTGCTGGGGCCAAAATATACAAAATACAGAATCCAGCGCACTCGCTTATTCACTAAACAATGCTTTCAAAATTTTAGAGATTGTAATAGTTTTATTTAAAAACACCTCACCTAGGCAAAAAATAATGGGGGTTTAGTTACATTATATGATCATATATTGCATAAGCCTGCCACAACGTCAATGTACCCCATTAGGCTGCTAGAGTAGGACCTGCCAAGAATGGGGTACATTGACGTTGTGGCAGGCTTATGCAATATATGATCATATAATGTAACTAAACCCCCATTTCTTGGTACTGGGTTGGCCTCCTCCGTCTTTACCTCATGGGAAGAGGACCTAATGCGCATGCTGGGAGCACATTAGGACTTCCCCATAGGAAAGCATTGAATCAATGCTTTACCTATGGGGATTGCATTGGTGCTGGATGTCCTTATGCAGAGCGTAATAATAATAACAACAAAGTATTTAACCAGGAAAGGTACATTCAGATTACTCTGATTTTCAAGTACGTTCTGGGGATGTTACCTTAGCCCAACATCCAGGGGTTGTTACTATTACCCAATTTAAAGGTATTCCTTTTATCTACCTCGGAAGGATGAAGGGCTGAGTCAATCCTCTGTCTGGTAGACAGCCACTGGAGGCAGTCTTAGTATTCTAAAACTGATTTACATCGCAGGACTAATGAGGACATTGCACCCAGACAACGTCAATAAGCTGAAGTATCTGGGTGCCTAAAGTATCCCTTTAACCCCTTAAGGACACATGACATGTGTGACATGTCACGATTCCCTTTTATTCCATAGGTTTGGTCCTTACGGGGTTAAGTAAGTATATTAAGTCAGGCGCGGTTATGTAGATTAAATTTTCTTCTTTGTATCAAGGGGCCAAACTGCAATAAAAATTAAAATAAATGTACAGCACTGCAGAATTTATTGGTGCTTTACAAACCATAATATACCGTAATTGGTGTAGGACATAAATTGTAATTAACTTTCATATTTTTCTCTCCCCTGGTTTAAAGTGTCTAATTCAGATGATACTAATCTCTACCTTCCAATTACAGCTACACCTTTTTGTGAATCTGGCAAGCACTGAAACATGAGTTTGGAAGGCTTGTTTTCCATTTTGTAATGCGCTCATGCTCAAAGTATTTTCTAGAAATTGTTTACAGGTCACAGATCAGTCCTATTCTGCTGCTGACAAATGTTCTCAGTGAAAGTTAGCATTGTATCTCGGCAAGCACAGCACACCCCTAGATTGCCAAGAGGAAGCCTTGCAGGAAATCTCAGTTTTAATCTGTAGCAAGGACTGCTGAACATAATAGTAGAGTTTCTCCTGTTATGATTATGTCTGCGGGACGATACTGTTTGAGGACAAATGTGGGTGAGGTTTTCTTTGAAAAATATATTGTACTATGGCCTATTCAGGCCCCCTTAATATTTTGTTCTGCTGCTGTACATTGTGACATCCAGATTGTTAGTGCTTTCACAGCGCCCCTTTAATACCACTGTCTCGTCTTTCCTTGATTCCCCAAATGACATGCATCGCATATTTCCCAGTAAAATCCACTTAATATACATTGGTTGGTGGTTTTACCACATCAGCGGAATGTTACTCGCTACTTCTCTGTATCGCATCTAGGGGAGGTTATTGCCTAATGCAAAAGTTGTTGCCAAGAGGTAATTTTCTGAAAACCGTTTAATTTGGCCTTTTAAAGGGACGCTATAGGGTCAGGAACACAAACATGTATTCCTGACTCTATACTATTAAAACCACCATCTAGCCCCCTTGGTCCCCTCTTGCCTCCCTAAATATAGTAAAATCTTACTTGTATTCAAGTCTGGAGCTGCTTGCTTTGTCCCTGTTTCCTTTTGACCTGCCTGCTGACATCATCAGAAGTGGTTGCCTGATCCAATCGCAATGCTTCCCCATAGGATTGGCTGAGACTTCCAAGGAGACAGATCAGGGGCAGAGCCAGCACAATTCATGCACAGCCCTGGTCAATCAGCATCTCCTCATAGAGATGAATTGAATCAGTGAATCTCTATGAGGAAGGTTCAGTGTCTGCATGCAGAGGGTGGAGACACTGAATGTTTGAATGCATTTTAGGCAGCAATCGCCCAGGAAAGATCTCTAGCAGCCATCTGAGGAGTGACCAGTGAAGTTATCACTAGGCTGTAATGTAAACACTGCATTTTCTCTGACAATACAGTGTTTTATAGCAAAAATCCTGAAGGTAATGATTCTACTAATCAGAACACATGCAATAAACTGTAGTTGTTCTGGTGACTATAGTGTCCCTTTAAGTTTTGTTTGTTTATTATTTTTTTCCATTAAATTTTAAAGGCAGTAGGAATACATGTTTGAGAATGTTGTTATAACAAATTGGATTATTTGGACCCATAGGAGTAAGTAAAGTGTTTTACTTTACCTTATTTCCCCCAGCACTCTGGTGTCGCAGCAGTCTTCCCACTCTGCAAGCTGAGATAATCAGTCCTATTGCTTCCCCGTAGGGAAACATTGTGCGGCTAGTGCGCATGGGCTGCAATCGACAGACACCACCAAATAGCATCTCCTCATGGAGACCCATAGATTAGGTGCATCTCTATGTAGAGTGTTTAGACTCTAAGTGTCTGTCTTGCAATATATGCAGGACCCCCAACCAGGAAGTTCCTCTTGTAGATGTCACAGTGACAGACATTGAAGGTGGCCTTAAGTGGCAGTGTTTGCATTGCTGAGCTTGATGCAGCAGTTTCTTAGCCCCAGAACCAATATATTAAACTTTAAGGGTTCTGGTTCGTAGAGTATCCCTTTTAAGATGTTTATTTCCAAAGTTGAGTAAGCCACTAGCACAATAATTAAACTAATTTAACTTTATAGGAGAAAGGTAGATTGTAGACTTGTGCAATAGTTTTTGTTTTGGATGGTTCGTCCAAATCAAATTCCTTTTAATCCACACCCATATTGAAAGGAATTTGATTTGGATGAATTGTTCAAAACAAATTCTTGGTAAACGATAGATGGCCAGGAAGAAAATCTTAATTTGTTCTGATACCTAGTGTCAACACTTGGCACATTGGGACCTTCTCGAATGTTATTTTGGCACCTGGTTACAGTATAACCACATGGCCTTACATTTTGACATCTTATAACAATATAGAATGGTATGTACCTGTTATATGACAGCAGATGTTAATCTGCCCTTACAATAATAAAATATTTGCCAAGAAAAAAAGTATACAAAGTCATACCTTCACTATTACTCTTGGCGTGGTCATGTCAGGACTTTTTAAGAGGCTGTAAAAAAAATAGCAACTAATCTTTTACTATCTAAGATTTCAACAGTATTGAAACCCACCGATTTATTTATTTTTTTCCCCCCTCTATGTTTGCATTCGGTACATTTAGTTAAACGTGATGGAACGATCAGTTTTCAGGATATGTAATATATTACTTCTCTACTATAAGTAACCAAATGTGTTTGTGAGGTCTGAAAAATAAACTTAAATATAATCATCCACAGTGCTGTACTTGGCTCTCAACCGGAACAGAGTGCTTCTATCTCCCAATAATTCATTGAGAGTAAACTCTGCATGTTTAATGTCATGGAACATAGTGCATGTGGTGGAGAAACAGGGAGATTTGTCAGTGTGTCTCTTTAACCCCTTAAGGACCAAACTTCTGGAATAAAAGGGAATCCTGACATGTCACACATGTCATGTGTCCTTAATGGGTTAATGGTGATCATATTGCAACTGGACCAGAAGAAAGTTGGATGCAAGTTACCTAGAAAAAAATTCTAGACAGAATGGGAGGTAACCCTTGGTGTTCTAGTACAAAGAGAGGCAAACTGTCCTATTGGTATGAGAAATGGTTAAATCCTAAACCATAACTTTCAATAGAAGTTGAGATAAAAATGAAAAGAAGCTAAATAAACCTAACGTTTGTGAAAATGGGATAAGGTAAAAGTGTGTAGATAAAATATATAGTAGGTCAGTACAAGTAGAAAGTCTCTGTATCCATAAAAGGAGCACTCACTGTAGACAAAGGCACTGCATAACTAATAATCATACAGATCATTCAAAACTGTTGTAAATGTTATTAATGTGCAGTTGCAACACTGTATTTGAAATGTCAGCCCAAAGCTCAGAGGAAGACTGTATAGACGGAAAATTAAAGAGACAGAATGGTTTACAGCAGTCGCTGAATTAAATGCTGTTGAGAACTGCAAAAATAGGATGTGGACTAAACCGTTATTTGTAAAGTTTGTTGCAAAATCTAGGTAAGTAAAAATATAAACCTCAGATCTAGTTTAGAACACCATCCAAATGTCTAATAAAACAAAAATTCTGTGTTTACAGCATCATTTTTTTTGTGCACCCCTATGAGCGAGAGGTACTGAGCTACGAGTCTAACATCAACAGATAGCTGCAGAAAAATAGGCTCCTTAAATCTTAATTATTACGTAACAAAATTCGGTGCCTGCGAGGGCACCTTTTATAAAGAGAGAAGAGGACTAATCGAACTGCCCCACTGTTCAAGATTATACCTGGACTGCTAATGTAACGGTTAAAAATCAATAGTAGCAAACCGAGTAGGTATGACCGGACGTATAAAGATCCGATCCTGATACGAGACGAGCAAGTCTTAAGCTAGTATAAAATTCCGATATCCCGAACCACCAGACTTCACTATAGCAGCATATATTGAGCACATAACAGGAGAGAGGTCCGGATTAGTCTGAGAGAACTGAATGCTTGGAGGTATCGGGAATCAGTCCAGACGCGTTTCGCTGGTAAGCGGCTATTCAAACTGCACACAGCGCTCCGCGATCTACTGGTGGAACACAATGCAACATGTGCATGTGTTCCACCGCCAGGACCTCTCAGCCTGTTCTCGTCGCGCACATTCGCGGCACTTGGTTTTGAAAATCCGACGGACCGCAAGAGGTTAAGTATTTTGTCGCATATATTCCGACATCGGACCGGAAAGGGTTAATACTCATTAAAACAATGGCAGATCACCTGAGGAAAAAAGGTTAAGACAAGTTAAAGATTATTTTCAACATTTTATTCCACGATTTTAATGCAAATAGATATCAGCCATTACTTTGCTGCAGAGGGATTTAGATAGACTGGGCACACAAATGGCAGATGAAATTTAATGTAGAGAAATGCAAAGTTATGCACTTCGGCGTAAAGAATACACAAGCAGCGTATACCCTTAATGGAAGCGAACTAGGGATAACAACAAACGAAAAGGACTTGGGAATTGTTATAGACAACAAACTATGCAACAATGTGCAATGTCAATCAGCAGTGGCCAAGGCCAGTAAGGTATTGTCATGCATGAAAAAAGGCCTTCATTCTCGGGACGAGAATACAATTTTGCCTCTTTATAAATCACTAGTAAGACCACGTATTGAATATGCTGTCCAACTTTAGGCACCTGTTCTAAAGAAAGATATGTAACTATGTAACTGTTATTTACAGAGAAGTGGCGGTTCTTTGTTTTTTAAGTGTTTTATCTGTGAAGCTACCCTAAATTTAATTGAGAGATATTTGATTAACTGGAGGAATCTTTCAGATAGATCTCATGCTATTGTTATGACAGTTTATTTTTTTTAATGCTGTACTCTTACATCATCTTCTAGCCATACAGACTATGCTTCAATTGTTCCATACAGGTGTGGTTTTACATTGTGCTGCTTTCAGCCGAGGCTGGGCTGGAATGTTAAATAAACAAGGTAACTGAAAAAGGAAAAAAATAAGTTATGTACTTGTTAATCAAATAAGATCCTGGCGCTGCCCAGATCCTGTAAGATAACCAAGTGCATCCGGTTATTTTCCAGTGGAAGCATGCAGCATTGAGTCATTTTATTCTGCTGTAAAACTAAGTGCATCTCTTGCTGCGATGATAAATTGTTTCATTGATTTTTTTTTTTTTTTTTTAATTGATTTTTTTTTTAAAATGCAAATAGAGATCAGCCATTACATTCTGCTGTAGCACATGTTTAGCTGCAAGCCTGACTTGTGAGCATGTTTAACAGTTCTTTGTTGAAAATAAATAATTACCTGCAAGGCTCCAGGTTTACCTGTCAGAGCACTCTGATAGGCTGACTTAGGCCCACCAACCAGAGTGCTTGGAGTCAAATTGCACGGTGTGGGAAGGCTTTAAAAGACTTTCCCAGCCGTGCAAAGCTTAGTGTGGGGGCGGAGCCCGCGCCTGGTGGTGTTGAATTATTTATCATCTGGATTTTTTTTTTTCGGAGTGTTTACTTTTTGCAATTTGGTCTTTTTTTAATTTTATTAGGTCGATGGGTTTTATGGATTTTTGTTTGGCCTTTTTTGGGGCTGAAAAAATATGTTACAAAAAAAAGACATCTAATGGTAAGCATTATTTTTTCCCCCCCAAGTATTTAGTTTATTGCTCCCTCTCACAATTATTAGGGTTAGGGCGGTAGGTAGGATATTTATTTACTGGAGGCTTGGGGACCCCCTAATCACTGGGGGGTGAATTGGGGCTTTGTGACCCCTAGTTACTTTGGGGGCAGGGGTTATTTTTACTTTAAGCCCCCACCCGCCTCTAATGGGAGGTGGCCTTTGGGGGACACAATAGGCCCCCCTTATCACTTAGGGCTCCCACCAGCCGCTAATGGGTGCAGGCCTATAGGTACCCCTACTTATCACTTAGGGCCCCCACCAGCCGCTAATGTACCCCTTCACTTATCACTTTTCAGCCACATTCGCCGCTTCCCTTGTTAATTATTTAAAAAGGTGCCTCACCATGGGGAACCTATGTGTGGTCATATTGACCCTCATATAGTGAGGGGGGCATAGGGAGATTTAGGAAATGCTCTCCGCCGTTTCTATTTTTACATATTACAAGGAGGGAGCTGCGAGCCGGTTACTCCTTCCTTGTAGTAAACTAAACGAATGAACAAAGAGCGAATTGCAAATTGGTCTTTGTTCGTTCTTTGTAATTTATATTTGTTCGTTCATCTTTCTGATGAATTTCTGTCCAATCCCCAAGTGTTAAATGAGAAGAAATAGAGGTAAAAATTAGTGAACTAGGGGGACAATAAAATGTAGTGGAGAGGGGGTTTAACCCCTTAAGGACCAAACTTCTGGAATAAAAGGGAATCATGACATGTCATGTGTCCTTAAGGGGTTAAAATAATAATAATTAAAAAAAACAAACAGATGCGACTATCACAGTGCCGCTTTAAAAAGACACAAGTGATTTTAATTATTTTGGTTCGTTGCAAATCTACAGTTTGTGAAATGGACCTAATAGTGACTGAAACGTTCTAGCCAATCCCATCCTCTGTTTTCAGTAAGACCATGAGCATCTTATTTGCTCTTATTTATGAGTCTGTACTCTTTCTTTTATTTATTTTGTTCAATTTTAAGTCAATCATGACTGGGCATCCTTGCACTTTCTGTATTGCTGCTCTCATAAAAAGTGAATTGACACACATTTTAGGGAGCTGTCTATCTAGTAGCTGGCAATGTTTTATGCTGGAACGCTGAACAGACAGCAAGCTGAAATGGTTATGGTGCGTATAGTACCCTTTAAAAAAAAAAAAAAAAAAAAATTCTTTATTTTATTCGTGCACGGTTTACACTGCCACAACATCTGGTGCAAATTGATCTTTAGACATATTATAACAGTAGTGTGGTATTGAAAAAAAATTGCACATTTTTTGTTAATGTAAATAAGCAAGATTAAACCTAATGTCTACATGTCATAGCAGTGAACAAGAAGTATTAAGGTATGTCATGGGTAAGTTAGACATAAGGGTGTCTAAGCAAATCACGTATCTTAAGCAGGTCGCCTACAAGGTAGTCATTGCGATAACGTGTGAGTTAGTCCACTGGGGTGCGATTCAAAAGAGTGAAGGTATCTCTCACTAGGTGCAAAAGAAAAAAAGCTTAGCATTAGGGGAAGACAGCTTGGTTTTAGCATCTCGAGGTAGCATCACAAATAAACAAGAAATGTTATCAGAGATAACATTTCAGATTGTCATTAGATAGTATACTGTACATGTCAATAGTACTGCACTATTTTTAAAGTACAAGAAACTACGGTATGTACAACACAATACTCAGTGCCTACAGACTTAATGTTGCTTAGCTTTACTGAGCGTGACACTCTGCTGCTATGCTGCTGTACATTTTTATGTGGTTAATACAGTGGATCTGATCCAAGCTATTAATTTAAACATACTATGCTAGGTAAGAATAAAATAACTGGCTTCATCACTAGTAAACAAGGATTGTACAGAATATAAAATACAGTAGTCCACCACTCGATTTGTGAGGCAGCTGGGAAGTCAGTTGTATATCCCCCGCAGGGAGGCTGGTAATGTGTGTGTCCTTATGGGGGGTTTGTGCGCTTGTGTCTCCATCTCATAGGGGTACTCCACCAACCCCAGACGCAGATGCTCTCTTGTTGCATGGCTCTGTGGGACCGTCAGCTTCCGACTTAAAGAGCGGGATTCCAGGCTTGTCTCGTTGAATGACATGTGACTCGCTGAGTGGGAGTCCTCCGAGTGTACCTATGGTGCTTGTGGGCTTGGCCACCGCTGGAGCGTTGTATTGCAGCTATGTGGCTGGTTTTCTGTGGGATTGGACTCCTTTCTGTTCTGTACCGCTTGTCGTGCGCTGAGAAGTCGATGTGCAAACTTCGCCGGGACAGCAATAGCTGCTTTACAGGCTGTCTTCGGCTCAGGTTGGGTAAGTGTGGGGTTTCGCTCTGCGAGACGGTCCCAGAAGCAGGGCCGGATTAAGAGCACAGTGGGCCTGGTGCTGACAATAATGATGGGCCTAATTACGGAATCTTATTGAACAAAAACACTAAAACAGTCATACCTCCCAAGCGTCATGTATCTGATGGAGATGGTGCTGGAGGGAAACTCATAGAATGCAGCTATAATAAAACACATACTCTATGCTAACTTCTCTCCAATTTATGCTTTCATCTTTCAAGTAAATCCATAACCCCTAACAGCAGTGTCCAGTGAAGCAGGAAGTCAATGGGTGGGGTAAAAGGGTGTGCCACTGGCGCGAATCACGTGACAAGACCTGCCAAAAAAAGGGGCATGTTTGTCCAAAGAATTGGAAGGTCAGCCTGGCATGAATGCATGTCAGGCTACCTGCCAATCCTGCAGGCTGTCCAACTAAGAGCATACTATGCAGGCAGCACATTGAGCTTGACATAAATGCGTCTAATAATGTGCTCACTCCATGCTTTCCAAGGACTTTCCCCTAGCACTCGCTGGTCCACTTGTCTCCTTACCTTCTTACTAGCAGGCAGAAGTTCCTGGTATATAGTCTGAGAGAGAGAAAATGTGTATGTAGTGAGTGTAGAAGAAAGGGGACATGCCACAGAGACCAATGTCTGCATTACCTAAACTAACTTTAATGTCAGCCAGCCACACAAGTTTTGTTCCCATACATCCCTCTTAAGCTTCCAAACTTAAAGGGACACTATAGTCACCAGAACAACTACAGCTTATTGTATTTGTTCTGGTAAGTAGAAGCATTCCATTCAGGCTTTTTGCAGTAAACACTGTCTTTTCAGAGAAAATAGCTCCACTGGCCGCTCCTTAGATGGCTGCTAGAGGTGCTTCATGGGGCAGTACTGCCTAGTCTGCAGCACTGCCATTCAGTGTCTCCACCCTCTGCATGCAGACACTGAACTTTCCTCATAGAGATGCATTGATTCAATTTATCTTTATGAGGAGATGCTGATTGGCCAGGGCTATGTTGGACTTGTGCTGGCTCTGCCCCTGATCTGCCTAGTTGACAGTCTCAGCCAATCCTATGGGGAAGTATTGTTATTTGCTCAGACCACCACTTCTGAGCCAGCAACTGCAGACTTGAATACAAGTAATATTTTACTATATTTAAGGAGGCAAGAAGGGGCCAGGGTGGTGGTTTTAACATAATAGGGTCAGAAATACATGATTTTGTTACTGACCCTATAGTGCTCCTTTAAGCAAGAATATGTGAAGAGTAGTTAAGGTTGCCACTTTTCTTGGAAAAAAATACCAGCCTTAATCATTTGTATAATTAATTAGTTATGCGTGACATCACATGATGTAAATCACAAGGAGTGACAGCAGAGAAAATTCTGTAAAATCACCAACAAACTACTCACAGTTTGATTCTGCTGTATAGATGGATTGCTCCCAGTGTCTCCCTGTCTCCCAGTGTCTGTCTCGCAAGTCTCCCAGTGTCTCATTGTCCCAATGTCTCAGTGTGTCCCCATGTCACTAGGATACTGGGCACACTGAGAAACATGGGGACACTGAGAGACCCGGGGACACAGAGACATGGGGACACATAGACATTTAGGGAAACTGGGAGAAATGGGGACACTGAGACATTAGGGACACAGACACTGGGAGACATGGGGACACTGAAACATTTGGGGACACTAAGACACTAGGGACACAGACATGGGAACACAGACACTGGGAAACTAGGGGACACAGAGACTAGGGGACACTGGGAGACATGGGGACAGTTGTGGACATAGACATGGGGACACTGGGACATATAGTGACACTGGGAGACATGGGGACACCAGGCACACTGAGACACTAGGAACACAGACACTGGGAGACATGGCGACACTAAGACACTAGGGACACAGACACTGGGAGACATGGGGACACAAACATTTGGGGACACTAGGGACACAGGCACTGAGAGACTAAGGGATACTGGGAGACTAAGGGACACTGGCTGGGAGACAGACATTTGGGGACACATGGGGACAGTTGTGGACATAGACATGGGGATACTGGGACATATAGGGACACTGGGACACATGGGGACACTAGGCACACTGAGAGACATGGGACACAGACACTGGGAGACTTGGGGACACTGAGACACTAGGGACACTGGCTGGGGGACATGGGAACATAGTGTCTCCGTGTCCCAATGTCTCAGTGTCTCCCTAGCATCCCCATGTGTCCCAGTGTCCCCATGTTTTCCAGTGTCCCCAAGTGTCTCAGTGTCCCCAGTGTCTGTGTCCCCTAGTGTCTCAGTGTCCCCTAGTGTCTCAGTGTCCCCTAGTGTCTCAGTGTCCCCATGTCCAGTGTCAAGTGTCTGTGTTCCCCTAGTGTCTGTGTCCTAGTGTCTCAGTGTCCCCTAGTGTATGTGTCATCATGTGTCCCCTAGTGTCTGTGTCCCCTAGTGTCTAAGGGTCCCCATGTGTCCCCTAGTGTCTCAGTGTCCCCTAGTGTCTCAGTGTCCCCATGTTTTCCAGTGTCCCCAAGTGTCAGTGTTCCCAGGTCTCCCAGTGTCTGTGTCCTAGTGTCTGTGTCCCCTAGTGTCTGTGTCCCCTAGTGTCTGTGTCCCCTAGTGTCTGTGTCCCCTAGTGTCTCAGTGTCCCCATATGTCCCCTAGTGTCTCAGTGTCCCCTAGTGTCTCAGTGTCCCCTAGTGTCTCAGTGTCCCCATGTGTACCTGCTGCCTTTCCCCCATCCCTCACTTACCTGAGCTGTAGAGCTGCTGTCTGGACTCTGTGCTGTGTTGCTGCTCCCCCACGGATCAGTGAGTAGTAGAGAGAGGCAGGGATATTCTGTAACTTCCTATCCCTGCCTCTCTCCACACACAGTGACCCCTACTGGCCGGTGCTGGTATTGCAGGGTAATCTCCATTTATTCTGAGAAAACTACCTGCATTTGTATTGCCGGTATTACTGCAATACCGTCACGGCCAGGCAGCCTCACATACCGGCTGTGCAAGTAAAATAGCAGTCAGGTGGCAAACCTAAGAGTAGTGTGTGTTAATTTTTTTTTTTTTTTTTAATTAAATTTTTTTTTTTAAATGGGCCTATTCCATGGGCCTGGGCCTGGGCCTGGAGCTGCAGCTCCATCAGCCCCTATGTTAATCCGGCCCTGCCCAGAAGGCCTGGCAGATTGCCTCGAACATGGCTTCAAATGATTCTCTCCAATTCAGGATTGTTTGGCTGCTCTGGGATGTTAATGCGGCGGCCATCTTAGATGGGCCGCATGGCTGGCGAGTTTCTTTCAGCCCTTCTGGCTTGGTTTGATGCTTGCCACTGAAAGCATGTGCTGTGGCGACAGGCTTGCCCAGTGGGGACCAGGATTTCCCCCACTGGTCCGAAGTGGGGGAGGGAGGTTTGGAATACTGCAGGACCTCGCTGCGAGTTGTAGAGCTAGATCAGCCGCCTCTCCCCAGCTCCGCTCCCAGTAGGCCACAATAGATTCGTCCGGGCATTCCGCAGCGGAAATTGTTAGGAACAGGTATTAATCTACTTGCCCAATTCAAGCAACATAAGGTGGTTATGGTACCTGGAGTGTTCCATCAATTTGTATATATACTCTCTTGACATTATTAAATGCCGTCTGAGTCTTTTACATAATCCTGTTTCCACCATGAGAAAGGTTAATTAATAAAAATGTCTGTTCTTTCCTCCACACATACTTAGACCAACATGCGTAGTCTCTTCATTTAGATTTTTTTTTTTTTTTTAAGTTGTCCTCTGTCATAAGGATACAAAACAAGTTTAATAAGGCTATACAAATTTCTTCAGTTTTCTCAATATCCTGTTTCTAAACTAAACTGATGTTTACAAGATGTTTGTTGTCGAGGTTTATGTTCACCAATCACACTTATTTACTAACCTTTATGAAATCAAAGTGAATTTCAATGTGTAAGTCACATTATGGTTTTGGACTAAGATCAGAAATTCACTTTGAATTCCAAAGATTTTGGATTTTAGAGCATAATCCTGACAATGTTCATGTTAAAAGGTGAATGTGCAAAGATTATTTGAGTCTAGGACTTTTATATTTTAATTGAGTTGTGAGAAATCTATTCGCTGTCAGGTTTATATCACAATTGATCGTAAAATAAAGAGGTGTATCTGGGACTTTGGGAGACCTGTTTTTTTTTCAAATTAAAAACAAGCAAAAACCCGAGTAACTGCACCCAAAGTTTGGCGGTTATGGTTTTTCCTAGGATACATTGTCATCAAGAACGTGGTTTTTAACCTTTTGAATGGTTAATTTATGTATCTATAAATTTTGATTTAAAAAAAATGTACATTAATGAGAATCTACAAGGTTATTATCCATGTATAAGGATGCTTAAATGATCTCTATGATCATGGACATATTAATTGTATTTGGGGAGGATTTAGCTATAGTTACATTTTATATGACACGTTCACTTGAATAATGAAATAGATGAGTCAAACTTGACATTTGGTTGTGCCCTTGGAAAAAACATCCCATACACCTCTGGGAAACCCCAAACAAAATATACATGTTTGCTATGACTAGTAAAGCATTTTAACCACAAAATTAATGGTGTTTATTGTCAGAGTGATATATATTAAAAAGAGGAAATCTCAAGGTTTTCTTATTTCTGTTCAAGACTCCATTGCTAACTAAGGCATTATGGTGGGTGCCAAGCTGTGTTGTGTGCCTTTGCTAACCATGAGGGGGCTAATTATTATTATTATTATTATTATTATATTATTATTAATATTATTAAATATATATAATTTATTTTTTTCCTTTTAAAGCTTACTGAATATGCAACATAATATATTGATCAATGGTCATTAAACATTGATGCAAAATGCCTATTGTGCTTGGGGGGAAAAAGATGAGGTAAGCAAGGAGAGAAAAGGTAGTCAGTTGCTGAATAAGGCTATCATTAGCCGAGTGTATCGGTTCCTCCTTAGTCTGCATATCTTTATGAGTATTGTTATTTAATAGGAAATGGACTGGGAAATTTCCAGTAAGCTGGCATTAAAGTATATGATAGGTGATGCCTTAAAGGACAACTGATGCTTCAAAAGCATTTTTTTTTTATTTAATAATTGTTTAATAAAATAATTTTAAGATAAATAAAATTTGATTTAATAAGCTATATGTAAAAAAAAAGAGAAAAAAATGTATTGACATTAGTGTATGACTGGTTCCTCCAGCCATTTCACACACGTTTGGGTCAGACCGTGTTTGAAAACCGGCAGTTAGTCTCTATGGTTTTTTTTGCTTCTGAGGCCAGGAGGCCATCTTGCTCACTGACCATTTGAGGGCTCACTCACAGCTTTCCTTATACAGTGATCACTCAAGAGCAACTATGCAGTTGAGGCAGTCGTTTCTCACTTTTACAAATCTTCTCCGGGAGGCTAAGTTTCCATACAGACTGGGTTTACATCGCTTGTTGGACGAGAGAGATGGTAAGATGTTTCCTCTTAGGCGGCCTCAGGACGCACCAGCTTTTCTCCAAGCACCGGGTGTACCTACCGAGTCTCTCCCACGGCAGGGCCGCAACTCCATCTCTTCCATTTAGCTAGGACTGCGTATCCTACTGCCTGAAACCATCACAACTTCTTATTTTGATTCACCTTATAATGTGCATTGCTTTTGATTTGTTTTATTTACCTGCATCTTCCATGTTATATAGTACGTGTTGGGGTGAATTTCCCCCCCTGCTAACTCCTTATTTGTGCCAGTTTCCTGTTTAAATTGTACTTCTCTTTCTGGGATAGCCCACACTTGGTATACAAGATGGGTCCTCACATTATGGTCTGTGGTAAAATAGCAGAGTATTGAGTCCTTTATGTTCTTATTATTGCTATTATGCAGCTATTGTTTTATATAATATTATACGTCAGCTGCTACACATTGTACCTGTAAAAACTATTTGGTACCTCTGTATTGCTTCATACCTGACCTGAGTAAAAATAATAATAAAAAAATAAATAAATAAAAAGTAGTTATGGGGGAGCAATGTATTGTTACTTAGTTAAAATGCTCCCACCTGTAACCCCCGGCCTGCAAAAATAAAATAAAAATAAAATAAAAAGTAATTTAAAACGAAAATAAATTAATTGCTCTCTTTCCTTCCAGCGTGGCTTCTCTCCCCCCAGCGCTGCCACAACCTCCTCCTTCTGTGATGTCATCCTAGAGGCACAATCCGATGCTATTAATAGAGGAGCATTGGGGACTGTAGGTGCATGCGTGCTCGCTTCGATGCATCTATGTTTTTGCCATCGAATTATTGAATGCTTTGGTTTGCTATGGAAGACTGTGCGACACGCGTGTGACGTCTCCATATGTTAGGGTATGAGAGCTAGGAAGTCCAGTCCCGGCTCTCATACCCAGAGGATTTGGAGGCATGGGGGAGACACTGTAGGCCAAGCATGTCAAACTCAAAGGCTAACACAGGCCAATTAAACAAGGTTTAAGGTTATATGGGTTGCAAAAATAAATAAAATTCAGTTTTAATAGAAACGTAGGTTTATTTACCTGACACTGGACGTCCTCACGCACGTAGGGCTGCAAAGTAAACAAGAGCAAATTTATTTTAAGGAGACATGCATTTGCTTATCACCAATCTTTTAGTCCAACTACCTTCACATATTAAGAAAAGTTTGGTAATGGGACTGAAATGGTGAATGTATGCTGTTGCACATCTAAAAAAAAAAACTGTTGATCTTGAACTTGATGATCTCCGCCAATCCAATGCTTTCCCATAGGAAAGTATTGGGAGGCTGTTGTGCATGTTTAGTAGAAAACATTAATTTTATTATTTTTTTAAAATAATTTTATTTATACTGTACTTTTCTATGGAAACTTTTTTGCGGCCCACTTAAACCTTGTTTGTTTGGCATTCTTGATGTAGGCACTTAGTGAATTAGTACAGTGTTCCTTTAAGAATTGTGCTCCCCATATTATATAGTTACCTAAAGTAATGTGAAACTAATGTATGTTCTTTAAATTGGGATATATGTACTTTAGAATTTTAAGTTGGCTTTATCTCCATATTTTCTAGAGTTTAGTGCAGTAGGTTTATACAACATTCAAACTATTCACTGTAAGGTTGTTTTAAATGTTAACTTAAATTCAAGACATCTGGCATGCAGGTACATCCAGCATTGCCAAAAAAAAGTTACTTGTGCTCTCTCCTAAATCCCTATGTATATTTAAACAAATGGAGGTATTGGAGTAACTAAATGACCTCCATTTGTTTAAATATACATAGGGATTTAGGAGAGAGCGCAGGTAACTTTTTGGGGGTCTTTACTGTATGTATTGGGGCTGATGTGTACTGTGGTCGTTGCTGCCGCCCAGGAGTGATGGGAGTGAGTTTTTGTATTTGTATTCACATCTTGAAAGTTGTAGTTCTTTTATAGCCAGGGATAGGAAAACCTATTTGGCCATCAATCATTTACAGAGGTGTTAAAAAAAAAATTTAAAAAAAAATGTAGGAGTCTTTTCAAAGTGGGACAAAATAATAAAAAAGACACCTATTTTTTTTTTTTTTATATAGAGGTTATCGGTCTTGATGGTAAATACTTCCATACACTCTTTATGGGACTGCGGGGTCAGCACGATAATGGGTAATGATATTTGGAAACCGTTACATTTGCTTTTAGGGGGAGAAGTCAGTGGACATATGTACATTTACCTGCTGAGTTTCCCTGCCGCAGTCTAGGGTTTGGTTTAATGGGTCTATTGCCCAGATTGCTTTTGGTATTATGAGATCCAGTTAACGTTAACATTTATTAAAGGAAAATCCCATAACTCGCACATCCCCTGGGGATGCTTTTTAGGAATTGGGGGACATTCTTTAAGACCACACTTTCTTCATAGGGGGTTCTGTGGACCTTGTCTTAAATCCATCTCACACCTTGTTGAAGACAAGCAATTGAGGGTTGGTTGATTTATTTTAAGTTAAATTTTCTTGTGATGAAAAACATGCCTGCTGACAGTTTGTTCATCCTTCAATCCTACTTATTGATTTACTGGAAACAATAGGAATTCCTCTGCTAGTCCGTACCATTTCCTCATCATTTGGGTGCAGCTCAAGGGCAGCACAGATTATCTTCATCGATCTTCACCTCGGCTGCTGGTAAATGTAGTGACCTTCATCCAGAATCCGTAAACCACATTTTCCTACAAATTGTTGGTGCCATTTTGGTACTGCAAATCGATCCAATTGTAAATGACACCATAACATAAAAAGGGACTTTATATTCTTTAAAAAGTATTTATAACCCATCCTGAATGTACCAAAATGTAACATTTTAATTGCTAGTTGTGCTTGACGTTCATTTCACTTGCTCAGCATGTCTTATTTATGTCTTTGTTTCTTGATAGTCACGTAGGTTTTAATATTATTGTGGAGAATTGCTGGCATTCCTTGAATGTTATTTGTAATTCATACGAGGAATGTCCTGATATTATTTTGTGTCTCTTGGGGATTTAAGAGGAATTTCGGTCTGTAATCAAAAAAGGCACGCAGTGATAAATCTCAATAGAACTTCTGCCAGAATGGATCTTCCATGGCTAACAGCAGAACGATTGATCTCCTGCCCTTCACGTAAGCACACTGAAAGAAACATACGATAACTACGCAAATTTAAAAAATAAATAATTGCTCTGATTTGGTGACTGACCCACAATGAGAAGCATGTGGTCCAGCTGGATTCCCCACCGGTGCCTTGCTTTGAAGGGACTCTCCTTCTCTTTGCATTTAATATGGTGCAAAGAGGCCCATGTCTCTGTACGCACAGTGGTTTATAAATGCAGCCATTTCCTTTTTTGTCCGTAGCAGAAATAGAATTCCTACAAAGTCCTAAAATAAATACAGGGTATTTCAAAAACTCCTTCTGGGCAGATGCTTATGGTTAAAGCTCCATCAAAAAGGAATGAGAGCCTTATGATTGTCTGGACAGAGCTCAACACAAAACCTGTTAACACAACAAACACATTGAGTTCCTGCCTGCATTGCAAATTGGTGAATAGAAGAGTGGGTTAGAACCTGAAAATTTTATTTCTAGCAATTTTTATCCTCCCCCCCCCCACTGCAACCTATGGCAAAAGGGACAAAAAGTAATCTATTTATTTTTAAAAAACCTTTTTTTTGCACAGTATACTTTTATTAGTGGTCGAGGCCTATATTTCCTGAGCTTCTTAGAACAACTTGAGATTGTCTGTCTATGTCAAATATTTTTTTTCAAGTGCCATTTTTCTACATCAACTAAACTAGATCGAGAGCCCTTGGTAATAGAGCAAACATACGGTGAGCGTAATAACCTATACAATATCTTGCAAAACAGTCTAGTCCTGGTGAAGATTGTCTAAATATAGCATGTGATTGGAAAACTTACCGATAAATCCAATATAAAGCATAGATTAGTGTTTGTGTTACAAAGAACTTCTGATCAACCCATTTGCAGTTTTAGGTCGAACAAACATATATTCAACAGACAGCTGCCCAGAAGAAATTAAGCCTGCGAAACAGTCTTTCTTGGTTCTAGAGATGCCTCTTTGATATTTTGTAGAGTCTGAAGCAGACTTTTTGAAAAAAAAGTTTTTATACTTTTTATAATGCTAATATTGCATATGAGAAATGTGTCTCCAAGGTGACCAAGTAATTTCCACTGGGGAAAAAAAAGTTGTGAGTCACCGGAATGGACTGTATTTCCACATATTGGTCACCCTGGACCACCATCTTAGGTTATTTCTCTGGTTCTCATGTTTTGGAACATCAGAAGAAAGTGCCCAAAATGTTCAAACGAGTCCTTAATAGCCATTGTGGCTACAACCTGCCAGGGAATTTCTAGCCATAAAAGAGTACATCCGCAGTGCCTTGTGCATGAAGGTAGATTGGCTGACATAAACCATTTTCATGTAGTCAAGCTGTTGCACATCAATAATTGTGATCTAGATATGCACCCGGTCTTCTCCAAAATCTGATTTCATGCCTTCCAATGTTAAGAAACATAGTAGATAGATTTAATAACGTTCTAAATCAAACAGTAGAAACTCTGTTAAATAAAATAAATTATGCCACCAAACCATTATTGTAGTTATGAATGTCATGATATAGACTTGCTAAACCATATCAGAAATCAATGAGTCCCATTCTTCTCTGCTAGTTTGTATCCATGTTTGTCTATGGGGAACTTCAATTCAGATCAGCTTCAGGATTTAGAGACAGACATTTGGCTCATTTTGTTTACCAATTAGTTCACAGTGAATGCGGTGCAGGATTACTGTCAAATGAATGCTAGACAATCGAGCTGAATGAAAGTAGACAACTTTGCCAACAGACACATGCACCCCTCATGTGATATGTAGAAAGGTCAGTCAGAGTCTATGAGAGTTGCTCTTGGTACATATGCGCTAACAGTTTTCTTTTTTTTGGTGAAGATGACACACTGTTTATTTCTGTGTGAACCTTGGTACTGATGAGCAATAGGAGACAGATATTTGAGTTTGTACTAATTTTTAACCCTTTCAACTAATTTCATGCAGTCAAACTGACCATATCAGCATGAAAACATTTTAATCGAAGTGGGGATACCTTGGTGCACCCAGCCCTATTTGATCAATTGACAACTTTTGAGGGCTTCAAGCACAGAAAGTGTGGGAGTGACGGCTGCTCTCCAGGCACTGAACCTGCCTCATTTACTCTGACATTCAGTTCTCCCCCCTCCCTTGAACTGCTGGGGGTTATCCAAGTCCCAGGAAGCAGCCTCACTACTCACCGCAGCGCCCACTGCTTATTGCAGAGACGCTCCCAAGATGGGGATGCCCAAGACTGCTGAATCAGCAGTGACCATTGGAGCCGCATCCATGTCCGTTCTAGACCGCATATTCGTGAAATGTATAGTGCGCATCACGGAAAGAGAGCTGAACTCCAAGACAACTGGCTCGGACGACCATGTGGCCCCTCAGCAGTCTACTCAAATTAACACGACAGTGCTGCCGCTGAGGCCCACGCATAACCTGACAGGTTAGCATGGCTGTTCACTTAAATGGCAAAGGCTGCTTGTATCAAAATCCCAAATTCCCTCAAGGCCTGAGGGGCTTAATACACAACATGTGGGAGTTTGGCAGTAGGCCTTGGCCCAGAGTTTCAGAACTCTGCTGTTCTCAGCCATTCAAGATGGAGGCTTCTGCCACACCAGACTTTACTGGCAATATAATGCATTTATGTGGGACCATCAGCTAAGAGGTCAGCAGCTCTGCTACAGACTGGGCATCGGATGAAGGCATAGCCGATATCTAGCTGCCCACAGGCGTTCTGTGATATGTCCACTAACCTGGGACTCATTCCAGTCTTTTACAGGATGCTCTCCTGCTTTTTATTTATTTATTTATTATTAGTTTTTTTTCCTATTTTATAGGGCACCCAGTCCTTTCTCAAGAAATAATTGGTTGAGTTTATATTGCTGTGTATTGGCAGCCCCACACATAATTCTAAGTCGGTGACTCCAGTGGTCTCGTACGAATACACCCAGGCTACATAGTTACTCGTTTTATTATGTGCAGGCCTACATCCCACCCATCTTACCACTGCTTTTAAATGACTTCAGGACTAGTGATGTCCTGAACGGTTCGCCGCGGAAGGCGAACATATGCGGTAAACTTTGACCCTGTACCTCACAGTCAGCAGACACATTCCAGCCAATCAGCAGCAGACCCTCCCACCTCCTGGACAGCTCACTAAGAATGCAGCTTCACAATTAATGTAAAATGGATGCTGTCCAGGCGGTGGGAGAGTCTGCTGCTGATTGGCTGGAATGTGTCTGCTGACTGTGAGGTACAGGGTCAAAGTTTACCGCATATGTTCACCGTTCGGCAAACCGTTCGGGACATCACTATTCAGGACATATATTCTGTGTCTCCCAGATAATATTGCTAACACGAGCAGTACTCCTGTAACTTCTATTACTCAATTTATGGGAAGCTTTCATGTCTTATTTTAATGCCCATATTAACCTAGTTATGTACCTCAAGTATGAGTTTGTTTTTTGTTGTGTTTTTTTTTTGCCCTCAGCCTTATTTTACTCCGTAAGGACTCACTATAAAGCACTAGGTCCCAGTGGTTCCAAACAATAAATGTCATGTCTACTTGTCTCTCACTACTCATTATCATACTTTGTTTATTGCTTAAACCTGTACACTCTTTTGTTTATTGCTATGTTTACAAAATTGTGCTGATTTTCACATGTACATCTGTTATATTATGTTGATATAACTGAGCTTGCTGTTATGGCATTGCAGGCATCTTTGTATTTATCTGCACAACTAATCTGTAACATATAAGAATATAAAAACAAAAAAATAAAAAAAACTGTACAGGGCATGGCTGGTTTTCTCGGACCTAGAAGAACTTCTCAACGTCCAACGTGAAACATGCAGATGATGCAGAATAGTAAATGCTTATGTCTGTTAATAATTTAAAACACACAAAATTTCACGCACGGCGATCTACGAACACCGTATTATTTTACTAGAAGTAATCATGCATCATCTGAAAAGGGGTTTCATCTTGTTAGGACTCTGTGTATGGCTTTGTATTCCAATGTACACAATCATTATAATCTGTGTTGCAGCGCCTCCAAGTGGTCAGAAAATCAGGTCATGACTTATTGAATGTCACCTAAAACCAGTACTATCTGCAGGCCAAGAAGCGTAAGAGATATTATTCCCAAGGCTCCGAGGTCTGGAGCCCAGGATGCATTAAGTAATGGATTGATTGAAAAGCACTTTACTGCGGGGCATCCTGTGCCCGTCCTTGCTATAAATGGTGTATGTTTAAAATAAAGCAAATGCCCATTTAAACTTAGCTTCTCCATAGCTGGAGAATAATTGATTCTCCTAATGTGCCGTGCACAGATGGCAGGCTTCATACAGTATTGGACGGTAATCTGTCTGTGTCCTAGAAGATTAAGACGGTCCAGGTTTTGCATGTGAAATCAGCTGATATATTTTTTTTTTTCTCTAAATGAATTGAAATCATTATCTGCAGTGCAGAGCGTTGGTCGTTCTAAAAGCATACCACGAGAGTGTAATTTTTGCTGTGTGGTTTTTTGGTTTCTTTTTCTTGTGATCAGTTCAAAGCCTTTTTTTAAATCTATTTATTTTATTTATTTTTTTCCTGTTCCTTTGACTACGGGAACTGTACATTCATTAGCCAAGCTACCATGTTTTAGTTTGCGAGGGTAGACTATGTCCTGCCTAAGCTGAGAAATTTTATTTTAACACTGGGAAGTAACTTATTAAACGCTGGGGTACTGCAGTCATGTGAGGATTTCCAAGGAAGAGAAAGAATGTACTGCGGCCTTCTAACACTGTTACAAACCCGGCTCGGAATGCTTTGCTTTGGGGACTGTATACGATGAGAACAAGTGACTTTGTAAAGCTGTGGAAAGAAACTGCAAACTGTGTATTTTCTGTGGTTCTCTGAATGACTTCTCTGGACTCATCTGCTAAAATGGATTCAAATGAGATGGATTATCAGGAAGACTATAAGTCTCCGTTTAATTTTGACTGTGGTGTCAACCGGAATTACCTTTTCTTGGCGCCACATCTGAGCAGTACGCCACCGGATTCGCCAACCCTGCTAAACATGGGTAAAATGTTACAAACTTTTACAATCTAATGTAGTTTCGTGCAAGGCTGTTGGAATTGTGCAAGTGATTTGTAGTTTTTCTGATGTATACATTTTGAGATGGATATCTGGTTTTGATGTGTGGAATAGATTTGTGTCTTTAGTGTTTATAGCTTGGCTGTGTGATTCTGCATTTAGAAGTATATATTGGGTTTATTCACGCAACCGCTGTAATCAATTGAAAACTGCTACATTTTACACTAAAGTAGCTTATTGTTTTCAGATTGCTTCAGTTCACTGTTTAGTGAATAAAGCCTTTAGTGCTTCAGTGTGTGCACTGCTGTGAGATGGGATTTTGTGTGGTGCATATATTCACTCGTCTGAAGCTGAAAATGGATTAACACTGAGATGAGAAAAAAAATTTAAAAAATTATTTATTAAGAGAGACTGACATATATGCTAACAGTGCTACTAAATACTGGAAACGCTACTTCTTGCTAAATTATTGCTGTTTCTTTTGGAATTTTTTTACGCAATTAAAATAATAGAAAAATTAGGAGATTAATAGAATCTGAAAGCCAAAATTTTAGTTTTTGGTCTGTTAAAGGCTACAATTGTGCCCCCTGGCGTCTGTCAGCAATACCTCCTCAGTTCACCTCACAGGTACTGTAACCTTTTCTTTAAAATATAAAATATTTGAAGAAAATCTTTTAGTGGTTAGTGGCTTTACAGCTGTGTCTATCAGAAAACTCATGTGTCAGATTCTCACAACTGTGGAAAAATCTAATTCATTGCCTTTACTTCATTGAAGCTACTACATTTTAATTTAATAAATTACATTAAATGCTTCATATACTTTTACTTTTTTTTTTTATTTAAACCCCTATGCACTTCACCATCTCTTCCTGACTTATTGCCCGTTGTACTTTTTTTTTATTTTATGTTAGATCACAGCTGTTAAGAACTCGAAAACAGCTGAGTATCTAGCCTTTACCTATCCAGGGTCGCCACAATCCAGCTCAGTCCAGATAAGCCCCTTGTTGCCCGACGAGCTTCTTGTGCTTGATTGCAAGCACGTTTAGGCAGGGCCCTCTTTACCTACTGCTTCTGAATGTCATACATGTCGTGTTAGAATTGAATGTTTGTCTTATTTCCAATTGTATAGCATGACGGAATATGTTGGGGCTATATCAATAAATGTTATTCTGGTAATTCTAATAAGATGTCAGTCGTTATGTGTAATTGTCCACTGCTTGTGGAGGAAGGTGTCATTGAGTTTGAGATACAGACATTTTAATGTTCGTAGCAAACATGGTCATGCTTTATTGTGGGTCACTGAATTTGCACGTCGCCACAGTCTGTCAGGTTTTAAACAAGCCTAAAAAAAAACATTTAAACAAAAGGTACTTCCGGGCTGCTGTGAAATCCAACCCCTGTTGCTTGATCAGGGGTACAATACAGAATGCAAAATACAGGAAACAGATGAGCAGTGCTGCAAGGATATGCTGTGTGCACAAAGTACCACTAGTGATTTATTTGAAGGACGTACAAATGGCGATATCAGTCAGATATAAACACTGATGAAGGGTTGAATCCCAAAACATTTGCTGTACTTTTGTATGTCCGTTAGATAAATCACTATTGTAGCACTTTGTGTACACCGCATATCCTACTAGCACTACTGATTTTTCCCTGTATTTTTTTTTTTTTCATTGAGGTTGCTTTTACAAATGAAGCTCTTATTCTGGTTACAAAATGAATAATCAGCAAGAAATGGCTGTTACAATTTGCAGGAGAGAGCTATAATTTCCTGGCTTATTACATTTCAGAATGTAAATCAATACATGTATATAGTATTTTCAGTCTATCATCTCTCTAGAAATACTGACTTTAAAGGAACACTCCAAACACCATAATCACTACAGCACACTGTAAAGGTTATGGTGACCTCATTGTAAGTAGTCTAACCATTTTGAGTCAATTTGACGTCTTACTTGAGATTAGTCAGGTGCTAGATGTGAGAACCAGAAGCTTCTCTTCGCTTCCATTACCTCTCCTGAGCTAATCCCAGCAGTGCAGTTTTAGAACCTAGGTCTGATGGGCAACACTCCTCACCTCCCTGTAGGCGGAAGTGAGTGTTCAAAGCCCCTGTTAGCCAAGTCACGCAGGGCTAGCTCATTGGCTGAGAGTTATCAGCTGACACTCTTAGCCAATGAGCTAAGCCTGTACTTTCAGAAAGCATCTGGCTTTGCTGTAGCTGTAGTGGAGGCAAGGAGAGGTGCCCCGCGGACCCCATGTAATAAGTGAAACCATTCTAAATAGTCTGACTACTTCCAGCACAGCGAAGGGGCCTGAAGTGTTCCTTTAATTCTTGACCCCTTCACCCCTTACATTACAAGCAGAATCCAAATGCTCCAGTCCTCAGCAATTGTCTTTGTAAGTTGTCGTCACACTTTTAAGCTGGCTAGTGTGTTCAGTACGTTATACAAACTGACACAAAGAATCATCAGTGTCCAAAGAATATAGTCCTGTTTCCAGCACAGTGGATTGCAGCAGCTGTTCTGGAAGGTCACATAGGTATTGCTTAGATGTTACTGTTTACCGATGTAGCATTGATTTTAACATTGATAAATACAAACTTTCGTACTTCCAGTGACCGTCAATTCAGAGGACAGCGGTCGGCTGCATAGTTTTTTACTAAAATTTTAATGTCCGACATTAAAGTGATTTACAATGTTTAGGCCATAATAGCCAACTTGGAATTATTTTCTTTTTGATTATATATTTAGCCTTATAGTAACAGCTTACCTTTATTCCAGTCTGCTGCTGCTGGTTCTGCCCCTGATCGGTTTCCTTGGCTGACCTCATCAGAAGTGATGATCTCAGCCAATGACAATGCTTTCCCATAGGGAAAGCATTTGATTGGCTGAGATTGTCAATTCTGATGATCTCAGCCAAGGAAGCTGGCCGGTGAGCGGAGCCAGACACTGTTCTGGCCAATCAGCATCTCCTTATAGAGATGCACTGAATCAATGCACCTCTAATAGAAAACTTCAGTGTCTCCGTGCAGAGGGTTGAGACACTGAATGTCACTGCTGCTCACTGTGCCCCATGATGCACCTCTAGTAGCCATCTGAGGAGTTTGCACTGAAGGTGTCCCTAGGCTGTAATGTAAACCCAGCCTTTTCTCTGAAACGACAGTGTTTGCTGCAAAAAGCCTGAAGGGAATAATTATACTCATCAGAACAAATACAATAAGCTGTAGTTGGTGACTCCTTTTAACTTTGATTTCCTGACCATCTACAAGTTGGTGAATAACTTGGCTATTTGGAAACCTATGTTCAAATCCTGGTCAGACCATTCACCAGTAAGTGTCCCTGGGCTAGACACTTAGCGATATATACCTGCTACCAATAAATCCTCATAGATTGTAAGTTCATTTTAGCAGGACCTTCTTGACCTAATTACACTCTGTGTACATTCTAATTACACTCTTACATTGATTTATTTTTCATATGTATGTGGTTTTTTTTTTTTTGTTTTCTAATTCTTTCTTTTTTTTTTCCCTTCAAAATAAAACCGCAGAACATATGTATCTTGTGCTCTAGGAATTCATTATTTTATTACTGCCTCCAGAAATTTATATTGGCTGCATAATACATGAATGAATGCCTTCATCAAGCAGTAATGTGACTTTTGTTTTGTTTTTCGCTACGGTCCAGTAGATTCAGTAACTGTTTTCGCTGGATGATTTATTTCTTATTTATATTCATTCATTTCTTGTATAATGTAACCTGTTGTGCGTTTTGCAATATGACTTCACATCGACATCAGATCGCACATTTATTTTATTTATCACTTGGCTAGCTTTTCAGCATCCCAGAAATCTGTAGATTGTTGTTGTTGTTATTTTTCTGCAGGGGCTATTTGTCATGTCTGCCATTTTAAGATGTATTTAAAGCTTTTTAATTGTGCAACACTTAGGTCAGATGCCCATACATTCTGAAAATCTGATGTCCAGAGACTCAAGATGCTTACAGCACTCCCTTTAAATGGGAATTCTCCTCTTTTTACTGGTCTCTGTAGAAGTATATAACCTTGGTTTTTTATTTTTTTTTATTTCAGGGTGTGTGTTGTATTACTCAGCTTCGTAATGCCCTATTGGTTGTATCAGGTCTCAAACAATGGGGGTTAATTCACAGCAGTCTACAAATGCACGAATCCTCATCTTTTTACGATTAAGATTATGTACTTTAATGGAGGGTCACAAATGGTGTGGCATTTGGACACGAGGCAGGAAAAGAAATCCCCAGAAACGAATCACTTAAATACATGAGGTGCTGCTGTATGTGCCTGGAGAATAAGGAATTGTCTGAGGGCCAGTTGTGAAGCTTTAGCAACACAGAGCCTCCAAGCAATGGAAAACTAGAGGTTTTCCAAACATGGCTGTATATGCCAAGGAAATGTAGAGTCTGTACAAAGCTTGAAGTGTGAGGAACAGTGTTTGTGAAAGCCATGTCCTTAAAACGTTCATTAATGTAAATTGGTGTTAGCAGCATTTTCTGTTTTTGTGATCTAAATGCAAGATTCCAATGAGATGGGTGCAATTTAATGAATGTTTTAAAAAATGTAATTATATTAAATATATATTTATTATATATTCATTATATTTGACATGCCACATGACCAGCAAACAGGTCTGGTAAAGTTGGACTTTACTCAGAGAAACAATAATGCATTCAATATAAAAATAGAAACTCTGTGAATGGGGTGGTTAGTGCGCGCAAAGCGGAACATGTTGAACAAATCTCTGACTATCAGGAGGTAGACTTTGAAAACACTGGAAAAATATGCCTCTTTTCCCCGGAATGGAATTATTGACTTTCTTTCTTACTGAGATTATGAAGTTTAGGGACGATTTATCCCCAGTGTTGCCATAATTGTCATACTTTCTATACTCTTACCGCTTTTGAATACCGATGGTCCGTACATAATTTGATATTCTTTTGTAGAGAAATCACTTGTTACTTTGGAATTCCTGATATACGAATTGGTTTCACTTCTGCAGCTTATAGACTTGCATATCACAGGGCAACATTTATAGGTAATAGTAATTGTTGCACTGGAAGTCAGGAACAAATATGGTCGATCTATCTACCTGCCACCACTTCCTGTCATGTATTGCATAGGACAGTCAAACTTCTTGTTTAACGTAAACTCTTGCATTCTGTCTTTATCTTATCGTCTCTACCTCCTCCTTGATTGCTAGCTTACACGAGCAGGTCCTTGTCCTTGTGTACCAATGGTGGTAATATTTTAATGCATTCACACCAGTAACGCTATGTCTTTGTTCTTTTATACTTCTCTGTAACTGTGTGATCGTGCACAGTCTGCTGTATTTCGGTCTATGGAGTACATTAAATAAATAAAAGACTTGGGTGACCCTACTACACAGGGTGTCTTCTCAACATTTACTTTCTGGAACTGAAGTTGTATTGTTTTCATTGTTTTCTTTACTTTTTTTTTTTCTATCTAGATTTGCTGAAGCCGGAGTCTGTGCCTGAAGGAGAAGATGTGGCTGCTACAATTCCTGAAGAATTATCAGAGGAAGAACAAGAGCATCTCCGGAAGGAGCTTGAAAAGGTACCCGTTGCCTTGTGTGCTTAGTGGTCTTCCATTGTAGATAATCACAGAAACCTACAGTGCAGTCAATCCGTACTCCGTAATGTGTCCGTCCATCTTTTATTCTAGTGCACACCATAGCAGTTTTATTAGTAAAGCACAATTTTGAGAGAAAGTTCTAAAATTAGTGTAGTCTCTTAAAGGGACACTATAGGCATCTAACAACCTATTGGCAATGCTCAGTATGGAATTGTAAGCACTAAAGAGAATTGTGAAAAGGTTTGGAGTAACCCTAATGTTTGCTATTATATTGCTTTGAGTTCTGTGTCTGAATGAATTTTCCAATATATGTATTATTAATATTGCTGGAGCCTGCATGAGGAGGTGTGCTTTTTACCTATGCTGTAAAAAAATGTAATCCCCTTAAGATGCTTGGAAGAGTAAGGCAAATTATTAATGGATTAGTGTTTGCCCTCTCTATATCCTCATTCCTTTAAAATCACATAAATTAATATATAGAAACGTATTGCCCCTGTCTGTCTTACCTCTCTGTTGCTTATAACTGAGTCAATATGTAAGTTTTCATGCCTGTAACTCACCTCACTGTTCAATTATTTACATTGTGTGTGTGCACCATGAGTACCCACTACTTTTTTTTTTTTTTTTTATTCTTCTTCATGACAAAAATAAGAACGCAGCTGTTCAGAAAGCTAAATAATAGACCGTGTGTCTTTTCATTGGTGAAACCTCTTCTTATGATGTCATACATATTCCTCGAATAACGGCTATGTGGTTTATAGATCCATCTTACTGCACAGAAATGTGGCAATGGTTCGATAGTTTAAAGTGAACATTTTCTCTTGATATGATTTTTGCAAAAATATCTTGTTTAAAAAATATAAATACATTTTTTTTCATAAATATGGCAACCGAAAAGATTGCACTCATGCATCTCTATATATAATATTATTTTATTTTTTTGTGTGCAGTATCTGAACATATATCATTGTTACAGTAGCATATGAAAAAAAGTCGATTTGATCTTCGAGTGTCCGTGTGTTCATGAAATTGGAATCTGTGCAATGTTTTATATAATTAAATGTTTTCTTACCGTGATGAGGTGGGGCTGGCTTTTGCATGCTGAGATGTGAGAGGGTAGATTAGATGCTATATTTATTGTACTTGCTCCCTAAATGCCTCCTGCTTTCAGGTAGAGGAGGAAATTCAAACACTTAGTCAAGTGTTGGCTGCGAAGGAGAGACATCTGGCTGATCTCAAACGGAAACTTGGAATCACAACTTTGTCCGAACTGAAACAGAACATCTCCAAAGGGTTACAAGATGTTGCCTCCACAAACGTGTATGTATAGAGAAAAAGGCTTCACGTTTCTTCTTAACGGAATTTCCGTAGCCATACATATTAAAGCTGGATACATTTACACTGAATACCTGACCCAGAGAGACGCTCTTTGACATTTCTCATTTATTTTATGCATTAATAGTGATCAATAAAAGGTTAATAAATAATAAAATTCCAAAAACATATAACATTTAAAACAAAGGACACATTTTGTTTAACTTTTGAGTAAATGGAAACACATTTTATTTAAATAATCTGTTTATTAGTTAACAAAATAGTGGTACTTCAATTTGATTAAATGTAATCAACTAAAAATAAATTAAAGGGAAATTTTGATGACTGTTGTTCTTTAAGAGACATTTTTGCAAAACGAGGGTCACCTATCTCATATTGGACCACTGTCACTGGGACACAGCACAAGCAGTTGTATGACCCAATATGAAATGTTACTGAATTTTTTTAATAATCATGTATTATGAATGGTGTGGTTCCTTTTCTCTTCTCTTTGCTTTTGTTTTCTTCTTTTTTTGTCTTGTTTTGACTCTTTCACTTGAAATGTACTTGTTTGCAGATACAAAAAGACATCAGAAACCTTATCTCAGGCTGGTCAGAAGGCCTCTGCTGCCTTTTCAACAGTTGGTTCTGTCATTACAAGGAAACTGGAAGATGTCAAGTAAGTGAAAACCAGTCTTTTTCTCAGAATATGTAACGTTTCTAAATCAGAATTGTGTCCAAGGAAAGCCCTCTTAAAGGTTTTGAAAGAGCTCTTCAGACACACACCAATGTTATAGGAAATATGCAGGTTTGTTTTTTATTTTTTTCCTCCTAACTTGCCGTTTTTATACTTTTTTTTCCTCCAAATCATATACTGGTGTGAATGAAATCATGGCTTTCTGGGAGTTGTAGTTCAGCAGTTAACATTTACAGTAGGAGGATAATAGAACTACAAATGTCAGGAATGGTTGCTGTGCCTATCAAACCAATCCTACAGGATAAGCTCTGTGAGACAAGTCACTGCCTGGTTTAGTGAAACCTGTCCAGCAGTTTTTACAATAGAAAGGCGATACTGATGACAGACCTCTGAGTTGGCAATGGAGTGACCAGGAGATGCAGTTCTACTACTCTTCATAGTAGCAACTGTAATCTTACTCTTGCACAGATGTCCCGTTAGGAAGAGTAAGTATATTTAAAACAGGATCCTTCTTCCACACAATTATAATTCCAGAAATCAGCCTTAACTGTTATAATTGTTAATCTTATTGTGTATAATAAAGAGAATTTTACAATAAAGAGAATCTATATTTAATTGCACATACATAGAACATTCTACTACTTCTGTCTAAATTATATTCCAGAATTCTGCATAATGTGCGTACATTCATTATTTAGTAGATGTTCCCCTTGCAATGCTCAGATCCGTAGCAGCAGATGTTCCTGATGTTTGATAGTTCTGGTTTGACACTGTGGTTACAGACTGACATTTCACTTTCACTCTTTGTCTGATTTTTGGATTTGTGATTAAAGTTTAACTCACTGTTGGTTATTATATAAAGTTAAAGTGAGCCTGTCTTGGCAGAATCACATTTTTGGCTTGCTGTTACTAAAAAACAGTGAATACATGATTTTACCCATATGTTGAATTGCTTCGGTATTTGGAGAGTTATTAAATAAACACTCTTCAGTGTGGTTGACTTCATTAGCACGTGAACCGATTGATGTGTGTCGTTCTGTTTTATATTCCTGTGTAAAACCATGAGATGCTTTTAGTTGCTAGGGAACATTCACATCAACTTCAGTATGTAGCCCAACGTGCACTGTAGTTTCTCTAAAGGAAGATTCGCTTCCTCTTCACCTGTCAATCAACTCTTGGTGTACACTATGCTGTCAGCCTAGACTTGTATTCCGAGAATTGTCAGCTATCCTAAATATCTGTCCTGAAGAGTGCAGTTCTAGGAAGAGCTGAGATACTTCACTCAGATTCCCAGGAATGTGGAATAAAATACCACCACCCTGAGGGGTGAATAAGTAAATTTGATACAAATAAATTTATTAAGAAATTCTGCAAGTATAATGAATTATAAAGCTTTAGGTTTCAAATCCATGTTAAGCATCACAGGGGCACTTTAAAGCCAATCTGTCACAAAAAAAACACACAATAAATCATGCTCTTATTTATTTATTTATATATATATATATATATATACATTCATACATACATAGTGATGTATCTGTCACTGTGCATGCTGATGATCGCGGTGTATACCCCATCTGTTAATGTCTTCCAATACCTTACTTGAGATATATATGGAGAGCTATCTTGAAGACCCCCCATTTTTGCCACTAACGTTCTGACATCCATCGTCTTAAGTTTTCGTTACTGTTTCATTGGGTTTTGTTTTAGGATCATAGTTAAGATCCCATAATAGATTCCCATTGACACATTGTTTCACCTCTGTCTTAGATTTGTCTGTTATCGTGTCTGTTTTTTTTTTTTTGGGTGCAAACCTTTTTTGTTGTTGTTGTTTTTCTCATATCATCAGGGATTTGCAGATGCTAAATATTCTTAGACTGCCTGTGGTGCAATTAACCTACTTTTCCTTCACTAACTCTCGTTATCTTTTCCCTTAATGCTGCCTTTAGTATTCGTTCTATACAGCACTCAATTAGCATGCCTGCAATGAGGTAATGTATCCCGTGAAACCAATGGACATATACACACTTCTTTTTATAATGGGGTACAAGTACAGTTACATTTGTTTCAGAAATTAAGCTGCTAAATAACATACCTTTCATCCCAATCTGCATCTAACCATTGGATCTATGGGTCAGCATGTAGTAATATTGGGTAACCTTATATTGTCAGCATATAGTAGATACACACAAGGTACAGATCTGCTGTGATATAACAAAGCTTAAAATATTTTGAAAAGTTTGATTTGTTTAGAAGCTTTTATTAAAGGAGTCAGTTTTAGAGCAAACCAGTATATGTACAAGTGTGTCTGTGTGTATGTAAACTAAAGCAATCTGGTATATATATTTTTTTTTTTCTTGTACAAAATATTCCTCTTATAGGTGTGTATGGATAAATAAGTTATTGATATTTGGTACATTTTAGTCTATGAATCCCTCCCCCTCCCCCCTTATAGCCATTTCAAAATCTTGTAATGAACAAGTGCACAGACACTCGTTAATTTTCCATAAATGACTGTGACACTCAAATTTAAAAATAACTAATTGCTTCATTCAGAAGGTTATTATAAAAAATGAATTAAAAAAAAAAATAACCAGCTTAAACGACTTGGTTGTTTTCCACAGTAGTCGCCTCAGTCTTTAAGTATTAATAACGCTGATTTAGTTAAAGACTTGGCACATGTAAACAAAACTGGCTAATACTCAATGTATTTTTGTGGATTCAATATTTAGATTTTGTTAAGGGTGAAACAAGCCATAGACAGTGACAAACACAGTCAGAACTGGAAGTCCATTCTCTGGTTTTCTTTCTTTAAGATCAGTGCGTTATGAAGTCTTATGTGATTTATAAAAATATGTGAAATAACATTGGTAAAAGATGGACTGTATAAGGATGTTGCCTTGTGTGACCTCGCTCGAAGCAAGAACGATTTATACCGATTATAATGATTATTGGATTTAAAATGTAATATATGTGATAATCTTGTCTTGATTATAGTTGCTGCTGTTCAGAGAGAATGACTGCCTTGTGTGCTAATTATTCCCGGTTGCTCGCTCTCTAGACTAAAAACAAAAAACAGGAAAAAATAAATAAAATTGAGAGCATTTAATATAGTGTCCAATAATGCAACAAAACAATCCATTAGCATTACAGATGGATGTTTGTGGACAGAAGCAGCATGTAAATGTCTCTGCCCCCTGCTGCTCACTCATTGTACTGCACATATTGTTTAATGCCAGAGTGTGCAGCTGTGATTCATGTGGGATAGGAAGTATATATTCCATCTATTTTTTTTAATTTTATTTTATACATATACATATATCATTCGTATTTCAATTTTAGGCCTGACTAATTTGTTTGCCGTGCAAGTACCTCCGTGAATGCAGGCATGTATATGTGGAGTGTGCATTTATCAATTTGGAGGGTGTATATAAATTCAAGGATATATTTGTCAGCGCAGTGCTGTATATGCACCCCTTTTCATCACCCCCAATGCCACTTCTTCTTCTCGGACATGTCCATTCTCCACGTAACCCTTTTTTACTTATAAATCGCTTTCCCGTTCGACGTGTACTTTCCGAGATTCTCTATTTGCTCACTAGAGAGCCAATTCCTTGGTGGAACGAGCGAGCTAAATAGAGATGTGCTTTGGCTAGTTTAACCATGACTACTGTGAGAGCCACTGGGAGCTTTGTGTGGCTGCAGTGTACCTAATGACCATATATCTGAGCTTCCAGAGCCCCTGCCATGTAGCTACACATACAGGCGACAAGCTGTAAGCAGCTAGCTCACCCTAGCTCAATTACTTGCCTTAGTTAGAGGAAATACGGAAACTCAAAACTGTGATTTTGTAATGCAAAACTGTTCATCTTTGCTGGGGGAACATAAACTGCATCTAGCTCAGTTTTTAGTTTTGGTTATTTACTCTAATGAGCCATACTTCAACCTCTGTAACCTTGTATATTTGGGGTTTTTCATCCATATATTTGACATTCATTTGAAGAAAATGCACTAATACAAACTTATGAAAATGTGTCCTCATACAGAAGACACTACATAATGTCCATTAAATGTTTGTTGTTGCCAGTTCCACGATCTGTATCATGGAACAATAGGAATATTTTGTTAGTTATTACCAATGTTTACCATCCACAGTAAGGACTATTTGTGTTAATTATCTGTCTGTTTGTTTTTATAGGAATTCACCCACATTCAAGTCTTTTGAAGAAAAGGTGGAAACTTTAAAGGTAAATTTATAGAAATGTCGAGCATTGTTCCTTATAGCCAGATGTCTCCTGGACAAAGCCATTACCTAATTATTAAGAGAAATAATTTTGATGCTGGTTTTGGGTTCTCAACCATTTCGGCATGGAACAATATATTTAGATAGTAATGTGCTTATTTTAACAAAGGGCAGCTTAACGGACTACCAATTCATTGTGGAATGTATGTTTTGTGGTGTTGGTTTAAATGGCAAATGTCAGTGCTTTTTGCTGCCAATTTGGTACTCTAAAATAGCAATAACTAGAGGTCTGCAGTTTTGTTTATACACAGACAGTTTGAGGAGCCAGACCAAGGAATATACATAGTGCTAACCAGCCTTGTCTAATTATTTCTACAATTCAATGGGATATAACTGTATGTTACTATTTGTTTTTTTAACGTTTAGCATGTAAGGAAATATTGACATTGCTTAAAGGGACACTAAAGCCACCAGAACAAATACAGCTTAATGTAGTTGTTCTGCTGTAAATAGTCGGTCCCTGCAGGCTTTTTGCTGTAAACACTGTGTTTTCAGAGACAACTCCAATGGCCACTCCTCAGATGGCTGCTAGAGACTTTGCTGCACGGCCTGGGACTTTGCTGCACAGTGTTCAGCACTGACATTCAGTGTCCCCACCTTTTGCATGGAGACACTGCACTTTCCTGATCCAATGCTTCTCTATAAAAAGATGCTGATAGGCCAGGGTGGTGTTTGGCTCTGCCCCCTGACCCGCCTGCTTTGCTGAGATAATCCAAATTAACTATCTCAGCCAATCCAATGCTTTCCTATGGGGAAGCATTGTGATTGGTTGAGATTATCACTCCTGATGATGTCAGCCACGGAGGCAGATCAGGTGCAGAACCAGCAATAGCAGACTGGAAGAAAGGTAAGATTTTACTAGATTTAGGGGAGCAAGGGGGTGGCCAGGAGGGTAGATAATGTTTTTCACACTACAGGGTCAGGGATACATGTTTGTGTTCCTGACCCTAAAGTGTCCCTTTAATTGGAACTAGACTGCAAAAATATGTTTAAAACTGTTTGTCTGAATCAAATCCCTTTTAATCCACACCCGAATGAACGGATACGTCCGGATTTTGGATTGTAAGCAAGGTTTATGAGACTTGAATCTAGTCCCACATGTTGCAATACAGCTGCATTTTAACATACATGTTGATCTGTTCTCTGCTCATTTGGTCTAACTTCGTCTTACTTTTTTTCCTGTTTAGACCAAAGTTGGTGGCAGCAGACCAGCCACGGGAGATTTTGGCGAAGTGTTGAACTCCACAGCAAATGCCAGTGCCACAGATTCTTTAACTGAGAACGATCTGGAGACCCAGTGAGATGTCTCTGTGTACAGCAACCAATACTGCAAGATGCTGCAAGAAATGTGAAACCTGTCTACTGCGTTGTCCCATATCTTTCTTTCTTTGTATCTTTAACCTATCCTTAGATGCTAGCCCTCTGCGTGCTAGAAGTGTGTGCCGTGTGCAATTCATTTCATTAGCATGAAACAGGGTTAACAACTTTAACAACTGATACGTTTAAAAGCGGTTGTATATTTTTGTTAACACAAAGTTTTTGATGTTTTTGTCTTCTTTTTGATTTTGCATCAACTTCAAAATGTTTATCATCATATCTGCCAAATGTTTTTTTGTTTTTTTTTTACACTGGAAGCTTTATTAACTGTGTGGACACTAATAAAAACAAAACAAACATAAAAAAATGTTGTAACAATAAACATGCGCGATCCATCTAATGTAAACAATAAATTGCTGCCATCCACCTGATCCCAAATTAAGAGATACGGTTTATTATGAGATATCAATGGGCTCTTTCTTACTTTATTGGCAGATCGTGACACTGGGGTTTCTTTATTTAAACATTGAATTGCAGTGCATCAAACATCAAATTGCACTTGTTAGACAAAAATAGCTGATATGGAAAAATGTAGCCTACAATTCAGTTTTCAGTTTGCTACTGTTTTAGTATATTAATGATGTTGCCTAGTGTTCTGCTGGGGGAGGGGGGAGGGAGGTGTGGGGTTCACAGTTTGTGCCTCTGTGCTAATATTAAATTTAAAATGTCATTAAATGCTTGTATTATCATTCCTACTTCTTTAAAGGGACAGTGTAAGCACCATAATCACTTCCCTGGTGCCATTTCCAAATTATTAGGCACATAACATGCTCCGTTAGGGCACCTGCAGTCTTTCCACTCTGCACTGTAATGCTAAAGTGGAGGTTTATACATCTATACTTGTATATCAGCTTTGGACATTATTTGGTGGCTGATCTGAATAATGCATCCCATTTTGCAAATGTTCTATTAACTAAGCCAGAGTTAAAACAAACAAACCTACCAAGCCACTCCACGAACTCCTCCATCTCAACTGCTACACTGTTACCTGGGTCTATTTCCCATTATAAGTGCATTTAACATATGTCCTTTTTGGGTTAATAGCAAGGCATAGGTGCCAAAACTTAGTGTGCGCAAAGACAGGGCATCATTTTACTGCAAACTGTGTAGTGTGTGTTTTACATTAACTCAGTGTTCATGTACTGAGACTATACATGCAGTGCAGCTGAGCTCATACTTTTGTACAGTACAATAAATTATCCTCCAAAAATCTTATAAGTGATTTTTCCATCCTGCTTCCCTGTAAATCGATTTAATACATGCAGCACTTGATGTATTAATTAAAACGAATATCCTGTCCGTTTTTTTTTCGTGTGTTTTTTTTTTTTTGCTTTTATGCTGCTGTTGGCCAGTTTTAATCTACCTTCATGACTATTCTGTATGATTCTCCAGTGTTATTTCCCATGCCTGGCTCATCCAGAGATTTGTAAATTTATGGAAATCGCTGAGGGGTCCCTGCACACCATAACTGGTTTTCTCAACATCAGACGTAAGCAATTCTACTCTGATGATTGCAAGTAGGAAGCAGGAGAATTAGTGCTGATTATTACAGTGGCTGGTAACACGGCTAATGGACATTGTGTTCTGCAGAATGATTTTCTGGCTATAAAGAACATTAAAGGGACATTCCAGGCACCCAGACCACTTCTGCCCATTGGAGTGGTCTGGGTGCCAACTCCCACTACCCTTAACCCCTGCAGCTGTAATTATTCCAGTTTTCAGACTTTTCTACTAGACAGCCACTAGAGGGCACTTCTCGGTCCATAGCACAGGTTTTGTGAGGACCTCCAGTGTCGCTAAAATCCTCATAGGAAAGCAATGAAAAGCTTTTTCAATGCTTTCCTATGGAGAGGTCTAGTGCGCGGCATTAGGTCTCCCCAGCCGGCGGGCATGATCAGTCTTCCCCGCCGGCTGACGTGATGAAGGGGAGGAGCGGCGGCGGAGGAAGAAGCAGCGACGAGGGACATCGTCGCTGCCTTTGGTAAGTGACTGAAGGGGTTTTCACCCCTTCAGCAACCGGGGGTGGGAGGGAAAGGGGACCTGCAGTGCCAGGAAAACTGTTTGTTTTCCTGGCACTGGATAGTCCCTTTAAGGGCTAGTATTGTTCGTTATAACAAAAATAAACCACTTCATCTGTACATTTCAGTATTTTATGTCACAGAGTTCAAAAATACATGTTCCCCTATCATCTTAATGATCTTGCCATTTGGAAATTAGAATAACACCTCTAAACTATATTCTACAGTGTGTCTACAGCTTGCTTTATAGTGTGGTGCCTTAAAATCAAATTTATTTAAGTGACTTTTTATTTTTTAACCCCAGTTACGTACTTAGACCAGAGCAGGCTGTTGCCAATCTGTCACATTGTGCATGTTTTGCATGTTATCACTTTTTCGCTAGAATAGGTGAGTCTGTGGAAATTACAAAATCACAGATTTTTTTAAAATTTATACTCCATGGAGTATACAGTAAACTAAAAAAAATATATATTTTTAGGTTATCCTGAACTGCAAATTCCCCATTTCAAATCTCAACACAATGCAATAATTCTTTAGGTACCAAGCTGTTATAGAAGACAATAATTAGTTCAGCTTGTGGATAAATAGAAATTATTGCCTTTTTTTCTAGTGTTACTATAGACAAAGCCTATAGTTCTGTGCGAAAATATTATAGGTAAAACATGGAAACTACCCAGGCTATATAAGAAGACTGTGATCTTGTCTATCCTGGACTGTTCACAAATCATAGTAAGTCATTGATCAATCCCCTTAACCCCATAGAACATAATAGTGCAGCTTTTAAACATGATGCACACTGCAGTTTTGATTCCTTACAATGCCTGTACGGTCGTTTCTATTTCTCTTGGCACAGATGGGGTCTGGAATTGCCATTACCCTGCCATTTAATGCTTGTACCCTGTGTCCTCTCCTCCCAGATCCCAAATAGTGTACACTGATAAACCACTATTTCCAGGTATGGTAATAGTCTTCTGAAATCACTAGATATACGTCAGCACACATACTGTTGCCTATATATTGTAAAACTGTCAAATAAGCTCCTGGCAGGCTTAAGTGCCAAGTCTGATAATGTGTTTAATTAGATTTTATTTAGATTTTCTTACAAGTGCATATCCATGATCATTTAAACAAATAGGAGTTAAATGACAGTATCTGACAATCAGTGTGCATTTTAATCCTTTGCTGTGCACATATGTTCATATGAAAACAAAAAAGTTAAAGGATACTTTCCAATACACATATTAATGCCATACAAAACGGCTTATAATAAACAATGCATGTAGAAGCTATTTTTTTTTTTTTTTTTCAGTCTGGTGCAGGTTCACTGTTAAAACCCAGAGAATAGGATGTATAAATATGCTTCAGCTGTGTAAGTACCTAGTAAATCATTAGATTTTTATGATGTGGGAAACATTTGTACATGTTGAAAACACATCTTTAATGCAATGCTTTGCCAATATTTTTATTTGTGAAATTAATATATGGCAACACATTAGTTTTGGTACCCTGATATAACGATACATGTATGAAAGAGCTTTGGGGTTTATTTGCTAAACCGTGAATTGAAAACCCAAACGCAAAATTCAGGTTGAGACCGCAGATTTTGTGTAAATTCTCCAATTCAGCCGCAGGCTATTTTGGTCTATATTTTACAATTTAGTCTTTTTTGAATACACTGCCGACAGCTTTACTGAACTTTATTCAGTCAAGTGTGGATTGTTATAAATTCAAAGTGACTTTCATATTTTAGTCAACAAATGGCCAAATTGGAAAACATCCAAGTTAGGTTGTTTTTAAATTTAGCTATTTTGGCCTGAAAGTTGAAATTCACTTTAAATTAACAACTTTTCACACTTTTTACTAAATAAACTGGTTTGTTTCTCTTTTGTCTATTTTATGGGAAAATAGCAAATTTGATTTGACAGACTGTCTTACACTCTTTGAATCATAACGAATACAGTTTGGTGCATGGACACTAGGAAATCAAAGTGCACAATCTTTGTTTTGGTTCGGGTGTATAGAAATTGTTCGTAAAAGGTCGCTGCGGCTGGGACAGGTTCCTTATAAATAGTGAGTTCTACTGCAAGTTCAATGTATGTTCATTGACAATAACTGGCTCCTATAGTCCTGTCATATGTACAATAATTTCCACTCTGTCTACGTCTTGCAAGACATTTTGTAGTGAATAGACGTGTGCATTCTTAGGTATGCAGCGATAATTACCCAACATCGTAGCTCATAAATAAATCAACTATTGGATTAAGAATGTGTTTAGGTTGCAAACTGTGGCTGGCAAAGATTAGCTGAAGGGCTGAGAACAGACATCCCTAATCGACTCTTGCAGGCCTATAACGCAGAGGGGAGTTTATTTCTGGTTCCCGAATGTATCAAGGGCTCACAATTCTAGTGTTCTGTGGCTTGTGGATTACTGTCTTGTCATGTGTAATTGTACAAATGATTTCCATGCCAAATATATTGTTAAAAAATAATTTTGTGGAAGGGCCTTTCTTGTTGTGGTGGCAAAATGATTTTACGAGGATGTTTGTGATATCTGCCAATCCTAATTCCGTCAAATATTCTGGTTAATAAAACACGTTTGTTCTGCAATACCAGATATATTTGTGGTGGTGTCTCTTTCTTGTCTTTGCCAATTCTATGTGAACTTGGGTTTGTGTGCTGCATGTCTGTTTTATAGAGAGATCGTTCACCCAGAGGAAACCTTTTGGTCTGTACTTCGCTACACATTGGATGCGGGTATCTTCTAAGTTAGCCAAAATGATCAAATACTGGTTTTCGCCATTTGTATGGAGCAATTGCCTGGTCAGTGATTATATGTGGGAAACAAAAGGGGGGGAGGGGGGGTTGTTATAGTGCCTGCATGTTGATTTATAACTATACTTAACACTTACATAGCTGTGATTTGTGAAAACTAAAATAGTCTGAACCCAGTGGTGAAACTAATGAAGCGAGAGGCCCAGCATAAGAAATTTGTTAGTGTCCCTCTACAGACCATGGTGTCCAAAGGCTAGATCCTCACTCGGGGTTCAACAGTGCTATGCAAACTGGGGATTTGCCACGTGCCAATCCTTGCAAGATTGTATTTGTGAGCATTGCATTTGCAAGGTGTTGTATAATTATTTTTTGTATGAGTGTGTGAATGCTGGGGTGTATTTTTATGTAAACATTTTTGTTTGCAGGAGGGTGGCACCTCTAAGGCCGGTCTCCTTGTTCTCTTCTCTCCATGCAGCTTTATCACATTCTCTCTAACCTTATACAGCAGTAGGCATGTTTTAATCCAGGGGTGCCCAAAAGGTAGATCCCCAGATGTTTTAAAACTACAGGTTCCATGATGCGTCATTCCAAAGGCAGGTAGTTCTTCAACATCTCGGGATCTACCTGCTTAATCTGTGCAAATAGTAACATGCATCCATCAAGTTCAGCCTTTTGCACATCTGTTATCAAATGCATCGTTCATCGGTAAAGTGTGAGTTCTCTTCCCTTGGGAAAAAAAAAAAAAAGAGCAACAAGTACAGGCATTCTTCCAAACACTGGGAGGTAAGAACGTGGAACCTAGGTTTGGGATTGAGGGGGTGTCTCTCAAAAAGGTATAGGTCCTCTCAGTTTTCTTGGAATGCATGTACAGCAGGCCAACAGATGGCTATTTCAGCTAGCCCTGCTCAAGGCATTGTTAAAGTAACCTGGTTTGGCAGACAGTGGCCAGGATTGAAGCGGGTGCCACCGTGCTCCAGGAAAGGTTTAAGTGAAGGTAAGTATTTCAGGCTGGTTGTCCAGAGGCAAGGAGACTGGAGAAAAGGTCCATGCCCACACTGTCCTATGCAGTGCGGATTCGGTTTCCCTGTGGGTGTGGATCCCAAGGTTTGCGTTTTTCAAGCTAGATGATGGTACTGAATGCTCTCCTTCACGGCAAGTTGGCTGCTGAATCTTTATGACATCCTCAGTGTTCCGTCAGCCACAGGTGCCGCACCTAAGAGGCAATAGCTGTGAACAAATAAAGTATTTGGTGCTTTTCGTCACCTATATCCGGCATCCTGGATTTCATTTGGTGCTGCACCTAAGAGACAATAGCTGTGAACCCAAAATCCAGATCCTTACTAAGTGGCCACCTATCTTCTTCATATTGAAGCTTTTAGTCTGAGCCAGCTTTTGGAGTGGCTCAGAACCAAATGAGTGGATACAATCACTTTTATCACATTTATACAGTTTTTACTATATTGCCCTATGTGTATGTTTTAGTCTGTCTATAGATTCTACTATCATTTTTACAGTTTGTGGTAATATTTTTTTCTTATTGTGTGCTCTCACCTCTATTATATGTTACACTTGTTTTTTGTGTGTTTGGAGTGATACACAAGTTGAAGCACCATTCCTCCTATTTTATATCAATCTTTATTACCTATTGTTATGCCTGCCTGCTGTTGTGGTTCGATGACATCCTCAGCGTGTTCTGTCACTGTGCAAGCATCCTGTTCACAGCCAGCAGAGAGCTGAGGTCACAAGCCAGTCCAGGCTGTACTCTGACATAGCAAGGAAGAAGATCTCTGCACCAGGAAAGGATGGAGTATTCCCTTTGTAGGATTTTTAAATTTAGCTATTGAAGCATTTAGCTATTGAGGGATGAAGCATTTCCTTTGTAGGTTTTAGGGGAGGGGAAGGATTCCACCTAACTCAGCCCAAATCCTCCCTGCTGCCAGTTCGGACAAATCAGGCCAAAGTCCCTGTTTCCCCTGGCCAAAGGTCTCTAAGTTCTTCCCTCTGCAGGGGCCTGAAAAATGTTTGGTTTTCCTTTCTAATTTCCAACTTGTGGCAGCGCAGGTTCTCCCAGCTACAGGGGGGGCAAAGAGTATTCCAAGTCCTAATATGTCCCCATATGGGTCCCAATATAAGCTGCACAGCTTTTCATCGCTGCGGATGGCTCCACTTTAGGCTAGACAAGTTCTCCTGATTCCTCCAGGAGATCAAAAAAAGTAAAGGGTCGGATGTTCCCTGTCATGTCTGACCACCACTTCCACAGGGTTGGGTGTTTTTTCGGATTAGTTTCCTTAAGCAACGCACATGCATAAACTGGACGTCGGCTCACCCAAGCAGCCTTAAGGAGAGGCATGCAGGGGACTCTGGATAACACTCCATGCCCAGGCAGGGCTCTGGGCGAAAAGTTGGTTTGCCCTTCCCTTCTCAGATCAAAAGCTGGGGTCCTCCCTTCACCTGGACCCAGCTACAAGAGCCAGGCAGGCAGGGGAAAGGTCCCTTCATGTGGATCACCCCAGCAGTGGTGCGTGCCTCTCCCCTGCCGCACTTGATAGACCAAACTCAATAAAGGGGGGGAGGGTGCTGTGGGCCGGCACATCCCCTTTACCAGTGCCGAGCTGCTGACTTAAAACTGGTGTGGACTGAGGGAATTAAACTGTTTAAAACAAAGCATCGAGAAGTTCATTCGACAGTTCGACAATTCGAATGGTTGTCGTTCGTCTGTTTGAACTGACTTTAACATGGGAAATAGACCGGTCGCACAGCCTGATTCTCTGGAACTGTTTTGGGCATGAAAATGTGCTTGCGGACGGTCAAAGGTGACTTATCTATCTCCCAGACGGCTGAACGGATTCAAATGACTTTTATTAATATTGGATGTATAGTTTGAGAGTTATGAAAGTTGGGTAAAAAGTATGTTTGAAACTGTACGGCTAATTGTGTTACCTTTCAGGCTAAAGGGAGGAGATGTGTGGGATGTAACCAGTGTGTGATTGGGTAATTCATAATTGTCTGTGGGCGTCTCCCTTGCACCGGAGAATTGCATAAAAGCAGAGTGTGTGTCATTAAAAACCCAAGTTCTACTTCACCCTCAATTTAGAGTGCCGTCTCTTATTGGGGGAATCTGCTACATATTTGTTTAGAACTACAACTCCCATGATGCTGTGCATGCCTTTAGAATGCCTAAAAAAACACCAAGCATCACATGGAGCAGTAGTTTTAAAACATCTGGGGATCTACCTTCTCACTAGGTTTGACATGCTGTATTCCTGTGGTTTGAAGGGCACACTGTTGATATTCAGTCGCGGCAGCAGAGGGCGCTGTGGACACGGTTCTGACTGCCAGTTCTCTCTGGTCTCTGTAAGGTCGCAGGTTCCCTGTCTGTACCCATCATGGCTGCCCCCTGTAGCAGACATGCTGGTTGGTGGCTATGCAGGTTACGGTCATCGCTTTCGGGGGTCTCCCGGTCCTATAGCACAACATTCACCGCAGAGCACGTTCTGTCCGGAGCCGGAAGTAACACGGATGTCGGTAATAAGCCCCCTCGAGCCCCAGGACAGGTGAGTGAATGAGGTGATGGCAGCAGACTGTCACTGTCAATACGGCAACACTGACAGCAGACACACACAGAGCAGATCTCAGACTGTCACTGTCAATACGGCAACACTGACAGCAGACACACACAGAGCAGATCTCAGACTGTCACTGTCAATACGGCAACACTGACAGCAGACACACACAGAGCAGATCTCAGACTGTCACTGTCAATACTACAACACTGACAGCAGACACACACAGAGCAGATCTCAGACTGTCACTGTCAATACTACAACACTGACAGCAGACACACACAGAGCAGATCTCAGACTGTCACTGTCAATACTACAACACTGACAGCAGACACACACAGATCAGATCTCAGACTGTCACTGTCTACTACAACACTGACAGCAGACACACACAGAGCAGATCTCAGTCTGTCACTGTCAATACTACAACACTGACAGCAGACACACACAGAGCAGATCTCAGACTGTCACTGTCAATACTCCAACACTGACAGCAGACACACACAGAGCAGATCTCAGTCTGTCACTCTCAATACTACAACACTGACAGCAGACACACACAGAGCAGATCTCAGACTGTCACTGTCAATACTACAACACTGACAGCAGACACACACAGAGCAGATCTCAGACTGTCACTGTCAATACTGCAACACTGACAGCAGACACACACAGAGCAGATCTCAGTCTGTCACTGTCTGCCTCCAACACTGACAGCAGACACACACAGAGCAGATCTCAGACTGTCACTGTCAATACTGCAACACTGACAGCAGACACACACAGAGCAGATCTCAGACTGTCACTGTCAATACTACAACACTGACAGCAGACACACACAGAGCAGATCTCAGTCTGTCACTGTCAATACTACAGCACTGACAGCAGACACACACAGAGCAGATCTCAGACTGTCACTGTCAATACTGCAACACTGACAGCAGACACACACAGAGCAGATCTCAGACTGTCACTGTCAATACTGCAACACTGACAGCAGACACACACAGAGCAGATCTCAGACTGTCACTGTCAATACTACAACACTGACAGCAGACACACACAGAGCAGATCTCAGACTGTCACTGTCAATACTACAACACTGACAGCAGACACACACAGAGCAGATCTCAGACTGTCACTGTCAATACTACAACACTGACAGCAGACACACACAGAGCAGATCTCAGACTGTCACTGTCAATACTACAACACTGACAGCAGACACACACAGAGCAGATCTCAGACTGTCACTGTCAATACTGCAACACTGACAGCAGACACACACAGAGCAGATCTCAGACTGTCACTGTCAATACTACAACACTGACAGCAGACACACACAGAGCAGATCTCAGACTGTCACTGTCAATACTGCAACACTGACAGCAGACACACACAGAGCAGATCTCAGACTGTCACTGTCAATACTACAACACTGACAGCAGACACACACAGAGCAGATCTCAGACTGTCACTGTCAATACTGCAACACTGACAGCAGACACACACAGAGCAGATCTCAGACTGTCACTGTCAATACTACAACACTGACAGCAGACACACACAGAGCAGATCTCAGACTGTCACTGTCAATACTACAACACTGACAGCAGACACACACAGAGCAGATCTCAGACTGTCACTGTCAATACTGCAACACTGACAGCAGACACACACAGAGCAGATCTCAGACTGTCACTGTCAATACTACAACACTGACAGCAGACACACACAGAGCAGATCTCAGACTGTCACTGTCAATACTGCAACACTGACAGCAGACACACACAGAGCAGATCTCAGACTGTCACTGTCAATACTGCAACACTGACAGCAGACACACACAGAGCAGATCTCAGACTGTCACTGTCAATACTACAACACTGACAGCAGACACACACAGAGCAGATCTCAGACTGTCACTGTCAATACTACAACACTGACAGCAGACACACACAGAGCAGATCTCAGACTGTCACTGTCAATACTACAACACTGACAGCAGACACACACAGAGCAGATCTCAGACTGTCACTGTCAATACTACAACACTGACAGCAGACACACACAGAGCAGATCTCAGACTGTCACTGTCAATACTACAACACTGACAGCAGACACACACAGAGCAGATCTCAGACTGTCACTGTCAATACTACAACACTGACAGCAGACACACACAGAGCAGATCTCAGACTGTCACTGTCAATACTACAACACTGACAGCAGACACACACAGAGCAGATCTCAGACTGTCACTGTCAATACTACAACACTGACAGCAGACACACACAGAGCAGATCTCAGACTGTCACTGTCAATACTACAACACTGACAGCAGACACACACAGAGCAGATCTCAGACTGTCACTGTCAATACTGCAACACTGACAGCAGACACACACAGAGCAGATCTCAGACTGTCACTGTCAATACTACAACACTGACAGCAGACACACACAGAGCAGATCTCAGACTGTCACTGTCAATACTACAACACTGACAGCAGACACACACAGAGCAGATCTCAGACTGTCACTGTCAATACTGCAACACTGACAGCAGACACACACAGAGCAGATCTCAGACTGTCACTGTCAATACTACAACACTGACAGCAGACACACACAGAGCAGATCTCAGACTGTCACTGTCAATACTACAACACTGACAGCAGACACACACAGAGCAGATCTCAGACTGTCACTGTCAATACTGACAGCAGCACACACAGAGCAGATCTCAGACTGTCACTGTCAATACTACAACGACAGCAGACACACACAGAGCAGATCTCAGACTGTCACTGTCAATACTGCAACACTGACAGCAGACACACACAGAGCAGATCTCAGTCTGTCACTCTCAATACTGCAACACTGACAGCAGACACACACAGAGCAGATCTCAGTCTGTCACTCTCAATACTACAACACTGACAGCAATTTACACAGCGGATCTCAGATTTAATGCTGTCAATACTACAACGCGACTGGCAGACACACACAGAGCAGATCTCAGACTGTCACTGTCAATACTACAACACCGACAGCAGACACACACAGAGCAGATCTCAGACTGTCACTGTCAATTCTACAACACTGACAGCAGACACACACAGAGCAGATCTCAGACTGTCACTGTCAATACTACAACACTGACAGCAGACACACACAGAGCAGATCTCAGACTGTCACTGTCAATACTACAACACCGACAGCAGACACACACAGAGCAGATCTCAGACTGTCACTGACAATACTACAACATTGACAGCAGACACACACAGAGCAGATCTCAGACTGTCACTGTCAATACTACAACATTGACAGCAGACACACACAGAGCAGATCTCAGACTGTCACTCTCAATACTACAACACTGACAGCAGACACACACAGAGCAGATCTCAGTCTGTCACTGTCAATACTACAACACTGACAACAGACACACACAGAGCAGATCTCAGTCTGTCACTGTCTGCCTCCAACGCGACAGCAGACACACGCAGAGCAGATCTGGTCTGTCACTCTCAATGCTACAACACCGACTGACGGAACTTACACACAGAGCAGATCACCAGACTGTCACTGTCAATACTACAACACCGACAGCAGACACACACAGAGCGGATCTCCAGACTGTGCTGTCAATACTACAACACTGACGGCGGGCACACACAGGGCGATCTCGGACTGTCACTGTCAATGCACACTTACTGACAGCAGACACACACAGATCAGATCTCAGACTGTCACTGTCAATGCCTACAACACCGACAGCAGACACACACAGACGGATCTCGGACTGTCACGCAGTAATGCTACAACACTGACAGCAGACTGCATGGAGCGGATCTCCAGACTGTCACTGTCAATGCTACAGCACTGACAGCAGACACACACCAGGCAGATCTCAGACTGTCACTGACAATACTACAACATTGACAGCAGACACACACAGAGCAGATCTCAGACTGTCACTTTCAATACTACAACACTGACAGCAGACACACACAGAGCAGATCTCAGACTGTCACTGACAATACTACAACATTGACAGCAGACACACACAGAGCAGATCTCAGACTGTCACTTTCAATACTACAACACTGACAGCAGACACACACAGAGCAGATCTCAGACTGTCACTGTCTGCCTCCAACACTGACAGCAGACACACACAGAGCAGATCTCAGTCTGTCACTGTCAATACTACAACACTGACAGCAGACACACACAGCAGATCTCAGACTGTCACTGTCAATACTACAACACTGACAGCAGACACACACAGAGCAGATCTCAGACTGTCACTGTCAATACTACAACATTGACAGCAGACACACACAGAGCAGATCTCAGACTGTCACTGTCAATACTACAACATTGATAGCAGACACACACAGAGCAGATCTCAGACTGTCACTTTCAATACTACAACACTGACAGCAGAAACACACAGAGCAGATCTCAGACTGTCACTGTCTGCCTCCAACACTGACAGCAGACACACACAGAGCAGATCTCAGTCTGTCACTGTCAATACTACAACACTGACAGCAGACACACACAGTTCAGATCTCAGACTGTCACTGTCAATACTACAACACCGACAGCAGACACACACAGAGCAGATCTCAGACTGTCACTGTCAATACTACAACACTGACAGCAGACACACACAGAGCAGATCTCAGACTGTCACTGTCAATACTACAACACTGACAGCAGACACACACAGAGCAGATCTCAGACTGTCACTGTCAATACTACAACACTGACAGCAGACACACACAGAGCAGATCTCAGACTGTCACTGTCAATATTACAACACTGACAGCAGACACACACAGAGCAGATCTCAGACTGTCACTGTCAATATTACAACACTGACAGCAGACACACACAGAGCAGATCTCAGTCTGTCACTGTCTGCCTCCAACACTGACAGCAGACACACACAGAGCAGATCTCAGACTGTCACTGTCAATACTACAACACTGACAGCAGACACACACAGAGCAGATCTCAGTCTGTCACTGTCTGCCTTTATGTTCCATTACTGAAATAAATTAACTTTTGCACGATATTCTAATTTTTCGAGTATCACCTGTACTTAGACAGACATATACACTGACAGAGATACTGACACATACACACACATATGTATACTAACAGACATACTGAAACATACACGCACAGACAGACATTCTAACACATATACTGACACACAGACATACACTGACACACAAATATATACTGACTGACATATTGCTACACATTAAGACATATTGGGCAGTTTTAGATTTATAAAACCAGCAATAATACCCATTGGGTGGCTTTAAGCTTAAGTGCATAGGCCACCCAATGGGTACCCTGACTATGCCGACCCCTGTGTTAGTATTGCGGCACCGGGCTTCTGAAACGGCGTGGGCGGGTGGTGTCTGCCGGTGTCCTGCCAGTGGCTTGCGACCCACACTTTGGGAAACCCTGTGCTGGACAGTTTTTGTGTGTTACAAATATCTCAAGAATTCAGCATTTACCCCATAAAGTAAAAAAAAACAAAAAAAACAAACAAAAAACTAACCCCAGCACACAGCCGCAAACAGTCTTGATACACCCATGAACCCATAAAATATAATACTGTACATTAAACAATTGGGGCATTTGTGCGAGAGCAAAAAATATATACACCAATCACCCCAATTAGCCTAAACACCTATGCAAATTGACATGAAAAGAATATATTTAAAAAAAAAAAAAAAAAACTAAAACATAATATGAGAATATATATACAATTTGTAAATTTCCATGTGTGTTTCAGCTGATTGGAGTGATTGTTTTGTATGTTTATTTTAGTTTAAGCCAAACACCCCAATTGCATAGTGTACCGTATTATTTCAATGCATCTAGTGGCCACATATGTAGGCTTGGATGTGATATCTAGATACTAGTTAGGGAACACTCAGTGCTTGGATTATTGGCCACCTCTAATTGTATGTTTTGGTTGATTAGGAATTTGTAACTATATGTTATTTGGTGCATGGACTTGTCTGCAGTGAACTCCATGGGTGGGAGTGAGCGACACCCAGGTATACGATCATTGTGTGGCTCAGGAGATTGGGCTTGAATGTCTGTCTTTGACTTTTTTAACCACTGCAAAAGTGCATAATCTTCATAATAACTACACATAAACACCTCTCTGTACTGAAGATGCTTGCACATTAGCCCTAATCCATTGCACAAGGATGGACCGAAAGATCTGACAGTCCTGTGCTCTATATGCTAATCTTCACATTGCCTGCATGGGGTGATGTTGGAGGGCTGAACATGGAAAGATGAGAAGACAATCCCATATGACCATTAAATAGACAATCTGTAATGGAGAAGACCTCTGTTTCTCCATTCATCAAAAAAATTAGAATAAATTTGTTGCCCAAGAAGATTAGAGCCACTCTTTTCAGATTGACTCAGATATACATATTCCACGGAGAGGGATACATTTGGATCTTCATCTACCATACTTTTACAAGTAGCATAGGTTGTTACAATGCTTGGAGTGTCTCTTTAAATTAAGAATTGTAGATTATAACATCAAATTACCCCTTTAGCACTTGTTTACTGTCAGGTTTATTTACTAAATTGAGAAATTTAAAGGGAATCCCAAATTTTAGGCCAAAATTGCCTAGCTATGTTGCAGGATTTTATCAATTTGGATGTTCTGACCTGAGATTTCTCTTTGCATTCCCGGTAATTCTCATTTCAGTCACCTGTCTATGTTCCTTAATGCATATGAGAAAGGTACTCTACACCTGTCAGTAGCTAACTGCCCTGGGAGTAAGAAAAAAAATGAAAACTAACCACAAGGGGGAGCTACTTCATCAAGGATAGCAGTTCTGTAAATGAAGTGATTAATTCCATGCCGTTTTTATTCTATTTTTATTTTAAAACTGCCAGCATATTTTGCGTATTGAAAGTACAAGGAAATGCGAGCGAAAGATTCTGTGCCAGTGAGTTTACCCTTGAGGAACTATGACTATCTATGCCATCAGAAAAAAAAAAAAAAATCTATTCAATATTCCAAAATAGAATGACAGGGGCAAGATGTAATGACAGCACTAGAAAATTGAAAGCTGTCATGAGCATGGTGTTCTGTCCTGTACCACTGCTAAGCTATGTGTATTTTATTGTAATACTTTGTTATATTTGTTTTATATTGTGCTGTGCAATCTGCTGGCACTAAATACAAATAAACAAAATCTAGTGTTTGCTGAGTGAGAGATTAAAGGATATTTTATAAATTAAAATGTTTCCTTTATTTCTGTGATATAAGATTAATATTTTGTGTTCGCCAATGCCTCATACGGTGCGCCTACTGAATCAGCTAAAGACTTTTTTTAAATTTCTTCTTCAACTCCTGAAGTTGTTGTTGGGGGTGGTCTTTAAAGTTGCCCATTGAAGATAAAAAGACAGTGGTCTCTAAAGTATCTTGTATCTCGTTCATGCCAACATATTTCTACCCTCTACCTGTTTAGTGGCTTGATCTTTTTTTTTTCTCTCTTTTATGTCTTTCAAATATTTTTTATTTATTTTTTTATTCTTTGCCAAGAGGCTTTTTAGAAATCAATTTGTATTCTTTTGATATCCTTTCCCCCTTTCTCATCCCTCTAGTCTTCTTTCATCACCCACTCTTACCTTCTTTCCCCTTGATGCCTATTTGAACTACAACTCACAGGAACCCACAGAACAAGTAGCAAAATATTGCTATTTTCAGTAAATACAAGAATTTAAATTATCCTTTTTGTATCTTGTTAATTTTGAAAGAACACTCCAGGCACCATAACCACTACAGAGCACTGTCGTAGTTATTGTGGTGCCCCCCCCATAAGTGAAAATGTTATAGAATAGCTCATCTTTTTACCTGTGATCTGCTGGCCACCGCTTCTCACCTTCATTACTGGCGATGAGAAACTGTGTAAGCATCTGAGCAGGAGCTTCTATTACCTCTCCTGAGCTAAGCGCTTCTTTGTAGGGCCTAGCTCATATAGCAAGCTCCAGGTTCTCTCTCATAAATGGTAAAGGCAGGAAGCAGCTCCCAGTGGACCCATGTAAGAAGTCACAGTTCTGAAATGGTTTTACCACTTATAGTGGGCAACGACAGGGCACTCCACTACAGCACGCAGCTGGAAAACAAATTTTGCCAAAGGCCATTAGTACTTAAATGAATTTGGGACTGCATGCATTAATCTGTGTGGCTTCTGTGAAATTCTCCTTATAGAGAAGGGATCAGTATTCATGTCACTAATGAGCACTTGGAAGCAGATTGCAGTTAGAATATGGTGACAGGCTGTCTGATAGCAAGCTGTAAGTGGCCTCTACTTTAGTCTCCATGGTAATGAAGTGTCAGAGTTCACATGTCCTGATTTTACTGTATCTTTCTAAAGATGTCGCTGTAAGAGATGCTCATACTTGACAAGTCTTTAAAACCTAATTATTTTTATAAAGGCTTCATTAGAAAAAATAATAATAATAATTGTTAAAAATTATCATAAGTTTTTATTCAGTGGAGAGTGTTTATTGGTCATTAAATCTCATGTAAAGTTCAAGTCTTTACAATCCACCCCAAAAATAAAATAAAAAAAAGCCTGCCCCAAAACTGCCTTCATGGATTTCTGGATAACAATTTTACATTTTAATACTCTTCCCGGTGAACCTCGAGCTAAATTTGAGGACCTACGTACCAATATACCTGATGTCTACCTGATGCTTCCTTGATGCTTTGTCATTCCACAGGCATTCTAAAGGCATGCAAAGCATCATGGAAGTTGTCGTTTTACAACATCTGGGAATCTACCATTTAGATACTAGAATATGTTGGTGGTTATCAAAGTCTTATCATTTAAGAATAGTTGATAGATTTTATTTACTCTTTTTATTTTTATTTTTTATTTTATGCGATTTGTAACTGACTGGCCAGAACTGATTGCTTTTTAATTCATGTCTTGCTTTTTCCTGATGCAGGGGCCAGCAGCAATTACTGATGCCAACACATCTCTAATCCATTTTTCCCGTAATGTCTCATAGGAGCTCTTCAAGAGTACTGAGTCCTTTGCTTCTTTACTTCGCCGATCTCCACTTATTCAGATGGGACCTGCCAAAGACAAGATAGCGTTTGGTAAAATCATGCATATTGTTGATGACCACTTATACATCGACTTTGGAGCCAAGTTTCATTGTGTGTGCAAGAGACCTGAGCAAGACAGCGAGTAAGTAAATTGCACTTTGTAATGTGAAAATGGATATGTGATCTGTATACTTTCATACAATGCTTAAAGTAACACTACAACGTTAAGAATGCAAACGCATATGTCCTAGTTTCCCCCCATTAACATGCTTTTAAAAAAAAAAAAGAGGGGCAAAAAAAAACAAGTAAAACTTTTTTTTTTTTCTCCGCACCGAGACGCAATAGGTGCTGCGCCCACTCCTCCTGGAGCTGTTGCTTTCTTGATGATAATCAAGTCCAATGCTCCTCATAGTGACAAGGTGTGTTTGACGTTCAACGTCCTCATGGATGTTAAATGTCACCAAGTTAAACTCAATTGTTGCAGAGGAAGAGCCTCTAGTAGACAGCCACTAGAGGTGTGTTTAAAGGGACACTATAGTTACCAGAACAACTAAAGCTTCTTGTAGTTGTTCTGGTGAGTATGATCATTGTATGTAGGCATTTTCATGCAAACACTGCCTTTTCAGAGAAAAGAAAAAAGGGGGGCGACCCCCTAAGGCGAGCAAGTCAAGCATGCGGCATATTTACGGCCCGCCTGCCATAGAGTTGCTTTCAGCTGTGGCTGCGACCAGCAAGTCAGGAAAAATATTTCCTGATTCTTGCTCTCCCGGCCACAAAAGGACAAAGTGGCTGTGTGTCTGCAGAGCAGACCAAAGCAGCCATCCCCCCTTCCCTCCTGCTTGCAGTGCCAGAGGAGCGTCTGGCCTGCTATAGCAGGGCTGTTGCTAAAACTGGAGGACAGACAGCAAATTGTAAGGTAGGAGAAGAGGGAGGAGGGGAGGGCCGTGTATTTATTTGAGGGAGGGAGGGGGCCAGTGTGTTAAATTGGGGAGAGGGCAGTGTATTAAAGTAGATTGGTGGGTGTGGGGGCAGTCTATTCAATTAGAATGGAGGGAGGAGGGGCAGTGTATTAGATTAAGGGGGAATGTATTAGATTGGGAGGAGGGGTAGTGTGTTGGATTTGGGGGCAATGTATTAGAATGGGTGAAGGGGCAGTGTATAAGAGTGGAGGGAGGGGGGCAATGTATTGGATTTGGGGGCAGTGTATTAGAATGGGGGGAAGGGGCAATGTATTAGATTGGGTCTGCATGGAGGCGCTCAATGCTCCCCATGGGGATGCTGTTTGGCCACGCAACCTTTTGCCACACATGCACAATAGCCTCTCAATGCTTTCCTGTGGGAAAGCATTGGATTGGCTGAGATCATCAAGATTGATGATCGCAACCAAAGTGAAGAACACACTCAGAACTCCAAAATAAACAAGATAACGTCATTTGTTTTTTACAGCTGTGCAACAGCATACATTCACCATTTCAGTCCTATTACCAAACATTTCTTAATATATCAAGGTAGTTGGACTGTAACGTTGATTATATGCAAATGCATTTCTGAAAATAAATTTGCTCTCTTGTTTATTTTGCAGCCCTACGAGTGTGAGGACGTCCAGTGTCAGTTGGGCAACTTTTTTTTTTATACTGTACTTATCTAAATAAACCTACGTTTCTATGGAAACTGAAGGTTTTTTTTTTTGGTTTTTTTTGCGGCCCATATAAACCTTGTTTATTTGGTCCGTCTTAGCCTTTGACTTTGACATGCTTGCCCTAAGGGGTCTAGAGTGTGTAAAGGGAATGTAATAGAGGGTAACCTTAGAAACAGAATACATAAAACACAAAGAAATTACCAACAAACATAAAATCCAGAATCCAAGTCCGTATATGAATATAATGTAATTAAAACTAAATTTATTTAGTTATGTTTAAAAAGAGCTTAGAGATTACTTAGAGCTTATGAGCTCCCATTTATTTTGTGTTTATAAGTTTCCTTTTTTTTTTTTGTCCTTTTGGTTCAATTACTGTTCCTTTTTAAACATATATAAGTAAATTTTGTTGTAATTACATTATATTCATATAGGGACTTTACTTTGTCCTCTGGATTTTATGTCCATTGGTCATTTCTTTTCAGAGAAAAGGCAGTGTTTACATTGCCGCTAGGGACACCTCCAAATGGGCACTCCTCAGATGGCCACTGGAGGTGCTTCCTGGGGCAGTGCTGCACAGTAGCCAGCAGTGCCGTTCAGCGTCTCCACGCTCTGCATAGGGACGCTGAATTTTCCTCATAGCGATGCATTGATTCAATGCATCTCTATGAGGAGTTGCTGATTGGCCAAAATGGCATTTGGCCCCACCCTCTTGCCGATTTTAGCCAGTCCAATGGTTTCCCCATGGGAAAGCATTTGATTGACTAAAAATCTGCAATTCTTATGTCGCCAAGGGGGCCGGGCTAACGCTGGTGGACTAGCGCGGCGCTGTAAATAAAGTGGGTTTTATAAACTTTTAAGGGGGCTAAGGGAGTGCAAGCCACCTAAATGGTGTGTTTAGCACTATAGGGTCAGGAATACATGTTTGTGTTCCTGACCCTATAGTGTTCCTTTAACCCTGCAATATAAACATTAAAATTTCTACATCTTTTACATTGTACGGTTAAAACTACATGATCATTGCACCCAGACCACTTAATTGAGATGAAATGGGGTGAGTAGCTTTAGTGATCCTTTAGTTTATTATTCTATATTTCCCCCTTACATTTTCACTATCAGTACTAATACTGGTGTAAGTTTGCTGTGTTTCTACACTTTAACCGAGATGTCAGTGAGTGGCTAACTGGTGTTTGAGTTTGTCCTAAATAAGACGCCACCTGGGTTCATATTTAGGGATCCTATACGTTTTGAACATTTTAGCTGTGTTTTCTCAGCCTATTTCTGACCAAGCACCATTAATGTAATGATGTTTTCCATGCAAATGTCAACCTCTCATTCAATAAAAGAGTCTAATTGTCTGCATTTCCTATCAAATGCCATTCACTTCTGAAAATTGAACGGGTGCCAAACTACCCTGGCAGTTCTAGGACATTTCTATAGGTTATATAAATCATGTCTTGAGAAATGTGTCAAGCTCAAATTTGGCTTTTTTTTTTCAACAAATTGTTATTGTGGGAAGATAGTTAAACGTTGACTAAATGTTTTTGAAACAGGCTCTCCCTATTGTCATGAATTGTGACAATTAAGAGTTCACCCCACTTTATAGTAACGTTTGTATTTAAATTAAAACTTCCTGTATTCTAGTACTGTCACTTTTAAGATTTTGTCATAAAAAGAAAATCTTTATGGAAACAGTCACCATAAATTAACACAATAAAAAATATATACATAACAAATACGAAATGGATGTATTAGCACCAGCCCTCAAAAACTGCTCAAATGTAACTTTTACTTAAACATTTAAGGAATTTATATCAAAATATGTAGATATGCACATGTCAAAGAAGGGCCTACATTGGCTAATGCAAATAAAAATGACAAAACTTTGCAAAAATTAGACCTGCAGTAAACTTCCTTGTGTTTCCTACCTCTTTATAAATCTTGCGTTTAAAATCATGACCTGGTCACTTTAAATGTGGGCCCTGTTTAGTACAAAAACATGGCTGCCATAGAATCCGGGCAATGCTTTGGTTAGGTGCGTTTGTTTTCGTCACCTAGCAGTATCTGGTTTGACAAGTAGCAATCATTTAATTGTTTGCACAATCATTTAACCTCATTGCCTGAGCGGAGGAAAGTGTGGCACCTTACTTCATCTCATCACCAGCTCCGGAACTCTGCAGCTCTCGAATCGATGCCAAAGGATTATTACTGTCAAGTGTCTGACTTTAGAAACAGTCAACCATCTGTGCACGGCAATACAGTGTTATTTATCTTAAATGTCAGGATGGCTCCTGTATCCTTTTTAATTTGTTCACAAGGAAACAGAGGAAACCCTGCCAACAAAGTTTTATGTTCAGAGAGGCCAGGCAAACTATTCCATAACATGCCCTATTCGTTACATTACTGTGTTTCTATATGCCGCTGCTTGAGTAAGGGATTCCGTCTAAATCTGCCTTGATTGTCAAAGAATAGGATATCTAGAAATCGCTCGGTACATGTTACAATGAAGGAGAAGGCGCTAGTTTCTGCTACCTCAGAATAATAAACTATTTTATTTTTTCTGGCAGAAACTCATATTGCCTTATACTGGATTTTACCAGTTGTTGGCGTTGGATAAACTGTTACTATTGTTACGGCTTTCTTTAAATAGGAGAAACTGGATTTTTAGACTTTGATAGCATTGACTGCTTATATTTTTTAACCAACCAACCTATGCTACTAGGTCTCTGTAGTTCAGTAAATATTTTTTAAAAATTTTTTATTTATTTTTTTGCTTCTTTTAAATAGGTTTAAACATTGAAACGGAAATGTGTAGTTTTATTTATTCATTTTTTTATTTTATTTTTTATTTAAGTAACAGCAATACAAATTTATTGACACAATCCAGGAATCTAAACTGGCATGGTTGAAGGTGTAAGCAGACCCAAATATAAATTACATCACATTCCAAGTTAGGCCCAATATAAATCTAGTGCAAAGCGCTGCGGAATTTGACGGCGCTCTATAAATATCATAATAATAATAGTGCATTACAAATACATTATGGCATGGAAAATGTACATTTGCATTGGCGACGAGGCCTTGTAGAATGGAATAGTGGAACGTAATGATTGTCAGAGGAACGTACATACACACATGAGAAGTGACGGCCAGGATTTTAAACCGTGTTTTAAATTGATTATCCATAAGTTCTGAAATAGAACGTTAGGGATACTCCGCCTTCCCGTCACTGGCTGAATGCTACAATGTGCTGGGCTCAGGGAGGCAGGCAGGAAACAGACCTGTCAGTATTTCTGTCAGTCTGATGGTGGCTTCCCTGAGCTACTGAGAAAACCTCAGACAATCTTCATTATATTATTCTTGTCAAAATCCAAAGTATATTTTGTGCTTGTGCAATCTAAGCATAATTATGGTAAATACCAGTCAAATCCCACTAATTGCTGCTCCCATCTCTTCTCCCACTGGTTTGATTACACTCTCTTTATGTTGGATTCTCTCAGGCAGGCTGTCTTATTCTAGCTGTATGACTGTGAAAGATGCAGAGGGCTTTATAAAGTATAATCCAAAGTAGATGTTTATTCCCCTCCCTGTCTCTATAATCTGTTTCCCCCTCTTTCTCCTTCTAACCTACTTCCCTCTGCTTTTTGTGCATTTCAGACTTACCTTTACCATTTTTCTGTAGTTTACCCCATTTTCTGTCTGTAGTTCTGGCTCCTGTTTTATTGCTCTCTCATCATTCTATGTGTCTATCTGTGTTTTAGCCCACTGTCAACAATTCTATTTTATCAATATCCACCTCAGTCCATTTGTAAATTTTCTTTTATGTTTCTTGTGGCAGAACAGCTGCCTATTCGTGCATTTTTCCCTTTTGTTTTATGTTTTCCCTGACTTTCGTGCAGTATACCCTGTTTCCCCATTCGTCTTCCGAACGGGGACTACCCTGGTGCCCCATTAGAACGTTCCCACCAATTAATCAGAACTTTCGCACTTGCAACATAAGTGTGAAACCGCAATATTCGCACTTGCAACATAGTGTGAAACCGCAAGGGAAGTAATTAATGAGGGCTCCCCTGGGTGGCTGCCATTTCGTATAGATGAACGCCAGCCAGGGGGAGCATTCTTATCCCGAAAGGAGACGCTTTCCTTGCAGGTTTTAACACCAGAACCTCGCGAACAGAGGCTGGTCGGGGAATGTGCCGGACTGAAGCCGCCTGAGGTTGGTGGGGACACTTTTGGGGTACTGGCTATTTGGCAGGCTTTTCTGTGCCTGGGAGACAAAAGGCCGATTTCTTTCCTGCGCTTTGGCTCCCAGGCACAGAGGCTCCTGGGAAGAATAACCCTTCACCCCGCGCCCCCCCCCCCTCCAACCCCTCCCTGTTGTGCTGAGTGGTAGGCTTCTTGGATCTGTGAGACAAAGGAGCAGCGACCCCCCTTTTCCTGCGCTTTTGCTCCGAGGTTTAGAGGATCTTGGGATAGAACCCCTGGGTGTTTGGGAAGTTTGCATGGAGCTATGCATAAAAGCAGAGTGTGGCATAATAAAATCGTGTTGTACTCCCAGAACTGTGTGCCATCCAGTTACTGGGGGAATGGCTGTTTGCCTGTTCTAAGGGTTCCTGAGGGGCTGCAGGAAGGTAATAGCGGAGGTAACCGGTCGTGTTACCCGTCGTCCGCTACATTTCTCAAACTATTCCTCCAATTATTTTTTTATTTTATTCAGGTCTATCTTATACCCCCTTCTTTTATTCTAACTCGACTGTTTTTATCATTCCAGTCATTATCTATGCTTTTCCCCACCCTAAACCCCACCTTTTATTTGTCTTTAACCCCTTAAGGACCAAACTTCTGGAATAAAAGGAAATCATGACATGTCACACGTCATGTGTCCTTAAGGGGTTAAACCTTTTTACCTTCCTCGGTCTCCCATTTCTCTACAACAAAAGTGATTTGAAGTAATGGTTAATTCTTGCCTGTCTCTCTGATAGTAAAGCCTCTATGATGCCTATGTGTTCCTTTGTTTAATTGCAGAGAATTGTTCTAATGTATGAGCTACAGTTGTGCCGAAAACTTTTGTTTTCATTACGGTTGATTCGGCTTTCGAAGAAAAATAAAAATGTGTGCCATTGAATTGGGTATCAATATCTATACTCCAGGATGGATTTGAAAACTTTCAAAATCTAATCGTATGCATCCTAATTTTAAACTATGGATAGTGTTATCATAACAGACCCTGCTGGAGAGCGTATTAGACCTCCGTTTTAAGTGTGACGCAAATCCCACGTGCTGTACAATGGTACTGTGTCTGGCTGCTGTATTATGATAGATGGGACTTGGATATTTGTTCTGAGCCTAATCACAGAGTAGATTGCAGGAGTAGAGGTAGACCGCTCAAAGAAGGACGACATATTGTCTGGCGTTTGCCATTTCCATCTTTCTAAGTAGATTTATATAAAACTTTTGAGGTGGGTGTGTGAATTTTTTTAGAATTATTACTGCATGATTTTTGTACTTTTATGTGGTTATTTACAAAAGTGAGAATTGACATGTTTTCAAAGTGAATATCAACATTTTAGGCTAAAATAATTCAATTAGAAAGCTTTGGCTTATTATTATTATCGTCATATATATAGCGCTAACAGATTCCGTAGCGCTTTACAATATTATGAGAGGGGGGATTTAACTAAAAATATATACCTCCTATAGACTGTAAGCTTGTTTGAGCAGGGTCCTCTTCAACCTAATGTTCCTGTAAGTTTTACATAGAAACATAGAATGTGACGGCAGATAAGAACCATTCGGCCCATCTAGTCTGCCCAATTTTTAAAATACTTTCATTAGTCCCTGGCCTTATCTTATAGTTAGGATAGCCTTATGTATATCCCCCTAAGCATGTGTGTGATATGCATAAGGCTACCCTAACTAAAAGGTGTGAATGAAGCAGAGCTGGAGGAGAGAGTAGAGTGCTGCCCTTTAGGAGAGAGCAAGAGACAGGTATGTAAGACAGAGGTTACTCTGGGAGGCCATAAGCTTTCATAAAGAGATGGGTTTTAAGGCACTCAAACGATTGAAGACTAGGGGAGAGTCTGATATCGGTAGGCAGGCTATTCCATATGAAGTGAGCTACCTGCGAAAAGTCCTGCAAGCGCGAGTTGGTCGTACGATTGCGAGCAGCGGACAGGAGAAGGTCACGGGCAGAGCGGAGAGACCGAGAAGGGGCATACTTATGGATCTGTGAAGTGATATGAGGGGCTAGAATTATTCAGTGCTTTAGATGTATAGGTTAGCACTTTGAATTGACTCCTATAGGATACAGGAAGTCAATATAAGGACTGACAGAAGGGTGAGGTGTGAGAGGACCGACTAGAGAGGAAAATCAGTCAGGCAATATGGATTTTGGGAAGACCAATCAGGAGAGGGTTATAATAATCCATGCCGGAAATTACTATAGCATGGTCAAGCTCCTTGGTAGCATCAGAAAGAAAGGGGCGGATGCGGGCTGTTTTTAAGTTGGAATCTACAGGATTTGGCAACATACTAGATGTGAGGCTCAAAGGTGAGGCCAGAGTCAAGTATGATGCCATGACAGCATGCTTGCAAGGATGGACTTAAGTGGATACCACTAACTTGAAGATAGAGCGAAAGAGGCGGGTCAGTATTAGTGGGAGGAAAGACCAGGAGCTCAGTTTTAGAGAGATTGAGTTTCAGAAAGTGTGAGGACATCCAGCCAGAGATGGAAGAAAGGCAAGCACTGACACGTTGCAGGACGGCAGGGGAGAGGTCCGGGGAGGAGAGCTATATCTGAGTGTCATCAGCGTACAGGTGGTAGTGGAATCCAAAAGAGACTATGAGTCTTCCTCCAGGAGCGTTCAGCACAACGGGAGCAACTTTGCAGATAGCGTGTTGATTTAGTATGCCACGGTTGGGGGCATGTCCTCCTTGAGGTGCATATTTGGAGCGGGGCTGCAGTGTTCAAGGCAGAGGTGAGGGTAGTGTTATATGTGGAGATGGCAAGTAAGGGACAGCAGAGGTAAGGGGTGAATTAGCTAAGCTCATCAAATTTCATGCTCTCAGCAAAGGAAGCAGAATGGGGGTACCTTAGTAACCTGAGTCACCTGAATAAATCACCTTCGATGGCAAGGAAGGCCAGGTACCTTAACAGCTATTTTAAACCTATAGTGTCAGTAATACACGATTGTTTGCCTGACACTATAGTGTTCCTTTAAATTTGACATTCACTTTGAATTCCCAGTAAATAACTCTTGTTTGGAAAAAAATTCACAGCTTTGCATTTCTAACTCTGTATGTGTTTACAAAGACATGTATTTATTATTATTTAGATGTAAAACCATCTCCATTAGTATTTGAATAAATCTCTGTATAGACTTGTTAGAATGGAGCCCCTTTTATTTGGTATATGAGATGAAAGCAGGTGTATTCTACATCAGATTTATTTTTCACTACAGACTTTCTCTATTCACATCTTAAAAGAATAGTGTTTATAAGATCTTTAATCATAGTCGGCAGACTGTCGATCACACAGAAGAATAACAGGAATAGGCGATAAGGCGCCCATGTTCAATCACAACAAGTTATTCAGTCCTTTCACAATGTGTACAAGGTAGTGCATACGGCAGCTGCTGCACGTTCCCAACAAGTCCTCTGGCACTTAAACTTTGCGCCCTTTGTGTCATGTGCCAAAGTCAAGCCAAGATAAAGAGAGCCGTTCTGCAACAGGCAGCAGAATAATCCCGTGAAGGTACATTTGTGTTGAAATACTTGACATATTTATTCTTGATATTAATTTCCAAGGAGAAACGTCTTGACAGCTTACTGAAAAGCAATTTTCTTTCCTTTTTTAATTTTAAATTTTTTTTTTTTTTTTTTTTAATATGACCGCTTCTTTATTTTAAATTCATTCCCTCGGTGATTGCATGACCTCACTCGTTCAATATAACACTTTCTGAAAATTATGGACGAGATTCCCACTTTTTAAGAAGACGTGCTGCATGACTCTTGTCACCTTGTGATTGTTCAGCCCCCCCATCCTCTACTGTTCAGTCTGGCAGCTTTAAACCAAAACACTTCCATGTCAAGAACAATTATACAAATGGGGATCAACTTCATGACAGCTGTATAAATAAAGTATATTGCTTGGTGAAAAGGGATTATCAAGTCATGACACATTGAGTAAGTTTTCCCAACGTCTGCAAACCAAGAGAATAACGTCTTGACACGTTGAACAGCTATTCTGTAGTAAAAAGAAAACATGCCACATATTGCAATTTTTTTTTTACACTTTAATATAAAAAAGTATGAAACGGTAGTCATTTGTGGCACTATAGTTTAACATTCCCTCTAAATTATTTTACACTTTGATATAATATTGTATTTTTAATTATTATTATTATTATTTTTTAAATGTCGTCCTCCTATCTCTCACTACTAAGTCATCATTCCTATATTACCCAATATTCTTCTAGCTGCACTGAATATTCATCTTTAGGTTATCAGAACTAAAGGAACACTCCAAGCACCAAACTGTAGTGGTGATGGTGTTGGCAGACCCCACATTGTAAAGATTGAGACAATTTTCAAATGGTTTGATTTCCTACTTGGTGCCTGCTGGATGCCATTTCCTGCTTCCAATACTCAAGTCACAGAGCTACCAGCTTTCTGTCTGAGTAAAGCCCTGCCAGGGAACTCTTGACACCATTGCCACTTTAGCGAGCTGTAGTTGTTATGGTGCTTGGAGTGTCAGTTTAAATGGACACTGTTGGCACTATAATGATTTCATCTTATTGAATTTGATGTAGTGCCTGGAGTCCATTGGAACTAACTCTCCTTTCAGTTTTACTCTCTGCCTCCCATCCTGTGAGAGCAAGTCCAATGACGAGTTATCGGGGAATTATTGTGTGACAGTTGACTCACCACCACTCACTGCCGTGCAACCAATGCGTTTCTCTGGCAGTGCTATGAGACCTCTCACAACTACGTTTTGCACTCTGTTCCTAAAGTCCTGAGTCTGACTCTTAGTAGCCAATTTGTCCCCAATGCTCACATCACTGGAGTTCAGTTTTGCACATATCTGCCAATTATTTCACCCCAGTAAGCGAGATGTTGATTGGTGGCTGTAGAACAGGGAGGACGAGTGAAATATATCTTGCCACTGTCCAAAGATGGCAGACTTGCCCGAAAAGGGGACGGGACTGTCTAAATAAATAACAGGTCAGCCTGGCCTGAATGCAAACCAATCTGCCTGCCAATCAAGCAGGCTTGCAGGGAGCACTGTTTCAGGGTCCTATTTGCATGGCGTATCTAAAGATGCACGCATGCAATGCTTGTTGGGGAGAGTTCCCCGGTGTCTCAAAAAGCAACTTTAAGTCGGCATGGCGGGACACCTAAAACTGGACGGTTTCTAGGCATACAGTTGGTTTGAAACATCCAGTAAGTAGTGTTTAATCACAAATGTGAGACTGGCAAACTATCGTAAGAAGATCCACTATTGTTATATCATTGGGCTTTTACAAACATATTTACTTGAAAGGGTTAAATACAGGGAAGGTAATCTCACTGTATCCAATCATTAGTGCTAAGAGGGTAAAAAATAAGAGCTTAAATTTCTGTTACTTAAAGGTATACGCAGGAGGTGTTATAAAATTATAAGAATAGGACTTTATAAATCGCTCAAGTGTCAATTTATATTTTAAATTACAGGCTGTGGTATGAATCTATTTTTGGACACTTCCTCCCAAAAAACGACATTTTGAAATCATTTTTAATAATGTATCTAAAGCATTTTGGGAGGAGAAAAGTGTGTTAAAGTCTTTACATTTTAAAACTAGAATCCAACTTTAGATCTGTGAGCAGTTTTTATGTAATGTACGTTTTATATGTTTTGTAAATTCTGTGCAACATTAGCATGGATATTGTTTGGTATTTAGGTTACTTAGGCAACACACAATTTAGATTTTCAGAACCAGCGCAATGTCGGTACAAACCACACAAAAATGAAGCTCTGTGCTCAAACTCCCACTACTGCTCTTGTTCAGCGTAATGTTAGTGCCCTAACTGTAGGGAGGTGGGAAACCGTTTTACGCATGTGTTTGCACACATTATTTCCTCTTTCGCGTGACCAATGTGTGGATCTTGCTTATCATAAAAAAAATCACATTGAATTCCTGCCCTATCTCACTTTAGTGAATAACCCTGATAGTCCTAAAATTTTCTAACCGTTCAGAACAGGAGGATTATGCATCTAGAATATGCACTACTTTTACTTCTGTCTTTTTTTCACTGTGAAGGGTGTGAAGGACTTTCGTGCTTTTTGCTAGTGCTGCTCATTTTTGCTCAAAGTAAAATCACCTTTCACATTGATATTGTAAGGAGCAGAAAAACGTGTTTAAAGCTAAAAAGCATGTCATTAAGTAACTTTTGCTTGAAAAGTGAGACTTGCAATGCGACTTTTATCTTCTTTTTCCAGTATATTTAGATACAACCATTTTACTTAATTATGGCCAAATCAATCCATTTTGTGAGTAACATTTTATAACCCGTCACCCAAGAGCTTACACATTTTGAGATCAAAGTATAAGGGACTTATTATTTTTTTTCCTTTTAAACGTGTTCGAGTAGTTCCTATAGACAGAGTACTGATAAGTAGTGATGTGCATGTTACATGTTTCCCGCATTGGCAACTGTACAGTTCTGGTCAAGTTTATGCAGTAAAGTATGATGTTTAAATTGCATATTCATGGTATTTGGTGCCTGTAGTGTTTTGAAATGCTCATTTAAGGTAAAAGCTAATTTTTATAGTCTTTCCCTATAGGTAACTGACCCCTGCTCTACATAGATGGAATAACCCCTAAACTATTAAACAAATATGTTTACAATTGTTATACTGATTGTAAACCACTAAACTCACAATCTATTGAACTTTAAAGGGACACTATAATCACCCAGACCACTTCAGCTCATTGAAGTGGTCTGGGTGCCAGGTCCCTCAAGTTTTAAACCTTCACATGTAAACATAGTTTCAGGGAAACTGCTATGTTTACATAGCAGTGTTAAGCCAACCTTTAGTGGCTGTCTTCCTGACAGCCGCTAGAGGCGCATCTGCGACGCTGGATGAGAAATTCGCATCCAGCGTTCAGAACGTCCATAGGAAAGCATTGCGCATTCTACTCCACTCAGGAGCTGACATCGGTGGGGGAGGAGAGGTCACCAGCGCCGAGGGAGCCCGACGCTGGATAAAGGTAAGCTGCTGAGGGGATTTTAATCCCTTCAGCCCCACGGGAGGGGGACCCTGACGGTGGGGGCACCCTTAGGGCACTATAGTGTCAGGAAAACCGCTTTGTTTTCCTGACACTATAGTGATCCTTTAACCAATACACAGAATAATCATTGATAAAGGGACAGGGGTCCCAAAACTTTGTACTGTTCTTTGAATGTGCTTTGAATAAACTTGGGCTGCACTAGTGGGCCCCTATAACTAAGCTGCGCTTTGCAGATGAATACTTTGGATTGCTATATTGTGCTTGCTTTTGGGGCTACGGCAGCTTATACACAATAGCTGCACTAAGTTAATATATTTTGTCTTTTGGTACTGTGCTATACCACACTTCTAGAACATATTTTTCCCCCCCGAATAATTTGAATAATAGACATTTAACTATAACTAAAATCAATTCCCACATCACTGGCTTATTTGTATTTATAATACTGTACATGTCATGAATTATTGCACATCTATTTTCTTTTTATTTCTATTCACACTAGAGCAGATGTTTTGCAATTTCAAATGGTACACAAAAATAACTGAATATCAGCATTCTGGAATTAAATCAGGCATTTACTGCAGCTTTAACGGGTTATTAATTTAGTTAAATAGATTTAGTAGATTTTTCAAAAAGCTCCGGTTTCACTATAAAATCCTTTGCTCTCCGCTAGCTTGCGCTGTTTGTGGTTATGTTTGCTGCACCTTCGTATAGAGAACGCAGGTCATACAGAGTGGCCTGGCCTGTCTTTCACAGTCAGCTATGCTGTAGAATTCATTTCTCCCTCCCATCTAGCCCAAACAATGTTGGTGGTGCCACACTGTCTGTCACACAGGCTTGGCTTTCCCTGATATGTTATTTTAATCCTGAGAATACCCATTAACTGTTTCAGCTACGTATTTCTTGCTGAGATTTGTATCACGTCTCTCGCCTCTTAAATAGGGTAAACGTCACTCCTCCATGACCCATCTCTGTAACCTCAGTATCCATTTTTCCAGAAATATAACATTTTCCCCCTTCTTCACACAGCATGCCATTCACACTCATTGCTTTATAATTCACCCTCTTTAACCACCCACCGATTTAGGTTGGTGTGAGATATTTGTAGCTGCGGACGGAGAATTGACTGGTCTGTGTGGTGGGGGAAAATGTAGGGTTATACTAGGGCAGGTAATGGTGTCTACAGTGAAATGTAAAACTACTATCTATGTAAGGTCCTCATTGACCTAGAGACTTTCTTTTTGCCAAAGAGTACTTTATTTTACCACTAATGCTAGTGGTTTATATGACGAGGCGCCTGAAGAAACATAGAATGTACATTCAATTCTTCTTCCTCCCTTACCAGATAGAGAGGATCCTGAAAATATATAGCCTGACGGGGTGACCAGAGGGCAACTATTTTTTACAATTATAAGTGTTCTGGTGCAGAGAAAAAAAAAAATGTTTATCCTCATTTTTTTTTTTTTCTGCAGGTGCAAGAATAATGCAGTATACGCAAAAGGTGAATAGGAGTACAATAAATAAAAATGTATGCATTCTAGCTGGTGGATAATACGGTGCAAATAAAATTCACATTTATGCCATCACTATGAAATGGTAATAAACCCAACTATAATGTGTTAGAGTGACATAAAAAAAATCCAAATAGGATTTTGGTCATTGTCAAGATGCTTGTTATACAGTTACTTAAAGTGGCCCAAAATGGTTTCTCAACAAATTAATCATGTGAGCCTGTTAGATCACTTGCAAGTGATACATTTTAAATAGGCCGTTGATTTAAGACTTTTGGTGATCGGACTTTATAATTGAGACAGCTATGCAGGGCCGGACTGGGGATTCCAAAGCAGCCCTGGGAAAAAAAAACCTATGCCAGTCCCATAAGTCATTGCGCCATATATTGTCGCATGTAATATGTAAGGCTATGTCTTGCCACCCTAGATGATTGAGATATATATATATATATATATCTATATATATATATATATATATATATAGATATATATATATATATAAATATGTGTCACGATTTGGGGAACCAAACACGCCAACACACACACACACACAAAGTGCAATACCGGACCTTAGAGTGGCCGGGCTAAGCACACAAAGAATAGTCAGGAAACAAGCCGAGTAAAGGGGAACCAGAAGACAGAATAACGATAGACAAGCCGAGGTCAAAGGGTAGGAGAAAGTCACAAAGTCGGATAAACAAGCCAGAGAGTACGTAACCAGAAACACAAGTTCAGTAGTAATACTAGCAAGTAAAGACCACAACAGGGCGGAGAGGAACAGGAAAGGTAAGTATTTAAATCCATAGGTTAATTCTGATTGGATAATTTCCAATCAGAATTAACAATCACACGTGGGAGATATCTAAACCTCCCACTGTGATTGAGGCACTGTGCCTTTAACACCGGGTCAGGTGACTGACCCCGGCGTTTGTTAAAATGGGCGGTCTCCCAGCATGCAGCGTCATGCATGCTGCCGCTGGGGGACACAGAGGAAGACGCGGGCGGCATCCGTGGCAGCCGCCCGCGGGACCCTGACAATATACATATATATATATATAGCTTTTTCCAATATAAAATATTGATCCTTTCAGAGTAAAATTTTTAATTATACAGTAAGCATACCCACATGCAGACACAGGCAATCTCACTGACACAAGCTGATTGATACACAGCCTCCTAGACAAGCAATCTCACTGATATACAGAAGGTCATTGACATAAAAACACAAGCTCACTCAGTAGCAGGCACACACACACACACACACACAAGCAAGCCCACTCACTAGCAGGCACGCACACACACAGCTTAATGTAGTGGCTCTGGTGTCTATAGCCTGTCCCTGCAGGCTTTTCAATGTAAACACTGACTTTTTAGAGAAAAGGCAGTGTTTACATTGCTTCCTAGTGACAGACACTCAGACGGTCACTAGAGGTGCTTCCTGTGTCAGTGCGGATTGGCTGAGATCATCAAGACAGAGACACACACACCATGACACAGACAGACGCACACAATGACACGGACACACATTGCATGACACAGACAGAGACACACACACACAAATGACACAGACACACATACACTGACACACATAATTGCTACCTGTGTGCTGGCGGCTGCATGGGGAGCTCTGATGGCGGCTGCATGGAGAGCTCTGATGGCAGCCGCATGGGGGGAGCTGGCTCTTCTGGCGGCTGCAGAGGGAGCTCTTTTGGCGGCCGCAGGGGGAGCTGGCTGTTCTGTCTCTGCTCCACCGCGCGCCGCTTAACCCCTTAAGGACCAAACTTCTTGAATAAAAGGGAGTCATGACATGTCACACATGTCATGTGTCCTTAAGGGGTTAATGAGACTGAGGCCGGAATATGACGTCATATTCCGGCCCCGGTCTCTTTGTAGCGCGCTGCTCCCCCTGCGGCCAGCTCCCCCTGCGGCCGCCAGAAAAGCCAGCTGCCTGCCCGGCCCCAGGTGCCGACGGCCCACCGGGAAATTTCCCGGTATCCATGTGGGCCAGTCCGGCCCTGCAGCTATGCCTGGAAAAAGTGTTGGTGCTGTCAGTCTGAGTTAATAGGCCAAAAATAGCTGATGTGAAAAAAATCTCCAGCTCTACTTTAGTCACAGCTTGATTACTTTATGCTGAATTTTGTTAATTTAGTTTTCAATTTACTACAGAATAGTGCTTAGTCAATATTTGTCTAAGACATTGAGTCTTGTATTAGGCTGCTCTCTTTCTTTAATTCCCTCAGTGCAAAGAAAACATATTTGGAAAAAGCACAATAAAATGAACAAAACATGGTAAAAACATCATGTGATCTAAACAAACCAAGGGCCACCAATCAGGTTACACCACAAGGCATAAAAGGCTAATTACCTGACATCGCACCTCTTTCTTTCGTTCCTGAAGCAACCGATCTGAACTTAAAATAAACCATAACCATAAACGGTCAGAACAAATGGCTGCTGTTAGGAGTTGGAGAGTTGATTGCGGAGTGCCCTCGATAGTCCAGGGTCCCCTGAAATAAGACGCGCTAGCAACTGAAGAAGACTCTGATGGACCAGCAGTTGAGGGTTTTTTCGTCCGGGATGAACAGGAGAGAATCAAATGTTGCTCAATGCAGAGCTGACCACAACAGAACTACCAACACCACTGTTCCCCAGTGATGTCTCAAATGCAACAGGGTGCAAAATATTATAGCAAGTAGCGGGAAAGCATAATGTCTGGAAAAAGCCACACTTGTAAGAACCTTAGTTGCCATAGCATCTAAAAAGTCAATCGATTGTGATGGAATCATCACGGCTTTCTCCAAATTAGGAGAATACCCAGGTCCGGATGTAGATGAATAGTCTAAAAATCGAATATTAATCTTTGCTGCTGGGGGATTTAAAGAAAGACTGCAGCCTAATATGAGCGTCCGTGTCTATAATATAATCATGACTTTACATCTGGTAATTATGGGGAACATTGTAATCTATGGTTTGATAATTTTGACACATTGCTGCCAAGGAGTCACTAATGATGTCAAAGCAATCAAATTCCACCGTCCAACAGTTTTACTATTGTTGTCGTTAGGAAATGTGCCTATATCTTATGTTGAGGACACAAAATGATTTATTGACCTATTAACGTAACTAACTGACACCTAGCTTATTAAACACCTAAAAGGACTTGATAAAACACAGCAGACACTATTCTAGTGATTAACCCAGATAATACCCGTAGTGTTTTCCCATGACCAAAGCTACAAGCACACATTCCTCCCCTTATGTTGATGACATTTACAAGCAACGTCACCAAAACTTTGATAACAACTTAAAGGGACACGTTAGTCACCAAAACAACTTTAGCTTAATGACGATCATGCCTTTGAAGTCTCATTGCTCAATTCTCTGCCATTTAGAAGTTAACTCCCTTTTGTTTCTGTCCTTGCAGCCTCAGCCACACCTCACACAACCTGCATAGGAAAAATTCAATATGATGTTAACTTTCTTTATAACTTTTATTTTCTTCTCTGTAAATTGAACTTTAATCACCCACAGGAGGCTTCAGCAAGGTCTAGCAAACTATTAATAATTCTGTATATAAGAAATTCTAAATTTAAACAGACTGTGCCATAAAAGAAGTGTAAACATTAGATAACTATTTAAAGGAAGTGTCCAGGAAGGCTGTGTACATCACATGCAGAGAGGTGTGACTAGGGCTGCATAAACTAAGTGATGTAACTCATAGATGGCAGGGAATTGTGCAGTTAGACTTCAGGGGTATGATCTATACACCAAAACTGTTTCATTAAGCTAAAGTTTTTATTTGTTTATTTGTGTGACTGTAGTGTCCCTTTAAAACACAAGCGCTGTAACAAGAAATTAACATGGTGAAAATTAACACACGGCAAATTCATGTACACACCATTAGCTAAATGTCTAATTTGAAAATGTGTACATCATTACACAACAGATTATGGGGTGAAACAGGCAGGTCAATTTGTTACCTGATGAATTTATTTTATTTGTCGTTAACCTATTGGTTTTGAGATTGAGTGATCAATGGTGACTGAAGTTAAGTCCAGTCCATAACAATTTCTAACTTCAGAGGCGTTACTGGCACAAAAAGTTTTGGATTGTAATCACATTGAAATCACAACACAGGATGAGAGCCAGGAAAAGTCATTGAATATTGGATTGTAATTTGCACATTACATCGACATGAAGACTTCACAACATTTGATTTTTGCAGTCTTTTTTTTTTTTTTTTTGCAATCCTGTGGTACAGATCACACAGCCCCATTCCTTTACAACATGTGGAGTGATGAGGTTAAGCCTCCTAGCATCTTATGATCTGAACTAGTTTTGTTGTCCTCTGTAGTTTATGGCAAAGTTTAAAAAAAAAAAAAAAGACCCCTTAAAACAGAATTCTTCTTCAATTGCAATTAAGCATTTTTTTGCTAAATCCACTGGGATTACTGTCCTAATTGGTCTGAAACATGAAGCTGAAGTTCAGACAGTTCTATCCTGCCTCTAGGTCTCCACCCCTGCACTGCGCCATGCCGAAGTGTTTGAACCTGTCTCTGTAACGGCATTGTGCTAGGCGATACGCTTGCTGTTTAAATCAAGTTATATTGTGTTTTTGCAGAGATTTAAAAACCTGATGCTAGACAACAGTAAAAAGTTCCTTACGGGCAAAAACATCATTTTTTCTTCTTCTTCTAAATGTATAGAAAGAAATGCTTGCAGCTGTGTGATTTGTGATATCTTTTTGCACACCTGTGTGCAGATATCTTGGACAGCAGATGCATTATTTTTGTGTAATGGGTGTTGACATGGTAATTACATTGCTATAGAGGGTTTCTTGGCAGGTTTTTTTTTTTTTCGTGTTTCCTCCTCCTGTGCAGTGATTGATATTTTTTTCCAGGGTTCCCACCATCTGGCTGTGTATAACAAATTTATTACTCATTTCAAAATATTCTGAATATTTGCTTCACTGATTTCACCCTTTTGCTAGAAGACAAAGTTTCAAAACCATCTCACCCTTTCACTTGGAGTAACATCAGAATGCTTGAAATTTAACGAAATCTATAGATAATTATTAAAGGTCTGCTATTGGCAGACAAATGCATATTAAGTTGTATGGTTGGGCATTTTTTCTTATTCATAGAAACATAGAATGTGACGGCAGATAAGAACCATTCGGCCCATCTAGTCTGCCCAATTTTCTAAATACTTTCATTAGTCCCTGGCCTTATCTTATAGTTGTGGTAGGGGCATAAAACCGAGGCAAGAGTGTAAGGAGAGTATGAAGGTATAGCAAAGGTGTGAGAAGAGGGCAAGTCGGTTGAAGTGTGCCGGAACCGACGTAGCAGTAGGCCTGTAAATAAAGAGGGCAAAAATAGATACGAACTAGAATTTATTACAATCAACAAGAGAAGAGCAAGTATTACATAGACATAGTATGGAAGGCGTGTCTGAGTTCCTGTAGTGGTTGTGGTATGTACAAAGAGTATGCAGAGGACTTCCAGCGACCTAGGGCTTTGATTATATGTACAGGAATGTTCCTGCTAGAGGCAGTGGAAGCTGCCCCTATTCTGAAAGAGTGGCCAGAATAGTCAGAAGGGTTAAGACCTAGCCTGGTGATCAAAGATCGGACATAAGTCATAAATTTAGATGTGGTAAGGACTGACCCATGTAAAGTTAGCAGTGGTTGGGAAGCTTGTATGTTATAGGTCAGAAGAAAGGTGTCTAGGATCTTAACTGGGCACCATTTGTTACCTGTCGGGTAATAGGGTATGTTAACATCTTGACCATCCTGTGTGGTTTTAGTGTGGGGAAGTGTTAGAACATAATAATCCCCCAATTTAGCTAGATGAGACTTCCTGAGGCAGTATTGCAGGTTGGTCGTGGAAGTTGTTGTAAATTCTCGTGGTCTAAGAAAACCGTAAAAAGCCAGGTAAATAGCTGTTTTGAGAACGTGGTCGGTGTGGGGATCAAACGGGCCCGCATCTAAAAGGTCTGAAAGGGAGTGTAGTAATCGGATGTCAATGGGTAACCTCCTATGTGATGGGGTGTGTCCGGTTTTCTGTATGCCTCTAAGTATAGATTTGATTTGGTATGAAGACATGAAGCTGTGTTTGTAGGGGAATAAAAGCAACATGTGGTGTTGTATACCTGATAGGTACAATTTGATGGTACTATGTGAAAGTGCAAATTTAAGGTGGCAAAAAGAAGCAAAACCTACCAGAGTCGACATAGCAAAAGAATCAGTAATACCATATCCCAATAAAAACTTCCTAAACAAGGAGAAAGCCCGGTCATAAGCCCTGCGTGTATTAGTGGACAGAGACAATCGGGCAAGATGACGGCCGTGAGACAACAAAGCGGTCAGTCCATGATCAGCTCCTGAAACGGAGGGGCAGCAGTGGCAGTGGGGGAGGCCGAAGGCAGAGCAGCATGGAAGGCCTGAAATTGAAATCGAGACAGCCTGTCAGCAGCAACATTCGTGACACCTGGCACGTGAACACAAGTCAGAAAGAAATGGTGACAAGCCGCCAGCCACGTCAATTTCCTGAGGAACCTCATAATAATGAGAGAGGAAGAACGCCCTTTATTAACGATGTGGCATGTGGCCTGGTTGTCCGAGAAACAGCGAATCGAACAACCCGACCACACCCGACCCCAAACGACAGCGGCCGCTACAATGGGGTAAATTTCAAATAGGGCGGAGGTAGTGGAAAAACCCTCGATGTCCAGGACCTCCACTGGCCAGGCACCCCAAAGCCACTCAGAATCGTAAATGGCAGAGAAGCCGGTAGTGGCAGCTGCATCTGTCCATAGTGCGGGTGATGTCTCTGAAATCTCGGGAAGGAACATACACTTCCCATTCCAGGAGAGCAAGAACCTCCGCCACATGAGCAGATCCGCCGTGGCTTGGTCATCGAGCGTGATCCGGCTATCATCATGAGGGAGAGAGGGAAACAGGGAAAGCAGCCGAGATATAAAAGCCCGACCCTGTGGGATTATCCGCATAGCAAAATTTAATGACCCTAGCAAAGATTGTAGCTCCCTCCGGCAGCAAGACCTAGTGCGAATATAGTCATCAATGGATGAGAGTATGTGCACTATTTTGTCCGTGGGAAGACTGGCCTGCATGGCAACAGTATCAAGCTGAATACCCAGGAAAGTGATGACAGTGTCCGGGCCTTCCGTCTTGTCCACGGACAACGGAACACCCAACAACTCAAAAAGGGCAGAGGCTTCCTTCAGACTACGTGGGGGGGACTTGTTCTCCTCAATCATAAGGAAGTCGTCCAGGTAGTGGAGGACTGCGGGACACCTATTGACATTAAGGAGCAACCAGCACAGGGTCTCAGCAAAGATGTCAAACAGTTTCGGGCTACTCTTGGAACCAAAAGTAAGCCGGGAGAAAAAGTAATATTGGCCCTTCCATTTAATACCGTGCAGGTGCCAGAGCGTTGGGTGTATCGGCAAGAGCTTAAAAGCATTAACAATGTCAGTTTTACTAAGCCAGGCACCCACCCCGGCTTTAAGGATGGTTGAAATGGCATTATCAATCGTGGCATACTGCAGCGAAAATTCCTCAGATGGAATCAAGGAATTTAAACTAGGAATTGCTGCCGGAGAGATCAACTATCAACCTCTGCTTCATGGAGGACTTACCGGTCACAATACCAATAGGGTTAGTCCTCCATGCAGTAAAAGGCGGAGCCTGGAAAGGACCTAGAAGAAAACCCCCCGCGACCTCCTGTTGTATGAGAGAGTCAACCGCCTCAGGGTGAGCCAGAGCCGATTGCAAGTTCTTACACTCAAAGATACCGGATGGCATACGTATGATGCCTGTATGGAAACCCTCCGAAAAGCCAGAGACCAAGAAATCAACCAAGTGCCTGGATGGGTGAGAGGACAACAAGGCCGACAAGGCAGACACATTAACAGAGGTCAAGTAAGGTTTGGGAAACAATTTATTGGGGCACATGGTGAGCGCATGGGCCCGGAAGCATTTAGAACAAACATGCAGAAGCCTACAGGCGCTAAAACTGCAGGTACCAGCATTAAAATTATTACAAACCTGGGACTTCCCCAGGAAGAGAATGGGGCGACCCAGTTTGTCCTTGACAACCTTGTCAGGCTGCTGGAAAGGGGAGGGAACAAGGCCGGAGGAAGCCTCGGCCGTATTAGGACAGAGGTTCGTGGAGTGAGACGTGGAGGAGCAGACGGCACAAGCTGGTGTCCTCAGACCCGCAAAGTGTCTGCAGAACAATTCCGTGTCCAGCTTACCCCAGTTCAACCGGGCACCAAACTGGGTGAAAGCAGCAGACACTTTGGCGGAGAAAGACCGGTGGTAGTCATAAAAAGACGTACCACCGTACTTGTGGCCCAAGTCCACAAGCTTATGCATATAAAGGTCCAACTCCTGCCTCCTAGCTGGGTAAACCGAGCACAGGACGTCCCTGAAAAGCCCAAAAGCCAGAACAAACTCCGGGACAGAGAGCTTCCTGTTAAGCCTGGGGTCCCGGGCCTTGATTACAACTGACACATCCCCATAGGCATAAGTCTTGTTCTCAACGATATCTTGAGAGGCAATAAGGAGCGAAACCAAGTTCACATCCTTGCCGTCCAAGATATCCTTCCGAATATTGGCCGGGACCATGTGAGCAGGGTCGACATCCAGAGGGGTATCAATGGTACCTGATAAGTTACCCTGGCCAGACGAGGGAGTGTCAGCCGGAGCTGGAGCGGGGAGGCTGGTTGACAACTCGGCCTGAGAGGCAGTCTCCAGTCTGTCCAACCTCTGGGTGATCTGCCCCATGGATGCCACGAGAGAGGACAACATGGAGCGCACATCAGAGGGGTCAGCGCCACTAGGACCTTCTCCGGCGTCCTCTTCAATGACTGCGTGGGCAGAGGAGGAATGCAGCAGCCGAAACAGTTCGGTCTTCCTAGCTGATGCGGGGAACGGGATCTGACGCCTCCGAAGTTCTGCAGCGAGGGACGGACCAAGATCTGAAGGAGGCAGACGTAGCCGAATTCCCCCTGCGAGAAGGGGTGCCAGACCTAGCCGGAGTGCCGGGCAGGACCACCTCTTCGCCACCAACAGCAGACACTGGATCCATTAGCACCGGGAAGCAGAGCAAGCGTGCGGCGGACAGCGACAGGAGACCGGAGCTGGGACACCACCAGACGGCACGGAGGACGCCGGAACGGGAGCCACGAGTCAAGTGACGGTTAGGAAACGAAACGGGACAGGTGGAGGTGAATAGTGGGCTTAAATAGGGGACCATGCCCTTCCTATTTAGGATAGTCTTATGCCTATCCCACGCATGCTTAAACTCCTTTACTGTGTTAACCTCTACCACTTCAGCTGGAAGGCTATTCCATGCATCCACTACCCTCTCAGTAAAGTAATACTTCCTGATATTATTTTTAAACCTTTGTCCCTATAGAAACATAGAAAATTACATCAGAGAGAGGATTAAGAACAGAATGAAAGGTACAATATGAATATAGTATGTCACTATAACTTTAATAATAACAAAGTATTTAACCAGGAAAGGTGCATTCAGATTACTCTGATTTCCAAGTACATACTGGGGATGTTACGTTTGCCTAACATCCAGGGGATGTTCCTATTACCCAATCTAATGGTACTTATTTTATTTACCTCAGTGGGATGAAGGGCTGAGTCAACCATGCCAGGATTTGAACCTGAGTGTTGAACAGATTCTACTGATGACTCATTAGCCCACTGAGCTATGCCAATGGCCTAATCAGAGTTTACTATGATAATGCGCAAAGAACGCATAAGAAGTGATCTCAAAAGAACCTGACCATCACATAGTTCATATTATTATTGTTATTTATATAGAGCCAACTTATTCTGCAGCACTTTACAATATTATGAAAATAGAAAATGTAACCATAAATGAAACAATTATAAAATGTTACAGGAGCAGTAGGTAGATGAGGACCATGCTCAGACAAGCTTACGGTCTAGAGGAGTGGAGTATAACGACACAGTAGAAAGGACATCAAGGGGGGCAGCAAACCACAAGGTGGAAAAGTAGAGACTGGAGTGTGGCTCTTTAGGAAAGGGCAAGTTACTGGTTTGTGACAGAGGAGTTACTATGGGAAGTCATAGGCATTTATGAAAAGGGGTTTTGAGGGACTTCTTAAACAATTGAAAACTAGGGGAATGTCTGATGGGGGTAGGCAGGCTGTTCCAAAAGAAAGGAACCGCCCGTGAGTCCTGCAAGCACGAGTCAGCAGTAAGGGTGTGAGGAGCGGGCAGGCGAAGGTCACATCAGAGCGGAGAGACAGAGAAGGGGCATATCTACGAATCAGTGAAGAAATGTAACGGGCTAGAGTTGTTTAGAGCTTTATAGGTAAGGTTAGTATTTTAAATCGACACATATAGCATACAGGAAGCCAGTGTAAGGCTCGGCAGAGGGGAGAGGTATGGGAGGAGAGACAGGTGAGAAATATCAGCCTGGCGGCAGCATTCATTACAAGCTGTTTGGCTTCTGGGAAGACCAACTAGGAGAGTATTACAGTAATCCATGCAAGAGATTCAGGGCCGGTGCAAAGATTTTTGCCGCCCTAGGCAATCCAAAATTTACTGCCGTCCCCATATGTTTTGCCCACCATGTGACATCACAATGCCCACCCATATGATATGCCATATGGGCCAGTGCCAGTTCAGCACAAAGTGACTTTTGTCTGAAACTTCAGTGTGTTTACATTACTGGTGACTATGGTGGCCCTTTAATGTGAGGTAAATTAGAGATTAGTGCCACTAATAATATATTTGATTGCCTACTTGCCACCAGATTAGGACAAGAGGATGATAATGGGCTCAGGCTGCAGTCTGGCTCCACAGGTCTGGTGTAGAAGAGGCTCTCTTGAGACTGTTTGTAACAGTGCTTACAACAATTAACGAACTGGAAGCAGCTCCATTTTTGTGGCCCCTTACACAGCTCAAGGTCTGGGCCCCCAGGGCCTGACCGTAAGTATGCCTACAAGGCCCGCCCATAAGTCCACCTACATGCCTACATGGCCCACCCATGAGTTTGCTCACAGGAAGTGGAGTGTATGTGTGTAAGGGATGTGTTATGTGTTATTGTAGAGGATGGAATGTGTGTGTTCTTATAGAATGTAGTGTATAGGGATACCAATGTGTGTATAGAGGATGCAGTGTGTGTTTGTGTGTAAGGAATGCAGTATGTGTTTCTGGGTGTGTGTAAGCAATGTAAGGTGTGTTTCTGTGTATGTAATTTTAATGCAGTGTGTGTCTGTAAGGGGTGCATTGAGTTTGTGTTAGAGATGCATTTTGTTTCTGTGTGTGGAAGAGAAGCAGTGTGTGTGTGTGTGTGTGTGTGAGCGTAAGGGATACATTGTGTGTTTCGGTGTGTCTGTGTGTGAGTAGGGATGCATAGTATGTTTCTGTGTGTAGGGATGCATTGTGTGTTTCTGTGTATGTGTAGTGTAAAAGAGAGGGTTTGTGGGGTAGTATAGGGGCTTAGTGGTCCTCCCTTTCCCTCTCTCTTAGTGGTCGTCCTCTTCCCCCAAATCCTTAGTGGTTCTCCCTCTCCCCCCCCCCTCTTAGTGATCCTCCCTCTCTCCCCCCGTCTAGTGGTCCTCCCTCTCCCAAACCTTTGGGGGTCCTCTCTCCCATCCCCCCTTAGTGGTCCTCCCTCCCTGTTGTGCCTCTTACCTATGTAGCGCCAGCGGACTGACAGGAAGTGCTGACTCAGCATGCTACATTGAGTGACTGGCAGGAAGGAGCGATATGCGCTTCTCTCCTGCCGCTCACTTAAATCTTGCACCCCCTGGGCCGGTGCGCCCTAGGCAACTGCCTAAGTCGCCTTTAGGACGCACCGGCCCTGAAGAGATTACCAGAGAATGAACAAGCTACTTGGCAGCATCTTACATGAGAAAGGGGTGGATGCGGGCAATGTTTTTAAGGTGGAATCGACAGGTTTTAACAACGGACTGAATATGAGGCACAAACGTCAGGCCAGGATCAAAGATAACACCAAGTTATACCTCAAGATTCTAGAACTGTTCCAATGACCTTTCCTATTCCTACCACTGATGTTCCTTGACCTGATCAGATAGAGAGAAGCAGAATAGGAATGTATCTGGAGGAATGCAAAACACTGTTAAAATAAATATTGTTCAGAATGTAATTCACATCTATGTATTTACCATAAACTCTAGTACCTGCATTATTCCTTTTCCACCTCCAGGTGGAGCAGTCATTACTAGCAATGTAAGTGTAAACAGGCATAATACAGGGTTCCTTTTGTAATTTTGTAAGAATTATGCACAAAACAGAAAACATCCTAAATGGATGGGTTTAACACACGATCCGGACCATTCCAGAACATTGCTAGTCATGGTTTTTAAAAGGCTGTGACAATAAGAGGCATGCTCTTATGGCATAAGTAACGGAAAACATGTTGAATACAGACATTGAATTAAATATCAGACGAGCGAAGATGAAGTGAACTCATTAGGTTCAGATTGCTCCTCATTAAAATCTTTTGGTAATGGTGTAAACACATTTACAGGTGTGTTTGTGTTTTTTTTTGTTTTTTAGCTGTAGACCATGTAAAGCAGATATTGGCAAGATAAGTAATTGTAGTTCTATGTAGTGATTATGGAAGTCCCAGTAATAACTGTTTTTTGGATCACCGTTCCTGTATGTACGAATGTCTCATGCGTCTTAGCACCCATTGTACAGGGCTTTAGAATATGTTGCAGCTTTATTAATAATACTATCTGTTAGAATTGCCCATAAAGGCTTGTCCCTGTAGGCTTATCAATGTAATGCTGCGTTTTCATAGAAAAGGCAGTGTTTACTTGGTTTTTAGGATCACCCCTAGTGGCAGTCACTCTGACAGCCACTGGAGGTGATTCCTGTGTCAGTGCACAGTGTGCAGCACTGGCTCTTAGCGTCTCCACGCTCTGCGTGGATGTGGTGAACATTCCCCATAGAACCTCTATGAGGAGATTCTAATTGGTGCTTGCACGATAGTCTCCCATTGCTTTGCATCAAACTGATTCTCAGCCACGGAGGCGGGACAGGCCCAGCGTGGGAAAAAAGGTGAGTAATCACAATTTTTTCTTTTTATTGCCACAAGAAGGTTTCAATGTTGGCTATAAGCATACCCCCTCAGATATTGTGCATGGTGATGTTTACACTTCTCCTTGACTGTCGTATTATTTAGGCGGTGGTTTGCATATTTTGGCCCTGAGAATGCAAGTACAAATGAATGGCCTTCTTTTCACATGACTCTCACATGACTCTTCCTGATCTACTCATGCAGAACACACAATACGTGGGTTTGACAGGCAGAGGCTGCTGAGTCATAAGGTCCTTGTAGTTTCCATCAGTGTGACCTAGGCAGCAGGAGGGGTATTTGAAGAGCCAGGAAAGGGCAAGGGTCAGAACAGATTGTATGTTTTTCCTTTATCAGGGAGTTAGAGAGTTAAGTTGCCTAAGACATCTTTTTAGTTGGAAGAAAATACAAATATCAAACCACGTCACTAAGAAATCCAATTGCAAAGATTATTGAACATTTCTGCAAAACAGAAGAGGTGAAATCACTCTGTTAGCATTCATTATTGTTTATACATGCCCTTACCCCACAACGTTGGTGTCCTGAGCGGGCTAGTGATAGCTGCGATTGTGTCACTAGGTCCGTTAAAATGATGCAGACCGCCTGGAAAGGGGGCTGGTCTGCCCACATTATTGACAGGTCAGCCTGGTGTGAATGCAGGTCAGGCTGCTTGCCAGTTAAGCAGAACAGCCCACTGAAGGCAGGCAATGTAGTGCTCTGTGCAGGGTCCTAGTGCAATGAGCGCAGCGCATGTGTGTCAAATGATGTACTCATACTAAACATTTTACAGGACAGTTTAGGGAAACCAGGGAACAAAGTCAGGACAGCAAGACAGGACCTGAATATCGGGATTGTCCTGCAGAAATCGGGATGGTTAGAAGGCCGCCTTGCCTACTGGATTTCAAACCAGACTTCTTGACAAGCTAGATACAACACCCATCCAATGATTCAGAAATCTCGCCTTTTCAGAATTCTAAATTTGACCTTTCATCTAAAATAATTTTTAAATGATTTATTAGAAACTGAAAGGATTTTTTGTTACATTGTTACCCATTAATCTCCTCATCTTTCCCCTTGCTTGCTTAGATCACCACAGCTTTCAATTTAAAGGACATCTGGGTACCAACACAACTCAAATGGTTACTCCATCAGCTTTCTTTACTCTATTTATTTCAATAGCAATAGTCTTAATTAACATAATCCTTGATGGTGTCTGCACCTCTTACTATGTCATCATCTTTAAGAAGCATTGATGGCACTTTGGCACTTGCTGAATACAATACTTTTCTATATAAAACTTTGAACAGAGGGAGGGAGGATGGACAAGGAGTTAAGAAAGCTGAAGTAGTGAGAATTAGTGTGAGAGAGAGCTGGCACTGGGGAGGGAGGTTATGTGTATTGTGCACTGTCATTTAGGAAGTGAGTGCTGTCACCGTGGAGGGAAGGAGGGATCAGAGTTACATTGTGTGCTGTCACTGGTGGGGGTGGGTTACATTGAGCTGTCACTGGGGAGGGAAGGAGAGATAGAGGTTACATTGAGTGCTCTCAATAGGGATGGAAGTTACATTGAGTGCTGTTACTGGGGAGGGGAGTTATATTGAGTTCTCTCACTTGAAGGGAAGCAGCGTAAGGAGTTACGTTAAGCATTGTTACTGGGGAGGGAAGGGGGGAGGGCAGTTACATGGAGCGCTGTCATTGGGGAGGGAAGAAGGAATAGTAGTTACATTGAGTGCTGTCACTGGGAGGGGAGTTACATTAAGCGCTGTCACTTGGGAGTGAAGGTGGGGCCTCCCTTCCAAGATATGCAGAATAAATAACGGTTCAGGCACTCCAGGGTAACAGAAATAGCAGCTTTATTGAGGCAAACGTAGCAACATTTCGACCCTGCCAGGTGTTTATTATTATTATTATTATTATTATTTTATTATTAATATATCAAGCTTTATAAAGACCTGGTAGGGTTGAAACGTTATTTATTCTGCATATCTAGGAACCAGAAAGGAGTCCTGGGCTGCCTGTCATGTGGGCCAGAGGTGCAACTATGTCCCGGCACAAAAGTCAAGATGTCTCTGCATAGGCAGCATTCTAAAAGCCAAAGTGACCATGTTATTTAGAAACACACTTTACTCTACTCCAAAAAAACTTCAGTGGTTTAATAAAAATTGTCCCCTTTAAAACTTACCTCTGGTCAGGTGTTCTCTCAGTAGCTTGATCCTTTTTCTGGGGATCCCTTCCCTATACGGAAGATAGGCTGAGTGCAGGAATTTGGGTAAAGAACAGGAGGTAGGTGCAGTGCCTAAATAGTCCACATATGGGTATATAAAAGGAAAAAGGGAGAATATTTTACTTGAATTATATCTTTTTATGTTGTTCTGAGTGCAGGACTTGGAAGTGGAGTTACACTTCTGACAAACAAAGTGCTGTATCTGTATTCATAGTTAAACATGGCACATACAGACTCAGAGCTCCATGACCACTTCAAATCACTGAAGGGGTCATGGTGCATTTAGTAAAACTTTAAGTTCATTTGGACTCATGCATATTTTTCTCCACATTCTAATTTTTTAGAGAATTTTTCCCACTGTGTGCAGCATAAGCACATCCTCTTAGAGATAAAACCTATTTCTGATTGAAACTTGCACTCAGTGTAGCTTAGCCAATGGGAGATTCGTGTGATCTGAGCTGCTGGTTTGACTCTGCTATCACAGCCTATCCCCTTATTTTAAATCCATAAATGGAAGGGGGCGGGATCAGTTAATATGAGTGTGATTGGCTGAAACGGTTTTGTGAAAAGTTGCACTACAAAAGGGGCAGAGTTACACTACAAATGCTACATGGGTGCATGCCACAATTGACCCTGGTATGACAAGCAACTGGAATGCCAGTGAGAAGGAGGGGGCACAACACGTGTATTCAAGCCAACCGTTCAATGGAAATTTTGTTTCTAAAAACAGAATATATTCCTTTTTGTGCGTGAGAATTCAGAACTATATACTTTCCGTTTCTGCACATGCAGTATCTAAATCAAAGGTTTGGCTAAAGTATTATAAGTTTCCATGTATTTGAAATCATGCACAATGCATTATGGATGCTTGCATAATAATTTAAAACATCACACATAAGCAGTTCCCTTGTTCCTAGTAGGGAAGATTAATAAAATTGTTGTTAATAGAAAAGTTGGTTAAAGGGACACACCACTGACCAAATACCCAAAAAAATCACTGCTTTTAAGGAAATTATGCATTTCAAGGAAATCATGCATTTAAAGGACCACTCTAGGCACCCAGACCACTTCAGCTTAATGAAGTGGTCTGGGTGCCTGGTCCAGCTAGGGTTAACCCATTTTTTTATAAACATAGCAGTTTCAGAGAAACTGCTATGTTTATTAATGGGTTAAGCCTTCCCCCTAATCCCCTAGTGGCTGTCTCATTGACAGCCACTAGAGGCGCTTGCGTGCTTCTCACTGTGATTTTCACAGTGAGAGCACGCAAGCGTCCATAGGAAAGCATTGTAAATACTTTCCTTTGCGACGGGCTGAATGTGCGCGCAGCTCTTGCCGCGCGTGCGCATTCAGCCCAGGAGGAGGATCGGAGGAGGAGAGGAGGCAGAGAGCTCCCTGCCCAGCGCTGGAAAAAGGTAAGTTTTAACCCCTTTCCCCTTTCCAGAGCCGGGCGGGAGGGGGTCCCTGAGGGTGGGGGCACCCTCAGGGCTCTATAGTGCCAGGAAAACGAGTATGTTTTCCTGGCACTATAGTGGTCCTTTAAGTTTTCAATGGGGGTGAATCTAAAGACTGCTTGTAAAAACTGCAAATCCCTTGTCTTTTGCAAGCCCTAACACAGCTCCTCTTTTCTTTGACGGTCTAATCAGACTTCCCAATCACTGCTCACTGAGAAGTCTTTGCAAGTTAGATGCTATGAGTTATTGCTGCCTCTTGAGTTTGGCTCCACTGAGCTAAACAAACCAGGAAGTAACCAGGGTTAATGTAACAGGGTTAATTTAAAGATGCGCCAATTTCTATTGAAATCTGAATTTCTTTGTAAAATGAAAATCCATTTTACACAACACTTTTTAGAATGCTAAGGGGCTTTAGATTGTCCCTTTAATGTTGGCTTCAAATTGCCCCTATTTTAGAACATCACTTAAATTGTATGTTAATTATGGAAATCCTAATAGAATTATGACCCCCAAGAAGACATAGAACACATAACATTGCTATTGTGATTTGTGACTCCATTCCCTAAATCTAGATTTATGGAGAATTCTCAAGGTAATCTAAGGGCTGATAAAGCACAGTTGGAGATTTTTTTATTTTATTTTTTATTTATTTTTTGTGAATTTGGCCTATAATTTATTTATTTAACTCCATAATACCCATTCAATTACTAATGCATAAGCCCTTGTGGCTGGTCTAGATTAATGTGAGCTACAGTCCAACCAACCCTGTTCTAGGGTATAATGAACAGGGAACCTTTTTAGCTAGATTTATGGCCTGTGACAAAATCATTAAAGCTTTAGCTTTCAGTGGCCGTGTGAAGGTGATCAGTACAATGGCACTTTCTGTATGTTGTTGTCCTTTTATTTGTGCAGCCGACTGCCAATAAGCTGTTAACATTGACTTTCAGGCTTTGAGGTTGATCTGCCGATGGGTGTGTGTAACACTGGGTACAGGAGGGAGAGAGAAGAATCATTCTTCTGCCCTCACTTCCAGGGCTCTCTCCTGCCCCTTTTGAGCTGGAAACAGTGACCGAGGACAAAAGCTGTATACACTGTGCAAACAGTGAACCAAAGCAGCAGTACACTGACTCATTCTTCACTGTGTGAGAATTGAGGGGGACTCTATTCACTTCCTTTGTGCTGGTGTCTGTCAACAGCGCTGTTTGAGGCAAGGCCTATTGTGCCGGCCAGTGTTTCTTATTGACCTAAGTCTGTGCCTGCAATGTTCCCAGGGTCGAAGTTGGGAGCAAGGGAATGTTCGCAAGGAGAGTGGGATAGTATGTGTTTGTATGTGTATATGGGGAACATGGAGGGGGAGAGATGTAGGATAAGTACTGTCTTTACAATGATCATCAATCCTATTAAATCTGAACAATAATCTATATTAATAGTAGCAGGTAAGTATTTATCCACAACTGTCTTCCTTCATTGATGTCAGAATAAAATGCGCTATCGGACTTCAGCAGACATTTTAACAGGATTACTGTTAATATACGAGACGGACTGCACAATTGGCTGCACATTTTAAATTCTTTCAATGCCCCTGTAATCTGCTAAGTGATATGATAACGTAATCTGTAGAACAATATACATCAGGTGACCCTGGTACTCCACCTAATGAGTGAATTCATTGAACCACTTATTGAATTATACCATGGCAGTTATGAGTAAAAGGTCTGCAAAGATACTAAATTTGCATTGCGAGCATTGATTACTGTAATTAATGTTCCCAGTTGGGAACTTGGTGACTGGTGGTACTTGTCCACACACCACAGTTACATTCACTGAAGACAGAGTTTTGTGCATTTATAACAAAGGTTCACTATATTCTAGAAAATGGAGTTAAAGGGACAGTTTGCACACAAACACAAGTGCATTTGGTAGATTTTGGCCTCACACACGCTGTGGTTTTATCCACATTCCAAACTCTTTAGAAATAATAAAAGAATATAAATATCAAAACCCTGCCTAAGTAGCCACGCCCTACTTTTCACAGAAAGTATTTCTGATTGGACGTATGCAGTGTAACCAGTGTGAGCCGAATTACTTACATCTCTTTGTCCTACAGCCAATCACTGGCCCCAATTATTTATATTGTATTTCAAAGCTGACTTCAAGGTGCTAATGAAAACAGGTGCAGCTAATACCAGGAAAGCGATTGGCAGTGGGGCAAAATCGCATTCACCTGTCTCACACTTTCATTGGCTGAGCATTGTGCATATACTGCAAAAAAGGGGAGGTATAGATAAGGGGGGTTGGATATTTTTTTTTTTTTATTTTTTTTTTTGCTACCTCCCCAAAACTAAAAGAAAATTGAATGTTAAAGGGACACTATAGTCACCTGAACAACTTCAGTTTAATGAGGTTGTTCAGGTGAGAACTATAGCTCCCTGCAGCCTCTCTCATGAAAACACTGTATTTTCTGAGAAAATACAGTGTTTACATTGAAAGCTAGGAACACCTCCAGTTGCTGTCACTCAGAGTGAACCAGAGGGACTTCGGAGTTGATGGAGGCATAATATGCCTACATCCACTCAGATCTGCTGTCAGCAGAGCACAGGGCTGCACTGTGCACAGCATCCTGTGATTCAGTATCTCCTCCCTCTGCATGCAGACACTGAACTTTCCTCATAGAGATTCATTGATTCAATTCATCTCTATGAGGAGATGCTGATTGGTCAGGGCTGTGTTTGAATAATGCTGGCTCTGCCCCTGATCTGCCTCTTTGTCAGTCTCAGCCAATCTTATGGGGAAGCACTGTGATTGGATCAGGCTACCACATGTCAGCAGACTGCTTGTTTTTCTGAGTCTAACAGCATGCAGAGTTACAGCTTGTGGCTTGAATATAGTAAGATTTTTACTATATTTATGGAGGCATGAGGGGCCCAAGGGGGCTAGATGGTGGTGTTAACACTATAGGGTCAGGAATACATGTTTGTGTTCCTGACCCTATAGTGATCCTTTAAGAAAAATAAGCATTAATATGAGGCCAAAATACATAAAATGCTCTTAATGAGCACTGAAGTCATCCCGGTGCCCTGGATGATGACACATAAAGGAAATTTTCCATCTTGACTGACTCTTTTTTTCTGAAGCTATTTACATGCTGGTACCATATAAGAGCACTCTTTGACATATATTATTTGTGGGTATGAAGAAGAACCATCTACTGTGAACTGGTTACTATTTTCTGATCTCTCTCCTTCAAACTTATGAAGTAGAGATGCATTTGGCTTTGATGGTGTGCCACCGTGGAGTGCAGGTATGAATGTAAATACGGAAGAACCCTTAGTGTGGCTCTCTGGTTTCCAAAATTGGTCAGGGTTTTGTTCAGTAGGAGAGGAATAGAATAACTGACATGGAGAAGTGGTATGGTAAGATTTCTAGCCAGGCACCAAGTAACAATGTTTGTCAGTTTTAGGAACGTGTAAAGCTGTATTTTTGCTCATGTAAACTGGGAAGTCTACTCAGCCCCCACAGAAAAAGAGAGGCTATACGTGACCAAACGAGTAATTCTACCGGTCAACAGTTACGATCCTGAAATAATGTCATCTGGTTAATAAAACTGTAACCATAACCTCCCTTGTATGTTTATTTTTTTAATTTTTATTATTTTTAACTAATTTGTTGAGAAAATTGCCTTGTTATGGAGTGTCCTTGTTAAAGGACCACTATAGTGCCAGGAAAACATACTCGTTTTCCTGTCACTGTAGTGCCCTGAGGGTGCCCCCACCCTCAGGGTCCCCCTGGGCTCTGGGGGTGGAAGGGGTTAAACTTACCTCTTTCTCCAGCGCCGAGCGGGGAGTTCTCCTCCTCTCCTCCTTCTTCTGCCGTCATCAGCTGAATGCGCATGCGCGGGAAGAGCCGTGCGCGCACTCAGTCAGTCCATAGGAAAGCATTCTCAATGCTTTCCTATGGACGCTGGCGTCTTCTTACTGTGAAAATCATAGTGGGAAGCGCCTCAATGAGACAGCCACTAGAGGCTGGATTAACCCTAATGTAAACATAGCAGTTTCTCTGCAAAAAGGGTTAATCCTAGGTGGACCTGGCACCCAGACCACTTCATTAAGCTGAAGTGGTCTGGGTGCCTATAGTGGTCCTTTAAATGAAATACTTGACTAACATAATTCCAAAATCTGTCCCAAATTCATTGTTTGCCATTGGAAAGCCATATTAGAACTCCCATGGACATGCAGTATATATGATAGCAATCCATTTTTTAAAATAAAAATTAGGTTTCCAAATGCTGGAAATTCTGAAGCAATGTGTGATAGAGACATAAAGTAAGCTTGTTTGAACAGGGACTTTATTTTTTATTTGTAATTGCTTGTTGCTAGATTGTATACTTTGAAAGCATTATGGAAAATGTTGGCACTATATAAATGCTTTTAATAACAATAAAGTGACAAATGGTTGCAGATCACTTGCTTAAAGCCAGCAGTTTTTGTTGCTAAAGCCCAGCAGGACAAGTTATCTGTTGGTTTTCGGCATGTTAAAGAGCTAAAAGAACTCTAGTCACTACAACCGCTACAGCTTAATGTAGTGGTTCTGGTGTCTATCGCAGGCTCAGCAATTTAAAAGCTGCCTTATCAGAGAAAAGGCAGTATTTACATTGCTGCCTTTAGCCACCTGCAGTGGCGGTGACTCTGCCACTAGAGGGACCTCCTGGATTAGGTCATGCAATGCGTGCAGGACATACATTCAGTCTCTCCATACTCAATGCATCCCTGTGAGGCGATGCTGAATGGCGCAGTGTGTTGTTTTGCTGCGCATGTGCACTTCCTTATGGGAAGCAATGGGTTGACTGAGATTCAAGATTGACACTATCACCCATGAAGGCTGGTGAGTAGTAAAAGTAAGACGGTGGAGTAAAGCAGTTACCTTTTCATTGAAAAGTAGATTTGACAATTTATGTTCCTTGAAATCCTCTATTGAATGCAGGTTAAAATAGGAACACCGTCAGTAATCTCTATTTAGAGGCTAAATGCCTGTTGATGTAGAGAGGAGGGCAACTATCATAACACTATTCAATCCTAGAAATATTCCAGTTTGTGATGAGGCTTGGTTTGGGAACCTCCACTCCAGCAGACTGGTTTTATGGAAAAAGTTCACGAACAAAATTCACGTACAAACACCAACATTTTGTGTTTTGTAGAAAGCAACACTGGAAGGCCCATTTCCCTCTGTTAAAGGACCACTCTAGGCACCCAGACCACTTCAGCTTAATGAAGTGGTTTGGGTGCCAGGTCCTTCTAGGGTTAACCCATTTTTTCATAAACATAGCAGTTTCAGAGAAACTGCTATGTTTATGAATGGGTTAAGCCTTCCCCTATTTCCTCTAGCGGCTGTCTCATTGACAGCCACTAGAGGCGCTTGCGTGCTTCTCACTGTGATTTTCACAGTGAGAGCACACCAGCGTCCATAGGAAAGCATTGCCGCGCGTGCGCATTCAGCCGACGGGGAGGAACAGAGGAGGAGAGCTCCCCGCCCAGCGCTGGAAAAAGGTAAGTTTTTACCCCTTTCCCCCTTCCAGAGCTGGGCGGGAAGGGGTCCCTGAGGGTGGGGGCACCCTCAGGGCACTATAGTGCCAGGAAAATGAGTATGTTTTCCTGGCACTATAGTGGTCTTTTAAGAGGGCTCAATTGCTTGCCATTTTCAGTAGCTTAATTGTGTGTTACTAAGGTCAGGAGGGACAAAAAAGTTTAGAATTCTAGACTACAAAGTCTTATATTCAGTGCTGCATGCCTGTATCTACCTGTTCTAAGAAACTGTCTAGACCTGACACTAGAAACCACACATTCTCCTATTTAGTCTCACTTCACAGAAACGACAGAGATGAGGGATTTATTATTGATTTACCTTTTTTCATGTGCTCTCTGTCTTAACCTCTTATGCACATTGTGGAGTGTGGGGAATAATGCATAGTATGTATGCGCTGAGGCTTGTACCTTTGAATTATGTCCTTAGGCATATCCGTAATATGCTTTCATGCCAGTAATTACAATCATTTCATAAGTGGCTGCCGTCTAGTGTTTTTATTGTCTGGCTTAAAGGGTTACTCTAACCACCATGACCACAGTGATTTGAAGTGGTAATGGTCATGGAAGTTAATATGCGCAGTGTTTCAGCTTGAAAAATACAGAGATATTCTTAACGGTATGCTGGGGGCTAGTTGCATCCCTAGCACACGTGTTCTGGGCTGCCTAATGTAAATTCTGTGCATAAATTACGCCTGTTGTTTGTGTGCACTGCACAGTGGCTTCACTAGTGGGAGGGCCAGAGGGGGCCATGGCCTCCCCTACATCATGCAGTGCCCCCCCAATTAAAATTGAAGTCGGGAGCACTGAGTCTCCCTTCACAAGCTGCAGCAACACTGTCACTGTGGAACTGTGTTCCACCCTTTTTCCACGTGTGGCCAGATGGGTCACTGTACTGGGAGGACTTCCTCCTGGGTCATAGAGAGCAGGGCAGAGAATGGAAGAGGTAGCTCAGCTCTGCACAGAGGTGTCCAGATACTGCTGATAAGTGTGAGTCTGTGTGTGTGGTTCAGTCTGGGTGTGTGGGGTGGGTCAGTTTGTGTGTGTATGGGTGTGGGTATGGGGTCTAGTCGGTGTGTGGGGATCAGTCTGTGTGTGATGGTGGGGGCCTCAGTCTGTGTGTGAGGGTGGGGGCCTCAGTCTGTGTGTGTGTGTATGGGTCAGTCTGTGTTTGTGTGTGGGGGGGGCTCAGTCTGTGTGTGTGTGTTTGTATGGGTCAATCTGTGTGTGGGGGGGCGGGGTCAATCTGTATGTATGGGTCAGTGTGTATGTGTGTAGGGGTCAGTCTGTGTAAGCGCTTGAGCTAAAAGAGAGATACCTCTCATCTCGTGACCTCCTCTATACCAGACCAATGCTAATCCTAGCATTCTGTAAAGCAAGTGGTTGTTGTACGTAGGGAGGTATTATCGTAAAAGCAAATCACTTGCGTGGTGATAGAAAATGTGAAATACTAAATAATTCACAAGTGACATGATTAAATAGACGTATACCTGGATGATAAATGAAAGTTGGTAGTAATAAGTGAATATGTAATAAAAGGGCAAATAAATACTTGTACAGTGATTAAATTAACCAAAACCTGAGAGTTACCCCAGAGAACTTGTGTTCACAATTACTAATATTGAACAATTGTTTATCAACAGCCTGTGCCAGAAAAGTAGATAAAATAAGTACTATGAGCTCAGAACACCAAATTACTCTAGTGACAACAGTTGTCAACCTAACTGAACGAAATTGAACAGCATAATAAAGACACAGTTGACCATATGTGACAATTGGCCCCAGATATGCAACGACCGGGAAGAAGTAGACATGGAGAGACTTTACGTAAGGATATGCACGTAATTCGATATGAATTATGTATGCGAAAGAACAGCCTGAGAATTTAAACAACAATCACATAAAAATCACCTGCCTATCGTACTAGCATGAAGCGAATGAAGTAAGAGGCTGAAATAGGAGGTGAGGAGAATACTAATACAGTTAAATTAGTGACAGATCGAAGAGGCCAGGATATTTTAACTGCTACGTGAGAGGTTCTGAGAGAGGGCTGTGTGAGAAGAACGTATGTGGACCTACCGAGACAGTGTGTAATATTGAAATGTAGAATGGAAGATTTGTATTTTATTTATTTTTTTAATAGTAAATGTATTGATGTGCCCTGTTGATGTGTGGTAACAGTCGGAGCTGTTGCCTCAGAGGGCCGTGTGTAACATATGGAGTGATGAGTGTGTGTAGAGGTTCCGTAGCAGAAGACAGAGTTTGCCCAAAGTAAGTCATGAGCTTCAGGAAGGAGAAATAATGCTGAAAAGGGGTAACGGATGTATGGAGTGAACAATTTAGGTATGTTTAGAATGCCATTAGAGATGTCCTGTTGTAGACCTGTGCAAATGTAGAGGTAGGAAGAGTAGTCAGACTGAAAAGTGGCAACATGGAATGTGGTGGAGGGTCATCTATAAGACTGATGCCAAATGATGACGAGTATGTAACCGACACTAAATATATTTTATAGTGTCATGAAGGAGGTGACTAAACACCCATTACTTACAAATACTGTGCAATATCTAGCTGCCCAATATGAGCAGTAAGGAGAAAATATTTAAGAAGAGTGAAGCTGGAAAATAGGTCCTGAGAGGCAGGATACAGAAATAGAGCTGTTTAAGGGGAATAGATATATGGAATGAAGAAATTAAGGATACTTGTATAGTGGTATAGAAGTTGTGTAATACCTGTGTAAGGTCAGGTCTATAGGAATGGTAGGAAGATCAGTTAGGCTAGAATGGTAATAACAAAGTAATTTGTGTAGGGCATCTAAGGTCAAAGCCAAAGGACACTCTCTTCTGTGTCACTAACGCCGAAGAGTATGTAGTGTCCTGATATAGGTGACTTGATACATAATAATTGTTATTACTGTGCCATAATAAAGTGACACAGTGCTTAGAATAAGGAATTAATTTACTAATGAGTGGCGCCGGCTGTGATAGGGCCATATAGGCTGGTTGATTTAGGCCTAGCGAGACTAAGTGATGTAATGAAATGTTGTTAGAATGATTAGTGTATATATACCACCCAGGTAACCATAATGCCGCCCACAATGGGCCATTTGATGGTAATGTAATGAAGGCCTAGTAAGGCCACGTGTGAAGGCTTAGGACCTGAAACAAGACCAGTATAATCATATTTATTACAACTTTAGCTATGTGCACAGATACAATCTGAGACTTATGAAGGAGTTAATGAAACCACCCAAATAGATGCTGGTGGATCGAAGTGCATAATGTACGTGATGATGGAATTACAGTTACTCAATGAGAATGCCTAATGAGGGCCTGGTGCGTTCTTGACTGTAACGGCGCAAGTTGGGAGCACGTAAGACCACTGAGAAACGGATTACAGTAGTCAAGGTGAGAAAGAACAGTGGAATGTACCAGAACCTTAGTCGCATCTGGCGTTAAGTAGGGTCGGATGCGTGCAATGTTTTTGAGATGGAAACGACCGGATTTGGCGATAGACTGAACATGAGGCTTGACGGAGAGGTTGCAGTCAAAGAGAACACCTAGGCAGCGATCCTGCGTGGTGGAGCTGATGGTAGCACCGTTGACTTGGAGAGAGACAGACACAGGAGTAATAACACATGAGGGAGGAAAGACCAGAATTTCAGTTTTGGTCAAGTTGAGTTTAAGGAAGTGGGCAGCCATCCAGTTAGAAACAGCAGAGAGGCAGTCAAAGACATTAGTCAAGAGGGATGGGGAGAGATCAGGAGAGGACAGGTAGATTTGCGTATCATCCACATAGAAATGATATTGGAAGCCAAAGGAGCTAATGAGTCTACTAAGGGAGGCAGTATAGATGGAGAACAGCAGGGGACCAAGGACTGAACCTTGGGGGACACCAACAGAGAGTAGTTGGGGAGAAGAAGCAGAGCCAGAGAAGGAAACAATAACATAATAATAATAAAAATGTAGATATGATTAGCCGTATTAGTCCCGTAGACCAGATTCCAAAATACAAGAGTATTGCAGTATGCAATGATACCTTTTTTTATTGGACTAACATAATATTTCAAAGAAAAGCTTTCGAGAGATACCTCTCTTTCTCAGGTATGAAGCAATTGCATACTGCAATACTTTGTTATTTTGGAATCTTATACATATGTGTGTGTATATATATATATATGTATATGGTCCAGGACAATAAGCTGAGTTATATTAGTGGTGTGTCGAAACCAACATTTGGGTAGGCCTGTAAAAAGAGGGCCCACTAACATTGTAAAGGCCTAGTGAGGGCCATGAGTAGGAAATTGCGTATATTACCAGAAGGTGTCCCAATTTGGTTCCTGAGTTACAGGATGGCTGTGTTGGGATTAATGCAGGTGAAGGTAGGATGTAAATCAGAGAATTGTTGTGGAGAAGTTGTATGTAACCAAGACATGTTGGTGATGAGATGGTAGAGAACCTGATAGTTACAAATAATCATCTAGTTATGAATAGAAACCGTATGTAAACACTTCTAAAGTATCATAGAATACATACCCACGGAGCCAAAAAAACGGGGTGTCGGTAGACAGAGTCAAAAATGGGAACAGAGTCCCATGCCTCTAGAATGCTACAGTGGCTGAACAGGCTAGCGGCCGTGTCAGCCGTACACATACATAGGAAGAGACAGGAGATATAAGATATACATAAAGACCTACATGCAGAATGCTTAGGAGTATAATAAACACTTATGCATACACAACTGGCATGGGAGAATAGGGTTGAAAGCAACAGCAAATGCTAGAACAATGGTAGAATATCTCAGTAATATCGACATCAGCTATAACTTCGTGCTTGAACTGAACAGGACTGAATGAGGTTTACGTAATGCATTATTTGTAGACCCTACAAATAGGACGGTAAAAGTAATCAAATTACCTGAGCCAGCTTAATATGGCTAAATATGATTGATTGTGTTCGTACAACCTTTAAAATGAGCTGCCTAAGTGGGCCGAAATGTTAACCACGTCTAAAAATTGGATGAGGTTGTACTGCATAAGTACAACTGTACTGTAAAACCTGCGCGGTGGCATGTGGACCAAATTTATGGAAGGCGGAAAATGTACCAAGAAGTCTGCGATTGGACAGCCACAAAAAGACCGGGCAGGGTTAGAAGGGTAGAATCAGCAGACAAGAGAACTGCAGATTTTGCAAGCAGTTTTAGATTATACCCCTATGAAAAATGACTTAAAGAAAAGTATGGATCTTGTCATTCGGGGCACATCCACTAAACAGTGATTTACACTTAGTATTTGGGCAGTGGCGTGACTCTTTAAGTGCATACAGCATAATTAATATCATACAGAGTTGTAAGAAGAAGGCAATACAAAATGACCCAGGAATAACCTAAAATAGCAAACTCATTATTAAAAGATGATTTTTGCAGAAAATTATGAAAGTAACTTCGGGCAAACGTGAGAAATCAGGACAACATTAGCGAGCCAGAATTTGTAAAGGCCTAAATATGCAGGGATGGCTTAGCACTTAGTAAGCATGCAATAAACAAATCCCAATAACCAAATACTAAACAATGTAGGCCTAATGAGTGTATGAATCCTTGGAGGGAAGACAAATGAAACATAAAAAGAAGGGTGACAACTGAATTGCATATGATAAAAGTCGATATGGCCAAATACAGTAAGTAAAAGCATGAACCTAATTGAGGCATCGCCGTGATGCTATGTACGATAGGCTGAATTTGCATTAGTAGTGGAATTTGCCATATACGAATGAAGAAACTTACAGTTTTGTAGAGGAAAAAAATAAAATAAAATGTGTGAATAGTAACTGGCTGGGCCAGACACAGAGGTGCCCCATAAGCTTTGAGGGAAACTAGAGTGAGGTAAACCATACACACACACACTTCACCACAGCCCCTTTTAAACACCATGGAAAAGTATCTTGCATCTCCTGAAAAAGTTTTCCAGTCTCTATGAAAAGGTGTCTTGCCTGTAATAAGGACGGTGCAGCGGTGGAACTACAGTGATTATCGGTGTTGCGGTTACACTGGGGCCCATCGAGTGGCCCGTGCAATTAGGGGAACCTGATGGGCATGTGTTTTCAGGGGCCCAAAACAGTTTTTGCACCAGGGCCCACTCTACATTCGTTCTGACACTGTGCAGAAGCACACAAGCTCTGCCCCTGCATGGAAGATCGCCTTTCCGTACGCAAGCTCCGCTCCCAATCTCTGACCGAGACACACACTGACAGACATGCACACATTCTGACAGGCATACAGTGACAGGCACACACTCTCTGACTGAGATACTTACACATATTTTCTCACACACTCACAAATTGCTATTTTTAATTAAATCCACCCAGCCTCCCTACCTTTGGGAGAGCTGAGTGGATCTTTCCCTGGCATCCAGTGTGTCTCCTCAATCTTCCTGCAGTTTCTCTCTGCTCCCCTGCGCACTCTCTGTAGTGATGCCGGGGCCGGAGCGTCGTCATGTCACTAAACAGCGCAAAAGGGAGCAGAGAGGAACTGCAGGAAGGTTACTGCTCCCTCATGTGCCGCCTCAATGCTCCCCGCGGCAGCTGGCTTTAGTGTTTCCTGAGCGGCTTAGCAAAGGGCTGACAATGCCAGGTGCCAGGGTGAAATGTCTAGTTGCCACTATATATAATATAATATTTGACAGAGTCCTTGAAATCAGACTAACCAGCTTTATGCCAGGTGTACAACAGCCGTAGCCAAAAAAACATATATATGCAAAACAAAGGCTGGCACTCACGGTCTTTGAAGTAATTAAAATATCAAATCTTTATTGAAGTCTATCTATAAAATATCAACGTTTCAGCCCTCGTTCCGGGGCTTTCTTCAGGATCAGTGATCATCATTGATCCTTAGGAAAGCCCCGGACGAGGGCTGTAACTTCCATTATTCCATGTAGTATGTGGTAAAGCAAGTGTTGTGTATGATTAGTTGTGTGGCATTATAGGCATTGTGGGGTCAAGCAGAGCTGCCATGTTAACTCATCTCTGTTTACTCTGAGGCCTATCGTAACCAGTCCTGACTATCACGGTAGTATTTCTTTCTCAGGTGTGTCAACGTCACTTTCCTTCATCAGTTAATCCATTGTAATAACCTTTTTTGATAATTAACCATGCCGTATTTTTAAATGCAGTCTTGGTGGTGTTCTTATCAGAGACACTGATTTCCGTCTTCATCCAGTTCTCTAAACGCGATTCTCATATGCTGAAACGGCCAATACTCTGCCCTGATTGTTAACTAACAATGTGTGCAATTAGGACTGTAAAAATAGACATGTTTGCCTTCACGACGCTGCAGTCTTACGTTGTTTTAACTTGTCTGAGCAAAGTTTAATTCATGGCTTGACCCCTTGTAACTGTTTATATCCAGAAACTTAAAAATAGATATTCCAGTTGTTAAGAATTACTCGATGAAATAGGACAATAAATGAAATGAGGGGTCTGGTTGTAGAAACAGATGTTTGTGCTTCCATTTGGGAAATTAGCAGAGTATCCCTCCTAGTAATTATTTTAGGTTTCACAAATTCTAATTGTAGAGTGCAGAGGAATCCTTCAAAGTGGACCAATTATGCACAGACACCATAAAATCTATACATTGTACCGTCAAAATCTTTGCTAAATCTTAACGTGGAGTTTTTGGACTAAGGAACCGTATACTCATCCCTGTCCGGCGCACCCATAATTCCTTGGTGCGTCTTAGGCTTCTCTGGTGCATTCTACGCGCATGTACAATTCATATATCTTCTTGAGGCAAATATAAATTTTTTAGAACTGTAGCTAACATAACATACTGACTTATCAAACGGTCCTTCCATACTTTTTGTGCATTACGGAGATAATGTGTTAAAATATATATATATATTCAAGATACTTACCACTTAATATCCAGTGTTTTCCATGCATCCTCAGGGCTCGCAGAGAACAGTCATCAACGTTTTCCCCACCCCCTCCGATTGTTTTATAGTTTGCACATCCCATAGACTGCTATGTAAAATTACATTTTATCCTGCTCCAGCAGACTCAGATTGCCAGTGCTTTCATTCATTAAAATATTAAGCTACTCGGCAAAGTAATATATGCCATGCATGCATGAATGTAAACATGCAGAATAGTTTAATGCATATTGCCCATGCCCAACACAAATCTAATAGGTGGAGGTGCAGAGTGCTGCCTGGGCTGTTTATTTAGATTTATACACGTTTCTCTATGACCTCCAGGTTTATACATAGCAACAGAGGTAAAGAAAGGCGCACTGCGGCTTTACAAGACACATACAGACATTTATAAAATGTATCTCTGTACCCCATGAAAATGTTGAGAAAGATTATGAGATAAAAATAAAACATATACCTACTTACAATGGAAGGGTGAATATGTGCTTTACAAGGGAAATGTCATCCGTGTCATGTAGGTGATGCCTTTATATTTTATTTATATATGCATTTGTTCAGGTGGAGCAGTAATGAATTAGGATGATAATAAGGAGTACATACCGAAAAAGTCACCCCTGCCGCTCTGTATGCATGGACAGTTATGACTATCTGGCCTGCCAAGCTGCTTGTCATGCATGCGCGACTGACCCTTCGACTTTTTGGGGACTTGGGACACCACCCAAGTTTTTATATATTTGTATTCCTAGTGAAATATTTTCTAAATAAAGTTATTAAAAGACTAACATTCAAGGAATGTTATTCTAAGTTTCCAGGCAGATCTCTTTCAGTCTTATTATTTGATGGTTTGGATATTATTTAACATGCCATTTGTATGCCTATGTAGTTAGGTGAAAGGAAGCATTGCTCGTGGTTATATTGTTTTATTTAACGTGTTCATTTACAAAGTTTTTTTGCTAAATAAAATGTGCATCAGAATCCAGTTTATTTTGGCATCTCTGTAAAGCAATCTGTAAATCACTTCTTAATGCCAGTATGCATAAATACCACGTTACCTAATGACAAAACAACACTACCTTAGTTGATCCTTGTTTAACATATAGCAAAAACATGTCAAATTAGTTAAAATGATGAGAAACATGTATACAAGGCCCGGAGTACTGGTGCCTACCTATGTCCGCTGTGTATACATGTTATTGGGGGTGACGGGGTTAATAAATATACAGCTTATGAAGGGGATGTGAATGTTTCCGGTCCATTTCAGTTTCCCTAACATGGAGTTCTTTTTCGAGTGCAGTAACCATAGTGTCCCATTGTTCATGTAAAGGCATTTGTTACATGTGAATCCCAGCCCACTCCATAAATCGTTCTAAAGTCTTCCTTTGCATTGTTTCTGCAAAGAAATGGTGTGCTTTTGAAACCCCTAAACAGCAGTAAGTATGATCACTGGCACATAGTCCGCAGATTAGTTCCAGAGTCTTTACATTGGTAGCCTTGAGTGTAATGTTCATGCTAGAAATATGTCTTTTAAAGAGAAAGTATGTCTAAAACTATTTTTTTTTTTTTTTATTTGTCCCAGAAATGTGAAAGGAAGAAATGTTTAGTATAGATATACAATACATGGAAAATAAACCTGTCCCAAATAACTTACCAAAAGTCAAAATATAAGATGTGAAACACGGTAAGTGATTTTTATAAATATTTGGGATGTCGTTAACCGTTGTTATTGGAAACGCTGGCATCCTCCCATTTGCCAATGGTTTGACAACTTACTTGGCATCCACCATGGTGACGGAAGCTCCTGCTTTCATTAGCTCTGCTGCAGTGAGCCCTCTTGGGCCAGCTCATTGGCAGAGCGTGTGAGCTGTGCATGCTCAGCCAATGAGTGTCTCGCTGCACTGCCAGGCTTAGCTCAATTCAAGATCTTCTGGGAGCACATGAGTGGGTTCCTGGTGGACCCAGGTAAGTTGTCAAAATATTTTCAAACTCTTTGATTACTTAAGAAATACACAATGGTAGGCGGAGCACTCAAAGAATCTGTAAAACAATCGTCATATGGCTCGCATGGGAAGTGCTGTGGGACTCTTAGTAGGATGTCCCCGTTCTTTCTGTTGTTCTCTTTCTAGTGTCTCCAAGTGGTGGTTGTAGAGATGATCCAGACAACTCTTTAGTCAGAGAAGGTATACTTTATTTGATTCAATAAAATAAATAAAAGCAAATAGGTGGAAATATCCCAAAAAGTGGATTAATAGGTCCTTGGATATTGCCAATATTAGTCCGAAATGCGTTCTACCCTGTACCTAGGTCTTTTTCAGTCGGTATGTATACTTCCGGGTTTGTTGACCGCTTTTAATATCCCATCAGGTTAGCATCTTCCGATTTCACTTCCTGGTTCTTGGAACGCAACATGCGTTTCACATTTGCTTGCAGCCATGGTTTCGCCGCGTCACATGATAAAGTTTACCACGCTATGCATGGGTTTCTAGAGGTGTTTCCTTTCCGTCATTCTGTGGGATGTGTCTTCTGTTGGAACGCTCTATGCGTTCCACCGATTTATAGTGTTAGTAGATGGACGCTCCAAGGATCTCTCTCAAATTGTCGATACTGTGATGTGTGTATTTTTTCACTAAAATCACTTTGTCGCAAATGTATGACATTTTGGAAAAGCCTTAGTTACTAAGGGTTAATATTACAAGAATTTGTAATAGCATAGAAAGCAGGGACTGACTGTAAGATTGCAGCCAGTTTGTTCCTGCTGTGTCTGAGAATCTTTATGGTGGGACTCTGGAAAAATGCACAAATGAAGGATAAAGAGTAGTAAATATTATTTGTATTTATTTGTATTTCCTTTCTTTATACATATTTTATTATATTAAAATGGGTGGAAATACCCACTGTATATTTAAACATTCAACAGGGTCTATGAAACATCATATAGTTTATAATATCGTCTCTGATTAAAGTGGAACTGTCAAAAATAAAAAATGAACTATACCCTGTGTAACTTTTCCTAAACCAACAGTGTGCTCTGCCCCCACCCCGTATGGCATTGAAAGTTGTAAAAACCATTTAATCATCCAATTCCATTGCCAAAGTCCCTTGGCGCTGGTTCAGTCTCCGCCTCCTCTGTCAGCGTCGATGGGGAACCCCTCTGCTTTCCTAGGGGGATTGGAAGACGGACATCCTCATGGACAGCGTGAGGTTGTCCAACATAGTTTCATGGAGTTAAAGGAACCCTGTAGGCACCCAGACCACTTCAGCTCATTGAAGTGGTCTGGGTACAGTGTCCCTATTGTACTTAGTGCTGCAATGTTAAACATTGCAATTCCAGAGAAACTGCGATGTTTACGTTGCAGCCCTAAGTCTGCATCCAGTGGCTGACTTGACGCTCTGCATGAGGACATCCAGCGTCAAATTTTTCCCCATTGATTCAATGCTTTGCTATGGAGAGGTCTAAAGCGCACGTGGCATTAGCGCACTAGCACCTACTAGTCACAGGACATAGGAGGAGGTGGTGGATCAGGTAAATAAATAAAGACCCTTTATTCATGTCAGTGGGGGAGGGGGAAGGCAGAGGGAGCTATAGTGCCAGGAGTACAGCTTTGTATTGCTGGCACTTGTAGTATCCCTTCAAACTCAGGGAAATCGCAGGAAGCGCCATTAGTGGTTGTCTAACACACAGCCACTAGAGGCAACCTTAACCCTGCAATATAAACATTAGTTTCTCTGAAACTGCAATGTTTTATATTGCAGGGTTATATGGACAGGAACACTGCACCCAGACCACTTTAATGAGAAGCAATGTTCTGGGTGTCTACATGGTCCCTTTTATACTGCTTAATGGAAATAAACCATTCATAGCAGGACCTCTCGCGGGTGGCTCCTCTCCTATGGAATAGCTTGCCTACTGCCATCAGACTCTCCCCTAGTCTTCAATCATTTAAGAAGGGCCTTAAAACCCATCTCTTCAGGAAAGCTTATGGCCTCCCAGAGTAATCTCTACCTTACATACCTGTCTCCTGCTCTCTCCTATGGGACAGTGCTTTGCTCTCTCCCCCAGCTCTGCTTCACTCCTACTTGATATTTCCTGTCCTAATGTTTCTAATACCCCACCTCCTATAGTCTGTAAGCTCGTTTGAGCAGGGTCCTCTTCAACCTATTGTTCCTGTAAGTTTTCTTGTAATTGTCCTATTTATTGTTACATCCCCCCTCTCATAATATTGTAAAGCGCTACGGAATCTGTTGGCGCTATATAAATGATAATAATAATAATAATAATAGCAGAGACATTTTGTTTTATTTTCCTATGGCGTTCTTTCTTTAAAGTTGGTGGTTGATACTGGTAATACGCAGCTATGAACACTAGAGAGCAGCATATCACATGAGGTATTGAATGTATTAGCCTGTTATGTGAATCTCATATATACCTGCCATCTATTGTGCAAGCCTAGGCAGCATAGAATAATAATTTCATTTTGTACTGAACTTAAAAGTTATGGACTTTTAAGTAGATTACAATGACTGTCTTATGTGTAATGCAAAAAAATGTCACTACGTTGAAACCAATAAAATGTGAGATACATATCACTATTTGGAGACATTCTTTTGCATGCATATAACATTTTGACCCACATTCTACATATAAATATGTGGGTATTTAGTTCACCAGTCTCTTTAATATCGTGCACCAGAGTTTTTTCACTTAACTGCAAGTTTTGTTGACATGGTAACTATTGGCTAAATGATCACATCTAGAATATTTCCCCCAACTCCTCTATTTTCACCCAAATTTCACAAGTCTGTTTCATCAGTTACCTTAACATGCGTTTCAGTGGATAGATCTCCGTTTTTGTTCAGAATGAGGGACTCTTTGATAGGTGAGGCAATTGCAGATGTTTGAGCATTAGCACATCATGGTTAAAAATGCAACAACAACAAAAATGTTCCACTAGTTGATATACATTTATTTAATGCACGTTATCTATCCCTAGTGGTGAATAATTTCAGATCTGTGCTACAATGTTATGTTTCCACATTTGTTGTAAATCCCCATCTATTGTAGCAGTGACCTGTTACCAGACCGAGAGAGGAGTCTATTGATCCTGACCCTCTTATAACTTTGAATTGTACTAACAAACTATAAATTACTACAGCAGAACTTATAATGTGCTCATATTGTGCTGCTCTTGACCATAGTGCTTTGCTGTTGGAAAAGAAAGAAGAACGAAAAAGGGTTAAAGTATTATTTGCCCCATATATTTTAAATATACCTGCTAATGTTCTTAATGCTTTTGTTTTAAGTCTCCTGCAGCTGAAACTGGTTTGTAATTGAGAGTTTTACCGCTGTTGCTGGGCCTCAAATCATCATTTTATTTTTTTTAGCAATAAAGTGACAAATAAATTATATTCATGGTAAGTTTGGGCTCCCAAGGCAAACACCTGCGCAAGCTGATAATGAGGATGGTGCTGTATGTGATCAATCCATCACTCCTTCTCAAAACATAATATCAAAGACGCCGCATTCCCCTGCAAATCCTGGTACTTACTTCATCTAAAGTGAGGATGTAAAGCACCCAACTTGATTATTAACCAGATGATACCTTGTCAAAAGCAGGAAATGTTGGGATTTTAAATATCTTCTCATTTAATCATTTCTGTTTTGTGTATTTTTATAGTTGTTACCAGTTACCAGTGGTTTATTCTTCATTGTAACAATAGGTAGACACAATGTTACAGCAATACTGCACCCAACAGGGTGTGATGTATTCTTGTACACAGAAAGCTGTCCATTCTTCAACAGATTGTAAATGGTTACACCAGCCAAAAAAAGTGTTTTGTAATAAAACGCTGTTTTTGGGTAGAGTAAACCCCTCTTGTCCTCTGCTACCCCCAACACACACTTTAAAAAAAAAAAAAAAACGTTAAAACTTACCTGTATTCTAGCGCCAAGGCCAAGTTCTACCATCCTCCTCGGCTGATGGGAATCCATTGTCAGCATGGTGACATATGTACAGTATGCACAGAATTGACATTAGCCAGCCTGGAGCTCTTGTTCCAGTATGGCAACTGACGCCCCAATGAAGCTGCCGGAGGCGGAGATACATTTCTATAGCAACCTGAAAGCTGGCTTTTTTTTTTTGTGGAATGGCTTCAAAAAATTTGCATTTACCAAAAACAAAATACACTTTGCACCAAACAAATCTCTGTTATGGGTTTGTAAAGGGATCTGATTTTCCTCTACTGAAGATCACTCCAACCAGGAACTGGCTGAGGACAATTAGACAGTTAATGGTCTCACGTGGCTTACCCGGTGGGCAATCCGTAAGAATGTGCACATTCTCAGAGGAAAATCATGTGCAGCATAGACTCTTACAGAAGCTAATTCACTTAATAAAAATGAATAGAACTTCCATGCTCTAGAACAGGCATAGGCAACCTTCGGTACTCCAGATGTTTTGGACTACACCTCCCATGATGCTTTGACAGCACTATTGGTGTCAGAGCATTATGGGGGATGTTTTTCAAAACATCTGGAGTGCCGAAGGTTGCCTATCCCTGCTCTAGAACGCGATTCTCAGTTTTTGTTTTATTTTTAAATTCTCTTCTGACACATAGGGCGCACAACCTCCTTTATCTCCATAAGATAGTAAGCTTTTTGGCCGACTTCCTAATCAGGATGCTACAAATGATGCTTTTTGTGTATGACAACTTTTCTATTCTTTCTGTACCTGTATTTCTAATGACATAGTTAATTACAAGAATACACTGCGCTAGTCAAAGGTACAAAGGAGAATAATGTAAAATTGCTTATCTTCATTTAACATTTTAAGAATTCTTTTAAAACTAATTTATTGAATTTGTCATATCCAGTAGACAGACCATCTGAATTATTAGATTGTTTTGTTTTTTTACAGCATACTTTATCCTGCAATCATTTACTATAGAGCACCAATCCTCTTTGTTTTCACTCTGCCTTTGACCTTTTTTCCGTGCCCTAGGGTAGCAATTTGCTGTTCTGTCTTGCTTGTGCTCTGAAGGTTAAAGTTATTTGTCTGCGGTATGAAATGAATGATATTGATATGTTTTTAACATTACCTGGAGCTGCTTTGCATTGCTCATACTCTGTGTTCAATGAGAAGATATTTCTCTGTAGGATCATGCCTACGTAATCCTAGTCAGCTGTGTTCTCCCTACTTTGCTTGCACCCTAATTCACATACCTTCAAGCTGGCGTAATGTCCAGATTTCTTTTTAGAGTTGAATTGGTTATCGAAAAATTTCTAGAATCACAATTTCTAAGTCGTGCTGTATCATATGTGTAAACCAAATCGTAATTTTCTTCTTGTAAACCCTAGCCTGTCAAAATTGAAGTGATATTGTACAGCGCTACGGAATCTGATGGCGCTATATAAATAATAAAATAATAATAATATGGGTTTTTAGCAAACACCTTACAAATAAGACTTGTTACGTAGTTCTGTCCATACAAACCACAGACAACATACACATCGAATGTCAATTCTGTCCTTGAAATCAAAACTTTTCATGTGTTCATTTTATGCAGAACTGAGCATTATGGGAGATGTAGTCTATAGAGACCTAGAGCACTGAGGTTGCGGCAGTATGTACTATAACAAGATTACTGGATTCTGATGTTTGTGTATTACCTGCCCTATAATGCCAAACTGTAGCATGTAATGTATAAGATATTTAAAGGGGAATTTGTTGTTTAGTGAAATCAATGCTGCCTTGGGTTATGACGTAATCCGTAATCTACATGACCCTTAGTATTTGATGCTTTGACCCACCCCCCACATGTAAGTAGTCAAACAGTTTGCTAACATCACTGCATGAGCTAAATGCATCGGTGCAGGTCTTAACTCATTGGCTGAGAGCAATCAGCTAACACTCTTGTGATGGCCCTGCACGGAATAGTTTAGCAGAGGAGAGCTAGCAGAAGCGCCTTATGGGAACTTCCAGCTCTCCATATAGGAAGTGAAGGGCTACAGCGCACTGTTTGTTATAGTTATGGTGCTTGGAATGTACCTTTTAATTATTGAATTATTGAAAATGGTGATGATCGGTTTGTTTGTTTATTTTAGAGAAAATATCAGTGTGTTCCTTGTAGCTCGGTGAGAAGTTGACATGGACCAGGGAATTCTACTTTTTCTTTGTGTGTAGAAATGTTAGTTACATTTTAAAACATCTTTGTAGAACAAGTAAGTTTTGTCCTTAGAGGTATCTATTTAATGGCTAATGTCTGCGATTGATAATTGTGCCCACATCCACGGTGTACATACGTTTTAAAACTTTCCCTATATGAGAGATGGCACACCTTAGAGCAACATCTTTTGTGTTGTTCATCCATTTGATAACTTTATTCCACAACAACAGTCCCATATTTCAGCCATCACTGACATGATAAAATGATCCAGTCTAACATCTTACTGTACTACTTGACATTGCTTCTAGAATTCCGGTTACAAACTGCATGAATGTGTGCTCTGGTAACATATCAACCCGTGACTTTAATCGAGCAAGCGAGGAATAGGAAATAAAAAGGAGAAACCGTAATAACAATAAGGAGAATCCCTGCACGCCAGTGGCAGCAGCTCGCTAAGCTCGAACAGCTGCAGCATGCTGTCTGGGATTGTGAGAGCACCTTCCTGACAAGTTCTCAGGCTCAGTTCTAAGGTCAAAGCAGGATTAGGACAGAGAGCCTAGTTTACCCATGCTGACAGCTGCACTTCTCGGGGTCTCTGGTCATGCAGCCTGCCAGCACAGAAGCAGACATGTCCTGACCGGACCAACCTTAGCTGCACCATTCCATTTGGATGGTTTACACACTACACTGCTCATTTATAATTGGAACCAGACCCTACACGGCTCAGGGCAAAGAACAGACACTCAAACGTGTCAGGTTAGCATCCTGCCATCTGTCAGCCTGTCCTGTTACCTGGTACAACGAATGGCACGTCCCTGGCTTGACGTTACACAGGGTTAATGAGCAGGACTGTGGACGTCTAGCAGTTGTGGGCAAAAACTCCCATCATACCAAGTCAGTCGGTATTTATAAAACAAACCAGTCGGCACCAACCGCAACCACTCGATTTTGAAGAAAATGTACGCCTAGTGGCTTATTAAAACATTTTGATTAGAAAATGTGTTTAGAATCTTATCAATAAATGTATTTATTATTAAAATTGAACCTAACATATGCATTTTTATTTACGAAATTGAGAAGTCACTTTAGCCAAATTGGAAAACGTAAGTTGCGCTTTCGGTTTGACTACTCTGGCCTTAAATTTGAAATTCACTTTAAATTCACTTAGAATTTTCACTTTAATGAAAGACCCTGATAGTTTTTTGTTGTGCTAGATTTGTTCTGCATTCCATGGTTTTATTAGCAGCAACAACCATACATTTGTTATTGTGAAGTAGCGGTAATTAGTATAGCTCTGTGTCATAGAATGTGGGCTGTTTATAATCAAAGAACAGAAATATAACAGAGAAACACGACTCTTAGAGAGACTTGTTGCAACATAAGATGTGCTTATTTATTTATTTTTGCAAACACGTAGATAAAAATTTATGGTAAAAATATTTAGTGTCTACTGTAATGTGCCAGTCCAGCTAAATCGTCAGATAGTCTGCTGTTTGTTGTGATTGCTGCTGTACTTGTGGTCTGTGGGAGATATAATTCTACAAAAACATGAAAAAATCCTTGTTGATCCCACTTGAATCATCAGGACTATTTTTTTTCACAAGGAAACAAAGGAAATGTAGAAATTATCATTTTTCATAAATTTTATTAACCAGTTCACTATACTCCTTATACATGTAATGCAAGACTGCTCTGAAATAACAGGATTCCCCTTACCCCTCGCTATAAAAATAAAAAGATTTAAAATGCAGTTTAATTTATCCTTTTCTGAAGCGGGAAAGTTGGGATTCTGTGTTGAAATTATTTTATTTTTTATTTTTTTTAAACTGCCTGTTGGTGATGGGTGTTGTAGCTTTTATAAAAGAGCTATGGGGCTACCTTATCCTACCCTAGTCTAGGAGTTGTTCCTGCTCCTCTTCACAGCTGTTGCCATTAAGTAGGGAGGTAAAGATGCCTTTGAGGCTGCCTGTCACTCTCCTGAGTGGGCCTAAAATGTCTGTCTTGTTTTGCTTTCATAATCACATGTCACTCTGCTACGTGGAGTATTTATTGGCTCTCCCACTCTGTAGTATATCAGTATTTTACCGAAAATAGCCCTAGTCGTTTCGGTGGGATCAGCAGGGCTTGCACCTGTATTTCAGTACAGTAAGGGTTGAATGAACAGCCAGCTCATTGTTTTTGGTAATCTGAGAAGGCTCCTGAGGAAACAAACGGTTCTGTATGAGTAATTGATAGCCTGCCTCACTGATTTTCATTGTTGTTGCAAGAAAAAGCCGTAGTTTACAGCTTATTTTGTATTTCGGACACGTGGAGTGCTCTAGTTTAACCTTTTAAATGATTCCATGGTCTCTCCCAGGATTATATAGATTGCACAAGAATGTGCTTTAAACTGGAACAAGCCACGGCTCGCAGCTATATTTCTAAAGATTTTAAAACTACTTTTTTTTCTGTGTTTATTTTCTGAATTATAAACATTTTCATCTTTGTATTTTATGTAGGCATAGAATTTTTAATTTAAAAAACAAACAGAATTTGGACAAATGTGAGGTTGGTGGGAAAAATACTGGGTTTATCTAGGGATATGTATCAATAATGTTGCTATCTCCAATGCTTAGCTGCATTCGTTGGCCCTTTTCAGTCTCTGTGCAATGTTTTATACATTTTTATTGTAGCATTGTTACGTTTCACACTGTCTAGAGAATGCCACATACAGGATGGTGGGAATTAGTGCAATAAGTTGATCTAAACCAGGGCTCAAGTCCCACTTCACTAGCCAGGCCTAAAAATTACTCACCACCACTTACAAGACCATGACAAGAGGGTCTGTGTTACACTAACCCTAGTTAATTCCTGCTTGCAATGGCTTATTTTTGTTTCTCATCAGTGGCTAGTGGGCAAGCGGACCATTTGAGCCCTCATTTAACTATAGAGGACTTTTTGTTCCTCAGTTTATACATTGTTTGCAGCAACATTCCTTTGCAGTAATTGGATCAGATTTCGGTTTTCATGCAGCTCGCCCACCGGTACCTATTTCTGGTGGGAAACATTTTACACATAAGCTCGGGCATTAATTGGGTCGCAATTGCTGCTTGTTCCACATGGGAATACTTTTATAAATAACCTCTTTTGTTTTAGGGTTAACACGTATACAGCCAAGAAAAGTGAACCTGTCAATTATTTAGTCTCTGTGCGTTTCGGAGCAGTTAACACATTTGTTGCCTAATGCTTATTGCGGTGTATTGCACGTCCCACTCTCAAGACTGGCGCTACTTTAACAGCAAAATAACAATAAGCAAGTCACAACCGGACACTTTGCTGCATCCTTAACTAATGATTTTATTTATTTATTTCATGACTGCAGACAGTTCACATTTTGATTTGGATAGCAAGGTGAAGGGTCATGAGATTAATTAAATAAAAATCCTAATGCCAGCAGTTTAAGGATTGTTTTAGCATTGTCTCTGCAGTTGGGTACTGTATGTTCTGTGAACAAAATGCTTACACAAGGCAAATTTGATGGTTTCTTACCAGATATTATCTACAGCATTTGTAATCTATTTTAGATGATACTCCCAAAGAATAGATGCATTAAAATAGGCATGCATGTATCCATTGGGGGGTATATCTACTAAACTGTTTTTTTTGGGGGATGGGTAGGAAAATTGAAGTGGTCCTTTCAGTGACAGCAGAGAGCAGGAGAACCTTCTTACAGGTGATTCTCCTGCTCTTTTCACGACCGTTACAATACATGCTTTATGGCTGCAGTGATTATTCCTTTGGCAAGCACACTTTGCTACAGGAGTAAAAGAGCTCAGTTCATACACAGATGTGCTGTCAATGGTGCCAGTGTGTTGGCATCATGAGGGAAGTGTGCCCTGCTTGAGGAAGTGTGGGTAGGATGTTGGTGAGACTGGAGGAAGGAGGGGTGTCATTGCTGGAGAAGGGGGTCTTCATTCATTTCTCTATGTAATTTACTATACTAATTATATAAGGGGTTCCAAGCCTTTCGGCATAGTTTAATTTGTACAGTGTATATTATTATTATTATTGCCATTTATATAGCGCCAACAGATTCCATAGCGCTTTACAATATTTTGAGAGGGGGGATGTAACAATAAATAGGACAATTACAAGAAAACTTACAGGAACAATAGGTTGAAGAGGACCTAAAAGCATCCTGTTGACCTGGTGTTAGTTATGAAGGGCTCTGTGGACGTATCGTATTTGTATTATTTGCGCTTCATATGTAATAATGAATGTGTATTTATGGCATTGCTTCATTGGTTTTTCCAACGTTAACGGATGTTAACGGATAAAACCTTTGGGGACTGAGCTAGGACTGGTGGTTTTCTTAGGGTATTATGGTGTTATTCTCGACTAATAACTTATGTCATTCTATTCTGAAATATGAATAGTGTACCTACTACAGAAAATAAAACAAATATTGTAACTATAAAAAAAAATATGCTGGATATAAAATATACATCCCGGTAATTATGCATTAAAAAAACTATTGTAATTCAATTACAGTATTGGAAAATGAAAACAAATCGATATAAGTGCAGTTTAGCAGTTTAAAACCTGAGCTTATACTACCGTCGTTTTTGGGGTGGCTTCAAGGACTGTAGTATGCATCACCAATGTAAACACAGATTTTAGTTTTGTGTACATATTGGTGATGAATACTACGGTCCTTGAAGTTACCTTTGCATTCTACCAAACCCCAATGTACACTTGTACACTTGTACCCAATGTACACTTGTAAATAGTACAATCACATGGCTCAAAGTGTAAGCTCACCTGCCAATATTGAGGCAAGCCTCTTAGTTGAGTACTATGCTAAAATTTACATTGGCTGTTTTCAAACGCAAACGAGGGTTTACGTTGAAACCTTGCAAAGTAATTAACCCGAAATAGTGAACACATGGGGTTTGTGGCTAAAGCAGTTAGTGATTATTTTTGTTTTTTATTTTTTGGGGGGAGGCGTGAGGGCCTGAGAGATCTGCTGGATCTGTACCTTCTCTGAGCTGGTGGGGAAGTGAATGGCATTCTGTATTCCTGTAGGAATAGAGGAAAATGAACTTGAGCACTTGTCAGTGGATGAATAACCTGAATCAGATGCATGACAAATTAAGAGCCTGGAGTGAATGAAAGAGGTTTAGGTCATATGTGTGAATAAATATCGCCTGCCATTAATACATGAATGAAGTCTCCACGAAATGAATAGATGAATGGTTTTAAGTTAGCTTTTAGTGGATCAGTAAGTATCGGTGCTGTGTGAATAGTTTCGTCACAATCTAAAATCTGAAGTATCGGGCTGTTTCAGGATGTCCTGCTGTTGTCTGAAAACACATTCATGTTCTCACACTTGTTTAGATTGTTTCTGCTGAGAATATAAACAACCTGTGTGCAACATCTGTATCCTTTATTCCACATGTGCCACTTCATGCAAAGTTTGAGTGTTTGTGCATTTTTAGAATTATTTATTTAGCTTAAGTAGTGTAGAAAGAACTGTGTGTTTTACAATTTAATGTGGCTCTGTCTTGTTTGTTTTTAGCAGAATAAATGTCATTAATCAGATTTTGTGTTTTATTTTTCAAATGGTCTCCTTTTATTGTGTAAATGTTGACTATTTTATCTTTGCTATTCATAACTCTTCCTGTTTGCAGTAACATCGTGTTACTTTGCTGTCCTTAGTTGGTCATCAGCAGTAAGATAAATTGTACAGTGATAAAATTGGGGGGAGCCCCCGCTATTTTCAGTAGGTTTGGTACATATTTATATTTGGGGCCCAGCCAGATGCACAGAATAATGCTTACAGTAACAGCACACAGCATTCCAGTGGCATTGAATGGATACAGCATAGTGGCTAATGACGGTGCTTGACTTTAGTGTATATTAAATTACGACTAAAGAACTGCGCTCGAAGTTCGAGTCACTTAAATTTTTTTTTTTTTTTAAATCCTCTAAATTATATAATATGCATGTGTAACTGTATTTACAAGTAGGTGTATTTTAGTATTCTAAATAGAAACTTGGTTCCACTTTCTGATGGTATATTAATATATTAAACATTAAAGGGACACTCTAGTGTTAGGAATACAAACACAAGAGTATTGTACTATCTATTTAGATTAGCTAACCCCAGAATTAATTTAAAAAAAACAAAACTTTTACTTATCTTATTTCCCCCTCCACTGCACCTGTCTTGCCATCACCTCGCCTCCTTCCCCATAGTCAGGCATTGGGAGGCTCCAATCTGCTGTTCTTCAATTTATTTCCGATCTAGTTTTCTTGAAAACATAAGATAACGTAGGGACTAAAGCTGACTCCGTTGGTCAAAGAAAGTCAGACGAAGATAAAATACATAAGTAGTCCCTACTTTATCTTACATTTTAAAGAAAACGAGATCAGAAAGGAAGAAAAGAAGAACAGATTCTGAGAAGAGGAAGAGAAGAGAAAACAATAGGAGAAAGGTAAGTTCAGCATGACAGTGCCGCTTTAAGATGATGGGTTCTGGTGCCGAGTTCCCTTTAAACTTGTGAAGAAACTTAGTACCTATATTTGTGAACAAAATGCAATCTTAAATTGACTTCTAGCACCACAACCACTGCAGCTTATTGTATGCTGCAAGAAGGCTACGGGTGATGTCCCTGTTCTTTTCCTTTGTTGAACACTTTAAAAAAGCAAATCGAAAACTTTCGGAGATGCTGCCTCTTGTATTACGTGCATTTCAATGGTTTTACTAGCTAAATTCTTTATGTTCACAGGACATTACTCCTTGGAAAGACCTTAGTATACTGACATATTTGTGTTTTTTACTTTTCAACTTTCCTAATCTCTTCAGGTACCAGAGAACCCATATAAAATGCTTGCTTTGTTATAATGCCCAAATTGCCCAGCCAAAGTTACACTCATCAGATGCAGACACTTGGTGTTTTTTGCCTAAGTGATCCAGTCCTTTTGTTACATTTTCAAAGCGTTGAATTCCGTGCTTCCTCTGATCAATAGTGATGATGTGCAGACAATCCGGACTACTTGTGTATACACTTAGCAACATCTTGCATACAGCTGCTGTCTCCTGTGTAAGTACAAGATAATCTGGTGAAATTGGATCTGAGGGGGAAAGTTTGTTGTAGCATATTCTGTCCTGCACTCATCACTCCCTCTTTCCTGCAAATACACAGATTGCTTTGATATTATGGTTATGTAATATAACTTGCATTCTTAAAGGGACTCTCCAGTGCCAGGAAAACAAACCTGTTTTCCTGGCACTGCAGGATCCCATGTTGCTGAAGGGGTTAAAATGCTTTCGGTGACTTACCTGAATCCAGCGCCGATGTCCCTCGACGCTGGGTCAGGTTCCGCCCACGCTCCTCCCCCGCCAACGTCAGCTGGCGGGGGAGACTTAATGCATTAGACCTCCCCATAGGAAAGCATTTTTCAATGCTTTCCTACGGGGATTCCGGCAACGCTGGAGGTCCTCATGCATAGCTAAGAAGCCGGAAGTCCCTCTAGTGGCTGTCTGGTAGGACTTAACCCTGCAAGGTAATTATTGCAGTTTATGAAAACTGCAATAATTACACTTGCAGGGTTAAGGGTGATGGGAGTTGGCACCCAGACCACTCCAATGGACAGAAGTGGTCTGGGTGCCTGGAGTGTCCCTTTAATGCATCACCACAGTCTGTTCTGGAGAAGATGGGCTAGAGGCAGGCTAAGGTACGAATTTGGGGCAATACAGATTTGTTTAAAAGTTATCTTGATTTAGAGTTCTCTCTTATGTTTTGGTGTTTGCTTTGATTATTCAATCTGCCAGTAAAGCTTATATATTCAACTAAAGTGTTGGGAATATGATCCTGTATTCCTAACCTTTTTGTATCCTTGCCCATTGTTTGATATTGGTCCCTGTGTGTGTGCAATAAATTTTTTAACAGATTTCTTCCAATCTTTTTTTCCAGCGGGAGACTGCATTGTGTCCCTCTGTGCTTCCTGCATCATTGTTAGTTCAATCCCATGCCCCTCATAAAGGGGCATTGGGGACCTGATTTGCAGTGAGCAGCACATTGAATGAATACTCTCATACGGGGACTTCTGTGTCACATAACAGAGTTTTACTAGCCACTAGAGATGGAATTAACGCTGTGATGTAAATACTAAGTTTATTAAAAAAAAACTGCAATGTTTTACACTACAGGGTTAACCAGGTCCGTCATGCTGGAGAAGCACTTAAAGCCGAATGACGGACCCGGTCCATCATGCGCTAAAGTTAACCCCAGATCGCTGCGGGGTTAATGATGTTGCTGGGTGCCTACGAGTCAGGGCAGACTAGCAACATCATATTATTATGTCCCAGCCCACGTGATTGCTGTGATAGCCAGTCACAGTGGTCACAATGCTGCTGGGATATCAGATCCGCCTCCTTCCACCTCTTGTGGGTTTTGGAAGCGCAGAGAGAGACGGATCGTTGTTACTTTGTGTCCCTGAAGAGAATAAATTGTGTCAGAAAGGGTTCCAAATCCCCTTTACCCTGCTGATTGATCACTGCAAGGAGTGATCAAAATACAGATCACAGTACTTTACTGTGATCTAGTTTTTTTTTTGTTTTTTTTACCCTTTGGTTAAATTTGATTTCTTTTTAGTAACCCTAAGGGATTAAATTTTAATATTTTATTTTTATTAATTTGTGATTTAGTTAGTTTGGGTGGGTGGAATTTAGTGGAAATTGAGGAATTTAGTAATAATCTAGTTAGAGGTGAAAAGAAAAAGTTTAAAAAAATGAAAGTTTATTACCATAGAACACAATGCTTAGGAAGTATGGCGCAGAGGAGGCTTATGCCCTGTTAGCGGCCGACAGTGACGCTGGGGAATTAAACAGTTCTCTGCAAGAATAAACTGCTGGCACTAAAGTACCGCGATAAAAAGGAGGTGTTCATCCCAACCGCCATCCATGGTGAAATGCACTTCGCAAGGTCGCAGTTCGTGGCAGAGGGGAAATTAAACGTGTGCCAGTCTGCATAACACATTACAATCATCATATGGGGGAAGTTGACCTGTCCGATTAACTGATCATGTGAAATACCAGGACATGGTATAAAAAAGTGGGCATATATATATAATGCAGACGGCAATCCACAAGGCCTTTGTAAATTTTAAAAAGGCAAATGCTGAGCTGAAAAGCACCTTTTTTTTCATTTCAGTTTCAGCTCATTACTGGGCTGCTTGAGTGCCACAGAGGAGGGTCATCAGTGGAGCCTTGTTGAAGAATGGAGGCAAGTCACTTCTGCTTCAGAATTCCAAAAACCCCCAGAAATGGTGCAGGGTGTGTTACAAGAGGGGCGCAAGAGCGGGGACCAGTTATTACTATTGGCCACTGTTTTAAAATTTTCCACACCCAGGCGGAATAAGTAGACCGTTTTGGGGTGGGATTTTAGTCATCTGTCTGATTGTTTGGTTACCGAATCTTGGCTCTGTCTTCCGTTTATCCTGTCTTCTCTGATCCTTGACCTCGGCTTGTCCTATCGTTGTTTCGTTTCTCTTTGCGGCTTGTAACTTGACTATCCTCTGCTTGTATAGCCCGGCCATTCTAAGGACCGGCATTACAAGTTTATCTCTCTGTGCTCTCTCTCTTTGTTGTCTCTGTGTTTTGGTTCCCGGAATCCGTGACAGCGTTGCCTGTGACTCAGATGACTGGGTACTACCCCCTAATAATTTTATGCTCAATATTCCCCCTTTCACAGCAAATAGTATGCACTTGTTCATAATTTGAATTGATGAGCTGCTTATATTTAAAAATAGGTGTGGCCTTTGAGAGGTAATTTGCAATCAGGAGCTGCTAAAACGAGACATAAAGGACCGTTTTCCTGGCACTATAGTGCCCTGAGGGTGCCCCCACCCTCAGGGTCCCACTCCTGCCAGGCTGAAGGGGGTTAAACACTCACCTTTCTCCAGCACCGGGCTCCCTCGGCGCTGGGGACTCTCCTCCTCCTTCGGTCGTCATCGGCTGAATGCGCATGCGCGTCAAGAGCCGAGCGCGCATTCAGCCAGTCCATAGGAAAGCATTCTCAATGCTTTCCTATGGATGCTGGCGTCTTCTCACTGTGAAAATCACAGTGAGAAGCGCTTAAGCGCCTCTAGCGGCTGTCAATGAGACAGCCACTAGAAGCTGGATTAACCCATTTGTAAACATAGCAGTTTCTCTCAAACTGCTATGTTTACAGCAGGCAGGGTTAATCCTAGATGGACCTGGCACCCATATCACTTCATTGAGCTGAAGTGGTCTGGGTGCCTATAGTGGTCCTTTAAGCCCAGCATCCACTTTTAAAAAAAAATGAAATTGGTGTGTCTCAAATGTACCCCTTCAACATCCACGTATCCCTGAAAAAGGTACACATGGGGGTATTGTTGTACTAAGACAACATAGCTGAGCAACATATTAGTTGTTATACTGCCGTAGCACACATAAGGATTACAAAATATACAGTAACATCTCCAAGTGTGTGTCAAAAAGGCAGAAAAAATGCTAATTGCAACTAGACTTGGTACAAACTGGCAAAAAAAATTATCGTACACCAAGGTTTAAAATATGCGTTTTAAAATACCCTGGGGTTTTTTAACAGTCAAACTGCTATAATGCCCCAAATTGAAACATGGGCCCATCAATTCCGTCTCTCAAAATTCTACAATAAATACTGAAATGGACAGGTCTCCAATATGGCACTGTAGCTTCACAAAATAGTGCCAAAGACATTCATAGGGTGTATCATTTTACTCAGAAGACTCATCTGATCATCATTTTGCGGCTTTGATCATAGCGGCACATATCAATTATATAAAATGCCCAGCAAATATGTTATCCATATGTAAAAAATGCCCAAAAATTGTTTTTTTACCACATGCTTTGACATATATTGGTGAACAAATAGGGGCATGTTAAGGCACAATATGCACCATATGAGATACCCTGGAGTGTCTACTTTTACAAATGGTAGGCCTTTGTGGTTTGTTTGTTTTTGAATAGTTAAACTGCTATAATGCCCCAAATTGAAACATAGGACCATCAAATCCATCTTTCAAAATTCTACTGTAAATACTGATATGGACAGGTCTCCTATATGGCACTTTAACTTTATGAAATACTGCCAAAAACATACAATGGGGGTATCATTTTACTCAGCAGATGTAGCTGAACACAAAATGAAGTTTTGTACAGGAGTAGCACACACCAACTTTACAAAATACACATGAGAAGATCTTTGTTATAAGTTTGGGTGTCAAAAATTTAAAAAAACCCCCACAATTTTACCCCAATATTTAGGAGAGATTGGCGGCGAAATGGCAAAAGGTGTCAAAATAACCTTAGGACAATAACCTTTGATGTCTATTTTATATAAATATATACTTTTGTGTGGCAAATTTGTTTTCTTTTATGGCTATTAAGCTTAAAGACAAATATACCAAATTCTAAAATCGCTCCACATTAAAATTTTATTTTACTCCTTGTGCTTTGTGACCTGGAGCTACCAAAAGAAAATCTTAAAATCCCAGACACATTATATATTCTGTAAATCAGAACAACTAAATTAATTTCTTTGTAATTACTTTCCTTAACCTGCACTAATTATTCACACATTATTATTGCAAAAGCTGTAAAAAAAAAAAACCAAAACGATATATTAACTTTTAAATAAATTTAAATTAGTAAAATGCAAATTGCAGTTGAACACAAACAGCCAAAAATGCAAAAAGTGCAAGACATGCTTTTGAAGCTGTGTCCTTAAGGGCTTAAAAGGAGAGGACCACAGCACGCAGATAACTTAATGAAGTGGCCTGGGTGACTTTAGTGGTCCTTTAACAAAGGAAAGATGTGGTGTTTTCCGTAGAAAGTGGAGAGCTACAAGAGGGCATGACTTGGTATTGGAGAGGATAACATACTTTTGTGCTTTGTTTTTCTCTCTGAAAGACTTGTAGATACATGTAATTGCTATCCCAGCAAACATGGTATCATTTAATAAAATAGAATAATTGAATAAGTGTTAATTACAGCCGTTGACACCAGTACAGTGTTATTTGCTCTGATTTTTGATGAAAACTGGAGAAATGAAAACATTTTAACAAAATTATTTTTGTATTGTGTGTTATTAAAGGGACAAAAGATCTGTTTTTTGTTTTTTTAATAATGCGTGGCCGTGTATATTGATAGAAACTAATAAACTGTAGGATGTAATGTATATTAATAGAATTATGAAACCCTCAATTGCTATGATATGGAATAAGGGAGACCTTGACTGTTCATCTGCTGTAACCTCCAAAACTCATAATGTTCAGTGAGCATAGCATTTCACAATGTACATGACATTACCCATGCACAAGGATCTCTTCCACAGACTCTGTTTTGCACACGTGAGTGTGCGCGCCTTTTTCCAGCGCCGAGACTACCTCAGTGCCACTCACCGCTCAGCTTCTCGCGATGTCATCGAGGAGGCATTGCTTCCTCTGACATATCCCCGGACATATGTTTAATTTGTTAAAACTCTGGATTGTAAGCTTTTTCAAACAAGCTCCTCATCAACCTATTGTTCCTGTAACATTTTGTATTGGTCTCATTTATTGTTAAATTTACCCCTTTATAATATTGTAAAGCGCTGCGGAATATGTTGGCGCTATATAAATACCAAAAATATTGTAGATATCTCATGATAAGATTAGCAAGCTTTCAATTTTTTATTTATTTATTTATTATTTTTTACTGACGTAGGCCAGTGTGGACCCGATCAAATCATTCTATAAAACAAACAAATTCATATAGCAAACCAGAACTTCAGGAATACTTTAGAGATAGGGAGAAACGCATTTCCACACTTTGTCTATCCTTTGAATTTGTGCCTATATTATTTTGTGATTTAAAAAAAAAAAAAAAAAACATTTTTAATTACCAGTACCTTGTTTCAGCTCAGGTGAAATTAAAAGGAATTTATTTGCTTAATTTAAGAATTTGGACTAATAGTAATTACCTTTTTAGTGTGTTTCAATTATTTACTAGTAATATCCAATCGATCTCACAAAAAATTACATTTCTGAAGACGGATAAGATTACCCTTTACAAAACAGCTTGTTTCTGATTGTGGATATTTGACTGTTTTGATTACCTATCCATGGCGATGAGCAAACGTTTCCTCTGCGCAACTTTCCCTCCGTTTTATTTTTCTGTGAGAAAACTTTGCTAACAATCCTTTCCACCCTCGAGAGGGCTGCGGATTGCTTGCAGTGTCAATACATCTCAAGAAGCCTTTGTGAAGTACAATACACCTCCCTGTTCTTTTCTCAGTAGAGGCGGTAGAATTTCAGTCACTATTTCAGATGCAGATAATACCTTGTTTGGAGAAGTTTGTTTGAGGGAGGAAAAAAAAAAGTGGTTTAAATTTGAGTGAATTATCACCTAGGATGGCTGGCTGCGTGTGTGTGTTTGTGCCAGCAATACGATACTGTGGGAAAGTCTCTAGCCACCTTGGAAGATAATGAGAGACACACATACAATGGGCTATGTTCATTGCATTTGGTTTTTAATAGGTACCTTGGATATTTCAGCCTGAAGATCATGGCATTGTAGAGGCAATATGTTGTCTACTGGATCCAATATATAGCTCCACGCTCAGGATGTCTCTTATAGATCATCCTGTTATTCTGTTAAAAAGATTGTTTCCGTCATCACAATTTCAAAATCTTTTTAGATTTTCTCATAATATGGGATATTTACTATGGAAAAACAATGGCACCATCTACCACGAAAAATTTAATTCTGCTTGTTGTGTTTAAGTTTTTATGACCACTACATATAAGGCTATTGTAATAGTTCAAAACATTAATTCAGATTCTCCCCTCCCCATCACTCTTGATAGAATGTTTTGATGTGGTTTTGGTACTTGTTGTGCCCTACCCATTTAAATACAATCAGTTATAATATATCTCTATATATTATAGTCTACACTCTTTTTTCTGCACTTTATTTATCAATTGATCCGGTGCTCTCCATATTTTTATGTAATGTTTTTGTGTTTGATAGCCTTTCGTTTTAGAATAATATGTAGTGCCATTTTTTTGTGGTGTCGTTACTATTCAAATTCACTCTGGGTATCATTTTGATCTTATTCACTTTTCTTGTACACCAGTGCTGAAAATATTGGCACATTATAATGAAGCTCTAATACTAGTGTGACGTTATCCATCCTTATAATAAATGTAAAACAACTTTCATGTAGAAGTCCATCAAGGTTCCGTGTGCACGTATTCACTTCTAATAAAGAAATAGCAGTCCCTCACAATATTGTGCTGGTTCCTGCTTTATTTCCCGTGAAACTTTTTGAATAACTCAATGATCCAAATTACTTCTTAATGTCTGTATGAACATGGCATTCAGTAAACCACAGCAGTATAGCCTGGTGATTAGGTGGCGGTAAAATATCCAATCCGCGTGTTTGCCATACTGTGCTATTTATACATATTGCAAAAAGATTAGTGCGGAGACGAGTCTCTGATGAATGGTTAAATTAGCATAAAATACAAACTCCCATTAGAAATCTGCTTTACCTTAGACCTGTGGTTTCCTTGATAGTATTTTGAATGCTTTTTCAATTTTTAATTACCTCTTTTGTCTGATGTACACTGAATAGTTCATTATCACGTTAATTGTGTGTGTTTCATTCATGCCTGTCTAGCGTCAGTTTTCCCAGGGCACCCTTCATATCTAGATGGAACTATAATGCAAGCTACACTTGGAATCATTAACCATGATTGAAAAATGGCTTGTCAGATTGCATCTACTAATCCACTGCAAACAGGTAGTTTATTGAAAGAACACTAGCAGTTAGCCGGCTTAGCACACAATTTATTACACAAACAATTGACAACAAAAGCCCAAATGTTTCGGGTACCTATGTCGCTGAATGACTGTGTGTCCGTCTCTTCATGGCCCACGTATGCCAATATATTTTAGCATTTTAATGATTAAGCCTTTAGTTCAGGACACCAGCGCCTCTCTACTTTATATAATTTAAAATACTCATAACCATTTGTCCTGCCTTTTACCAAGAATTATATACATACATGCATACACATAGATACCCTCTCAAATCTGCTGCTTCTGGGTTGGGATCTAAAATAGCATTTCCTATCCATTAAACAGCTCAGTTTCACCCTTTCGAGACTCTTCACTGTGCACTGTTTTAGAGTCGGAATCTCTCTTATAGCAGTGAGTGAAGTGTTACGTTGCGGAAATATCAAAACTTCAAGGGACACTATAGTCACCAGAAGAACTACAGCTTAATGTAGTTGTTCTGGTGAGTATAATAGTTCCCTTCAAGCTTTTTTCATGCAAACACTGCCTTTTCAGAGAAAAGCCAGTGTTTACATTGCCCCTAGGGACACCTCCAAGTGGCCACTCCTTAGATGACCACTGCAGGTGCTTCCTGGGTCAGTGCTGCCAAAAAAGCAGCCCTGATGTTCAGCGTCCCCACGCTCTGCATGGAGACTCTTTATTTTTCATACAGAGATGCATTGATTCAATGCATCTCTATGAGGAGGTCCTGATTGGCCAAAACAGCATTCGGCCCGCCCCCGTGCCGATTTTAGCCAATCCAATGCTTTCCCAATATGAAAGCATTGGATTGGCTAAAAATCTTCCATTTTGATACTATACTACTGTACACAGCTGAATGTATAGTAGAGATAAATAAAAACTGTGGATTACTACTTTTTAAAAACTATACCTCCAAATAAAACATTTTTTTTTGTTTTCATGTTTTCATTGGAGGTATATAAAAACAAAAAGAAAAAAAAACAAAACGCTTGCACAAGCTGCAGGTTAAAGTGGCACTGTCACCGAATCACGTTTTTTTTTTTGTTTTTTTTTTATTATTTTTGTTGTGCTGGTGGTTACAGAGTAATAACAAACGCCACAACAGCGTAATTCAAGTTTTGCAAAAGACAGACAGTGGCATGGTTATTCGCACATTTTTCTTTATATATATTTCAAGCCTAACTAAAACAACGTGTTATCAGGGTAGGGTTAAGTAGTCGCTATGTAACAATGCTAGGTTAACTATGCTAGTGGAGCTATAGCGTAAAAGCACATTATGCTGTGTAGTGGTAGCTGGATAATGCGTGGTTCACAGATAGATTATGCTATTGCAGATTGGCTAGTATGCATTAGTTAAGGACTGATTTGCTACCCATGTACTAGGTAGAATAACTATTTTAGACTATGCTAAACAGCTGATAAACATGCTAAAGCTTGTAATATGTTCACTGGGGTCTTGGGTGGCATGCCGTCCTTTAAGCTTTGCAGTCCCATTTGCGTGGCATGGTTGGTGCAATGTCTCTTCATCCTATGCCTTCCTTCAGGAAGCGGCAGACGCCCTGCAGTGGGTCTCGGCTTTCCGCTGCTGTGTGGATGACAGTGAGGGCGTCCCTCCAGCCCCAGGCTGTTGTGCAGTCCTGCATCCTTTGGCCACAAACTCGGTTACCTCTAGGGCCCGTGTTTACTCCACTTTCGGGAGTGACGGAGGTTCTGGTCCTCTGTTTTTTGCGGTGCTTGCGTCTCCGTAAGTGTGGGCGATGCTTTCGTATGATTACCCCTGTGGTCTGCAGCCTGGGTGGACCATGTCTTGTATGGGTAGTTGAGAGGTGAGGTTTGGTGCCCTAGGGTCTGCCCCCCGTATCCCGCCGCTTGCGGCTCGTCTCACCTGCCATCCGTGAGTTAAGTGTGTCGCTTTGAGCCGCCAGCTGCCTTTCTCTGAGGTTGTCCCAGAAGCAGGTGAAGATCTCCTCCAGACGCTGCAGGAGGTCCCTCTGAAGCGTTCGCTTTGGCAGTATGCCCTGCTCTTGTAGTATGCTTTCAGCCGCCATCTTGGGTGTGCCACGTGTGGGGTTGCATCTCCATACTTTGTGGTCAAGCTTGTGGTTCAGGCTTGGCTGGCTTCTCCAGACGTGCAGTGCAGACCGGGATGACCCCCGCCGGTCCATGGGGGGGGGGGAGGTAAGAATGCTGAGTCTGTGCGTGGCTTTGCCGATGGGGAGAGTGGCCGCCATCTTTGTGTGGGAAAAGGAAGTCCCTGCGGGACACATCATCTGCTCACACTAGATAGCGCTGTGAGATTCCCGCACATGCCCAGTTATACACTTGGGCATGCGAACGGGAATTTCATCTTTCTGAGCCCCCTGTAGCGGAGCGCAAGTTTAACATAGACTTTTTCCGCTGGTATTCCCAGAGTTGCAAAGGATCAAGTAAATTATCAAAGGAAGAACAGCATCTGTAGTAAATAAAATAATCCACGAATATCCCATCACCTTTCCTAAGGAGCAGAACTGATGTTTAATGCCACACACCCTGCTTTTATGCAACTCTCCCACAGAAAATTATACAAAAAATTATACATTCTCCAATCACAAACTGGTTACAGCCCACACATCCCCTTCCCCTCAGCCAGAGAGAGCCCAATTAACAGTACAGTTGAAACATACATTTTCCCCCGTTTTCTGGATGTACCCCAAGACTATGCCATACACCCCTAAATTACATATCCCATGATAGCCCTGATCTGGGTAAGCAACATACTCAATCACCCATATCGGATCAGGGGTTCGGGAATTTCATGGAGGTATTCGATTTACCAACCGCACACGAGGCAGTAGCCGAAAGGAGTTCCATGTGTTTTGGCCTTGCGGTCAGTCTCCGTTCATGAGGTGAAAAACACGAAAATAGTTAATATAATGGGCTCTGCCTGAATTCGTCTGAATCCCCTTGTTCAGGTGTATCTTTTTACCGAACACCGGGCCGTTCGCGTGTTTTCCCACGAACGGGTGGATGTATGGAGGTCTCTGCGGTGTTCGTGTGGTCGAGTGTCCGATTTGGGTTCCAGACACTCGACGACCAAACACCGCTGGTGCGTTCGTATGGCAAGATGGCAGCCGCCACTTGTTCGCTTGTCAAACGGCGCCCTCCCAGGGAATACGCAGTGCGTTCGTTTGATTCTCAATCAGGATAGTGTGAATAATGATGGGGAGGTAAATTAGAGCCATGTTCCTCTCCGGGGTGGTCTGGTTGTTAGGTATTTTGTTCATTTTGTCGAATGGAGCTGTTTAACATGTTGACAACGGGATTCCTACCGAACAACCAGACGAATGCTTCAGCAACTCACTTGTTACTACTTTTCCTTAAAGTAACGAACCATATGAAATTGAACATAACGTTGTAGCAATAAAAGTCATGGACAGCCACAATTAAAGCAGGTGATTAGTAGCCAAACGCAATCCGCTACACCCCCCATGTCCTCCCTCCCTCTATGGGGGTCAATATGACCCCCATAATAGCATAAGGGAGATTAAAATCTCCTGAATGCCCCTACTCGCTATACCGCGAGTAGGGGCATGTCTACTAAACAGTGAGCAGCCTATTGTCCTCCCCCCTGGCCCCCACCCCTGTGCGGCGGGTGGGTGCCCTAAATAAGAATGTTATTTAGGGCCCCCACCCGCCACTCAGGGGTGGAGGCTGGGGGGGGAGGACAATAGGTCCCCCCAGCATTCACATTTAGGGGGGCTCTAGGGATAGTAAGGTGTTTTTTTTTTGTTTGTTTTTTTTTAACAGTGAGCAGCCAATGGCTGCTCACTTTTTACTATACATGCCCCTAATCGCGATATAGCGAGTAGCAGCAGAATTTACTAATACTAAGTAATCTTTACCGTGGGAATTAGGGAGTTATCTACTAAGCGGCTGCAAGATGCAGCCACGGCATTGAATAAGATCGGAGTTTCATTCATTCAACAGTGATGCATTTGGAAGAGTTTTACAATACTGTTATGTTTTCACCCAACTCATTTATTGTGTCTGCCAATTCTCAATTTACTGTGTAGCAAATAATCCCCATAGCATGTGAATTGAAATATAGACTCGTCTTTTTATTTGCTGAAAGAGCACATACATTACAGCATATTATTTGTATGCGCAGAACACGTTCCATTTACACAGTACATTTTTTTCCATGACTGCAAATTACCTTTTTCTTTTTTTTCCTTTTAAATATTTAGTTTATTCTATGAGTTTTGCTATCCGCAATCTTCCTTCAGGTGCTTAATTGGTGTCTCATTCAGAATTGCTTAGCTGATAATTCACAAAAACAGAACGACAAATTTATTTGTTGTTAAGCACAGTACGGTTATTAACAAAAACATCTCCTGCTTCTTAAAGATTCCTCCTTTTATGTACAGGATGGGCTGCGTTGTCCTAAGGATTAGTGCGGTGGTGCCGGGGTATAATAATGGATTTATGTATGATTACGGTGCCTACAGCAGTCTGTCATTTATGTTCTCTTGTGAACTGGGCTGATGAGAGCCTGTATAAGCAGTATGTATGTTTCCGCTTCGCTATTACCGTACTCCATTGATCTCTTACCCACCAAAGTTCTAGCCGCAGGGGACATCTGTCACGGAGCGCGGTGTTTATATCCCACATTACCTGACAGACCTGTCAGAAGCCTTTTTAAAATTATGATTTTCCAGGATCTCTCTATAGGCAGGTGCGTCGGGACTGTTAAAGAATTCCTTTAATAAATTGGATTAGGTGTGATTAAAGTACCTGTGAGCTTGTGTCCAAATGATCAGGAACAGCAGTTAGAGCTTGTGACACTGGGATTATGACTTAGCTCTATTCTTTACATATGAGCTTCCCCAGAGGCATGCTACATGCTAAATCACAACTTTCGCTGGTATTATCCAATTCTTTTCAGCCTTTTAAAGTTTTAGAATGGTGGGTGTTTCCCCCCTCCCCGGTTATTTGACAAAAACTAGACCCTTTGAGTGCCAGAGCAAAACAATGCGCTGCTCACTCAGTGTTAAAAAAAAAAAATGTAAAGCGTAAACCTTTTTTTCTTGTTAGAATTCTTCCTTTGTAATTTTTTAATTTTTGAAAATGTACAGTTTAAAAACACACACACTGATGAGAGCTAATTAAGGGGAAAAGGAAAGGGTAAAATTTAGAGGGAGAAAGAGAGATGAAATTTTAAAAATCCAGGCAATTAAAGTTCTTTCAGAGATAAAAAGTTTTGGCAGGGTTGAGGAGTAAGAGAATTAATATAACAGGTGTAAGATATTATCAGAGATTAGTCTTGATGGCTTGCTCCCTATGATTGATTGATAGAACACTCATAGTGTTATTCAGTGAATTGAGAATTCAAAGTGAATTTTAAATTTAAAACAGACTTGTCATGTTTTTCTTTCTTGTGATTTTTCCATTCCTTATGCCTCCTGTATCTTAAAGGGATACTATAGTGCCAGGAATACAGGTTTGTTATATGCTGTAGGTTTCTCTGCCTGCCCCCCTCCCCTCCCCCCGCCCGGCCAGGTAAGTTATGGGTTAAAAATCCTTTATTCACTTGCCTTGACGTGCTGGGTCAACGCTTCGCCCCCTCCTCCGTCCCGCGACCAGTGGGAGCTAATGCGCGTCAAATGCCGAATTGAATCTATGCTTTCTTATGTGGGGAAATCTGACTCTGGATGTTGTCATGCATAGCGTGAGGACGTCTAGTGTCAGATACCGGACCAAAGGTCTGTTACGATGCAGGAAGTGGTAGACAGCCACCGGAGGCAGACTTAGTGCTGCAATGTTTTGCATTGCCGCACTAAGTCCAAAAGGGACACTGCACCCAGACCACTTCAATTAGCTAAAGTGGTCTGGGTGCCTATAGTGTCCCTTTACTTCCTATTTGCCACTTGCCTTTATTTCTTTATATTCCTTGTGCTGGACCTGGATACCCGGGTGCATCCATTTTGTTCTCCTCTCTCCATGATGTTATATATTTCTTACCTGCTCTATGTTATGTTTTGTATATATAGTGTATTAATATTGTTTTTGTATTTTATTGTACCCAATTGTATCAGTGCAATGTTTTGTGGACCCGGGACATACATGAAAACGAGAGAAATCTCAATGTATCTTTCCTGGTAAAATATTTTATTAATAAATAAATGTCGGCTGTTTGCCCTTCTGTGGGATTCATTTACTGATGGATGGTGGGTAAATTTGATTGACAACTGAAACAGCATCTGTTCTATCTATTGTCAAGTTTTGTCATTCTGACTGCTATACATAAGGGAAAGTAGTTCAGGAAAAACATGGAGCTGTATAGAAGCAGATTAGATAAAGTGTATTTTTTGGTGACACTTTAAAATAACACAGCTGAAGTGGAGAAATCCCCTAAGTCAGCTATGCAGTCAGTTTGACTACTCTGGCCTTAAGTAAATTTACAGTAGACCAATAGCCTACCAGTCAATGAGTTGAGGAAATCCGATTATAGCCCAGTACATGACAGTAGATTATTCACTGTCTCCCCTCCGTGCCTTCAGCTGTGCGTCACATGCGGGGACTCACAGGGAGGGGTGACGTGAGGTCGTAACATTGTGCTTTATTGGCTGGCGGCTGGAGTTTCCTGATGCAAAACATGCAGTGACTGGGAGTGGTAAATTACAAAAACAATTACGATTATCAGAAATGTGCTAAATATCCGCTAATAATAGGTAGAACCAACAATCAGTCTATCCCGAACTTGAACCCCTTAAAATAAGAAGTTTTGATCCCAAATAGATACTCATACCCATAACCATAACCATATTCAGTTAATTCATATTTCTCATCTGGCTCTGAAAACAAATGCCTTTAAACATGGAATTTCAAAGTATTGATATCATCATATTTGTACAGTGAAAAAGTCCATTCTAATAAAATGTGCGTTAAAATAATGCCAGTGCACACTGATTTATATATTCATCATACTGCATCGGTTCCCAGTTGTAGTATTACCTCATCACATTTTAGCAAACACATTAGCATCATTTTGTTAGTTATTTAGTTAATCCACCAATTTTCAAGCAGGTATAACTTTTAAAACCTGAGCACTTGAAGGCACTTTAAAAAAAAAAATATATTATGAACAATTCAGTGGATTTTCTGCTTCAATGACTGTCTCAACTTGGCAATTATTTACTGAAGGTGTGCTGTCATTCCTCATCCCACCACATGTTAGCATTGGTTCTATTCTGTGAAGGTAACTTTACAATTTTGTTTATGTAAAGTTTAGTTTATGTAAAATTTGCATATTCTGAGAGCATCACCTGGTGCTCTCCCAACTATCTCTGGTACCCATTGGAAAAAGGCATCTGTATTGAAGCTTGGCCAGGAAGAAGAGGCAGAGGAGCTGAGAGGGCAGGCGCCGTTAACGGCACTTTGGGGTTTAATTATTTGAAAACTGTTGAACTCCATAAGGTAAAACAGTGCCCAGGACCTCCAGACACCAGAACAACTTTATTGAAATGAAGTTGTTATGATACCTAGATAGGTCATATAACATTTGTGTCACATTAAAAAATATTTAGGCTGTGCTATGTAAATCAAATGGTAAAAAAATCCAGTAAAATACATTTTAATTCCAGGTTACAACATTCTAAAATATGGAAACTACCAGGGAGAATACTTACGCAGGGTACTGTATATTATTATTATTATTATTATTATTATTATTATTATTGCCATTTATATAGCACCAACAGATTCCGTAGCGTTTTAAAATATTATGAGAGGGGGGATGTAACTATAAATAGGACAATTACAAGAAAACTTACAGGAACGATAGATTGAAGAGGACCCTGCTCAAACGAGCTTACAGTCTATAGGAGGTGGGCTATTAGAAACATTAGGACAGGAAATATCAATCAAATAGGGTGGGAGTGAAGCAGAGCTGGAGGAGAGAGCAAGAGACAGGTATGTAAGGTATATAGTATCGGAACGAACATAATTGTGTCTGTAACGGGAAGATAGTGATGTCACCTTCAAAAAGGTAGCCGTTCTTATTTGCAAGGACATAAAATGTAGTGGTTTGGTGCATATATGCTGTCCCTTCACCTAGATAATCTAAGACGTCTGAGAAATGGTAGTGTTTATATTTGTCAGTAAACTCCTCTAGTGGCTTTCAGACTCATTTTCCTCATTCAATTTCTAAAGGTCTTCATATTGATGACGCAAAACAATAATTAATCATTGTATTGTTGGAGTACAGCGATTGCTGCACATGTGTCCTATGTCACCAATGCTTTTGTTTGGATTTTTGTTTTTTGTTTTTTACTATAACAAATGGCACATCCTACATCTAAATAAAAAAATAATAATTTAAAAGTGGTTTTGGTGACTTGAGTGTTCCTTTAATTATATTTGTAGGGAAAAAAATGTACATCACACATCTAATGTTAATAGTTTACTAGATAGTTCACTAGAATGTAGGTGATTTGCAGAAAGCTGAAGTTAGCACACTTGTGTATATTTATATACGTGTATAATAATGTGTACATACAGTGTGTCTGTATAAGCAAAAGACTGCTAATTGCCTTTCCTCCATATGAGCAAAACAATGAGAAAATGCATCCTTTGTCATCAGGTGTGAGGAGCAAAATACTCTGTAGTTATGTAACAGCTCAAGCGCTGAGAATCCAATTCTGCTTTTTGAAAAGATAATAGTAATATTTCCAGTAGTTTCGTGCGTTGTTGTCCTCCCCTTTAATGATGGGTTAGTATTCCATTTAGCAGAAGCAAGACTGCAGTAGACAATTACTTTCTAAAGGTAGAACCTCTTCCCTCCTGAGACACTTGGCTCACCTCAAATTGCTCAAACACTTAAAGAGGAACACCATGCTCCAACGCCTTTTAATCGGATGCAAACCTCATTCCCTTTCCTTATTCAAGCCATCCAATATTATTTCTGTTTATTATTCTAACTAATGTGATTAATCAGACCATTAAATTATTATAAAGTCTTATTGCATATCAAGCTGCTATCAGTATTCCACAAATAACAGCTGTCTGTTAAATACTCCAGAATCAAAGCAGTCTTAGACTGGAATATTACAGGAACACTTCAAGAACCATAGCCACTGCTGGGCGCAGTAGTAGTTGTGGTGCCATTAACATTCACTGTGTCTCCCCCCTCTTCCTTTTTAAGTGGTTTGACTCTGGGCGCCGCTCCCTGCAAATGAAGGTGATCAGCTAATTGTTCTCAGTCTACGAGCTAATCGCTGCTCAGGCAGAGAGTGTCTGGCTCTTACTGAGTTACAGTGGTGGAAACCAGGGCACACATTAAACCATAACTACTACAGCGCTACTACTAATCCGTAACACGCACCTAAATACTTATAGACCCATAATCCTAAATACATAATGACACAGTCTAATATTGAATGGGTTGGGGACCACTGCTCCTGGATTTTTTTGGGAGGAGCACTTGTGCAGGGCACCAAGCAGCACATTTTCCTTTGTGCAATGTATGGCTTCACATAAACAGGAAGTGGATATTGTATCACTTATTTGCACCCAATGCTATCTCAATGGCACTACATGATGGGTATAAATTACAGATCGTAATTCTGTCTGTAACAAAGCCACAATGAAGTATTCGAGTGCCAGGCAATCAGTGTTTAACACTTTGTCCCACACCCAAAGATGTGAGTATTAAAGCTGCACCATCGTTTTACTCGTATTTGTGGCACTCCCAAAGTCCAGTCACAAAGTTACAGTACCAGTTTAGGGTGTTATCTGCTAAATTGCTGAAAGATCAAAATTAAGAAATGGGACACAATAGGCACCCAGACCACTTGATCTCATTGAAATAGTCTGGGTGCAGTGTCCGTGTCCTCTTAGCACTGCAATCTAAAACATTGTAATTTCACTGAAACGGCAATTTTTATATTGCAATGTTCAGACTGTCTCTCAGAGAGGCACTAGTGGTGCTTCCTGCAGTTTCATAGAGTTTAACCCCATGAAGTGATGCTGGATGCCCTTATGCTTTGCATGATGATCTCCAGTATCTTCAAAATCCCCTGTAGCAAAGCATTGATTCAATGGTTTCCTATAGGGAAGCCCTAATGCACATGCAGCCCTCGCTGTGCATTAGGTGTTTGTCCCCAATGCTGATGTTGGAGGAGGCGGAGACAGAGGCATCTTGGCGCTGAAAAGAAAAGTGTTTAAAGAGTTTTTTTAATCCTTACAACACCAGTGTGCAGACAATAGTCCCTCCTCTCTAATAGTAAGAATGCTATCACCCATTGAAACTTCTTGAACTGTTTGAAAACCGGGGATTAGCGTACATTTTCAGAAACTTTACGGGCATTATATCAGTGACTAGTGACTAGTGGCTTCTGGCAGAGATATTTTTCTCTGTAGGCTGGTAATCCTAACTAGAGTGTAAATGATGGTGAGTAAGACTTTATGGATACTTCAAAATACATGAACATAAAATGTTTATACTTGATTTAGGTGCTGAAGGGGTTATTTTTACGAAGGACTAAAGAAAAAAACTAAACACAAAGTAAAAACAAGTGATACTTCCCTTTGTAATTGTTTAATTGAATGGCTGCAGGGACACTTGTGAAAATCATATGTTGGCTTGGTGCTATGTTCAGACCCATTGACTCTTTGATGACATTTAGGCTTATATACTGCTCAGCTTGAAGAATAACCCCCCCCCCTCCACTGTTGTTATTGCACCATTTCCACTTGTGGGCTTGTTTTGATTTGTCTAAGCATCAAGGCACTTTATCAAGATTACACAATAAGTACTGAGCCAGCCAGGGCACATATTAAATATCATTGGCACCATGCAAAGCATCATCTCTTCAGTAATCACTGGCTTTAAATCATGCATCTTATATTTACACAGTATTACCTTTTGTCAATAAAACTCAATGCAAGCAATGTGAACATAAATGCACGTAGTGCCCAGTGCAAAGCTGGCACCAAGCTGTAACAAACAACATTGTAGCTTTGAATGTGGCGCCTTCATGATGATGCAGCAGTGGCCATGTGTCAACTAGCCAGCCCATTCACACAGATCTCTGCAGAAGAGTGGCCAGCTTCCAACCAACTGGCCTGATCGTTTATATGTGGCATGAATGATGGGTAATGATCCTTTGGCTTCCAATATCATTTCTATGCAGATGACACGCAAATCTACCAAATCTATCTGTCCTGTCCTCTCCTTATTTCTCCCCGTCCCTCTTGCCTAGTGTCTCTGACTGCCTCTATGCTTTTCTAACTGGATGGCTTCCCACTTCCTTAAACTCAACTTTACCAAAACTGAAATTCTGGTCTTTCCTCCCTCAAGTGTTGCTACTCCTGTGTCCGTCTCCCTCCAAGTCAATGGTGCTACATCAGCTCAACCACGCAGGCTTGCTTCCTAAGTGTTCTCTTTAACTCCGACCTCTCCTTCAAGCCTCATGTTCAGTCTATCACCATATCCTGTAGTTTCCATCTCAAAAAACATTGCACGCATTCGACCCTACTTAACGCCAGATGTGACAAAGGTGCTGGTCCATTTCACTGTCCTTTCTCGCCTTGACTACTGTAATCCGCTTCTCAGTGGTCTTCCGTGCTCCCAACTTGCGCCGTTACAGTCCATAATGAATGCGGCGGCGAGGCTCATCTTCCTGTCCGCCCACATCTCCCACGCCTCACCCTTCTGTCAATCCCTACATTGACTTCCTGTAAGATATAGGGCTCAATTTAAAATACTGGTTCTTGCTTTCAAATCTCTACATAATGCTGCTCCCACCTATCTAGCCTCCCTAATACACAAGTATGTCCCGTCTAGGTCCTTACGCTTTGCTGAAAATTTACGTCTATCTTCTGTCCGTACTCCCACTTCTGATGCTCGCCTTCAAGACTTCTCGAGGGCTGCACCGTTCCTGTGCAACTCACTTCCCTCCTCCGTTAGATGCTCACCCAGTCTCCTCTGCTTCAAAAAAATCATTAAAAACCCACTTCTTCATAAAAGCGTATCAATTAAATTGTTAATAGCTCCCGACTGATTCCTCTCTTGCAACTGTCATTAGTCTAATACTATCCTTACCTTTTTGTGTCATTTTACCCCACTCCCTCTAGCATGTAAGCTCATTGAGCAGGGCCCTCCAACCCTCTGTTCCTGTGTGTCCAACTTGTCTGGTTACAACATGTCTGTTTGTCCACCCATTGTAAAGCGCTACGGAATTTGTTGGCGCTATATAAATAATAACATAATAATCATAACAGTCAATTAGGGTTGATTCTGGTAGAGTCGTGGAGCCTGTATCCCACATGAGTTCACTTTCTAGGGACTGAAGCTGTAGCCCAATATACTCCGTAACAGCACCTAAATACTTATAGATCCATACTCCTAAATACATAATGACACAGTCTAATATTGAATGGGTTGGGGACCACTGCTCCTGGATTATTTTGGGAGGGCACCAAGCAGCACATTTTCCTTTATGCAATGTATGGCTGCACATTAAACAGGAAGTGGACATTGTATCACTTATTGGCACCCAATGCTATCTCAATGGCACTACATGATGGGTATAAATTACAGATAGTAATTCTGTCTGTAACAAAGCCACAATGAAATATTCGAGTGCCAGGCAGTCAGTGTTTAACACTTTGTCCCACACCCAAAGATGTGAGTATTAAAGCTGCACCATCGTTTTACTCGTACTTGTGGCCTACTGTTCTAGAGTGGTTTTTCCTTCGCTATACACTAAAGGACCACAAACATGTATTTCTGTCACTATAGCTGTAATACCGTATATACTCGAGTATAAGCCACATAATTTTACCACAAAAAAATGGGAAAACTTAGAACATAGAAAACATAGAAGATTCATCACACTCTCCAAACACCAACTTCAAAGCTCACAAAATTGAATAGGTTTAAAAACAAAACAAAAACAACATATCCTCATATTAGGCAATAGATTATTTGGATTTAGTTACGGTATAAGATCATTCACTGCGTAAGCCTGCCACAACTACAATGTACCCCATTTTTGACAGGTCCTATCCTAGCAGCCTAATGCCTGCCTTTATGAGATTAATCCACTTGGGAAATCCTTCCACTGCAGTGCTAGATTATATAGGGCCTTGGAAAGAGGCACCTGTGACAGGCTCACTCATTGAGCGCCATACCGCTCAGACACTCTCTGCCTTGGATCCAATTTTCTCCGACCATTTAAGAGCAGTCCTGCCGCTTGCCCGGGCAGGGCTAAGAGGCCAAATTAATTGCCTGCCCAGTGCCTAGAACTGCATGTCCCAGACATTGGACGATAAGAATTCCTCATCCCTGAGTCACTACATTAAGCTTTAGGTACTAAAACTGTCACTCTAAATACATCAGTCATCGTCTGTGCTTTAAAGTTTCACACGTGTACATTCTACCTAAAAATGCGTGCATACAAAACGCATCCAATATTACTGTTGCATTAAGGGATTACTATTCTGTAGTTCATAGTTGCCCTCATTTTATTTGATTTATAAGCACACCTCCCAAATACCCCTCCTGCACAGTCTACAGGACTTTTGCATCCACGTTGGATGTAGATTCCCTCATTCCTCAAAACTATGATGTATCTAAGGTTATCCTGATTTGTAGATTAAGTGTTTAATCCACGACAGCCGAAAGAGGAAAGATCAAAAACTTACTTTGTATAAATATATATATATATTATTTATTTTTTAAAGGAAAATGCATATTTTTCTAAAATCAGCATATAAGTGCTGTAACACTTGAGGGTGTTGAATAATCCTATAATTCGCACCCTATGCATGTTAGCCCTTGCTTATGGATCAAAAGCGAAGCGCCCGGCAGGACTTTGATCAGTTCCTGTTAAAATGTACATTCTGAAGGGAGATGTAAAAGTAATTGACTCTCATTCATGTTCCTGCGTTGTGTTTTGCTGCAAAACAACCATGTTTTGATCATTGAATGATGCAGAAAAATGTCCTTAGTAGACTCGGGAGATGAAAGCCAGCAGCGTACTAAAGTAATCCCTTCTCTAAAATATCAGACAAATTGTTGACACCTCTTATTGCAGATTCATACACATCACTCACTTCAAACTTCCCGATACACAAGTCATATGGGAAAAGTTAGGGCTTCACATCTAGTCAACAGTGCAGAGTTTTAAGGCTCTGTTCCACCTAAACAAACTATTCAGTATATGCTTTAACATGTTAATGTTGAGAATCTACGTCTGTGTATCTTTTCCCATAAGGTTTAATTTCATAAAGACACAAAGACGGAAAGGGATATTCCATGCTGGAATATCTTGTTTGTAATGTGTCAATTATTTAATATGTGTCAATTATTTAATGTTTTAAACGCATATCTATATGTCATTAATGATCAATAGCATCTCCATTGATCTCAAATGTTCTCATTGCTGTCTGTAGGAGTGGTGTGCATATCCCATTGTCAGGGTACCTGTTGGTGATGTATCCAGGGAGGACATCCTCTCTGCTTAGGGGCTCCCTTCCCTTAGCATTTCGGCATATTCCGGCCGTTTTCGCGCCGGCCGCGCTAGCTCCTCCCCCTTTTATGACGCGACGGCTAGCGTCGACGTCATGACGTCGGCATTTGCATAAAGTGCCGGGAACCGCTATTCCGGACCTTTTGGGGGCGTGGTCTCTATTTAGGTACAGGGTATTTAAAGGAAACCTTTACTACTGCTCATTGCCCTGTCGTGGTTCTAGCTTGCTAGTCACTCAGCGCGTTCTTTATCTTGTGTTTCCGGTTTTGACCCTTGCTTGTCTTTTGTCCTGTTGTCCTCTCCTCTCCTTTGACTCGGCTTGTATCTCGCTTACCTGTCCTCCGGCTCCCTTGACCTCGGCTTACCTTTTGACTATTCTTGCTTGTCCTTACGTTAGTCCGGCCATTCTAAGGTCCGGTATACGTACCTCCTTCTGTGCGCACTCTGCGTATTGGATCCCTGTCAGTTTCCTGACATTACGACAGGGCCATGATGGATCCTGCAGGTGCTAGTCCTCCTGACCCCAGATTTGAGGCCATGGACCATAGAATGGACCAAATGGCTTTAGCGTTACAAACTTTGTTGACACGCTCCAGTACCCAGTCTGAAGAAATACGTTCCACTGCTAGCCACTCGCTAAGTACTGGTTTGGAAGTAGCCACTGTAGGCGCATCTTCCCATGTCACGTCACCATTACGATATGGGGGTTCGCCTGATGCTTGTCGTGGTTTTTTAAACCAGATAAGTATACATTTCGAACTACAACCCCGGGCTTACCCCACTGACAGGGCTAAGGTAGGCTTTATTATAACCCTGCTAATAGATAAAGCACTTAGATGGGCCAATCCCCTTTGGGAGAATGACAATCCTTTAGTCTACAACTACACTGCGTTTGTCACGGCTTTTAGAAGAACCTTTGACCCCCCAGGGAGGAAGATTAATGCGGCCAGATCCCTGTTACGCCTTAAACAACAAGATAGGACCCTTGTAGAATATGCTCTAGAGTTTAGATCATTGGCAGCAGAAGTGAAATGGAACGAACAAGCTTTTATGGATGTTTTCTTGAATGGGTTGTCTGATGAAATTTTAGATGAAATTGCCACAAGAGAACTTCCGGAAAATTTAGAGGATTTAATATCCTTCATTTCCAGAATAGATGAACGCATGAGACAGAGGCAGAACACTCGGGAAAGAGTTACTAGACTTCCTGTAAGACTCGCTCCCTCATTTCAGAACCCTGACTCCTATAATCCTACTCCACCAGAACCTATGCAAATAGGTAATACTCGCTTATCTGAGGCTGAGAGACAGTACAGGAGAAGGGAGGGTCTCTGTTTATACTGCGGGCTGAGAGGTCACTTACGTCTTAGTTGCCCTAATCGTCCGGGAAACGCTCGCACCTAAGTTCCCTTAGAGGACGGGCCTTGGGTGTTTCATTACTGTCCTCTATGCATAATAAAAAAGACCATAGGCTTCTGATTCCTGTCTCTCTAGCTTGGGAAAAGGGGTTTATTGCTACGATGGCATTATTAGATTCTGGAGCAGCAGAAAGCTTTATAGACCAAACTTTCGCTAATAAGCATTGTATCCCATTCCAATTGAGAGATACACCCTTGGCCGTTGAGGCCATAGATGGTAGACCTTTATCTGAACCAGTAATATTCCATGAGACCGAACCCGTTAAGCTTACTGTTGGTATTTTCCACGAAGAGTTGATTTCCCTTCTGTTAATTTCCTCCCCGGCAGTCCCAGTGGTTCTAGGATATTCTTGGCTCAAGAGACACAACCCTCAGATTGACTGGGAGGGTGGAGAAATCGTTTCTTGGGGTATGGGTTGTAGGGAAGAATGTCTGCAGAGAGTTACTTCTGTTTGCCCCATAAACTCTTATGCTAACACTTCTCAATCCACAGACGTTCAGATACCATTACAATATCTAGACCTCAAATCTGTATTTGACAAGGGTAAGGCGGATACTTTACCTCCCCACCGGTCTTATGACTGTTCTATTAAACTTTTCCCTGGTACTATGCCTCCCAGGGGTACGGTATACCCTCTATCCACCAAGGAAAACTTAGTTTTAGAGGAATATATCAAGGAGAATTTAGACAAGGGATTTATTAGAAAGTCTTCTTCTCCGGCGGGGGCGGGTTTCTTTTTTGTAGAAAAGAAAGACGGTACCTTACGTCCTTGTATAGACTATCGGGGATTGAACAAAATTACTATCAGAAATGCTTACCCTATTCCTTTGATTACTGAACTCTTTGACAGACTAAAGGGCTCGAGTATTTTTACTAAACTTGACTTAAGAGGAGCATATAACTTAGTGCGAATTAAACAAGGAGATGAATGGATGACAGCATTTAATACCCGTTACGGGCATTATGAGTATACCGTAATGCCGTTTGGGCTTTGTAACGCCCCGGCCGTCTTCCAAGACTTGATCAATGAAGTTCTTAGAGAATTCCAACATGAATGTGTAATTGTATATTTGGATGATATATTAATCCATTCTAGAGACATTAATTCACATCATAGACAAGTCAGAAAGGTATTACAGAAACTTTTACAACATGGATTGTATTGTAAATTGGAAAAATGTAGCTTTGACCAGTCTCAGGTAACTTTCTTAGGTTACGTAATTTCCAAAGACGGGTTTATGATGGACCCGACCAAACTAAAATCGATTTTAGATTGGCCTTTACCTAAGGGACTCAAAGCCATACAAAGATTTCTTGGATTTTCTAATTATTACAGACGTTTTATTAAAGGGTACTCCTCTGTTATCGCTCCTATCACTAATATGACCAAACAAGGAGCCGATACCAAAACCTGGTCTACTGAGGCTTTATCTGCTTTCGAAACGCTCAAACAGTCTTTTGCCTCAGCACCTGTATTAGTTCATCCTGATACCTCTCTACCCTTTTTACTTGAAGTTGATGCGTCTGAAACAGGGATAGGCGCAGTGTTATCCCAAAGACAAAGTTTAGATAAGCCGCTGCACCCTTGCGGTTTTTTTTCCAAGAAACTATCACACACTGAAAGGAGATATGACATTGGTGATAGAGAACTTTTAGCTATCATTATGGCATTAAAGGAATGGAGACATTTGTTAGAGGGCACCGTCCTCCCAGTTACTATCTTGACTGACCACAAGAATTTATCGTATATGGGGGAGGCCAAAAGATTATCTGCCAGGCAGGCACGTTGGTCTATGTTCCTTACACACTTTAATTATGTGCTTACTTACAGGCCTGGTTCTAAGAACACTAAGGCAGACGCTTTGTCACGTCAGCACGAACCTACCACCTCTACAGAGGATACTTTGTTCCCTATTATTCCTGAAGTCAATATTATCGCCAACACCAATGTCAAAATACACTCTCCATTGCTCGCTGATATTCAGAACGAACAATCTCTTGCTCCCGAACGTACTCCTGTGGGCCGCTTGTTCGTGTCTCCCAAATTCCAAGTGGACATTATTCGCTGTTTCCACGATAGCAAGATCGCTGGTCACCCCGGCATCCACAAAACTTACTGCCTGATCTCCAAAGACTTCTGGTGGCCCGGTTTACGTAGGGATGTGGAAGACTTTGTCAAGGCTTGCAATGTTTGTGTCAGGAATAAACTTCCGCGGGATCTCCCTTGTGGTTTATTGCAGCCCTTAGTCGTTCCCAACAAACCTTGGGCTTGTTTGGCTATGGATTTTATTGTTGATCTACCAGCTTCCAATAGGCATACAGTTATCCTCACGGTCCTTGACAGGTTTACTAAAATGGCTCATTTCGTTCCCTTGCCTAAACTTCCGTCCTCCCCCGAACTGGCCGTGATATTTGCTAGAGAAATTTTCCGTTTACATGGTATTCCCAATGAGATTGTGTCAGACAGGGGTTCCCAATTTATTTCCCGTTTTTGGAGATCCTTCTGTTCACAGTTGGGCATCAAACTGAATTTTTCTTCGGCCTATCATCCCCAATCTAACGGAGCAGCCGAACGCACTAACCAAAAAATTGAGCAATATCTACGTTGTTTTGTTTCTGAACACCAGGATGACTGGGTCGGTCTGATTCCTTGGGCGGAGTTTGCTCACAACAACCTTGTTTGTGGTTCCACTCGTAATAGCCCCTTTTTCTTGAACTATGGCTTTAACCCTACTGTTCTTCCGTCGGTGTCTCCTTCCCAGGGTATACCGTCGGTTGATATTCATATAGCCAACCTGAGAAAGTTGTGGGATCAGACTCGACAAATTCTTGAACGTAGTTCCGCGGTGTTTAAGTCACATGCTGATAGGCGTAGACGTCCTGCTCCTATTTTTTCTCCGGGGGATAGGGTCTGGTTGTGTACCAGACACATTCGCCTGAAAGTTCCTTCCTTGAAGTTTGCTCCTCGTTACATTGGTCCTTACAGGGTACTGAGGAGGATCAACCCGGTTTCTTATTTGCTGGATCTACCTCCTACTCTACGCATCCCTAACTCTTTTCATGTGTCGTTATTGAAACCTCTTGTTTGTAACAGATTTTCCTCCCGCTCTGCTCCTCCATCCTCGGTCCGTGTGGATGGTCAGGAGGAATATATCATCAAGTCCATCCTTGATTCTCGTATTTCTAGGGGGAAGCTGCAATACCTCATAGACTGGAAAGGTTATGGTCCAGAAGAGAGGTCTTGGGTTCCTGGTATAGACGTGCATGCTCCTCGTCTTCTTCGGGCCTTCCACGTTCGTTTTCCTTCTAAGCCAGGTCCCATCCGCCCGGTGGGCGTTTCTAGAAGGGGGGGTACTGTCAGGGTACCTGTTGGTGATGTATCCAGGGAGGACATCCTCTCTGCTTAGGGGCTCCCTTCCCCTAGCATTTCGGCATATTCCGGCCGTTTTCGCGCCGGCCGCGCTAGCTCCTCCCCCTTTTATGACGCGACGGCTAGCGTCGACGTCATGACGTCGGCATTTGCATAAAGTGCCGGGAACCGCTATTCCGGACCTTTTGGGGGCGTGGTCTCTATTTAGGTACAGGGTATTTAAAGGAAACCTTTACTACTGCTCATTGCCCTGTCGTGGTTCTAGCTTGCTAGTCACTCAGCGCGTTCTTTATCTTGTGTTTCCGGTTTTGACCCTTGCTTGTCTTTTGTCCTGTTGTCCTCTCCTCTCCTTTGACTCGGCTTGTATCTCGCTTACCTGTCCTCCGGCTCCCTTGACCTCGGCTTACCTTTTGACTATTCTTGCTTGTCCTTACGTTAGTCCGGCCATTCTAAGGTCCGGTATACGTACCTCCTTCTGTGCGCACTCTGCGTATTGGATCCCTGTCAGTTTCCTGACACCCATAAATCCCTGCAGCACTAATTGAGATTAAAATTAGAGTACTTTGATAGGCCTGGGGGATATCCCTGGGTACCAATCAGTGGCACTGCACGTTCAATTCCTCCCCAAACATTTTGTTTTCACCTCCATTCAGTATATTCAGTTGCCAGTTCAATTTAAAGGGATTTTATAAGCATCAAAACAACTTTACCTTAATTAAGCCATTTTAGGCACCTACAGTCTCAATTATCTACCATTTTGGAGTTAAATCACTTTTGTTCTTGTTTTTGCAGCCTTAGTCACGTCTCCCCTGGCTGTGCCTCGTGCATTTTGCGTAAAAAAAAGTTAAATTTTCAATCAGATGTTAACTTGGTTTAGAACTTTTTATCTCCTGGTCTGTGAATTGTATTTTAATCATACACAGGAAGGTTCTGCACGTTCTAAAAGGCTATTAACCGAACAATAGATAAGAACTTCTGGATTAAACAGACTGTGCAACAAAGGAATTTAGAATACCTAGGTTACTTTTTAGGAAGTGTTTAGGAAGGCTGTGCAATTCACATTCAGGGAGGTGTGACTAGGACACTATAAACAAAGTGGTTTAACTTCTAAGTGGTAGAGTATTGAGCAGCGAGATTGCAGGAGCATGATCTATACACCAACACTGCTTAATTAAGCTAAAGTTGTTTTGGTGCCAATAGTGCTTTAACTGTATTCAAATACAATTCTCCATAGGTGGAAGGAACATCCACACTAACTACATTTTGCTCAAGTCTACCCCACAAATTATTACAGTTTCTCAAAATATTTTCAGTTTACATTACATGAACATATTCAAGTTTGAAGACTCTGGGTCCCCATCCCAAACATGACAAATTTTGATGTGCACCTTTCTAGACAGAACCCCACATCCTTTCTGGGTGGTCCAGTCCCATTTTTCTTCCACAGAGGGCAAGTGAATATCAGAGGTTACAGATAAGGACAAAAGTAGCAGAGCAATTCCATGAGCTATATGAAAACATGAAGTGCAACTTTATTTGTTTCCATGGTGATTGTTCCACTGTATCAAATATACACTTTTTTTTTTTATAAAGTAACTATATTATTCTCCTTTATAGACTCATATTTATTCAATCTTTTAACTCCTTTTTGAAATATAGCGTAGCATGCTTTTGATCAAATATTGCAATTTTTTAAATCTTTATTAAGTTTTATATCATACAAGCAACACATACAATAAAATAAGATTTAAATTAGAAAAGACAAGTAAACCACACTCATTTCTATTTAATTTTTTTTTTTTTTTCTAGGAAATACCAGAAGGGAACCAAAGTGCGTCTAAGACTGGTTGATTTGGAGTTGACATCAAGGTTTTTAGGAGCAACTACAGACACAACTTTGCTTGAGGCTGATGCAGTGTTATTGGGACTCTGGGAAACCAAAGAGACAAAATGAGAAATGGGACCAGATCAGCTCTTACCACGTATAATACTAGGTGTATAGCAACAGAATTCTGTGTTCTGGTCCTTCTTGTTCTGAACATCATCTGATCGTGATCATGTTTCCGATCCAACATATTTGATACACAAAAACATATCTGTTTGGTTTTTCCTTTCTTTGTTCAAAAAATGTACCCAATATGTGCAGGGTTTTTTGCATTTTTTGGTCTCAAAGTATAGAGAGATTAAAATTTGTTTATGAAATAAATGTCTTCTTGCACAAATACTACATCAAAGTGTAAAATTATTATCGTAACACACTGTATTTGTCTGCTTTACAGCTTATTTTTTTACTATGGCTATTGAATTACAGGGAGCTATCAAATTCAAACATCTTCAACGCTTTAGTATATTTATTTGAATACAATATGAATTTTAAGTTGGAGACACATTTCTGCTTGCCAACTACAATTTAGCCAAATTATAATTCTCACTACATTCAGTAAGTAAATGTGTCCATGAGTTATAGTGGCTATAGTGAGTAGAATGTTCCCTTGAAAGGACACTATAATGACTAGAACAACTACAGCTTAATGTAGTGGTTCTGGTGTCTACAGCCTCTCTCTGCAGACATGTTAATGTAAACACTGCCTTTTCAGAGAAAATGCAGTTTACATTGCTACCTAGTAACATATCTAGTGGCAGTTACTGAGATGGCCACTAGAGGTGCTTCCTGGGTCAGGGCTGCACAGTGTGCAGCTCTGATGTTAAGTGTCTCCACGCTCTGCATGGAGGCACTGAACATTCCTCGTAGAGAAGCATTGATTCTGCATCTCTATGAGGAGATGCTGATTGGCACAGCTTGGCTTTTTCCCCTGAATGCACAATAGTCTCCCAATGCTTTCCTATAGGAAAACATTGGATTGGCTGAGATCGTCAGTTTTGATGATATCAGCCAGGGAGGCGGAACGGGGTTGGAGGCAGCCGCGTCAGACCCGTGCTGCGGTGCAATAAAGGTGAGTAAAATCACCTTCTGCATAGGTTGCATGGGGCAGGGCACCTAAATAGTATTATTACAGCTGTAGTGACAGAAATACATGTTTGTGGTCCTTTAGTGTATAGCGAAGGAAAAACCACTCTAGAACAGTAGGCTTGTGGCTCTCAGTTATGTTACAGAATATGATGGAATGTACTAAAATGTTGTTTAAGCTGTACCTTTATCTATATTTTGGATACTCCCATGTCTTAGAAGTGATTACATGGTCACTACAATTATCAGGTTTGAACTTTAACACAAAACAAAGTAACTGTAATTTAACCGTTAAAAAAAACCATTACTGAAATCATACATTTCCTTTTACTGTAACAGTAGTCCACTTTGGATCAGATGTTTTTCGCTCCTTGTCTCAAGTGCCTGAGCAATTAACTTTTTATAAATTGGACACACTAGCGTTTTGTAGTCAGAATTGCTTCTTACTGTTAAAACAATGGTAAAAAATTAAAGGTGTGTAACACCTGGTAATTTCATTGCTGGCTCATATACTGTCTTCTTACAGGAGTACATCGTTTGGCATTACTAGGAGCGGTAATCAGAGTAAGGAATTCCAGGTGGATTATACTTGGGACAGTAATAAGTGGTGCTAAATCTTGAGACAGGTTATTGCCTTAGGGTGCCAAAGCATTTCATTAATTGAGCTCATTGTGTTTTCAGAGACAGCAAAAAAACACTGCTGTCTGAGTGTGCAGCTTCCAAGGAAATGTCTACTGAGGACTGCAATAAACCAAACTGCTTTTAAACTTAGATTATGGAGTCATGAAATCTGTAAGGAAATGAAAATGGGCGACAAAGCTGGAAAATTGTGCATGAAAGTGCATTTTAAATGTAAATGTAAATGGGAATCTGACACTCAATGATTACAATAAAACCCAATTTATGGAGATCCATTATGATACACATGGCTGTGACAGACTGCCTGGCACTCCGACAGAGTGCTTCCGCCAATCGATGCTCCTAGTGCTCACCGAGGAATTCCAGCACTCCACCAGATACCATAAGCACTTCAAACCCCACTTCCAGCGATGCAGCTGCCCCAGGGTCTTGCCGTCCTTCACCAACCCTGGACCCAAGACCGGGATCCAGCTTCCAGTGGGCAGACCTCTCCTACTCCCAGAGAGCGTAGCAGGAACAGCTAGTGATTATAATTACTGGGGAGTATAGTGATATAGCAATCCCCAGGATAGGTACAGCCGTTTCCCCCACACATGAGATAGGACTCTATGTTGAGGGTAAGCAGGAACAGAATTTTAATAGAGGCACACTGGCTTATGCACGTTTCCCAACAAGTGTGACACCCAGGTGGACCTTGTTGGGCACAGGGACACAAAGTGAATAAACCAATAAAAACAGAGTCATACAGTGAGACACTCCCATACACAAACAATAGAATCCCTCCTCTATGCTTGGGTGATATTTGAATCAGGAACTGTACTAATCTTACCCAATTATCTCCAAGCACAGAAAAACATACAATTTTATGAAACCCCAAAAAGTACCTTAAAACACATAATACCCCATAAAAGTTACATCCCCCGATAGCCGCGATCTGGGCAAACAACATATCCAAAAATCACCCAGATTGATTCAGAGGTTCAGGAATTTCCTGCAAGTCATAGTTTTGACTGACCGTGCACATGATCCTATGCCCCAAACAGTTCCAGGGAAATCAGTGCTAACCGTTGGTCAAGTTCGGTAGTCTTTTACAGGTTTCCCTACAGGGCACATAGTCTGTGGGCAGGAGGCTGGCAAGCAGACCCTTCCAAGTACAAGTAGTGAGGTTACTTTCACCACAATGGCATATTAAATACAGTGGGAACCAATGAATCCGTTCTGGAGGTCAGAAAAAAAGTCAAAATGAGCTGGAATGGAAACCAACCCACAATGCAGAACACACAATAAAAGACATGCAAACGACAAAGCTCAGCTCCCTACCTTTCCACAGCTTAAAAAATGCACTAAAAGTTCCAAAACAACTGCAAACAATTTCCAGAATGGCTCCAAAACTCGATGCAAAAGCCGCTCCAACACCTCCACACTCGACGCCATGTGCTACCCACAGGCTCCAGCATGCAGTGGGTGGTGCTATAAACCTGCTTTGTATTGCGAAAAAAAAATTTAAACTGAGGCATTATTTTCAATGGATTTTATTTGTAAACCAAAAATTATGTTAACTGAGGCGTTTGTAAACCGAGGTCCCACTGTATATATTAGACAAAACACCACATGAGTAATAGGAGTGTGCAGTTGAGCTCAGGGTTAAAAAAGCAACAATATATATGTATTTATTAAAATGAATTGAATGCACCTTTATTTCAGTATGGGGGGATCTCCTAACTGCAGCTTCGATTCACATCCTATGAAGTCCAGTCAAATGCTTTTCATTCAACATTGGGACACATGGCGCATGTGCAACATTTACTACAGGTCAAAGCGAATGAAGCAGGAAAGGCAGTTTTTGAGATTTTCAATGTTAAATTTTGACACAGAGAAATTTAGTTAATCCCTGAAGCACTGACGTAAGAGGAAGTGCTTTCAAGAATTTGTGTCCCTTTTATCCATTCAGTACAACAGTATGCCTATCAAGAGTCCCATTTTTGGCAAGACAATCCTGATTTTGGGGTCATGTCCCACTTTAATTCCCTGGTATTCGGGACACCATGGAGCTGTCCCTTGGAGGCACATGTTATGCACATCTTTAGAAACGCTCGCACTGTTAAGTGAGCATTAGGACAATGCAGAGAGCGCTTCCAACATGGTCCTGTGGAAAGGGGCCCGCCAGGCAGGCTGTCATGTCCCTTCAGTGGGTCAACCAGTCCCATTTCTTGGCGAGATTGCATACCTTTCAATGTTGGGAGCTATGTAACAGGTGAAGTTGTCTCATACCAGCATCATCCAAGAAACGTACATTTTTGGATACTGTACAATTTATTGTCATGTGAAAGGAAAATATGTTGATTCATAACAGAAGTTTAAAAAAGTTATGTAAGAAGCAGACATTACTACAAAACAACAACTGTGACCTCAATAAAATACACTGAACAAAATTATAAACGCAACACTTTTGTTTTTGCCCCCATTTTTCAGGAGCTGAACTCAAAGATCTAAGACTTTTTCTAAATCTTAGATCTTTGAGTAAGTTGATTGGGCTGCATTACTATTGTTCACAAATCTTTCTAAATCAGTGTTAGTGAGCACTTCTCCTTTGCCGAGATAATCCATCCACCTCACAGGAGTGGCATATCAAGATGCTGATTAGACAGCATGATCATTGCACAGGTGTGCCTTAGGATGGCCACAATAAAAGACCACTCTATAATGTGCAGTTTTATCACACAGCACAATGCCACAGATGTCGCAAGTTTTGAGGGAGCGTGCAATTGGCATGCTGACTGCAGGAATGTCCACCAGAGCTGTTATCCGTGAATTGAATGTTAATTTCGTTACCACAAGTCATTTCCAAAGGCGTTTCAGAGAATTTGGCAGTACATCCAACTGGCCTCACAACCGCAGACCACTTGTAACCACACCAGCCCAGGACCTCCACATCCAGCATCTTCACCTCCAAGATCGTATGAGACCAGCCACCCGGACAGCTGCTGCAACAATCGGTTTGCATAACCAAATAATTTCCGAACAAACTGTCAGAAACTGTCTCAGGAAAGCTCATCTGCATGCTCATTGTTCTCATCTTAATCGACTTGAGTGGGAACATGCTCACATTCTATGGCATCTGGCACTTTGGAGAGGTGTTCTCTTCACATATTAATCCCGATTTTCACTGTACAGGGCAGATGGCAGACAGCGTGTATGGCGTTGTGTGGGTGAGTGGTCTGCTGATGTCAATGCTGTGGATCGAGTGGCCCATGGTGGCGGTTGGGTTATGGGCAACGAACACAGGTGCATTTTATTGATGGCATTTTGAATTCACAGAGATACTGTGATGAGATCCTGAGGCCCATTGTTGTGCCATTCATCCACGACCATCACATCATGTTGCAGCATGATAATGTAAGGCCCCATGTTGCAAGGATCTGTACACAATTACTGGAAGCTGAAAACATCCCCGTTCTTGCATGGCCAGTGATGTGGAATCAATCAATTAATTGGTTATCTTGCGTATCTGCCCCCGGCCAAATTTAAAAAGATACGTGCACGCTCCTGAAGTAATTCACACCATACACAGGTTTCGGGTTAATGAAAAACTTGAGGAATGTTTATTCTGGGGGGGACGGCATGCCTCTTATAAAGCAAAATTACATCATATGCATTGTCAGAGATAACATGGAATAATACATCAATAATTGGCTAGGTGTTAAGTGGTTCATTTAGTGCCCTTCCTACCGCGTGTGTTGTCACTGGTATCTTGGAGGTCTCCCCCAGATTCCAGCGCCATCTTGTTAATGAGGGTGTTAGTCGATGTCAAAGGGAAACTCCCTAGCGGCCATTTTAGGTAAATCACGTATAAGGTTGAATAATGCTGATTGTGGTTATGCTGAGTAGGCATTTTATTAATATGAATTGGGTTAATATTTTGTCCACAACAGCCAGCATACTCACCGGACATGTCACCCATTGAGCATATTTGGGACGCTCTGGATCGGCGTATACGCACAGCCATTGAAGAGGAGTGGACCAACATTCCACAGGCCACAATCAACAACCTGATCAACTCTATGTGAAGGAGATGTCTTGCACTGAGTGAGGCAAATGGTGGTCACACCAGGCACTGACATGTTTTCGGTCCCCCCCCAATACAGTATAACTGGCATTTTATTGTGGCCAGCCTAAGGCACACCTGTGCAATAATTATGCTGTCTAATCAACATCTTGATATGCCACACCTGTGAGGTGGATGGATTATCTCGGCAAAGGAGAAGTGCTCACTAACACAGATTTAGACAGATTTGTGAACAATATTTGAGAAAAATAGGCCTTTTGTGTACATAGAAAAAGTCTTAGATCTTTAAAGTTCAGCTCATGAAAAGTGAGGGCAAGAACAAAAGTGTTGCGTTTATAATTTTGATCAGTGTAATATACCTCAAGAAGTATGCAAACTAATTCCATTTAGTCGATTTAAAAAAATCAAATGTGATCGTCAGTGAGGAAACAAAAGGACATACCTGTATATGAATATTGTTAATGTCAGAGTAATTTACCATTAAAACATTTTTTCTACTTTTTTTAAAACACATAAAAAAAATATAATAAACACTCTTAAATTTTTTCAACCTCCTTTTAAAATCCCTTTGAGTAGAAAAATAAATACATTTAAATTGATTACAAAAACTGTCTGTAATTCAGAGTCAAACAGTTCTGTCCAGTTGCCCAATCAACAAACTGCACCAATCCTGATTCTCATATTATTTGTATTATTATTGGCCTTCAT